TGTTTTGTTGTCTGGATGGCGAGGAGGAAGAGCTGTCAGCGCGGGCGGATCAACGTCGTCGCGGGTAGCAGAGAGTCGGAAATGGTGACGGAAGAGCGAGATCGAGCATCCAACGTGAAAGATGAGGGCAGAGCGCGGCCTTATCCGCTTTTAAATGCGCCGGCTCACCGAAATTTTCTGCGGTAATGAGGCATTTTGTTTGGTTTCCATGGATGGGCGCGCTCGGGCCATAGCGGAGGGTCCGGCAATAGAGCTTGCATGGGGGAGGCAAGCAATTGATTGTCTGGGCAACGAAAAGGCTGTGGGTACTTACAAGAGGCGCGATATACGGAGTTGGGAGCTTGGGGTGGGAAGAGCGTTTGATGATGGAGAGTCTTGCGGATGGTGAGAGCTAGAAGAGGAGTTTGAGAAATGGCTGGGACCCATGGGCGAAAGCTAGCCCTGACCGGATGAAGCTGTTGCGCCCAGCCAATCGCGCAAACAGCATCACTATTTCGTCGACGGGATAGGATCGTCGCTTGACCTCCGTCTACGGCGCGGCATGGCTAAAAAGCACCGTTGTGCTCCTCCACGGCCGCCGCATCGCCTGCATCAATTGTGCTCTCACCAACTAAGCACTGGTCCCACGCCCAGATGGCCTCTAATCCCGCAACGACGCGCTCAACAACCCCAACGCTCCACGCCCTCGCTGGAAGCCGCCGCTGACGCTACTCCTCGGCTCCACCATGGGACCCCTGTGAGGGCCTTGACCGTTCTCGCGCAAACAATGTACGCGAGTTATGTCATGGCCCGTTGCTTATCGCGCGCCCGAGGACATCTCGCACGAAGGCCCGGCACGTCCTCGCGGCGAGCCTCAGGCCGAGTGCGCGACAATATCCTATCCCGTGCACGCCTCGACAAACGACAGAGTCTCGGAAATGCCTCATCTTGCGACGCGCTCTGTATCTAGCGCCGTCAATAGCGTGGACAGAATCGCGGGCAAATACGACTTAGGCACGCGTGGGATGGGAGGGCCGGTCTTAGGAGCGTGCTAGCGCCCAGTTTGCAGATGCGATCACCACCAAGCTTCAACCCCAGGATCTTGGCGCAGGGCTTGGAAGCAAGGCTCAACGCAGGCACGGCGACATTGGCGTTTCACACAATGGTCGATCGTCGTGTTGTAAACAGCTTGGGGGAGGTGATCACGCTTGGCTAATACAGCTGTACCTCCCTCTTGTCGCACACCGAGACATCACGAGACCTTGCGCCAGAGTGGGTGAGTTTGAGACCGTCATCTGTGAAGCAGTGCCGGCGCAGACAATATCCTCATATTGGTGGTAAACCCTGGGTGCACTGAAAGAAATTTCCTTGCTGAGATCTAGACTGCGTTTTGAGTTGTGTCAAGGCGCTACACGACGACAAGAAAATTGATCCAGTCTTGGTGCCATGGCTGAAACATTAATCGCGCAATGCTTGGTCGAGTGCTTCGATAAAGAGCGCTTTACACCTAAACTCTCAATATGGAAGATGGATACACATAGGCAGTCTTTACCAACCCTTTTTTATGGAAATTAGGTATGGGGACTCGAGGGTAAGGATATCAAATCTGGAATGAGGCGAGTAAGAGGCAGAAATCTGGCTGCGACCAGCAGGTCACGATTTCCATGATATGAACACAAACAGCACTCTATGGGGTATCATGCGATGAACTTTTGTCCTCAGCCTCTTCAGTTTCTCCATATCCTGACCTGTTTGTCCGCACCACCACTACCCACCCTCTCACCATCCGGACTCCAGTCCAACGCAAACACCTGATCTTTGTGACCCGGCAAATCCTCCTTCAGTTTTCCTGTCCGCATGTCCCACACCTTCAGCGTAGTGTCTTTGCTGCAGCTCGCCAACAACCTGCTATCAGCGGAGAAACATGTCATGTAGACGGGGCCGACGTGGGCTCGAAGGGTGTTGAGGAACTTTCCATCACGAGCAGACCACAGCTTGACGTGGTTGTCCCACGCTGCGGAGGCGAGCAGTTGGCCATCTGGTGAAAACGTGACCTGGTTGATCTGCTTCTGATGGCCTACCATGCGAGTAACTGGTTTGTTGCTGCTCAACGGGGTCCACAGGATGAGTGTGCAATCTTCCGAGGCGGTTGCCAATCGCTCCACAATCTCGTTGTTGATGGTCGCGGCTTTCTCGAACCGTGACTTTGCTTTTGCGAGCTTCTCTTCGGGTGACGCGGGTACTTTTCGTGTATGGTCGTGGTATGCAGTCCGGAGAACGAAGTCGGTAGAGAGAGCCAGGTGGTTCACCCAATGTGCGTGGCCGGATAGAGTGTTGACCAACGTGCCGACAGAAGCATCCCAGACTTTGATAGTCTTGTCATGGGAAGAGGTATATATCCTTCCAGTGCCTCCCCACTTGACGCAGGTCACGCTGCCTTTGTGGCCTGCCAGCGCATAGTCGATCTTTCCACCCACTGCGTCCCAAACTCTTACGGTGCCGTCTTTTGAGGACGACGCAACTCTTGGCCGTCCTGGCTCTTGCAGATGAAATGGCTCCCAAGTCAGCGAAGTGATGAAGCCTGTGTGTCCTTTCAGTGGCCCGCCAATCTGCTTGCCAGTATTCGGGTCCCATACCCTGACTTCGTTGTCATATCCTCCGGTTGCCAACAACGACCCATCAGGCGAGTAGCTGACCGCAAGAACCCACTTCGTATGACCCTTGAGCGTATGTACTGGCGTGCCTGTATCGCAGTCCCATATCCTAACCGTCTTGTCTCCACTTCCACTCGCCATGCGACCTGAATTCAGTGGCGAGAACTGCACAGCCAATATGTTGTCTCCATGACCCGAAATAGCTGCCGCGCATCTTGACACAGCCTTCACTCTAAACACTGCTTGGGGCGCATACTGCAGCACAATCTCGCTCTCAGAAGAAGCCTTCCCCGACTTGACCAACGCATTGTATAGATCTTCCTTGTCTCCAAGAGCTTCGGTAGCCCCGTCTGGGAAGAAACGGTATGGTATTTGGTCGTCGGATTGGTCTTTGAGTTCGTTCAAGAGAATTTCGAGGTTCTTGGTCGAAGCCTGTGAGAGCGGAACGGTGAGGACAGGAAGACTGCCGCTCTCGCCGGTAGCCTGGTCGACGAAGCGCACTCGCACTGTGCCATCGGGGATTGTGGTATCGATTTCTGCTTGTTGGCGGGCGATTTCTCCCTGCTCGCGCTTTTGGCGCTTCGAGGGCGGTGGGTACTGTGTCGCCATTTTGTAGCTGTCGTATGCTCAAATCCTCCGTAAGACCAAGGATATCAGGCAATAGGAATTGCAAATGTTGCAGAAATACTCGCCGAGTTCACCCCACTGCGATCGCAACTTCCCAAAAATTTTGGGTTATCGATAGAGCGACGCTAGCAGGGGTGACGCGCTAGTGGCTCACTGGACGCGTCTGTCATCCGATCTCTCCTTCACCATACTGCTCTCATTGAAGCCTGAGAAGAGCAAGATATTCCAGCTGATCACCGACTAATCGCACGGCACTGACAAACATGTCGAACCGGTTTCGGCCGTCGACTTCCTACAGCACTTCAGCCTCCACTTCGTATGGCTACCCGTATGGTGACTATACGACCACTACTTCACGTCCTGGGACCCGAAGGGATGGCACCGGTAGGCCTTCAACTGCTCGACCAAGGACTGGTGCATCTACCATCGCCAGGATCGAAGCTCAACATGTTGTGTGTGCCGTGGCCGAGTCTCGTGGTATCTCACCAACCATAGGTCTGGCTTTCGTCAACCTTGATACAGGAGAAGCAGTGCTTTGCCAGATCTGTGACAGCCAAACTTATGTTCGCACGATCCACAAACTCAAGGTCTACGGTCCGTCTGAGATACTGATTGTTGCCACTGCGGCAAGCCCGAAGTCGAAGCTCTTCTCGATCATCGAAGAGAATCTGGAAGATATCGGCAGCAAGCTGACTCTACTTGATCGACGATACTGGGCTGAGACCACTGGGTTCGAATACATTCAATCGCTAGCATTCAAGGAAGATGTCGAAGCGATCAAAGTCTCAGTGGCAGGCAACTACTACGCCGTCTGCTGCATTGCAGCGGTGCGTCGTGTCCTGTGACGCAATGATGCTCGACTGACCTCTATAGGCTCTAAAGTATATTGACCTTGGGATCGGTATGGTCTTCTCATACCACTCGCTCCGTATGAGGTACGAGCCATCCGAGGGTTCCATGATGATTGACGTATCTACCATCCACTCGTTGGAACTTGTCCAGAATTTGCAGAACTCAAAGTCAAAAGACTGTTTGTACGGTCTACTCAATGAGACACTGACACCCATGGGAGCGCGACTTCTCCGAAACAACGTCCTGCAGCCGCTCACTGATGCAGACGTGCTTACCACGAGATACGCAGCAGTCGACGATCTGACGACTAAAGAGGAGATGTTCTTTGGAACACGTGCAGGTAAGTAGATTGGTGGTACGGCTTTCTCATCTAATTTGATGTAGCCTTGAAGAACTTCCTCGACGCCGACAGAATCTTGACCCAGGTGCGTGCTGCGCTGCCAGAGGGCTTTCCAATTCACTCATTTATGCAGTTGATCGTCACACCAAGCAAGCCGACACTACAGACGACTGAACAGTCCATCAACCATATCATCATGCTGAAGTACTTCGTAGGCTCGGTGAAACCCATATACGAAGCACTCACTGGAACGGGCTCGAGCATGCTGAACAATATTCGCGAGCTATGTGCTCCAGAGAATATTGCGCCAATCCAAGAGCTCATCGATCTTGTCATCAACGAAGACACCACTTATGCAAAGCAGCCTCTTGAGTTGAGGAATCAGCGCGTTTACGCCGTCAAATCTGGTGTCAACGGTCTTCTTGACGTCGCTCGAACGACTTACAAGGAGGCATCTGAGGACGCATACCAGCACTGCTCCGAGCTCGGTCGTAAGAGGTTCGAAGCCAAGCAACGGAGATACTTGACTGACCATGACAGAGGAATACGACTTTCAGCTGGAGCTCAAGTACGAGAGCGCTCGCCAGTTTTACATTCGCATTCCAGCTTCTCAAATCGAGGGCCGTGATCTGCCTCCAATCTTCACCAACGTCATTCGTCGCAAGAAGAATATTGAGTGCTCAACACTTGAGTTGATGAAGCGCAATCAGAAGGTAACATAGTGGAAACAATGGTCGATCGTCCCGCTTACTGAAACTAAAGATCAACGTGTCGCATCAGGAAGTCATTCTCATGAGTACGCAACCTTTTTCGAGCGGATTTGTCTTGCTAATAACGGTGTGAAGGTGATCAGGCTGTCGAGAATCTGATTGAAGAAGTGCGCAGCCACATGTCGATCATGTTCAAAATCTGCGAGGCCGTTGCATTGCTGGACATGGTGATTGCTGCCTTTCTCCTGGAGCGAATCGAAGCTGACGGGCCAAGATAACTTCCTTCGCACATCTTGTTACTGTGAACGACTACAGTATGTTATTGCCCTTCTCCTTCCGCAGGCAGCCTGACTAACCTTCTACAGCGAAGCCACAGTTCACAGACACGTTGGCTATTCAGCAAGGCCGGCACCCAATCAAGGAGAAGATTATGCAAACCAAGTTTGTACCGAACGACGTTTACTCAACTCAGCAGACGCGCTTTCAGATTATCACAGGCTGCAACATGAGTGGGAAGAGTACTTACATCCGATCTGTGGCCTTGATGGTGATCATGGCTCAGATTGGTTGCTAGTACACGACCCATAATGTTCTGGACGCTTCATCTGTGCTAATGAGAGACAGTGTTCCAGCAACATACGCTTCGTTCCCGATCCTCCATCAGCTCTTTGCTAGGCTGGGCATGGATGACAACATTGAGACGAATGTCTCTACGTTTGCTGCGGAGATGAAGGAAATTGCTTTCATCTTGCGCAACATCGACAGGCGAAGCTTGTACGTTCACATCACTTGAAGCTCCCTGACGTGAGCTTCGAACTGACCGATATGAAGGGCAATTGTCGATGAGCTCGGCAGAGGCACCAGTACCCGTGACGGGCTGGCTATTGCGCTTGCGATCGCCGAGGCTTTGGTGTCTAGCAAGGTATGTGGTACATGCACAATTTGAAGCATTGCTGATTTGTCCCAGGCTCTTGTATGGTTCGCAACACATTTCAAAGATCTCGCAACAATCATGGCTGAGCGTGCCGGCGTGCAGAACCTCCATTTGGCCGTCGAGGTAATCATCACGTTGCGCTTCATTGGCCGTGACTGACGTATGAGTGCAGTTGAAAAATGACGAGAGCATGACGATGTTGTATCGTATCACGCCCGGTGCTGTCAAGGAAGCTCACTATGGTCTGACTCTTGCTCGCATCGTCCCGTTACCCCCAGGATTAGTCGACCATGCTGCCCAGGTCGCGCAGAAGATCGAAGCGCACATGCTTAAGCGAAAGAAGGCTTCCGAGACGGTGTTGAGAGAGAAGCGCCGCAAGCTCATTCTTAACCTTCGCGAGCATCTTATACAGGCACAGAACGGCGAGTTGGAGGGCGAAGTACTTACCGCATGGCTCAAAGAGCTGCAGAAAGAGTTTGTGAACCGTATGACTGCTCTTGAGGTCGAAGCATCTAGCGTGGGTCAGGAGAGCGATGAAGATGAGGTGATGGGGGAAGGAAGTGTGTTTGGAGAGGAGGATGAGCGTGCTGGGTCGTATGCGCGTCAGCCTTCAGTCTTGACCGTTAGTTCGACCTCCACGACTGAGTCTGAGTCTACGGTCAGGGCGATGTCTCAGGCATCTACTGTGCGAGCGGTCTCTGACAACGATCGCTGAGGGTGGCTTACTGTGGCTGAAGCCGGTGCCTGATGGTATTTACCGGTACAATTGGTGGAAGATGACTGAAAATGCTTTAGAATGAGAGAGCCAGATATGCTGAGGGTGGTGTACACCGAAAACTTGTGTAGTTACAGACTGTAAGAGATTGCAAGACGCCTGGACCCGGTTCATGATCCGAGCATTGCAAGCGTTTAGCCGTTCTACTACAACACCGGTCTTGAAAACTCATACCAATGCCAAGTCGTCTTCTTGTCTACAAAACTGGGCCTGAGAGTAATTTCTTCGTCGTGCCATTCGCACTTCATCTCCGGCTGCTCCGTGCCAAACACAAGTCCAGCAGCCTTCCGGACCCAGCATTTAAGCTCATCCATGGGTTCTGGGAGCGCCGTGTCATCATTAAACATGCTAATATTACAGACGTAGACAACGAGCGTGCCGACGTCAACACACTGATAGCATGTCAAGTACTCGATCCTCTCCTCGAACAGAAGCCCAAATCGTAGATCATCCCGTCCCTGGAGATCAATCCACACATGAAGCCTCCTCCCAGTGCCACGGGCTACCATGTCTTGTGCGACCTGGCTATGCTCTATCATGCGCTGGCGCGCTTGATTCTCCAGGACCGCGCGGCTCTGGGGTATCTCGGTCGCAAAGACGAGATCACAAAGGGAAACGACCTGGGCTGTTGCAGGTCCGAATAAAGTAGATGTACCCGTGTTTGGATATGTGCCGGTGTAGGGATGGAAGTACGAGCTAGAGAGGCGTATCCATTCGGAACGCTCGAGTAAGAGAGCGATGCTTTCGGTGTGGAAGGCTTTGTTGATGAACAGCCATTCTGGGAGCGTATGTGTCCACTGAGAGTCAAACGCGCTTTTGGTGTACACTTGGTTCGAAGCGATGTATCGGAGTATGGTCTTTCTGTTGGAGTACGCAACTACTTGATATGGGTGGCCCTGCCAGAGGAAGTGGTAGACCAGGTCTCGCAGTTCCCGCGGCAATTCGAAGAATGCGAAATGTGTTGAGCGTGCCATTGCTGTTGCGAGGAACGTAGCAAGCACACGAGAAGTACTGGTGAGTAACAAGTGCTCAGAAGATCAAGGCTGCCACTTTGTCAGGCGGCACAGCCAAACGCTAGCCGTTTTTGTCATAAGTTGTACATAGCTACAGCTATATACGCCGTCAATATCCAATATTCTACAACTCTACTTGCTCAGCCTCGAGTTGCCTCTCTTTCATCCTCATCTCTGACGCCTTGAGGATCAAGCGGCGGTAGTCTAGAACCGCTTGCTCGAGTTCAGTCTTCTTCAAAGCCTCATGGTCTGAATGCGCGACGAAGATGTTGCCAGGCCCATACAAGTACCGCTTGTGATCACCCTCTAGCAGCGGCACATCCGTACCGTAGTTCACAGTCAGTGTCTCAAAGCCCTCAATGTCGCAATCAATGTCCACGGGCGCGTAACCCTGGCTCGCCCACACGATATCCAGGTCTCCGCCTTGCTGCTGCGCATTGGCTTTTGCGTCTTTCAGCGCGTTTACAATCAGCCCCTTGACGACTTCTGGAGTGCCGGCTGCGAGTCTGGTCGCGATATTCGCAATCGCAGTCTCAGCGACGACATTTGCCGCAACACCGCCTTGTATGCGACCAAAGTTCATAGTCGTGTTTCCGTACTTCTCGCTCCACGGGAGGTGCTCCCTCAGTTCCAGCAACGACCCAAGCGCTTCTACAATGATGTCGTTCGCGCTTGCTCCCAGCCACGGGTAGCCCGAGTGCGCTGCCTTGCCCGTCGCCTTGAGCGCGAAGCCCAACATGCCCTTGTGCCCGCAGACCAGCTTTCCTTCTGTAGGCTCGCCGAAGATGGCGATGTCGTAGTTCGGGCTGGGGCGATGCTTCCAGCCGGAAAAGTTGCGCATGCCGTCGCCGCCCTCTTCTTCGCCGACAACGAATAACAGCGATATGTCGTCAAATAGGTGCTTGCGCAGGCCTTGTACGGCAATGATTTGCGCGGCTACGCTGCCCTTTGCGTCGACGCTGCCTCGGCCGCCAATCATGCCTGAGGTCTCATTGTAGTAGTATGGCCAGTACGGCGGGACTACGTCTATGTGCGACGATACAAGGATGGAGGTTTCGCGCTTCTTGCCGTAGGCGAGGATGTTGAAGCGGTCTTTTGTGATGCGTTGCTTTTCGACGGTGTAATCATGGTCTTTGAGGTAGGACGCGAGCCAGTCGCCGACGTGCTGCTCATTGTGGGTGATTGATTCAATCTCTACGAGTTTGCGGTGGAGGTGGAGTAGCTCTTTTGATGTTGACGGATCGAGGGTGGTCAGCTCTGGGATGGGCGCTTGTGGCACTGCCGCAACGCTTGTGAATGCTAATGATATAAGTGGAAGCGTTCTGAGTATCATATTGGCGGTAAATTGCAGCACGGATGCGCAATTGCTGGTCGATGTTTGGGGAGAGGGAAGCTTGGTGCTCAAGCGATGACGATGGTAACTACCGGCGCCGAGTTACCGCCGCCTATCGCTGTGACAATCTTGGGACGAATGCCTCCTTCTATCACTCCTGCTTTCTTATCCCACTTCATTGATACACTAAATGTAGAAATGTGTGCGATGCGTTGGCAATGTAATTCAGAAGACACGAAACTGACAATGTCTAAACCTTCTCATTGCAAGGAGATCGGGTGGCCCCCACCAGCTTCCTCCCACGCAACACGATTAACTAGCAATCACCACCCTTGGGATGATTCTTCGTGAGATTACTATTTACACTTTATCTATTCTACTTAATCAATGCTAGGTAGAATAAACACGTCGCCCCTTGACTTGTAGAAAGCATCATGCCAGTTGATGCTTGAGGACTGGGTGCACCGGGTGCGCACCATTCAAGAGCGCATCCAGCTACGGGGAATGTTAGTCTTCTTGCATGGCGGGCACAGCTAACCACACGCAAGAGAGACGAAGATCCATCGAAGAACAGCAATGGTGCCATGTAGCCTGTCGCCACCGACATACAGAAGACACTCGACATCACACTGCAATCTATGCAGCTATCGCGCAAGCTGATCGACGCACTTTCGATGAATTTTGAGAGCATATGAACGGTTTCAATCTGCCTGATGGCGTATTCTATACGCGGGTCTAGCTACCTGTGCCACGTTTCTCTGCATAATGCGCAGGTATCAGCCCTAGAACCAACGGACCAACATAACGCCTGTTGTACTGACCGACGGAAAGTTGCAGGGGGGGTCGTTTTAAATCGATAGATGCTGAATAAGTTAGTTTCCCATAGTAAATCAGGCCGTGCGCTATGCTAACGTTCAACGTTACCCCGCGGAGCCTCTCCACTAAGTTTTCTTGTTCTAATATCTTTTTTTGAAGCTGTACAGGTAGGTGATAAAGCTATCGTGGCGCTAGCTTTTAGAGTCGCAATTGCTAGTTTCTAACGTTTCTAAGACGCCAAGCTGCCGACGTCATCTATATGCTAACGTTTTCAGCTGTTTTTAACCTGAACTAACGCCAAAAACAGTGCCAAGAGTCCTCTATAACTGCCTCACGAGCTGCCTCTTCAAATAGCTGAGAAATAGACTCAGTAGCTCTAATATTGCCAAGGAATTAAGCTAAGAATGCCCTGTATAAATCTCTTAGTCAGGGCTTACAAATTTAGACCAAGCGTTCAAAAATACGCTCAAAAACGACCCTAACACCGGCCGTACTACCCCTGTACTTTCCGTCGGTCAGTACAACAGGCGTTATGTTTGCTCTTTGTCCGCAATCACCCTACCACTTGGACGTCGCAAGTAAACCTCTTCCTTTAGTTGTGTAACGTTACAAGTGGGCCCATACGACATTTTAGTGGCCGGTAACAGGTTACGGTACTCGCGTTTAGTAATTTTGGGAAGCATGTCGTGGGCAGGCCGCGCACGACATGCTTGCTCGTTTTTTCTGAGTTTTACCCTGTAACTAAGCCTCAACTCTGCGCAACACTATAACCTAACAACGCAAGATCTGACTCTAACATCAATAACGTAGTAACTTAAGTATAAGCACACTTACATGCGAAATTTATACAGAATCATCTTAAAGCGTTGTTGTGTTGCAAGCCTGCGCGTACAGATAGTGCCCAGGCCCCAAAATTCAGAAAAAACGAGCTCCTTCGTACTGCTCTTTCATCCAAGCTTAGCGTATACTCACCTAGGCTTAGCTCGTATGCAGATATCGGGGTGCAGATACCACTATTTTGTGCAGAACATGGTCGTAACATAACGCTCAGCAAAATCACTATTATTGCGTAAAGCCGGTGTCTCAACGCATATCTGGAGCTGACGGGCCAACCGGCGTAACAATCTAAAGTACATATCCACGGCATATATTTGCGATTTTCTTTCTTGGCCCTTGCGACGAATTCCTTCCCACAAGGTTACCATGAGAGCTTTTGCGAGGCGAATTAGATAGTACGTAAATATCTAAAACACATGTTGTGATTGGGCTCACCTATCCATGTTCAGGCCAATTACGACTTCACCGGTGAACACTCTATCATGGTAAATTCAATCAGACCAGACCGGGCTAATAGACGCTCACGCCTTTGCAGGCTAAGAAGAAGCATGTGTATATCTGGCATTGTGTGGGTGGCTTGCTTCACGCCTTTGTTCATTGAGGCCCAATCTAACCGCAAAAGTGCCACTGCGGACAGTCCAGTATACCAATCGCTACCATTGGGTGTCCCGGATGTGGGTACGGGAGGTGTGTCCAATGCAAGACCGCACGCATTCAGGTGCGGTCTTGCAAGCCGTCTTCGCCATTCCCGTCTCGAATGGACCCAACCAAACCCCCTTGCTACCGCCATAAAATAGATGCGGGAGCAGAAGACCGAGACCCCACTTCTCGCTACGGCTTCGCCTCGACAGCACGGGGCTGTGTGGTGAATGATATAGATCGAGCACGAACATGCAGTACAACCTCAGGCCGCAACTGGGAGCTAGAGCATGCGATGCTGCCGGGGAAAGTAGAGTGACGTAGAAAGCCCTGTAAGTCATGAACAGATGCCAGAATTGTTGCGTGAGCCACTTCGTCATCTATGGACATGTCTTATGGCGTTTATGAACTTACAATCTTCCAGCCTTATGACAGATACCTTGTATCGAAGGAGTGTGCACAGTGGTTGGCCAGATGGGAAGACGCTTGTTGCTTGGGCTCAACCACTAGACAGTGTGAAGTAGCTCACGAGGAGCTGGGCTGCAGACTTGTCATCAATCAAGCTGCTTGATTAATTTGCTTGTTTCTTGACGTTTTTGTCAATTAAATCAAGTCAATCAGAGAGGCTTTAGAATTAAGTCAAACAGCAAGCAAACAGACCTACCTGCTTAATTTGATTAAATGTTTGATTCTCTAAGGAGAGATATACGTTGCTCTCCTGCCTCAGCTCAGGGGCACTGCTGCCTCGGCTCGGGGGCACTTCGGCATCGGGAGCACTTCGGGCCTCGGCTCGGGAAGCTCCGGCTTGGCAGGGGCAGCACCTCACAGGAGGCACGTAGCCACTCAGCGTGCTCTGCTTGCAAGATGATCAAATTTGGTGGTGCTTGATTGATTTGATTGGGTTCAAATCAATCAAGTCAAACCGCTAAGCCTAAAGTATCAAGTCAAGAACAAGCAGAGGGTGCTGCTTGATTGATTTGCTTGTTGACAAGTCTGCTGGGCTGAGCAACAAGTACATCGGGAGTCGGGCTATCAGCAAGGCAACTGGCTACGAGCAAGGATTTGAGCCGTTAATAAAGAGTCGGGCTATTGATAAGGAGTCGGGCTATCAATCAAGAGAAGGACTGTTAACGAGGAGAATAGCCATGACCAAATACGTCAGGAGTCATTTCAACGAGGACGAGGGTATTAGACGCTTAAGTGATACGCCTGGGCTATGGTCCTTTGTCAATATTGAGGAACACCAAAATCTCGCGTATACATGGAAAAGGATATCTTTGCATAGAGGCGGCGAGGGTTACGGGTATCATCTTTACTCTTGAGTTGGATAGGGATATAGTGACGATTTAGACGGCGCCTTCGAGACCGACATTGTTTGTTTTCTATCCAATAGCACCAAAAGTTTCTTCTCACACCATCACTTGACAAATCCCAGTATATATGCCTGGTTTGGAACCGGTAGTCTGCGACTTTCGTGCAACCCGGTTCTACAAATTTGTCAAGGCGCCCTCAGATTCCAGATCTGCCGTTGCGCAGAGATGACTCTTCACCAGCCTTACAGCCAAGCTTGGGCTATACGTTCGAATGAATCCTGGGCTTCGAATCTACCACCGGCACTAGCATCCGTTTCAAGAGCGGGGCAATATCCAGAGCTTTCGAACTCAGCCTCGGTCCCGGAAGACTGGTCCCCTCAATGTGTCTCTGGATGTGTCTCTGGAACCTGCAGTCTTCCAATACGCTGGGTGCTGCATGCATGATAGAGTCATCTCCAGAAATTCGGTCATGTCGCATACGAGGCCAGCAGCAATCATGGCAATTGTCGACCCGAAAACGAGGCTAACGCATGCACACCATAACGTCAATTTGACCCTGGTTGCGGCCCAACGAGGCTGACAATCAGTACGCCCTGCGTCCTTCTATAACTCCAGGCGCGGCTAGCTCTGCCACGTCTAACACACGTCAAAATAGCTGGATTGATCGAGATTGGTCGTGACTATTTCACCACATAACAAGCGCATAATATGGCTGTTATCATGGAAGGTTTAGTAGACCACATCTGACACAGTCTGTCACTGGCATGGAAAGAGGGCAACCGATTCTTCGGGTGACCACCTTCCCTGTTATTCAAGATACTACGTGTCTCGAATGAAGCTCTCGGTTGTCTACCGACTTTGCTGGAGGCCGATCTCGCAATGCAGTACCACTATGGAGCCTCGAGTAATAGTCGGAAGGGGTAAAATCAGGCAACGGACCGAAGAATTAACGGACATCAGCGCACGAAGGGGTATTGTAGCCTGTGTAACGATATTGGCCCTCATATAAGGGTGTTTCATCGCGACACTCTAGATGCAAATGCGCTCCCTTTTACACAAATAAATTTGCGGCGCGCTCCTGAGGACCATCACACAATCATGCAAGTTACGAGCAGTACCATGCATGAGAATTCGAATCACAGTGCGCATCTGTTAGACAAAACTTGAAAGACGAGCGCTGCTGGCTTGCCTGATAACGACAGAGCGTGAGAAACCATTCACTATTGAAGCAAGATTATGTTAAAGATGTTCAGAGCGTATATGGCATCTGACAAAGCAGCCATTCCATGGAGCTTTCTGCTTTCTTTCGCAAAAAAATGGGATGGCGAGTTCTTCCTATTGCCACAAATGACCAATAATTTTCTAGTATCATGGCAGACACCGACTGCTGAATAAAGAAGTAGTTATATATCATATATGATAAACGAACTAAGTTCCTTCTCATAAGGTCACTCAACAAAACCCAGTGCATGTGCAGCACTTAGACACCGGCCCTCTTTGTCTCCCATCTAACTCAATTCTACAAAGCTTGTCAAGTCACAATTGGGAGTCTAGATATGCCGTCGTGAAAGGGACGAGGCATTACCCTCACTCTCTGACTGCAGGATGAGTTGCTCTCTGTCGAATAGCTCTTGGAACAGATCCGGTTTGTGTCGTATTTTCGCGGGTGCCTCGTCTCATTCTGCTCCACCATGCCATTACCAGTAGCTGCCAACCATTGCCGGACCTTCCTCTTGGAGGGAGACGAAGAAGATACAGAAATATCGTAATGAGTATCACGCCACCCGTGAAAGACCACATGGTTCGTGGAAAAGTAATGGAAGAAGTCGGGATTGCGAAAAATGAGCTGACAACAACGACCGGGCAGATGAACAGAACAATCATCTCGGTGAGTTTGTTGGTCTCAACCATCATCCGCACTTCGAGTGCACGTTCTAGCTTTTCGTATTCTTCCTGAATATTGAACAAACTCCCATGGAAACTTTTCAGGTCGTCGAATGCTCCATGGATCTGATGCAGTGTGCGCAGTGTGCGTGTTGGTGAAATACCCGGTGTTGAAAGGAGATCTGAGAAGTACCCAATATCGCCGTTATCGGATATGAAAGTCTCCCACGCCTTGATCGTTTCGCGAATAGTGCGTAATAGCTGTCGCAGTACCTGAAGCATACTCCGAGTCCAGGAAGAGGTTGTGGGAATGCTCTCATAGTCGAAAGGATTGCAGCCTTTGCTGGCGGTGGTTCGGCCGCACGCGAATCTAGCAGAAGCGGAGTCGATTACATGCACGACGCGCGCCCACTCCTTGGCCACTTGCGTGATTCTCTCAAGCAAGGTCACAAGTATGTATTGTCGAGGATTCCAGATTGGTTGGTTAGCGTCAATTTCACCCTTTGCGATCTGGTCTGTCTGGAACCCGTCTTCGGAGAACTCGTCATCGCCCATTTCCCTGTCATCATCATGGTCATTATCTTCGAAACAATAGACCGTATAACGTGTCTCGCTTGTCCCACACAACACGATCGAGATCTGAGCTTGGATGAGCTCCAGTGGTTCTTCATTGAATGTGGATGGCAACGCCTGCGACAAGAATGAAAGGTCAGTACGAGCCCGCTGCAATTTCTCAGTGTGCCTCTTAGAACGGTGTTTTTTCTTTCGTAAAACGAAATGGGGAAGATGGTACTGGATTTGGTATGCAGGGAATCCGCAGTCCTGCAATTCATTTGTTAGCCTTGGCACACACACAGAAATGGCGAAACAGCCGTACCGAGAGTTTGACCTTCAAGGCGGTTCTCAATGAGACATATCTCTCGAGAAACCCCCCCAAAGCTTCATGGAGATGTTGCGGTGCAGTCTCTGTCACAGCAAGGATGTCGTAACCATCTGGATTTGCGACGAACCTGTCTAAGTCAAATCAATTTCAATCTAGCGATGAACGCAATACTTACACCAGCCGTCTATCAGAGTCCGGAAGATCGGGATGCTTGTAGCGCTAGTTCCTGGGTCAGTTTGTCCACGATCATGTAGAAACGCTTTAAAGATTAAAAAACATACCTTCTTCCTTAGATTCTCAAATAGCAGTTCCGCTGTTAGTGGTGCAGGATAGCGCCGGGAGTCCGGGATATAGCGATTTGAAGTAGGACTATCGCCAGCGTTCAAGACCCTCTCAACTCTAGGGGGGACTACATTTTCTGATGCATGGTCTAGATACTCCACGTAAAGCGCACGAGACGTGTCTTGGTTCATGGGCGGTGCTTCCGGCTCTACCAGTACAGAATTCGCGTTGGAGGCAGCCATTAAAGCTGATACAGGAGCGTGGTAGTACGAGACATAGGTCCGATCGTCCATCCATGCGGAGCCCGGCTTGCCTTGTTCACGGATCTTGGAAATAACAGTATCTTGGCAGTACCGAATCACCGCCTCTAGATCGAAAGACGTTGTACCTCCTCCATAGGCTTCCAGGAATAATGAGATACCCTCACTGGTGGGAGAATAAAGCTTGAGCTCGTCCACATACGGCGTATCTCCCGGTATCCTGTCATTGGAGAACTTGTCATCCCACCGTTTCGCGAAAGAGAGCAGAAATTTCCAGGGGATCTCCGGCTTGTGATATGCCTCTGAAAACCTACAAATCGTCAGTAGGTGGTACTTTGAACATGCGCTCACCCTCACGTGGTTGCAGCCCTGTCGATAACAGGCAGCTTCTTAGACATTTCTGGGTGGGTTTCATTGTCTTGAAGCTCAATCTCCGAAGGCAGAGATTCCAAAGTATTGGGTGAAAGTCTGACTGGCATGGGAAAGTCCATCAGCATTTTGCGAATCCTTCCGAGATCAGTCGCAGTCTGGTGTGCTGCTAGGATGTGTGCTGTACCAGTTCTTTGGCATCCAGCAATAAGGTGTCCATAGGTCTCATGGGTTCTGGCGTCGAAGAACACTGCGCCGCAATCTCCGTTCGACAGCCCATCTTCGAGTCTGGCGACATAGATATCCCGAAAGGACTTCCCGTTCGGGAGGCGTGTAGAAGAGCAAGCGTCGGAAATGTAACCAAATAGTTTTTGTCCCGAAGCTGTGCAGGTATACACTCTAGCAGCATCGGGGGGTCGTACCGCAATTCTCTCGTAGGCTAAACTTGGGGCATCCTTGTTCAAACTCGAACGCAATCGATCCTCGACCTCTACGGTTGTGATTTCGATCAAAGCCCAGTCGTTCGCCTCCGATATTTCAATTACGCGACCAAGAGACTTCAACGATGCTTCTGATGGCTGGAGCGGCTGCCGCACCGCAAAGTTCCGAGGCGCAGGAACAAGAGATCCGGAAGGAGTGACTTCTTCTAGGGTCCGAGTGAGTACGCTCATGTTTAATTCACACTCTTGTGATGAGTTACCGGCTGAGGTACGTGGTGTGGAAAGGTTGGATACGGTAGAAGGGCTATGAGAGCATTCGCTCCCATCTGAATCTGCGAAGGAGAATGTCTCCAAGCTTTGGCTCGCGGCGCTGGTGATGCCAATGTGTATCTCATCGCTATAGTCGGTATCTGATTCAGAATCCGAGTCTAGGACTAGATCTTCTTCCGCGGTTGAGGCTGCCGTATCAGTTATGACCTCAGTGTCGTGGAAAGCGTGGCCGACGGTTTGTAAGTATAGGCGTGTACCTATACGGAGTAAATTTGCAGTCGCAGGGCGCAAGGATGATGGATGGCGAATATATATCGCCAAGCCAGTTTGTTTCATCGGCGTAGAAGCGTCATAGAGTACTTGGAGACTGCTCTGTGGTATCCTCAGACCGGGCTGACCAAGGGGCCCGAACGCAAGAGGTAACATTTTGTGTGTCCCTGGATCCTTATTCATACACTTTGTTTGAAACTGTGGATATTGCTGAAGGATTTTGCTTTCTTTGATAGCTTTTCGGGCGGCTTTCCGTATCTGAACGTCGCTTGATATGATCAACACAGTGGGTCTGGCTGATGCTTCGCGTCGCCCAATCATGTACAGAGATAGAGTGAGTTCCTCGCGTGCAGGAAAGGGCTCGAAGTGTATACCCAAAATTCTGCGGATGGGTTCTTTCAGATCTTTTTCATATACCTCTCTCGCCGCACCCTCCGCACTCCAACAGCTGTTCCATGGGTCTACTCTGGCCACGAAATTTTCCATCGAGGGACTCTTGATTACAGGTATTGCTGCCGTGATTGGAATGTTGTGCTTCGCAAACAGACATTCGGTGTTCTCTGACCTTGCCAAAGGACTTATCGATCGATTAGTGGACCTGAATTCAAGCAGAGGGATAAAAGTACTGACTGCAACGTGTTGAGGGTGTCAAGGAAGATGAGTGCTGTGTCACAAAGGCATGAAATGTTGGGTTCCTTGCGTGTCGTAGAGATCAGCGGTTTCATTGCCCTGGTTCTCTATGCAGGACGTTGGGCTGCAGTGGTGTCCAAGAGCGGTTGACCGGAAAAACGCCCCTACGGTACTAGGATTATGTACAGTTGCGATGGCTTTTGCTGATATTGGACCAATCGTGCCCATGAACTCTCATCTCTCCATTCTCTTCCTCACTTAAAACGCGGGCGGCAGGGTGCCGATCAAGGAACAGTGCACCTTCTGTCACTAGTACCTGTTCTCAGGATATCACAGCTCCATTATCTCCAACTCCCCCTTCGATAGACATGTCACCTCTATCGCCTCTGGACGGGGAACTTATGAAAGAGCACCCAAACGAACTTACGGCGGAAGCTATTCGAGAGAGCATGTGGCCGATATCAGTCATGGGCAGCAGCAAAAATCAGGATCTAGACTGGAAGCCTTACTTCAAGTACTACCAAGACCAGTGCCATTCAGCATTGCATGAACAGGGAATGCATATACTCGTCCGGACGCATCAGAACATCATCGATATCGCCAGGAAGTTGAAGGAAGGCCAAACTCGAGATACGATCAAAGACAGCCTTAGAGCCTTAGCGAGAGCAAGACAGCAGCGGCAAAATGAAGAAGAGACCCTCGAGAACGCCATTGATCTCGCGGCTAGACTGTGCTTCATGGTCAATATTGGTGAGAATCCATCGACGGTCACGCGGTGCGAGCAGCTCTTATGGACCAGTTCAAGCCTCAAGGACTGCTTGGAAGGCTATTTCAGTACACTTCAAGCGTCATGTGGTGACAGCTTTCGATTTGACAGGACCTTCATAGCGTTCAACATGGAGCGTGTCGCCGGAATAAGGATATGTTGGACGAACGACCTCGCCGATCATCTACGTGTGGTCACTGATGGAGTGAAAAGGGTTTCAATATTCCACCACGCCTCGTTCCTGGAGAGAGCAAAAGGGGATTCTCAATTCCCTGTGGGTCTCATTGACGAAACGCTTCGCACGCTCGCTCTCCTCTTCCCAAAGCAAGACGAGGGCACCAAGAAATGGCTGCGCGCAATCCGTTCCCCTCAAACGATCGATCGACATCTCATGGATTTCCAGAGGTTGCGCAGTGACCAACGACAAATCGAGAATTACACGTTCTGGCGAGAACGGCTCATCATTCTAAAAGAGGCCTTCGATGAATCTCGCCCTGCGAGGCTATCCCAATGGTGGTATGATAGGAGGGATGGACATGTCTGGTATACCTTCTGGGTCGCTGTATCTGTGCTCATCCTCACTGTCTTCTTTGGTTTCATTCAGAGCATTGAGGGAGCACTGCAAGTTTACAAGGCATATCATCCTTCCGCTCAGTGCGCAGGCAATACCGGTAGCGCGTACTTGTAAATCAGCCTCAGATATACTACATGGTTCATGACTCATGTATCCTAGGTTTTTGTAGATAGTGATAGGACAAACGCTATTGTTGCTTATCGGTAATCCATCGGGTCGACACAAGCCTGAAAGTCTGCGTTAAGAATGAGGCAAACCGAAGGCAGCGAAGCGGGCACCAATTGAACGTCATTAAAATCTCTGCTGTGGCTTATACCGGTGAGAACTAAGCCCCGCTCATCAGCCTACGTGCATCATGTGCTATGTCGTGAATCGTGGTTGTCTGGGACTGGACGGGCACTTCTGTGACCCCTCACTCGCTTGCTACCGTATACGAAGCATCTACGTGTGGCGAAAATCGATTGCATAAACACAGATTGTGAAGGGCGCAAGCAATGCTGCCCGAAAGGCATCCGTATTGCATGCGGTCCTAATCGCACTGCACTTTGCGCGGTTTGAAGTATTATCGTTTTCATAATGTGTGCACCCCCCCTCTAGTCTAGCCACATAGCGAGCAGAAATACCTCCGTACACCTCCGTATGCTCTTATTGGCGGGGATCTTCGTGAGGGTCTAGATAGCCGTTGACATATGTCACTTTTAGACTGAACTAGATTATTCTAACCTATAGAATTGCTGTCCGCAATATGATATCATCAAGTACATCACTACTCCCCCTGTTACATCATTATTTGTCATAGACTTTTGTTATTATAGAAGTTCTAGGGGGGTGCACATCTTTTGCAAAGCACCGATACCATAGGTATTTATGCCCCTACCTGCCGCCTGAAACATGAATCTGACAGGACATGCTGGGGAGGACAGTCGGTATGAGTTTTGATGATCAGTGTCCGCCTGATTGTACCTGACCGCTCTGCATCAAGTGTCAGTATTGCATCCAATTTCCGTTTTCCAACTAACCTCACTTTTGAAGGTCGTTTTTGTAGGCTGGGTGCTAAACTAACTTGCGTTGGCGAGTTGGGACCATGTCGTCATGTATGACATGTTCCCGGTGGTGGAGGAACTCTTCAATTCCATGTTGTGTTGGTCTAGCTTAGAGAAGACGGAGTGAGCCTGTGGATTCGTTGTCCGTTTCAGAATGCGCACAACCAGTGATGTGTAGGTACTATGAGGAAACCCCTAAAAGGATATGCTTTTTCACAGATCTCAGGTTTGGTGTAGAATGTGTTCGACTACCAGTTCGAGAGAAGACGTGATACATAGTAGCATGCTTTCACGTACATGGTTCACTCGACCAGGAAATGATTGAGAATGCATGGTCTGGTCTATTGATTATATGGACCCAATTCCACGCCTATAATGACACACCAAATTGATTTAGTATCGTGGACCAAGACACGCTCAGCTCAGTATTGAGGATCAGACAAGACTGATGTCGTGGACCGAAATAAAGTCAGTATCATAGACCGAGACAAGCTCAGTATCGTGGGCCTTCATACGCTTTCGCGGATCGTCGTCAGAGGGCCGAACGCCACCGACACCGGCAAAGCCATTTGGAAGCTGAGCGTTTGGACCAGTTTTGCGGTTTGTGCCAGGCATGAGGATTGAACTGACTATCTTGAGTTAGTCTCGTTGAAAGTGGCCTTAGTGACTAGTGTACAATGCATGCAATATGTAGTCAAAGTGCTCACGTAGTGCGAGACCATCACGCTGCACACCACCACATCGGTCGAATCGTTCCAACAATCCTCCCATCTTCCTGAACATGTGATCTGTATGAACTTTTTCGCTTCAGATTGTGTCTATCATTGTGGTTCAGGTCGCTGCGACGTGGCTTACGTTGACCCTTCCAGACCTGCCCAGCGACACGCGGACCAGCGAAGCCATGCGCACAGTAAGTCAGACCAACGCCACGCCCCTGAGTTCTTGTCGCTCCAAGGAAACGCTCTTTATACGTCTGAATGATATAGCAGACTCTCAGAGAGCTTCTGGATGCGAGGCTTGACTCTGTAGAAGTTGACCTGCGTTGCTTTCCTGCATACAAATCTTGGTGCATCGACAGCCACGCGTACGCCAACCGCCCAAGAACCACGCCACGTTCAGGTCGATACTAGAATCCCACATCGTACATTTCATGCGCGAATAATCAATTTTCCATAATTAACTAGGTGATGCATGCGCTGCTTTGGAGTGTAGAAGTTGACGTAAAATACATGTACCTAGGTATGCTCCGCCATGCCCTCAGCATAGAACGTAAAACCATAGGTACATATTCGCCAACTTGCAGCGAGCCGCGCCGCGCTCAAATTCTTACCAAACCCTTGCATAACTTAATTCGTATGCTAAAGATGAGTCTGCGATAGTTGCAAAGACAATGCATACGCGGCTTAGGAGTGCAGAAGTTGGCTTACAATGGGCTACGACTGTGGGACACCACGCCATTAGAACAACACATTACGGGACATAAGAAGTCGCGTAATCGATCCGCAGTACCTTGGTTTGGTGAGCTGCATTCAGAGCCAGTTATCTCTTCGTCTAGCTCCAAGACGCCAATGTACGCATTCGAAAGTGAGTGAAGAAATAGCACAGTACATACCTCAAGGGGTCAGAAGCAGAAGAGATAAGAAAGAGCGGTGAGTAGAGGAGCCACGTCGATGTTTTGTCGCTAACGGTTTCTGACATTCTACGCAATCGTTGATTATCAACCAAGCGGTTACAGGAGGAGCCCCAATAGGATTACACCGCCAGCCCCCAGTTACTGCAGTTCAACGAACGACTCTTGCATGACCCCAGACGGTTTGTGCGCACTGAGGAACTTACGCAGAACTGCTGCCGTGACCATTCACTCTCGTTACATAGCGCCGACTCTAGCTTCTAAGCACTGTCCCATGACTCGCGAAAGCCGGCCCGACCCACCTCCACCTACCCAATTGCCACACGTCAGCCGCATGCATCCTAAGTCGAGCATAACGGAGGCAGCTAGTTATCTCGGAAAATTAGCGCCAGTGTTATGAGAAAAGCTGCATCGAGCTGTTGCAAATGCAGAGTTGCATTGTTCGACAAGGTCTGAATCCAGTCGATGTTGCCCATGCGCCTGCATACGGACGCATTTGCAGGTAGTGCTCCGTTCGGCTACTTACGCGACAATGAATCGGAGCATCTACTCAGCTCGGCAGTGGCCATTACGGCGAGCGATCTTGACTTACCCGTTCTATGGCACTACCAAATAAGCGCGGCGGGAAGCTATATATGTACGCCACTTTCCTCACAAACAATGTCGGGCGTCTAATGAAAGTGTGTAACATTCCAAGCTACAAGAGTACCAATCATTTCGCAAACGATACACCTAGGCCCCAGCATGCGACCGCTCGAGTTAGTGAACCCAATCCTCATTTCGACGACTTGGGAAAGGCGCCTCGTCTAATATTAGATGGAATTTGTTATGTGATGCAAAGTTTAGTGTTGCACCCATAATCACATAAATGTAGAGGACCACTGCATAGAAGAACAACGATGACAAGACTATTTGCTATCTCAAAATGCTACGAAACTCGCAGGGACTTGCGCCAAACTTCCAAAACATCGGCCAACCAATCACAGGCCCCCTCCCTGGCGTCCAACCACCAGTCCAAGCATATGTAAGTATGACCCACACGTCGGCTGAGGAATGTTAAGCTGAAGAGCTTGTAGGCAAAGAAACGACACGTGTACGTTTGGCGTTGCGTAAGAACTCAACCTCAGGTCAAAAGAGACTTGTCTGATTCATTCAGTGTCGTTGCGGCCAGGGCAGCATTCCAATTACAAGCGGCGGTTGTACAAACTGCGGCTGTGGGCGCTGTGCATATTGCACTACAACAAAAGTGCAAGTACGCACAGCGGCTTCTAAAAAATTCCATCTGAAAAGGTCAAAACACGCACCTATCCCGAATCCTGGCCCTCGGATATCGCGAGCGCCGCCACATACAAGTCGAGCCGTCAACTCTAAGAGGTCATTTGTGGAGATTTCGACGATGAAAACTTACGAGAGGGAAAGAACGGCCCGCAGTGTTCGATAGTCAACCGCCTGTTTCCGCGTCGATGGTCGCGATAAAGACACAGCCTTCAAACATCCCCATGCACGACGAATTTTTACCTTGTCGCTCACTGATAATCAATCGCGTTCCAGACAAACATCGCTGCCATGCGGAGTCCTTCTAAACTTCATTATTGGGCGTCTGCGATTTCCTGCTGAGCATCCCATTGAATATACGAGCCAATAAGCCAGATAGCCCCGATTCAGGCAGCACATGGCTGAGGAACATGGCCACTGCATATCCCAACAACGTCAAACCAATATCTCGGAAATTGATTCCGACTAGAACCCAAGCTATCGGTGTCCTGATCTACTTGTCTGCCCGCAGACTGTACGATTTTGCACGGTACCCAGCGCGTTCCTCCGAAACGTGTACCATTTTGTTCATGCGAAAGGCTGAAGCCTTCGTGGAGCGGTATCGGAGCCTGATGAAGAGCCCTTGAAGCGATACGAAGCTTTTGCGAGCCGTTCATTGGACAGCCCGACTTCATGCATATCAGCCCGTCAATGACGCTACCTGCTGAATCTGCACGCGATGAGCCAACTTCGATGATTCGCACTTCGTAACTACCTGTCAACAAATAGCACGCCTTCAATCGATGCTTATATCGCTCCGACCAGGCAAACCATGGTATCTTGTGACCTACGGAATACCAACACTATGTTTACAGGGCAAAAACCAGGATCGGTGCCCTTTTGCCTCGGAATGCAACTTATAAGAAGGCAACCAAAGCCTTACAGACAGCCCTGTGACCACACAGCCAGAATGCACGCCTACGTGTTTCGAATCGCACGTTGCACTTGGAAGTACGGCATGAAGAAACGACGGCTTTCTCCAATTGCTGCTTTGTTCTGACCAACGATATTTGATTAACTGATAAATGGCGCGGTGCGAGCACACACCAGCTACAACGAATCCGAAGGACCTTTGGACAACATGGAGAGCTGATAAAGACTTCATCAGGAATCCGATCGTAGCTGCCAGCACTTTGTGAACCGCGCAACTCCTCGGGATTCCTTTGCACCATGTTCGGAATTTTCACGAAGGTCATCGATCTAGTTAGACGTACTATTTCCGCGTATGAAGCACAAGGTGAGTGAAGCTCCCCTCTTCCCAGCGACTGCATCTCACGAACAGCCCGCAGAGAACCCCGCAATTCTTTCTGCATTTGCTCACCATTGTTAGCAGGCGTCTGATGGCTCATGACAACAAAACCCAGTCTCATTTTTCTGATCTTTTTAAAAAACAGTGGCCGAGTGAGTTTCATCTGTCTCGTAAGCCGGTTGATGATCGGCCATGTCTTCATGGGCTCCTCGAGACGTTGAGGGGAATGGGTGAAGAGTTTTACGCCGATGACTGCCAATTGTTCATGGAGTCATATGATGATGACTTGACGTCTTTCGATGTCGAGAATGCTATTCGATTCATCCAGGCAGTCAAAAGTCGCAGTCTTCAAGACCAGAGTCGGACCGGGAAGAAAGGTACCGCGTGGCTAGATGACCGTACGTGCAACCGCTCCGAAGCCCAACAAGGGCTACCTATAGCGTCAATCCCTACTATCGGCCACTTCAAAGCATGCAATACACACGCACCCGTTCCATCAACGACCAGTATGATGCCTTCTCAATTACAAGGCCTTGATAGCATCGGCCAGCGCGAGCGCGACATCACAGATGCTGGCGTGTTGGACTCACCATCGGACCAGCAGGCTGCCAGAAGCTATCCAGCACCACTTACTGCCCATCAGCTCCATGATTATTTGAGGGAGAAACAATTCGATCATGAGACACTCATGGATGCAGATAGGCGCCTCATACACGTCGCAGATCCTGACGCCTACGACTTTTTAGCACTGATAAAGACCGCTAGACAACATCAACACCACTCGCTTCGAGAGGCTATATGCAAGTATCTTTCGCTGGAAACATCAATAAAAGCTAGCATAAACGAAGGCTACTCAGAGTATCATATGGAATTCCACATCCCATACTTTGCGATGCGTCGTTCTCGACCAGAACACGACTTTGACGGAAGGAGGAAGAGAGGCCACAGAGGCTGGATGAACATTGCCTTCTTGGACGCCAGAGAAACCGCGTCGTCATCAGAAGAAGTTTGCGGCGTTCACCAAGCCCAGATCTCGGTTACCATTTGCGGAACGGACAATTTGCGCTGGACAGCTTTCTGTTTTGAAGACCGATCATTTGACGAGGATAGTGAGATGGGCAACGATGAACAAACAGACTTCCATCAGTCTGACCAACTCGCCAAGGGGAGCTTTGGAGGGGAGGATACGATATGGGACGCCCGTGAATATTTCCTCCGCGTACTCCTTATCAGAATGCGTCACGTGCTCAAAGAGTGGGTTGAATTGGTCCGGCTCATCGATTCGGGCATCAAGCAACATTCTTGGGGACGCCTTTTCTTCTCCCCGAAACGAGATGGAACACCTACGCCGACCAATGATAGAAACGCGTCAACTTGGATTGACCCAACCATGCAATTGCTGGGAAGGATAATTGAAGAGCTTGCAAAGACCAACGAGTCCTGGATGCTCTTCACGTCAGAAACGGGCGATTTTGCCTTTTTCTCTGACGAGCAAGGCAGTGCGCGCATAACTCGGACATTCAATCACCTTACTGACGTGTTTCGCGAATTGTCAAAGATAGAAAAGAGGCTACAGCGCATGGCGGAAGACTGTGAGAGAAGAGCGCAGACTATCAACCTCCGCCTAACGTCTGATAGTAAGAAGAGTGCGGAGCTCACAGTCTACTTCATATCTCCTTTCGCTATCGTCAGCACTTTTTTTGCCATTCCAACGTCTATTATGGGATTTGATCGGAACATAGTGTCATTCCTTGTTGCTTTGTCGTTGTGCGTTATCGTTCTGCAAGCGATGTGGCATTTCTTGGACGGCACATTGACGCGAAAGACCTGGTGGCTCAACCTGGTAAAGAGAGGAAGCCCTGCCTCGACCAAGACAAACGAAAGTGGCGCGTTGCAAAGGAGGAATACACAATCCGGTGCCGTTTGAAGCGATTACCGCCATCCACGTCTTGCGGCACGTTCCAATCTGCGGGGTTCGGAAGGGGCGTACAGGACTTGGAAACGAGTCAGGTATCAATGAAACCTGTCATCTTAGACAATTGCAGAATGAGATCAGGCTGAAGCGTACATAGATGGTGTCGTAAGCAGCGACTGCCCATCGATCGTTGTTGCCGTAGCTGCATGGAGCGATATCCAATGGCAGACTGACACACTATCGCGGCAAGATCGCAGCCCAACTGCCTTGCCTACGTGGCAGAACAGTGAATGAGGCTGAGTTTGCCTGTCCGCACATAATTCAGATTTGCGCGAGGAGATGTGCGCAATGTTTGCCCTTGCGTACTACTTTGTCAAATCACTCGATTGCTCCAGCGATAAGTTATCTCACCCGATTTGCACACTACCGATATTCGCCAAGTGAAGACAGAGGTAATCATTTGCCAAGAAGTAGCAGTATGGGCAACCTTGAGCAATGTATGGCAAGGCTTAATTTGAGTCCACTTGTACCTCCGCAATTTTCGTCGCAGATTCTCACGGACCCACTGGACATATGTCGTGCCCACTTAACGAAAGTTCTCGTGGACATCGCAGGATGCAGCGTGGACGATGCTCAGAAGTCAATCCAATGGCCTAACAACATCTTCAGCGGAGATCTCACTGTAATCCTACCAAAATTGCGACCAGGTGTCAAGGCTGATCAGCTAGCCGTGGAGATCATGGAAAAGGTGTGCAGAAAATGGGATGAGGCTCATCATGAGTACGACTAATGCGATTCAGTTCCCAAAAGATCATCCTCTCTTCCCCTTGCCCTTTTCAGACGGGGTGCATCTGCGCATACTGGTCAAAATTGCAGCCATGGCTCCTCTTCTGTTGCACTGCGTTTTTGATGGAGACCACATCTACGGTGCCGATTCGCAGCGTCTGGTAGAGACAGAGAACGAAAGAAAACTTGTTGTCGAGTTTTCTTCACCCAATATTACCAGCGAATTTCAAGGCAAGCACCTGCGTAGTACCATCATTGGAGCCTTTATAAGCAGGTTGTATGAACTCAATGCCTGGAATGTCATACGGATCAACTACCTCGGTGATTGGGGAAAGCCAATCGCTCTCTTGTACGTGGGCTGGAAGAAGTTTGGCTCACAAGGGGCATACGATGTTGATCCTGTCGGGCACCTCCTGGAAATCTATCACCAGATCGAAGCCGAATTTCAGCCCGAACAAGCAGCAAGCAGAAAGGCACGTGACGAAGTGGCCAAGGAAGGCAAAGATGAGGGCGAGGCACAAGCGGAGATTGAGAGCAAAGGTATCTTTGCTGAGCGCAACGAAGCCTTCAAGAAGTTGGAAGCAGGAGATGAGGAACTGAAGGCCTTCTGGGAGCGGGTCCGAGATGTCATGGTAGCAGACTACACCGGCTTCTACGGAAGGCTAGGCGTCCGATTTGACGAGTATTCTGGCGAGTCTCAAGTCAACGCCGAGACCATGGGCCGAGGTGGAGCAAATGCTCAAAGACAAGAACATATCTGAAGAGAGCTCCGGCGCTTGGATGATAGACATGACGAAGCTTGGAGCTAAGGCCGGTCATGCTATTGTGCGCGACCGGAGTGGCAGCAGCACATATCTTTTGCGAGATCTAGCAGCAGTGTTCGAGCGGTCGAGAAAGTACGGGTTCGACAAGATGATCTACGTGGTAGCAAGCGACAACAGCGTCCACTTTACCCAGGTGTTCAAGATCTTGGAGGCTCTGGACAAAGACATTGCAGCAAAGCTGAAACATTTCAAGTTCAGTGAAGTGTCGAAGATGGCCAGCACTCTCGGAAAGGGTTACAAACCGGAGAACATTCTTGACAAATGCGAAGAGGCAATCGCAACACCCCCAGAGGCGGATTCAGAGAAGGCGGCCTTGCTGGGTACCTCTAAACAAACCCAGAAGGGTCTTGCGGTCTCAGCTTCACTTGTACAGGAGCTGTCTTCCCGTACATCAACCGTCCATGCCTTCGATACTGGGTCGATGGCGGCATTCAAGCTTGGCTCTGGTCCGGATCTACAATACTGGTACGCGAAAATATCGACCATGCTATCTGGCCAGACCGTATCAGCAGCCTTATCTAACGAGGATATTGAAGGACTGGCGGATGAAGATCAAGCCAATCTCCTGAGAGTCTTGGCACAATATCCGGAGGTCGTGAAAGCGACTTTCACTTCACTCGAAGCCTCTGGCATCGTAACATACCTCGCCAGTATCACGGAGCAGCTGTCCGATTGTCTCGATGAAGAAGACGGCGAGATCGAAACAACGCCGGGACTCGCAGCTTTGCTGGAAGCTACCAGGATCGTGCTCGGCAATGGTATGAAGTTGTTGGGCCTCAACCTACTGTTTGATTCGCCGCAGGAGCGTGCTGATACGCCTGTTGCTGAATAACGGTGTGGGTCCGTGGTTTCTGTCGTCTAGCTCTTCGTCTTTGCTATGAGAACGGCTTTCTTGACGATTAATTGGAACATATTGGTGTCGTGAATAATGATATATTCCTCGGGCAGTTTGGCGTTATAGTTGTGGTCAGAGTAAAGAGCCAGGACTCTGTAGGCTCGCAGTGAGTCCACAAGACGATAGTCAAATGGATGACAATTTAGCTTGATGTGTAAAAGTGAAACAGCCTTGCCGTGTGTAGCGACTGCTTTTTCAGGAAGCCAGGCGTTGAACGTTGATCATCTACGACTTGGCATTTTCTATGCTCGTGCAGAACGCCGACGAGACTGTCACTGAAAGGCCATGGGCGTATCAACAGGAACGAACCACATTCAGGAATGGGGTCAAATTAGTGCAACATGGGATTCAGGAGTATCGCAAACGAATTATGGATTAAAACTACAGAAGGTGGGACTAGCAATGCCCGTATCAAAGACCGAGCAGTGTCGGTATCAATAACTGGCAATGCCCGTATCGGTAATTGAGAACATCAATATCGGTCACTGGCAATGTCAATATTAGTAACTGAGTATTTCAGTATCAAAGACCGAGACAAACTCAGTATCGCAGACCAGCATAAAGCTGGTATCAATCGCCGACATATAGTCAACATCGTAGACCAGCAAGCTGGTATCAAGTGCAGTCACGCTGGTAGGCCTCACTGGCATAAAGCCGTGATCAATGACTGAGGTTCTCAGTATCTACCGACCCTTCTCAGGGTCACTGGATGGGTTGATGTTCATACCCACCATCATGCCCGGCATCCCATCCACTGGAGCAGCAGCAGTTTGTGCGCGGAGTCTGTACTTAGCCTCAACACTCAATCCTGCGGGCACTAGACGGATGTCGATTACAGGTATGCCATTTGTGCTCTCAGAGGGTATGGAACATGTCACGTTGCTGGACATCATTCTTCTCCTTCTTGAAGCTGATTGATTGGGCTCGGTGAAGGAGCTGATTCGGGTTGAGGCTCAGATACAGTGTCACAAGTGCATGTGCTGCAATGTGCACCATTGTGAGAGAGAGATACCTGAACGCTGTTTACACGCCTTGTAATGGGTTGAGCGTGTTCCGCTTCGAGTTGGTCGTATCGTTCCTCAATTGCACGGTATTCTTCGTGCGTGTCCTCGAACATGCTCATGATGCGGTGTTGAGCGTTGTTGATAGACGGTCGTGTATATCCAAGTCGTATTGACCGTGAGAGTGCGAGTGCGTAGTCATCGACATTGGCTCTGGCTAAGTCATAGCTGTCCAGTTCGAGTTGCTCTTCTTCAAGTTGGTCGTATTGTTCCTGGAGTTTGCAGAACTCTTCGTATGTGTCCTCGAACAAACGAACGAGGCGGTGTTGAGCGGCGTTGAAAGGCGGTCGCACGGATCCGGCTTGTATTGACCGTTGGAGTGCGATTGCATACTCATCAACGATATGCCAAGCCATGTCATATTTCTGCTGTCGAATTTGTTGAATCTGTTGAATTTGTTCGTCGGTTGGTAGCGCTACGCATGTTAGCTTGGCTCATGGTCAACGAGCTAGAGACATACTCGGGGTAGGACGCGTCAATTGTGAATCGCTCAATGGTTGCGGTGTTGAGCGCACTGGTGCATTCGGGTTTGAAATTTGTTGGTACGAGTTTGGTTGGGGCGCGTTTTGGTACGAGTTGGTGGGGGTGTTGGTTGAATGGATATAACTCCATCCTGAGAGGTTGTTCCCGCGGTTATTGTAGTTTCCACGGTGCGCCATTCCTAGTGATAAGTCAGTGTCTGCGCGCTGAAGGGACAAACATAGGGGGTACGTACGTTTTTGAGCGAAAGGGGAGGAGCAAAAGTGGAGGGGCACGCGCGACGATATGGGCGCGGGGTGGACGCTAGCGTAAGCGAGACACGCTAGCACGTGACATATCTCTTAGCAGGGCATGATGGTCGTTATTCATGTCATCGTCTGCTCCACCAATCAATTCATTGATCAAGCCACCGCTGTCGTGGATTACGGCACAGTTTGTACTGAATGGAAACTAATCTCGATCTCCATACAGTCCGAGGTCTATTATACCTTCCCGTTCTTGAGAGAAAGTACACACAATCGACCAAAGGTCGTCCATGTGTTGAACATGATTGGAATCCCTCAACGCAGCGGGTGGTTGTTTCTGGCCTTTAACGAACGCTAAGCCTGGTTCATGATTGTACATCTTTGGTTCGGTTTGCTCATGCCTCCCAGAAAAGTGCAATGGTCGGACAGAATAGAACAGGTAGATGCCAACCTTACCGTTTATACCCAAGCAGTCGATGGCAGTATGCGTTAATTTCAGTCAGAGAACATCCTCAGAGCAAAAGAGACGTGGGCGTGAGTGTTCGGTCCATTGAAAGCCACAACAACAGCACATTGTAACCGTCAACACCAGCAGCTTCTACGGAGATTATCTCACGTCACTCATAGCGGCTGTCATGATAGCGATCAAAGATGATTCCATGAGAAGGGGATTTTCGTGTCAAGAATTCCACACATGATGCCCAGTCGGTCTTTCAGATCCAAAAGACGACGCTTCACTACCCAAAACAAGCATCAACTAAGGCACACAGAGTTCTGATGACGGGTTTTCAGATTCATGTCTATTCGACATCGAGTCTCTCAACCAGAGGTAGTTACAACAGCAGCGACGTTCCTTCCAACAACAGCTCTACCCAAGAAGCACATCCATCAAACCCCTACATACAAGCCTTCCCCCCACACGAACTCAACGTATGCACAAACCTCAACTTCCCCCCCTCCACCCTAAAATCATGACTATCGGGCAACCCACTCTTCCCCACCTGTCCCTTTGTCCCCGCAAAATCCATGATGATATCCACCGTCCCATACTCCTCATCAATCACATACTGCCTGTTGACTAAACTCACCCCACTCGGCACACCGACATTGCAACTATCCGTCGCCGCGCCCTTGCCCGTGTACGACCCGCCTTCAAGACGCGCGCACGGCGTACCCCATGGCACCTTGACGCTTTTGTTGGAGAAGAGGTCGCAGTAAGCGTCGCCGGCGGCTTGGATGGTGGCGCGGGAGTCACGCTTTGCGGCGGGGATGGCGTCCCAGATCTCGCGCGAGGCCCAGTAGTAGGTGCCTGTGACGTTGAAGAGCCAGTCGCCTTTGGTTGTGATGATGCTGTCGATTTGCGAGACGTGGTTGGTCGTGTTGTCGAGGCGGATCTGTGTGGCGATCACGTAGGGAGCGGCCGAGTTGGTGACGATGAGTTCGCTGAAGGCGGCGCATTGGGGGACATCGTGCTGGGCTCGGGCGTGGTCGACTTTGAGGGCTTTGGAGAGGACGCTGGATTTGAGGTCGACTTTCTTGCGGTTTTCAGTGTAAGTGGCATTCGCGGCGAAGGAGGTTTGGCCAGCTGTTTGGGCGGCAAGGTGGGCGTCAGTGATGGCTTTGAGGGTCTCACGGGTACATGCTGATGATGCTTGGGTTGTGAGGACGCTCAAGATGGCAATAATGAGGCTACGCATGGTTATTTGATTGGAATTCTTCATTCTCTCTACCTATCGAGCGGGTGAAAATGATCTCTATATGTATTTTCGAGAGAAAGTGGCAAACTGGTTATGGAAAGGAACATGCCACATCAATTCGACCAGACTGTACCATGCGTCGATGGAAGACTGATTTCTTCGCGTACGTAGGTCGGCAATATATCATTGGCGAATCAGACCGCCTGACGGTTATTCTCCGAATGAATTGAAAATGTGGGACTACGGTTAATCAAAGTTAGACGAGCATAAAAGAAGGAGTGTGGGGTAAGGTCTTACATGAGACGTCGATTCGCCGTAGAGCGGCAGATGCGTTGTTGAACAATCAATGAAGAGGACGAAGCCGTGTCGGTAGGTCAACCCGCACCGATACCAACTCTGCAGGGTGACAGATCCCTTCAACAGATTGCCTTCGACCAAACAGACCTTCTCAACACCGCTCAAGCGTGAAACGAATCTCCCGGGGCCTGTCTTCCGTACCCATCTCTTCTGTCCCAACCCGCTCTTCTGTCGTAAACCGCGTCGGACCGACCATGAAAGCTTCTCCCAGTTTCGCAAACTTGGCCTCGCATGAACTCTTCTGTGCTGGTTCCATGGGACCAGCACAGCATTCGGTGATGATAACAGTGAATTTATTCAGCTTGCCGCCAGACAACACGTCAAGCGCCAAATCTGAGATGTCTACGTCTGGAGTATCAGATTCCGAGTAGGAGGCCAAGTACATCCTGAAGGTGAGCTCTCTGATGGCTTGACGAGCTGCGAGCTGAGTGACGAGAGCGTAGAGGGTTTTGCAAGCACCACCTGGGAAGAGAATCCCACTCGCGGGTGGCAGTCCATCTCCTGCAAACATGACAGCATGTGGAAAGAATATAACCCTCAAGTATCGAGCTTCAAGCAGCGAAAGAATGTGAGGCTCATATGTGAAAGTGTCCTCCTCATCGAGCGCAATGTTCCAGCGGGCGTTCAACTGAAACTCGTCCACGGCTTCTTTCAACATTTGCTTGCTGGTCAAGAGCCACAACGGCATGCGGCTCAGCTTTCCCATGTCGCAGCATGCACTCGTGTGGTGTGCATACAGAGTATTGTTGAGCCCCTCATTCTGAATCGCGATACGCGGTGTACACTCCCAAAGCTCATGGTAAACCATATTACGGAGCTCGAGAGGCAGGTCGAAGAACGTCGTCACCATTGTGGATGTATTGTGGCGTACCTTGGGTTGTTGAGTCGGAGATCGAGGTTGATGCCGCGGAGACTGGACAGTATGGAGAAGGACCTGCACGGGAAGAGGCTGAGAAGCAAGTATTCTAGCAACGTGCAGAACGTGGAGTTTAGTGCTGAACGTGAAATGTGAGGAGAGAAAGAGCAAGTCTAGTTGCTCTTAGCGCCCATTGTAGTAGGGATAGCGCGCTCTTGTCTGGCTTCAGCGTTTGTGAGGTGAGAGAGCGATGTGTGGTTGCTCTTTCCTTGTCGGCTGTCCAAGTCCACCAGCTTTTCCTCGGCAACAGCGCTGACAGCGCGTCGTGAGATCCAGCTCTTACACTCACCTTGAATTGCCTTCTCTCCAGAACTACACAATATGCGTATGCCTATGAAGAAACTTCTAGATCTAGCCACTGCCTCTCGCTTCTCTGAGCCCACCTTCACCTGCAGGCACACCCCATGCATAGCATCGTATTGCGGTGCAAAAATTAACAGTTAAAAGATCTCCTAGGCTCATCGACGTAGTCCGCGTACATATCGCGCACCAGATAACGTCGCAGATATCCATCTCGTCGAACAATACGGCACAGCGCTCCAGAGATATATAAGCCGTGTTATGAGGATAGCGCGGATCGAGACGAACCCGAATAACTTCAGACGCCGAGCATTCTCTTCTACGCGTGAAGCGCTTGAAGCACGCTGCATCGTGCCTTGCCAATGCGAGACATGCCAGTGCCGCTCACAGTGTGGGGTCTTCGCAGATACAGGCTCGGAAGCCAGCCGAAAACCTGATTACCATATTAACCAAGGAAATGGGACGCTGTACTATACCTCCGATCTGTTATACAGACGAGCAGGGATTAGGGACGGGTTATTCGATCCTTCAACGGTCGATTGCAGCGTAGGATCCCACCTCGCCCACTCAGAGATCTCCAGAGCGTACATCGCCGCACTGTAGCGTAGACGCGGTACGGGACGACATTCGGTCAATTCTTTGATTTTCCATCCTATTGGCAGACCGCTGGAAATGCCGAATATATGCTGTAGCACCGGGCGAGGTGGGAACGTGCATCACATGGATGAGTTGCTGTGTTGAGGCCCCGCTTTGTGCTGAGACCTCGAGCAAGTCGTGCTTCACCGGAGCAAGTGGTGGAGATGCTCGCAATGGCGTTGTTGCAAGATGCTGCTGTTCAGACTCAGCTGGCAACGACACGGGACCCATACCAAGACGAGCCTAGAACGATCGCAGGCGATGCTTGTTGAGATGCACTTGGAGCTTCACAGCCTGATCGTTCTCACCCGGGTCGCACACGATTACGCGTTCGGCGGGTGATGAGGGAACACTGGAAAGTGATTGGAGCGCGACATGTAAGTGAGGGGCAGGAAAGCTAATACTGGCGGCGTCGTATGTTCTGCATCCCGCTTGGGAGCGTTCAAGTCATGGATGGCTGGAGATCTGACACGGAAGAGCACAGCAATCATCATCGATCCGCTGCGGCATGCGCGAGGACGATTCGCATACGGCTATTCCATCTCATTGACAGAGATCCCTGCGATATCAGGGCGAATAGAATGCGCCGTTGCCAAACTTCAGAAAACGGGCTGGCGAACTGTTCTCTGCAAGTTCATGAGGCTGGCGCCGTACCGAGATAGCCTCGAGAGGCCCTGCCCCTGTGCCGCTTGTGCGCCCGAAAGACGGGACCGACAAAGCCACCGGCCTCGTCGACGCTACTAGCAGAGGCTTTGCTAGAGATTAAAATCCGTGATTCATGTGCGTTTTGGGCAAGACGACATGCACGTAGCCCACTGCGCTGGTAAATCTGCCTGGATGGCTGTTTTGCATAACGAGTGGAGATTGAGAGCAGGTTGGGCAATGACGCCGATGCCGAAGCGCAGATGCAAGGTGCAGACAGCACGAGCAGGCAATGTTCCCTGACAATGATACGATGATTTAAGAGACTTCGGAGTCTGCAGGCTGAATGCAGACGGCGCTGCGTGGGCGGATTTATCCAGCAGTGGAGAGGGCAAAAACAAGCCCTGCGCCGAGTGGTTGCTGTATGCCCAAGGCCTCGAGTTTGTACCTTGAATTTCTAGCCACTCAAACCATCACGAAGCCCCTTAAGCACAAGGCACTAGCTGCGGACAAACAAGGAGCCGTGGTCGACGAGCTGAGCATCTGCGCGCCGCGGCCACCATCGGAAGAATGGCGGTCAGGGGACAGTTCTGGTAGACGTGACAAGTGACGGACCGATGTCACGGACGCGTTCAGTCAACGCTCATGACGACGAGCATAAAGGAGCGATCCGAGAGGAGGGTCTCAACGTGCGCGATGATGTGTGTTTGCGTGTCCCCAGGACGATCACAAGCGAAAAGCGTGGGAGGAGCCCAGCCTGCTATGTTTAGAGGCTGGAGCATGGATCCGCACCGAGAAAGCAGCAGTTTGAAAGTACGGGCTGGGACCCGGGGCTGGGAACCTTGTGCCGCCATGAGACATATGTGCATCTCAGGTGGTGCAAGAGGGCAGCGACGGCATCACCCTGCCGCGGCCGCTGCACACGACGACAACTCTGCAGTTTGCGCGGTTTGGAGGCCTCGCTGTTGGAGACAGTTTGTTGTTGACTTGTTGTAGGGAAGGCTAAAAACAGACGAAGCACACCCAAGACGGCGAATCCTAGTCGCTTCGGACGACGCTAGGCTGCATATTGCATCGGGAGATCATTGCGCCTGCCACGCCCGCATTGGCGAGAGGCAAAGGCACATCATCGACGGCGAACTCCCCTGGCCTCTTTGCGCGGCATCAATTCGGGCACGGGCGCTCGCAGACAGACCACCATCTGCCTCAGTCCTCCTCCCCGCCGTCTGCAAGTCCTCTTGGGTCCTCGACAACACCGCCAACCTCAACGTCTCAGCAAGAGACCGCCGCTCGTTACCGTTGTCGCTACAGTTGCTACCCGCGTCCTGTGTCTGGTAAGTCGCTCCACCCCTCCACCCTGTCTCCCGAGGCACTGGCAAAACTTTGGCTGCGCGTCGCACGTGGATGGGCCTGCGAGGAGCAAGTGGCAGAATTGCGTCGTGTCCGAGAAGAAGACGCTGCCACTCCGGATCGTTCCTTCTGCTTTTCTGTCAAGTGTCGAGTGTCGAGTTCGCTGGCCAACCACGGCGTTATTTGCAAACACGATCGACAGTCGTGACGCTGGAACCACGCAGCGGCAGCACCATCGGCCATCTGGCAGCTTTCACTCGGCGCGCTCACCCGTGGACCTCTACTGCGCTGCTCACGACTATGCGACTGTGCCAATTGCGCTCTAGCTAACATCCGCTCTCAGATCGAAACACGTTCGCTCTTTCTCTTTCCCGTTCCCGTTCCGCCATTAATACACGCGCGCTCTTTCTCTCGCTCGCTTTACGCCGCACGCCCGCCTCTGTGCATGAACTGATCCCGCACGCTGGAATTCGCCATCCGGGCACTTCACACACACCCCCTACCCACAACACACATAGGCACAACATGGTCAAGCCAGGGCTAGGCCTCTTCACCGGCCGTCGGAAGTCGTCGAGCAACGTGCTCGAGGAAATGGCACATGTGGAAACAGTGCCGAGCCCAGACGCTGCACACGCAGATTCTGGCGGCTTCCGGCTCATGAGCCGCACCGAAGTTGAAAAGGCCAACGAGCGACGCAAGACCCTCGAGCGAGAAAAGTCGTCCTCAAAGTTCCGCTTCAGCACTTTCGGCGCAAATGGCAAGGGTCGAGTGCAGTCATTTGAAGAAGAATCTCCAGGGTCCTCAAAGCGGTAAGCAGTATGGTCCAAGCGGTCAGCTCCGCCCAAACTAACCCTTTAATTAGTGACAGCAAGTCTAGCAACGGGACCCAGTTCTCTGCGTCGCGCCCGTATAATAATGGCCAGCATGGCTCCACCTCCACTCTTCCCTCCTCGACCGATGCTAGCTCAGACGACAACCTTTTCTCCAGTGCCCCTCGTCCTCCCATCCCACAACACAACAGCTCCCCGAGCTCATCATTGAGCATGAACGGCTTCCGCAAGCAGTTGCCGTCGTTGCCCAAGTCGAGTCACGGTCTGTCGAGCAAAAAGGATGATAAACAATCCAGGGAGCGGTCAATGACCGCGTCGAGTTATGCAAGCACCGCAATACCGCCGAAATTAGAAGCAGGACTCGACTTTGGCAACTCATCGTTCGATGACATGTTCAGCGATATGAACCGGAAGGAATCTCCTCCCGAGATGTCAAGAGAAGCTCCGGGACGTTCGCTTCTTTCGGAAAAGCGTACATTCCAGCCCGAGCCCATCAAGACGTACCCCAAGCTCGACGTCGAGGCTCCCTTGAAGAGCTGGGAGAGCCGCGGATCCACCGAGAACCTCATGTCCTCTTCCCACTCGGACGACGAGTCACCGCCGCCGCCCCCTCCTCCGCACAAATACTCATCATACGCACCGGTAGCTTCTGAAAGCCCCACCTTGCCGACGCATAACTTTGGAGACCGAGATGCTCCAACAGCACGTCGATCCCTACATGGAGAAGACGTCCTACCGTGATAGCTCTCCTGAGCAGCATCCGACACAGCCGACCTCCCTCGCCTCCTCTTCCGCCAACTCGCTTCAGACGCCTGCTTCTTCCCGATCGTCCAACTACACCAACAACACGACACCCAAGGCGTCCCTGGCCTCGAACATCTCCACCTACACGGATCACGATGACGATCAAGACCTGTTCGCACCAGTCAAAGCAGCGCCGAAATCCGAGTCCAGAGCTGCGCAAAAGGCACCTGCTCACTCCATCCCTGAAGACCAGACTCCTACAGTACCAGCTAACGCGCCCAGACCGGGCGCAGGGCGCGTGTTGACACAAACGGAGTACCTGGCGATGCAGAGGCGAGCAAATTCGCAACCTCCGCCTGACGACGATTCAGATGAGGACTACGAGGACGAGGAGGAGGCTATCAAGAAGCGCGAGGAAGAGGAAATCTCGAGACGCAAGCAGCAGCAGATGCAGTTCGCACGTGAGGCTATGCGCCGCACTACGACCACGTCTGCAAACCCTTCCCGACCCGACGGTGGCCCGGAAGACATGATGGGATTCCCGTCGGAGACCTCGATGAAGGCCGATGAATGGGAAGACGAAGATGTGCCTCTGGGTATACTCGCACAGCACGGCTTCCCAAGTCAAGTACGCGGCCGAATGCCAAATCAGCCAGCTAACGCCATGCCCTCGTATATACCAGACCGGCCGGCGTCTGCGGGCGCAACGCCCAGTCGCGCTCCAGGCCACCTACCCGCTTTTGCCAGGGGCCTACCTGCGGACCCTCATAGCTCCTTCATTGGTGGAGGCTTGGTACAGCCCATGAACCGAGAGTCCATGGGCTTCAACGGCTTTGGTCGCGGACCAATGTCAGTTGCCGGAGACTCGATGGCTGGAGGTATGGGTATGCACTCGCCGATGATGTACCAAGAAGCTGGTATGTCCCAGCCTTCTCTTGTGGATCAGATCCAGATGAGGGATATGACGAAGCAGAAATACATGGGAGGGGCATCTCAAAAGAAACCTGAAGGCGGACCTTTCACTGGTATGCTTGGTCAGCAAATGAACACCAACGGGCAACCACAGCACCCCACACGAATGTCGCAAATGCCGATGAACGGTATGATGAACCCGATGATGGGTGGGCAAATGGGCGGACAAATGCCTATGATGGGCATGGGCATGAACCAGATGGGCTACTCGATGCCTCAAGGAAACGACATGATGGCGATGCAGCAAATGCAGCAGATGCAACAAATGATTGCTATGCAGCAAATGCAGCTCCAGCAGATGCAAGCCATGCAAAGGCCGCAGACCCAGGATCCTCGCATGTCGATGGCCATGCCAAATGGCTTCGGAGGGAATATGATGGGCAATGGCAGCTTCCTTAGCGTGCCAGGCGCTATGCCCAACGGCATGCAGAACCGCCCGATGTCGTTCATGTCTGGAGCCCAGGGGCAACAACAGCCAATGTCAAACTTTATGGGCCCTGGGCCAGGCTACACACCCTCCATCGCCCCATCTGAGCGGTCCAACGTTGGTCTCTCCGCCCGCTACAGGCCAGTAGTCAACAACTCGGACGCACACTCGACCGGTACATCGACCATCCTGCAAGCCTCGAGCGGCGCCAGCGCCAACAAGCCCAACACCATCAAGGGCATAATTAAACCCGCGCGGCCACCGCCTGTCGAAGAAGATGAAGACTGGAGCAAGATGGCCGCACGCAAAAGCAAATTTGGCTTCGGCAGCAAGAAATCGCAAAACAACGGATTGGCGGAACTGACCAAGGGTCTGAATATTTAATTTCTCTTCTCGACTATTTAAATACCCAACTCTTTTTCTCTACACAACAGCACAGCAACGCGCTGTTTTTGGCAGCGAACGAAGCGAGACGATACAAGAAAGGAGAAAGGAAAGACACGATCTTTTTTCCATCTCGGTATAGGCTGAGGAATCTGATATATGAGCAACATGGAGGCGATTTGATCTGGGCATTTACACAAGGCGTTTTCTTTTTACTATTCATATTCCTTTGCAATTTGTTGTTGAATATGGGCATAAAACTTTCGGCGATGGCGACCACCCAACCTGTTTCCAACTGTTGGTATACACGCTGTGCAATAATACAAGGGGCATTATCGAGGTGGATTATATATGCATATCTTTATCTCCAGTGGGGTTCTTGCTGCATGTGGTGTTACCGGGGGGAATGGAGTAGGATTCATTGTAGATTTTAATAGGGACACTTTTTTCGGCTTGGGAACATTGATTCGTCTTGACTTGTGCATGCTCATGGTGGTATGATGTGATGGTATTAGATCTTTGATGTTTGGATAGCTGCTCTCGAGCCATTATCTACGATTGGGACACTCAACATCTTCTAGAAAGGTAGACAGCCTACCGTTCAATCTTCCCATCCGTATCCAGCAATTCCCTCGCCGCAATGACTTCAGCTTGATCAAATCCTGGGGCCTTGCCCGCGCTGGCATTCCTGACAATCTCGCCGAGCTTGCTCGTCGCAATCTCCTCCAATTTCCTGACCGTCTCGATTTTGGGGATGGGTATGTCGTCGTCGTCGTTTTGGTTGTTTCCGCGCTTGCTCGACACGGTCGCTGACTCGGACAACAAGGGGAGGAGCTTCGACGTGAGCATCTTGAGGCCGTAGTAGCCGCGCAGATAAGAGTCGTTGAGCTCGACGGCGCGGCAGAAGTGTTTTAGCGAAAGAGAGAGGGCGGAGAGAGAGGGCGGCGTGGTGGATGTGGCCGAGAGGTAGTGCAGAGTAGCGATGTGCGCGTGTGCCTAGTATGCATGTCAGTAATCGAATCCCAAGCTGGATAGGAAGTAGCAACTCACGCTCCACGCATTCGGCATGATAAGCAGCACTTCCTCCGCGCAATAAATCGCCTGCCCCCACGCTGCCTGGCTAGCATACAATTCACTCGCCTCCGCCCACGCCTCCACGTCCGTCGGGCTATTCTGCAGCAACACCGTGATGGCAGTAATCGCATCCTGCGTCCTCCCCAGCGCCTTCAACACCGCCACCCTCCTCTTGCGCACACTCATATTCGTCGGGTCCTCCTTGAGAATCTTCTCGTACCCCTCAAACACCCTCTCCAGATCCGCGTCCGACTGCGCAGTGGCTTCGTTGTAGATGCCGCGCAGGGTGATGATGCGCTCGTTCTGGTCGCCGAAGCGCGCTTCGAGGCGCTGGAGGATGGCTTGCGCGGATGTCTCGTCGCCGGTGCGCAGCGCCGAGTAGAAGAGGTTCTCGTGGATGGTCCATGATTCGGGGGTTTCGCGGGAGAAGAGCAGGGAGAGGGGCCAGGGTAATGAGGATGTGGGTGGGTGGGAGAGTATGAGGGGGGCTTTTTGGGAGAGCGCGAGGGCGGTCGGTGGGGGGATGTGGGTTGGTGGGGAGAGGAGGTTGGCTTGTGACATTATGGCGACTTCCTCTGGTATGTGTAGACTGATGGCAATGCGCGGGAGTGTAGATAGGCGCGAGTGTGATCGCCTTCGTGTCTAATAGCCTGATGGTCTGCACAGCGCTATGAGCGTCGTATGCGATTGAATTGTTCCTGTTCGTCTGGTAATTGACGACGTGTGATAACTGGCCGTCCTGGTGTTGGTGTGGAGTCGCGATGTTGGTAGATACTGGAAGCTTAGCTCCCGAGCAGCGTCGTCGGCGAAACTAGACTGCCGGCGGGCATCATCCATGCGCGTCAGTGAAGCCTCCACGACAGATGCAGGTCCGCTCACCACCTGCCGATCGACCCTGAACCTGCGGCTCTTTTTTCAAACTTTTGGTGCAGAGCTCTTCCCATGTCGCCAATCACCCAATGATGCCTGTTGGCCCTCCTCCACGCTTCCGCACCACTACCCCTCCACGTGCGTTCCGTTACCTAGACACACGACTGCGGGAGACGACTTGAACTCGCCAAAATGTACTACTTGTTCGTCGAGGTACACGATAGCAGGACTGACACCAAGCCAGGTTCGAGAAATCCCTCTACGACCTCATTCGGGGTTTGCGCAATCACAAGGGCTCCGAGAAAGAGTATATTGCCGAGAGCATAAAAGAATGTCGCAAAGAGATCAGAACCAACGACATGGACCTGAAGGCTACAGCCCTTATGAAGCTCACGTATCTCGAGATGTTTGGCCACGACATGTCCTGGGCAAGCTTCAATGTCCTCGAGGTCATGTCAAGCTCCAAGTTCAAACAGAAACGCACTGGATATCTTGCAGCAGTACAGAGCTTTCGCAGAGATACGGAGGTCTTGGTGCTCGCTGAGAACCAGCTCAAGAAGGACATCATGAGCCCTACTCCACCGTATATCGCTCTGCCGTTGGGAGCAATACCGCACGTCGTCAATCCTAGCATGGCGAACTCTGTGCTTTCGGACCTCATACCGCGCCTAACACATTCGCATGCCATGATCAGGAAGAAGACCGTTGTCACTCTGTACCGACTTGCGCTTGTATACCCAGAAACCTTGCGACCTGCATGGCCGAAGATCAAGGAACGGCTGCAGGATGACCAGGAAGATCCGAGCGTGACAGCTGCCATCGTCAATGTCGTGTGTGAGTTGGGTTGGCGGAGACCACAAGATTTCCTACCGCTTGCGCCTCGGTTGTTCGACCTCTTGGTTGAGGGCAACAATAACTGGATGGCTATCAAGCTGATTAAGCTTGTACGTTCGAAGACTCGAATGAATTACATGATTGCTGACGTTGACAGTTCGCGACACTGACTCCGCTTGAACCTCGATTGATCAAGAAGCTCCTGCCACCGCTCACGAAGATCATTCGTGAGACCTCCGCGATGTCATTGCTGTACGAGTGTATCAACGGCATAATACAAGGCGGCATCTTGGAAGCTGTCGAAGGCACTACAGAGGGCGAAGAAGTTGCAAAGCTATGTGTCGGCAAGCTTCGAGGCATGATGGTCATTGAAGGCGACTCAAACTGTAAGCTAATGCTGGAATCAATGAGAAATGTCCATGTCTCATCGTTTTGCAGTAAAATACGTGGCGTTGTTGGCTTTCGAGAAGATTGTCCGTTCACATCCATACCTTGTGTCTCAGCAACAAGATGTCATCCTCGAATGTATCGACGACCCCGATATTTCGATACGAATGCGCGCCCTAGATCTCGTCGTCGGCATGGTCAACACCGACAACCTCACAGCTATCGTCGGACGTCTAATGCGACAATTACGAAACGCACCAATTGCGTCTCCAGCGAATGACTCAAACAATGACCGAGTCAGGATGACGGAGATTGTGCCATACGCCGACGACGATTCCGACGCAGAGGACAACCTACGGCAGCATGAGCAACAGTCTGACCAACCACCGCCTTTACCTGATGACTACCGGATCAGTGTGATCAAAAGGATACTGGAGATGTGCTCTCGTGACACTTATAGTAATATTTCCGACTTTGACTGGTACATTGATGTGCTAGTACAGCTCGTCAGGGTCTCGCCGTCAACGAATCACGCCTCAGCAACAGAAGAGAAAGAGGACACAGAAAGATCAGATGAGATAGGAGGTGGCATTGGACGTGAGCTTCAGAATGTCGCCATACGGGTCAAGAGCGTTCGATCGGAAGCAGTCGATGCGGCGCAATCCCTGGTACTTGTTGATCGAAGAGAGCAAATGTTCCCATCATCAGGCAACGGCGGACAAGGCGTGCTTGAGTACGCAGCTTGGTTGGTCGGAGAGTTCTCCAACTACCTTACTCGACCCGAACCTGTCATGACGTCCCTTCTCCACTCCAACTCCTTGCAGCTCCCTGCGAAGACCCTAGCCGTGTATCTACAGGCAATACCCAAGGTCTTCTCCAGCATGGCGGGCAATGACCAAATATCATGGACACCAGAGCGCAAAACCCTCATGTCGCTACTGATGGCTCGTATAATACACTTCCTGGAGCCACTCTCAACGCATCCCAGTCTCGAGGTGCAAGAACGAGCGGTCGAGTACCTAGAGCTTATGCGTTTGGCTGCCGAAGCCGCTTCGGGTACTGCGACTGGTACCGACAATGGCGACTTCACTGATCCACCGTTATTACTGACACAGGCCATACCGGCCTTGTTCTCTGGTGCTGAACTGAATCCGGTCGCGCCTGGTGCGCAACGCAAGGTTCCCATACCGGACGATCTTGACCTAGACACGCCCATAAATCCGAACTTGCAATTCCTCCTGTCACAGGCCGAGAATGAAGGCTTCGAGACAGAAGAAGACGATGTGTATGCAGCGTACAGCGAACCCGTAGCCGCATACGCCGATACACCTACAATCATCGCTCCGGCAGCAGAGCGCCTCGATGCCCCCCACAGGGAACCCACCAGCTATCAGAATGCGGTGGAGGAAGAATACCTGGATCCTGACATCATCGCCCGACGAAAGGCTGAGAGGAGAGAACGGCACAAGGATGACCCCTTCTACATCGACCCTGACGGTGGCAGTGGCACAGTAACCCCACTGAGCAGGATAGTGCGTGACGGAAACCAAGAAAATAATGACCTTGACATCGACTCTATACCTATCATGGACCTCAATCTCGAGAGGGCGTCATCGAGTGACCAAGTCCCACGGTCACGAAGTCCCCGCAAACCTGTACGGAAAGTTGAGATCATGGGAGACGAGACGCTTGGCCCAGCCGCCGATAATTCTTCCAGAGAAGACATCGTGCAACCACGCCCAGGCAAAGCAAAGAAGTCGCTGTTAGATGTGGACAGCTCGGGTCTTGCTTCTTTGAGCCTCGTCGACGATGACGGCAGCTCAAATCGCAAACTCACCCAGTTGGAAATCGAGAGGCGGGAGCAGGAAGAAGCCGAGATGAAGAAGGCGTTACAAGAAGTGGAGCGCTTGCGACTAGAGATGCAGAGGGCGAGCGAGCGGTTACACGTCAAGGAAGAGGTAGCCATCAAGAAGAAGAAAAAGAAGGTCCGGAAGGTGGATGTCGAGGGAGATGACCCTGCTGCTACTCCACCCGCCGAACCAGAAGGTGAAGAAGCGGACGCGGCACCAGTCAAGAAGAAGAAAAAGAAGAAGGTCAAGCCCGAGGGCGAAACCGAGCAAGGCGACGGAGGCGAGGACGCCGCGATCAAGAAGAAGAAAAAGAAGAAGCGCACCGTCGTTCTTGACGACGGCGACGCGCCTGCCGAGTAATACAGCAGCCAGATTTTCAATCGACAAATGTGAATCGAGTTGCATTGGTATATCTGACCATAGTTTCAGCCCGTATATGCCTGGTGTAACGCCGTGTCCCTATGAACCGAATGCGAAAGAAAGTAGCCAAGTGGCTTCTGTTCTCCTAGTTCCCCTTTTTGTACGAGTTGGCGGCCCAAGTAAACAAAGTCATGCCACGCGAAGATGTACTCGCGGCATTGCGTCTAAGGCGAAGATGTCGTGCGCTTAGAAGAACAGCTTAAGAAGCTCGAAAAGGAGACCGCCGCATAGTACGAAGCCGAGGAGGACTGCCGTGATATTAGTCCCTGACAATTGCCATAGAGCTCGCCACACAACCACAAATCCAGTTCCACTATCCCTCTTGCTCTCCTCTCACCATGTGCTACTACCAGGAACTCGCCATGTATGGGGTAGACTCACTGATCCACACCTTGCTAATCGGGCTCTTCTGCGGCCCGCGCTTGATAACAACGGGCTGTTCTGGCTTGCCCATCTTCTTCTCCTGCGCCTTGGCGAAGCGCATGTTGGCTTGCCGTTGCTGGGGGGTTTGCGCCTGCGCTCGTGTTAGCCCTCGTGGACCCTGGAATGGGGGGAACACATTGCATGTGCATACCATTGTGGAAAGTTGTGTTGTGGTGATCTGATCGCGATATTCGAGGACGGAGGAATTTGGCGCGAGATTGTGTGCCTGAGGATTGTAGGAGAGGTAAGAGGGCGAAGTAGGGTCCAGGGTGATGCAAGGTGTTCGCTTTGGAAATGTCGGCGCACGGACCGAGGCGCGCGCTAGTGGGGATGCGATTGCGGAGATATGGGACGGAGGTTTGCTATTTTGGTACTTTTGCGTTCGTTCATCTTTTATACACTTTCCTTCAGACTGCGAACTTCACAATTGCAACGTCGCATAACCCGTCGCACCTCCAACATTACTCCAGGCATCCGCGAAATCATCCCGAGGTAGAAATTCTCAGAAGAGCGAAGAAATCGGTGCCTGGAACGCACGCGATGAACCACGTCAGAGCCATCACCGCACGCACGCTATCGCGGAGAATAGGACAAGTGTCGAGACAGCGCCGCTATGCAACAGACACGCCTCCCCAACCCACGCCTCCGAACCCCTCGCCAAATCTAAACCCGCCAAAAGCGCCTTCGAGAACTGTACGTCATGGCATATACCCCACATCCATTCACCTCAAGACTAACAACTCCACCACAGGGCACATACTACAAGTCCTTCTCTTACCCCGTGCTCAAGACCTTCCTCATCGCCCTCTTCACATACCAAATCACATACTACACCTGGCTCAAGCTGGAGATCATCGAGCAGAAACACGGCAAGGCAAGTGAGATTGGCGATTTGCAGGAGCAGTTGAGAGAGGCGGTGGCGAAGCAGAAGGCCAAGGCGGGGGATGTGGTGGATGAAGTGGCGGAGGCGGGGAGGGCTGTGGCGGAGAGTGTGAGGGAGGGGACAGAGGAGGTGGTGAAAACGACCGAGGCGGTGGGGAAAGTGGCCGGGGGTGGATGGTGGCCTTGGTAGAGTATGATGCATGGTGAAGGTATGATTTGTACGATTGAAGTAGGATATGTACAACAGCCCCGAAGATACCCTAAGAATATGTCTGAAAAGACGAAATAAAGCATGCTCCAAAGTGGGCAAAAAAATCAATTACGCCACCCCTGCCGTTTTCCTATGGTATCGTGCATCTAGTTGTCGCAATAGCCTCTGCTCAACCGAAAAACTCGCCGCTGACAAGGCTCTCCCATGGCTTGCCAGTATCCCACACGGTCTGCAGCAGCGTCGCGACCTTGGGCGTGTTTGTCATGCCAAAGCCCTCGACGCTCTTCAACCTCTCCATAATCGTGTCTCTCTGCACCTGGTCCTCGGAATCGCAACCAGCCGCAAACATGGGAAAAATGATGCACGCTTCCGCCGTACTTCCTTGTCGGATCTTGTACAGCAGGCCCACGATTTCGCCCACGGCATGCTGGACCTCGATATCGGACGCGGGTTTTCCGAGGACCCTGCGGTACAGGTGTATGAGTCCAGCCCAGTGGAACAATTCGTTCGTGGCGAAGATTTCCGTCGCGTCCCAAGCGCCTTCGGACTCTGTAGACGCGTCAGATCGATGATTACATCCCTTCCGTATATTCCTTTCCAGTAGGCCTTCTTCCAATTCTCGACGGATCTGAACCGCTTGTCGCACAATATCCGGTCCTGGCTTCCAATCGGCTCGTATGTTGCCATCTGGATCAATGCGTTGCGGCTCGCAAATCTTCGCGAGATCAGATATGCGGGCTAAGCTGCCGATGCACCGTGTAGTGAAGCCATTCAGACAGTCAATTTCAAAGTCCTCGTCAGTCTCAGGGGTTTGAGCAGACCAATATGACGCTGGCATATCAGTCTTACCCCCGCTGAGCGAGCCGATAACGTCCAGATATGCGAACCATCTGGAGAGGAAGTATGCTACATGATCCTTGCGACTTGTGCCGAGTGGTGGACCCCGAGCGCTGATCATCTGCCGTGCCATGGTGAGATGATCTTGCCATGAAATGGGTACTTCGAACGTGCCCGAGCATATAATCTCAACGCTTGCCATCATGATCACGACGGCTAGCGTGTTGTCGGATACATCATTAGGGTTTTCCACTAGGGTTTGACGCAGCTTGGGGAAAACGTCGCGGACCCACAGGGCGATGCGATTGTTAGGCTCAGGGTGTCTGAGCATTCTGGCTCGATGAGCAGCAGAATAGGCGAGAAGCAGGTTCATGATGTTATCATCCGCAACGGCCACTAAAGAAATCAGTTCTGTTGTATAGACCTCTAACAAAGTACTTACTCTGTGGCAATATCTGACGGAACGGATTTTGCTCGCAGTCATGAGGAACCAGTAACCGTGCGGTGTGGTTGAGGAAGTGATGAAAGTACAGAAGGTTCATAGGGTTTTCCATAAGGATACGCGGTAAAGGTCCCAAGGATTTTGGTATCCGTATTGGAACGGGCTCTGCATAATAGCCGCCACGCTCAAAAGCCATATCTTGACTGCGTGGATCTGCACTTCCGTGGGTGGTTTCGCCGTCCAACTCCATTCTATCGGTCTGAGGACTAAAGATGGAGATGGCAGAGAAATCGTCGTTGTTGGGAGTGTCAAGGTCGGGGAGCCCGAGATCATAACCATAAGTGGTCGCCGAACAATCCGCAATGGGATACTGACGCCCGCATCCGGCACCTTGACTATGCTCCGAGAATTCGTTGTTGATGATGCTATGCACAGACATCCTATGCAGATCAGGGGCTTCGTTGGCTGGACTTTGTATGCTCGTGGTGCTTCTCCAAGCATTTTCTTCGGAATTGACTGATGAACCGGGTGTCAAAGGCTTGGGAACGTAGGGACTGTAAGGATCTAGCGGACCTGTATATGGTGACTGTACATCTGACATAGTTGTCTCCGGTGAGGCTGTGCTAAAGAGTTGAGTTTGGCCACAGTTGTTCGCATCAAGGAACTCTTGAGGTGGAGGCATCGATGTCGCCATATGAGCAGGAGTGTGACCGCCATTGTAATTACTCGGCTCTTGATTTGATGTGTGCAGCGACGGACCGAAAGTATTCTGGAACTCGATTTGCGTATATGCCGCTGAATTCGGCAGCGCTCCAGCATCTTCGTCAAAGTCGTAAACATCGGCTTCAGGTAAGGTCATTGATTGGCTGCTTTCAAGTAGGACTGGATCGACCGCGAAGCTGGTCGAATTTGAAGGTGAGGTATCTGAATGTGACCTGAGGTTTGGTGGTTGGTTTGAGGCTCCTGGCGGAGATATGTTGTCCTGAAAAGAAAAGACTGTTTGGAATGGACTGCCGGATGCCGTACTGGAGGCGTCTGAACCTGCCGTGTTGGATCTATCTCTTTTGGTTCGGCCGCCCCAGTTGAGCCTGATGCTGTAGTCGCATACCTCGCCCTGCCGTTCGCAATTGACACAGTGTGGCTTCTCCTCTCCGCTGGCAACCAGTTAGTGAATACACGGAACTGCACGCTTTGAACAAGTTACCATTTGACCTTACGTGCCTTACATGGCCTGCAGATTGGTTAGTCTTGAATCGAATGTCCAATGTGAGAAGACCTGTTACCAGCAGCCATTGCGTGATCGTCTTTTTGGCTCAACCCCTGGTTTTTTGGGTCGTGGCATGGTCAGTGGTTCTTGCCGACACGGAACGGTAAGCGCCAAATGGTGTTACAGGTATAGATGATGTTGTCCAAGGTAAGGATCGTCGCGATGTGTTTGTGTTTAAGCCACCGTCCCAGCTACACCATATGTAGCCGTGTGTACTATCCGAACCGTCGTGTAAAGTTCGAGGAGGGAATTCCACGAGGTTTTTTTGCTGATGCTACGCGTCCATGCTAGACTGCGCCACACCTACGGAAGCTCGTGCATCAACGGCGGGCTGGTAGATGACTACCTCTAGGCATAGAATGCTGCTTCCATGTTGCACAAGATGAGACCGGGTTTCGTTACAAGCATGCCGAGGATGGGTGGGGGCGGAGACATTATTGAGATGCAAGATAAGCTCTCAGCCCCGATCACCACGCTAGACGCTACGATCGTCCTTTGAGCGGGGCAAGCACGCGGCATTCCTTTCGGAAGCCACCAACCCTCAACGGCGGTAATTTCCTTCATTTCGACCGCTTGGCATCATGCCTGGCCTGTGGCGGCGGGATCTGCCAGTCAATCTCGTTCTCTGGCTGGAGCACTAGCCCTCCTCGTGCCTTGGAGACAAAGCGGTGCGTCTAGGATCTTCCCTGGTGCGGTCAATTCTCTCGCACGTAGTGCACGTTTGCAAGCATACCGTCAGACACGTACTCTATCACACACCTCATCCGAGGTGGTGACTGTGCGTTTGTCGCAGTTGCACCAGCCACAGACGGGATCATGCAATTATTTCATATGCCCCTGGCTTGATGCACCCGGTTCAGCCCTACAACGAAAATACCCACGTTGGCCATGACGGTCAGCTAGCCCCGCAGCAGCGAAGCAACGAAGCAGTATATTGGTCCATAGCGATGGACCTTTACAGAGAGGAATGCAGAATTTCAGTAATAAGTGGCAGGAGATTCTAGTCAACCTGTAAGGCCTTGGTTTCGGTGCATATCGTCCAGCGCAAGCCTGTCGGCTGAGGCGTACAGATCTTAAAAAGATGGTGATTCTTCTCGAATATCAGCAGAAGCCACGCTTTAGGAAAGTGACATTCTACGCATGGGAGAGGAGTCAATGAAGTGGTCGAGTGACAAGAGAGCAAACACATGCTGAGTCAGCAGATCATGCGATGACGTCGCGACGAATGCCATTGTCCAACTTGCACAAAAATGCTGGAAAGGACTGGTGATTGGATCCATCGTGACTTGAAGGACGTCACACTCGGAAAAGCAGAAGCAGAGTGTGGAGATAGCCATTTCTGGTACGTTCGGTGCGGTAGTAGTTCGCCAAGACCAAACACCCACCCGCGGTTGTGACATCGCGACAAAAGTCGCAGTGTGGCCCAACTCCCTCCAACATCCACCCTCCACACCAGAGATTCCGCCACAATGCTTGCACGAAGCGCCCTATGTCCCGCGAGGACCTTTGCAAACCGCTACCCGCCCGCCATCATCGCCCCTATCTCCGCAGCGACAGCGTCCTTCTCCACGTGCACACGATCTAGCAAAGCCTCACAATCGCGCCCCAGCTCTGTCGCAGCGCAGCGCGCCTTCCCCAGCAAATTTGTCGTGCGGAATGCGACATCGGCGTCCTCGCAAGCTACAGGCCGTGCCCCACCAGCAGCGCAACCGAAACTCACATGGAACGACTTCTTCGCACTTCGACGAACACGCCGAAGGATCGGGCAGGGGTGTTCCGTAGTAGGCGCCGTTGGAGTCACTTACTACGGCCTTACCACCATGATGGCGAACGGCTATGATGCCACGCTGTCTGCGCAGCTTGGTGGCCTGGACCCCTTCATGCTGATGGGATTGAGCACGATTGGCATGATGGCAGTGGGGTGGTTGATTGGGCCCATTTTCGGCAACCAGCTCTTCAGCCTGGCATATCGAGGCGTACTGGCAGAATTCACTGCGGTAAGTAGATCAATCCTCAGCGGTGGTCATCGGAACGTTTTTCGGATAGTGGCTGACATGGGAACAGAAAGACTCGGGCTTCTTCAACCGCATCAAGCGCCACCGAGTTGATCCCACCGCGTCCTCCCTCGCGAACCCGCCACCAGACTACTACGGCGAGAAGATTGGCAGCGTGGCCGGCTACAGGCGGTGGCTCAAGGACCAGCGAGCTTTCAACCTCAAGACCGGCAGGTACCGAGGCGGAAAGTCGGCGTAAAAGAACGCTTACGACGATTCTATTGGCATGCCGCCCACCGAATACACGGTCATGCACAAGAAAACGGCTTCATTTAGACATTGCGGGATAACTGGGACGTGGGTGCTCTCAGCAACGCAGTATGAACGGCAGAGTATCTACAGGCATTTTCTTTTCTTTGTAAGTTTAAGGGTAGCGATCGTATTTTCAGGCTTACCAGCACAACGGCGGTTCACAGCCAGATTTTCCTAGAGTTCGAAAAATATCCAATGGCTGCATGTCGCTATTGTACTTGTACCATGTACTCGATGATGCATGAATCTCCGATCTCCGGGATCTCGCTTCTTTCAAAAACCTTTTGTGCACTATAGTGCAGATTCAGTGAAGCTGATGTTTAGCGCTAACGATCAACTGATGTGAGTTGCGTTGAAAGGGTATCCCTTCGCTAAATGCTTAGTATTGTTCCTGGACGCCTTGTTCGCCAGCACAAGGCCGCAACTCCAGAATACCAAGTCAGCAGTACAAAGACTTGACGATGGAAAACAAAATCAGGATGGATACCTAACAGTTGTCTGACATCCACGTCCCTTGTCCATTTCGTCTCAATTATCAAGATCTGTTACACAATACAAACATGCGACCATTCTACGATGCGTCGGAACTTCCGCGATCTCCACTCTTTAGTGAGAAGCACCGGTACCAAAACTTGCAAAACAACTGCACATTAAGTCCTGTTTCGGACAGTGTGTCTCGACCTTTCATGGCGGATATTCAAGCAGATCACAAGAAAGAGAAGGAAGAGGCAAAGGCAACGACGAAGAAGGATACTTGAAAAAGGATGCTTTCTTCAATGGCGAATCGAAAAGGCATCTTGCGTCTAGGCATTTGGAGGCGTCAGATAGGTCTCGCGCGCATTCGATAGCGTGTCGGTGATGGCGAGGCTGTGGCTTGCTGAACTCTCAGCCGCAAAACTGAGCCCATCTTAGTGTATGAGCAAGCAAAAACGACACCAGATCCGACATTCGCAATTGCTACTACAATGGCGGGCTAGATCGAAAATTGACAGCACGATAGCCAAAGCGAGCGTTTTGCTCAATGAGCATCTAATCTACGAGACTCATTAGACTGCTGCTTCCATTTAATGATTGTGGACATGGAATTCAGTGCGCTCATTCTTTTGACTAGTCAAGCTAGTGTGGTCGGCAATCTAGAATCTACACAACAAAGACATTAGCGCTTCGGATGTGGAAACAGCTCCAAGCTGGCGAGCTAGCAACAATGACTAAAGGGAATCTGGGGTACACTTACCGCAGCGAGCCTACATTATAAGATGCGCCATTCTCCTGGTGTTCGGAAAGCCATTGCATCTGTTCTGATATTTCCGGACTGAAGCCCTTCACCATGTATACCAGTGCCATCGTCTCGCTGCTTCTACTTGCTCCCGGAGTACTAGCTCAACGAACCTCGACCGACGCAACCTGCGGTGGCAAGAAAGGTTACACATGCCTCAACTCTGGTCAGCAAAACCCATCATCGACCGACGGAAATGAACTGACATCTTCTAGCTTGGGGATCATGTTGTTCTCAGTATGGTAAGCAGGCCTCATTTCCACTTCTGATGCAAACCCATTCTTACCCTTGCAGGATGGTGCGGCTCCAAACCTGAATACTGCGGCAAAGGATGCAATCCTGGTTTTGGTACTTGCAACAAGCCTAGTGCTGCTTCAAGCTCAATCGTTATCAAACCCACGCAGACTCCTGCAGTTCCTGTCTCTACGAACGCGCGCTGCGGATCCTCGTTTGGTGGGAGAACATGTCAAGGATCTCAGTGGGGAAACTGTAAGCTCATTGCTGTCATTCTAGATGCTATGGACTGACTTGGGAAAGGTTGCTCACAGTATAGTTGGTGCGGCTCGACGAAAGATCACTGCGATGCGAAGACTTGTCAGAAGAACTTTGGTCAGTGTAACGGACAAGTGGCTAGCTCGAAGAGTTCGTCGACTTTGGCGACTTTTATCAAGTCATCGCCATCGACATCGCCATCGACATCGCCCTCGTCCACGCCCTCGAAGTCTAGCTCAACACCGTCCACATCTTCGACTACATCCAGCTCACCAAGCACCTCACCAACGCCAAAGCCATGCTATCAGATCCCGCCTAGCAGGCCGTGCGGTGCATATACGGGCCCACTCGACAGCGCTTCCTTCTACGAAGCCTGCACCAGCCCCTTCTCCAACTACTGCGTAGCCAACTACCAAGCGTTCTGCTATGGTAAACCGTCATCCGACAGCACGCAAATTCGCTCATTTTCAGCGGGCGTCGCAGATTGTAAGGTGCAGTGCGACCAGGACGCGGCGTGTGTCGGATTGGCGTTCCAGAATACGCAAAGCCAGACGTGCACATTGTACAGTTCGATCAAGTCGATCACCGCAGGTGATAGGACTGATACTGTGTTCCGCCAGGCTTGCCCGTCTACGGGGCAGAGTTCCACGCTGTCTCCTAGCTCATTGGCCTCGTCGACTGTCTCCAGTTCATCAGCCTCATCGACAGTCTCTAGCTCATCATCACCGTCAAGCTCGGCAGTGTCGACGCCAGCTCCGACAGACCTCCCCGTCTCCCGCGACGGGACATGTGGTGCATCTGCCGGATCTTCGTGCAGCGGTTCCGCTTTTGGCGCTTGTTGCGGAGCAGACAGTTTCTGCGGTCTCGGTTCGTCCTGCGGTGCTGGATGCCAGCCTGCGTTTGGCCTTTGCGCGTCGCCATCTCCCATTAGTAGCTCCGAAACTTCGTCACCCACACCCACACCAACGCCTACACCTACGCCTTCGCCTACGCCAGAAACCTGCTTCCGCATCCCCTCAACCCAAACATGCACCCCCTACACCGACCCTCTCCGATCTTTCTCTCAATCCTGCAAAAGCATCTCCCAGCAATTCTGCACATGCAACAACTACTACGGCACCTGCTACGCCACTGTATCTGCAGACAGCACCATCATCGCCGTCAAGCAACACGGCGAGAATGCCGATAGCTGCTCCCGAGCATGCGATCAGGATAGCACGTGTGTTGGCTTTGCCTTCAACGATTCCAGCGCGCAGTATTGCACGCTGTACAGCGAGATCAGGGCGACGGGCGAGGGTACGTATGTTGACTATGTGTTTCGCAAGACTTGTCCGACAGCGTCGTCGAGCTCGGTCGTGGTGATGCCGACTCCGAGGAATCTGCCCATTTCCAGCGATGGTACATGTGGCGCTACTCCGGGTTTTTCGTGTCTGGGATCTAGGTTTGGGGCTTGTTGTGGAGCGGATGGGTTTTGTGGGCTTGGGGCGGCTTGTGCGGCTGGATGTCAGGCTGATTATGGACTTTGCCAGACTCCGACGTGTAGCGCTGGCAAATAGTCAGAGTGTTTGATGTTTGAGCGGGTTTGGGGAGAAGTCGAGGCGTGTCGAGCTCAGTCTTATCAATGGCTCGAAACAATTTTTCACCATGTAGGTTCGGTGTACATAATCACAGTAATTCTTGGGGGCGCAAACATTTTTCATCTTGATAAAACTTGTATTCTCTCTTCTATAAGACTCTTTGAGCAAGCAACTCCTAGCGAGCTCCTCACTCCACCGCTGCCAAAATCTGTCGATACCTCCATATCCAATTCGAGCGAGCCTTCCTCACTGAATTGCTACACTTCGGCCCCATCTCAGGGGCTATCGCGGGTGCGGGTGCAGATTGTGAGCACTCCATCTGCAACGCTTCCTCCTTGGCCTCCCGCCACTTCGTCTTGATCTGGACAGAAGTGACAATAGGATCAAAGTGATAGCCCTGCGGAGAGCATATTGCGAAAACCACCCAGTCTTCTTTACGGTGCGCTCCACACGCGCAATATGGGACGAACTTGACATCGTCACCCGTGGCGCGGTGGGTGAAGCCGCACTTCTCACACACCTGTCCGACGCGCAATCGCTGGGCTTCATACGAGGGCAAGATGCGCATTAATGCGACCATTTTCAGCGTGATGGGTACAAGGATTGGCGATGCGATACAGGACTTGCAGAATACATGTTCACACTTGGCGCACGTGAGGTGCTGGGGAGGATGAGGTCCTGTCACGTGTGTGATGTGATTCTCCGCGCCGCAGCAGCAGATCCACATCCCGTCCTGCATGTTATCGCCATATGTCATCTGCATGATGTGCCGGTAATTATGCTTAGCCCAGAGTTCCCTGGTGTCGGGAAGTGGCTCTGCTCGAGTTATGGTGACTTGGTCCTTACGCGAAGAGGAGGCAAAAGAGTTGCCAGTGGGCTGTCTAGATACGATGCTCAACATTCTGGAAAGCGTGTAAATGTGTCAAGACAGTCCTGCTATTCTTGAAATTCTTTAAGATGATATAGACTGTCCAAACCGATGCGAGACAGGTTGATCTACTCCATACCAGACGATGTTCAGTCCACCCTGTGCATTGGCAATGCCTGACATTATTAGCATACAGTGATCTCGTGAAGCAACAGTAAGCCATAAGCAGCTGTAGAACTGTACGTGCACAATGTCGAAACACACATGATGCCGTTGTGCTGTTAAGCTAACGCACGTAAACGAAAATGTACCGAGGAATGACCCAGAGTCAGTGACATTGTGATCGTGTAATGTCGGTCCTACGGATATGTCGTGAAATGGGGAGTTGCTGTCGTCATCGCAGTCAGTGTCGAAGTCCGCATTATGATTTTCCCACTCAAAACACAAAACATATAACATCCCCTGCTACTGTTGGATCAAGTCGATGCCCACAAGATGTGGGCATAAGGCTGCTTATATACCCATGAGCAGGTGTTTGCTGATGATTGTCGAGATGGTAGCAAACCAAAACAGTCCCCCTTAATCGACGCAAAGATATGTTCGTAGAGGAGGAAATACATGCTTGAGCATGACGAACAAGGTGTCTCTCTACAGAGAGAAATGATCGTTGATGGCGCGCAGCCCCCTTTGATAAAGGCTCGCTCCGTGTAGTGGTACATGTGAAGGACGTGGCTGACGGGTGCATATAAAAGATATGGCTGACGGTGCACAGCCCCCTTGGTAGAGGCTCGCCTGCATGTAAGGACATGGCTGACATGTATGACCACGGGCTTCGGTGACATACACGGAGCTAACTATATCTGGTCTAGACAATGATGTCACCTGACTCATGGTTCTAGGTAGGCAGACTGTGGTACTGCAGCCTATATATGCACAGCCATTCTCCAAAGCTTGCTCTTGATTCCTTTATTCTTCTACCAATACCTCTGAACTCATTACTCAAGTTAAAGAACGCCTTCACACCTGACTCCCAAAATCGATCAGACAGACACCTCAGCACGCACGAACTTCCAATCACGACCCTCAATATTTGAATCATTATCGCAGCGAGGATATTGTGCAAGCCGAATTCCAGAATGACGTCAAACAGCGACGATTACAGCGATGTGTATGAGGATGATGAATATTGGAACAGGTGGCATTTGAATGAATACGAGCCCAGATTGGTCAAGCCCATGGAGAAGACTTTCACAGCACCTTGGGATCTGCCGGTTAGCGATTCCGATTTGGAAAAGCTCAAAGCTGGTTTCAGACCCCGAAACTTTGACGATAAATACGGCTGGCTCATTGAGGATGACAATGGGAACATATCTATCCACGTTATTCGACACTTTGTACACGTGGAGGAGTACATACTTCACATTACCCCGAAGCCAAGTAACGGCAATGGTGCGAGTGCAAAGATCCACAGCATTACCTGGAATGGAGATTTGGTTAGTATAAAGGACGATGTAGAGAAGGCCAAGGAGACAGTTGTGGTTCTAGCTAGAGCTATTCTCAAATGCGACTTTGAGAATGCGCCTAAAACAGCTTAGTATCGAAAAGCTAGACACGGAATAGATGCAAGACCATCTCGCAAGCTGGGAGCAGTCATCATATTGTGGGGTTATTTCTCGGGACCTGTAGTTAATACTTCCTAAGTACATCCAAACTTTCCTGGTACCATACACTGTAGCCTGTTTCCACTGCATATGATTTCATGATGGTCACAGTTGCCCCCGATTGCGTGATGAGATTATTCAAAGAATCGTAGCGATGATTGTGGTGAGTGCAGGCTCTCAGCTCGATACCGATAGACTGACGCTTAGGTACCACATGCCACGTCGGACAGCTTGCAGGAATTCAAAAAGGTATTGTAGGCAAGCCAAACGCGACTTCATACCCAGAGCGTACACTTTCACATTCACGTATGACAAAGAAGATATGCGTGACTCGTGAGCAGGGCTGAGGGGACTCGTCACGCTTGAGGCGCAAGTTCCAACGTTTTTCGCGCAGGAAAGGTGTGGGATGGAGTCGAGGGGATCAAGTTCGCGTCGGCGTTTTTCTGAATGAACGATCCGCGCATTGCTATCTACTTCAATGCGTAGAATAGCTTCGCTCTAAATGTACTCTATACTATACGTACCCTTCCGCGACGAGCCCGTGATGCCGTCCATGGCGTCCCATGTGAGCGAGGAGGGGAGGACGAGTACACAGCTTGTGGAGAGAGGAGGCTTGAAAGGGAGAGATAAGTATTATTGCAGCATGCGAGGTGAAGTGTAGTGTGGGCATAGGGCGGAGTAACAAGCTGACAGGAAATGTAATCTATATTTCAGAAAAGAGTGTTTCTATACGTAAATGACAGTCTAAGCTACTTGAGATCTAGAAAAAGGAATCTTGGAAACAGTGTTGCAAGATGCAGGTGTGCATCGTAAGACGGGCAGTCAAAGTAGTTGCGTGCTGCAATTACCAGGACCTGGGAATAGTTGGAGTTAAACCCTGAACTTCACCGAACGGACCAGAGGAACCGAACGCTTCTTGTCCTCTTGCCCATCCTCAAAGTCGTCTCGAGTTCTGATCGCTAATCTTCTTGTTTTTGTTGTTGTAGACGTCCCACTTGATGATGCTATCCCAGGTAATCTCGCCCTTGACTGAAAACTCCTTCTCGGCAGGGTTAGGATGAACTTCGCCTGCTTCCTCGAAAGCTTTCTTGGTGTCAACAAGCTTGATGCCGTTTTCTGAGATGTGGTAGACATAGGAATTGCCGGGGTATGTGGCGCCACCTGCAAAAAAAGATATGATTAGCGAATGTCTCAGATGGGGGGGTTTGAACTGCGATCCTTACTTTTAGCAAAGTCTTCACTGCTCGTGGTTGAAACCCATGGATCCTGGTCACCTAGCTTATTCTTGACATGGTCAATGACACTCCCGGTTCCTTGAGGATTCCAGGCCTTGAAGCCTCCATCATCTAGGATCTCTTGAGGCGAGCGAGAATCCGCGCGATAGACGGTAGCCAACGCAGGGGATAGTAGGGCGAGTAAAGCAGCGAAGTGAACGATTTGAGAGCGGCCGAACATATTGAGCTGATTTGCTTTGCTTGTTGCAAACTTTGAAGACTTGTCGGGGGAAAGATGGATAGGTTAAGCTGAAGACGAAGATGAAGTGTGTTTTCTTGGGCTGAAAGGATGCAATTGATGCTGGGAATTGGAGAAGATGGTTTGATGGTTGTTGATAATTAAGTCACAGAGCAAGAATATCGAGATCTTATATACTTCAGCATATGGTATCTCAGTGCTTCATTCAATGCTAAGGAGTTGAACGGGTACCAGGGTTTCCGTCGATTGTCATCCAACTGCTGGCACCGAAAGAATTACAGTATTCCCCTCGATTGTCATCCAACTGCTTGGCACCTAGCACTGCGCAACAATACAGAATCGACGCTTCGACGGATTCAGGGTGATTGTTTTGGTGCTCAGGTTCCTTCCAGGGTTCAGAGTCCTTTCGGGGTTTAGGTTCGGAGGTGGCCTTACAAAACTGCGCCACTGCTTACATATGACGTCCTGTTCTGTGATGTTTATGATCTGTGCGAAATGGCTGACACCGTGCTACGTGGTGCTAAAGATCTGTCTGGAATGGCTGACATCCTGCTACGCGAATGTTCATGATGCGAAATGGCTGACGTCCTGTTATGTGATGTTAATGATATGTGCGCATTTCGCAGCGTTACCATAACTAGTATTAATGTATCACGTGATGGGGAAACGGCGCGCACCCTGAAGGTATTTACAAAGGAAGCTGTTCAGAGAAGCTCCTGCGTGAGTCTTGGCCGTCATTTAGAGTAATGGCTGTTAGGTGGGACCCTTACAGGCTGTGCAATGCTGCTCTGCGATGTTAGCGACACGAAAATTATGAAGTGGATTAAGAATAGGAGATGAAAACATCAGCAAGTTGCAGGAAGGATTTGTCAAATTTCAAAAGGAATAAAACTGCTATGTAACAAATGCACTCACACTCAAGCGACGGCCCTGTATCCGGGGATACTCCGGAGCTGGGCCATCACCTCATCCAGGTCTTTAAAACCTGTGGATGGGGGAGGCTGAATGATGACACGCTCGGCAGGGCCAGCGACAGTCTGGGAACGAGCCTGTAGTTTAGGACGGTGAGCAGGCGGGAATCCAGGCTGGGATCGATTTTGAATCGAGATTTGCCGAGCCTTCTGACGGCGCTCAAGATCTTCTCCAGAAAGATCAACTCCACGAGACAGTCTGGAGAGAGTAATAGCGCGAGGCGGCGCAGACGGGCGTACCGGCTCTGTCTCCCTCCAAACCTGAGCTTTAGCTAGGCTCACTGGCGGCGATGGTGCAATTACATTCACCCGCGGCGGCTGAGTAACAAGAACAGGAGGCGATGGGGAGCATTGCTGCCTCAGTGGAAGGCTCCGCAGCGACACTCTTTCTGGTACAAGGCGGCGCGGATGGACGTACCGGCTCTGTCCTTACTCCGGGAACATGGGCTCTGTCTGGTGTCGCTGGCGTTGTGGGTGCAGCTGTTTGCACCCACACCGGCTTAGTAGCACGGACAGGTGGCGATGGACGTGATAGAGGCGACGGAGGCTTTGCGGCGTCAGTGGAAGGCTCCGGAGAGACGCTCTTTCCAAGGTTCCAATCGAGCTTCATGGCGACCGCGGTACCCTCAGGATCCCGGCGGAAATCGACTATGGAACCAATATAGTAGCCAGTACTCCCAGGTTGGAGGGGGTGCTGGCAATCAGTACACGAAAGCACGGAAAAGTCTAAACATCCACCGCTCATCGTTGCGCGATGAGACAGCCCACAGTGTTGACATACTGAACAGTACGCCATTTGATTGCCCTCGTGAAAACGAGGTCGGAAGAGTTCCGTTGCCTCGATTGGAATCTGAGTGAGGATCTCTGACGTTCGGCAGTCGTCACAAAGGACATGGCTGCAACGACGGCACTGAAGGTATCCGAAGGGATACTTGCCTGTGATGTGTGTGAGGAGGTTCTCGGTACCGCAATGACACAGCCAAAGGCCGTCAACCTGTTGGTTCTTGACACTGCTGAGAAAAGGGTATTCAGCGCCAATCATTTGGCACTGAGCAGGATCCCAGGCTTCCTCTACAGGTGTCGCATTCTTAATTTCAGCACTGACAGGGTGGACTGAAGCCGGTAGACCACTCATCTTACGGATCAGTTTTCTCAACTGCATCTTGATTGAAAGGTTGCTGATCGGGTGTTATTTTGCGAAGCTTTCGTGATGAGAGTTGCGTTGCGATGATCAGTTGTTACTGAATGGTTGTGAGAATTCTATATCGAACGGTTGAAGTGGTGAGGGGAAAGACTTTATACACTCCTTGCGGCAAAGTCCCATGATGCGATGTGTGCGTAGGATATCCATTGTGTGTGCACTTAGAAAACTTATTGTATATACTTGCGTTGTGCAAGTGGGAAGCGATAATGGTGAGAAGATATAAACACACAATGACTGAGACTTGATTCTGGAATTGAGACACTTACTTTGAACAATGTGCACCACGTCTCTGGCTTGCTGATGTTTTTGTCTTATTCCTACATACGCGTCTTCGATCTCTGGCTCGCGAAGTTCTAGGCCCATAGATCAGCTTGGCCGATACAGGATGGACCTGTGACAATGTTCAGCACATACTACAGTCACCTGAGTTCCGGATGAGGATTGATGCAGAGCCCCACGTGCAGATGTCGTATCCAAACTCATCCTTCCATGCCGCGAGTGATCGCTCATCCTGGGTTCGTAATGCTGAGCTCCGCTCCCATGTTTGTCTCCAGCGCTCCTAGTTCATATCGGAACTTTATTCTAGCAGCATCCTCCGCCTTGACCATCACAAGCTTCACGAAGCTTACGTTTGGATCCCTTCGGTACGGCTCGACGGTGCCAATGTGGTATCTTGGCCAGTCTCCATAAGACGATGTGCCGCAGCCAGAACACGTAATTCCGTAAAAATCGAGAGTCGTCCTCTCCATCTCCGCTCGATGGCTCAGGCCGCAGTTCGTACAGACATGGCAGTAGCGCACCTCGCGTCCGGGGGCAGGTCGAGGAGCGCTGATCATACCCATCGGCCAGGGCGTCAAAACTTCGGAAGAGTAGCAATCTGTACACATTCCCCGATCGCATCTGCCGCAGCGGAGATACTGGAATGGATGTGGGCCCCTGTAGTGCCGGATGGTGTTCTCGTGCCGACAGTGACAACACAGCCACAGCCCGTCGCCGATGTCTTCGTCGGTCCTTAGAGAGCGGATAGCGGGATATTTGTTCTCGAGTATGAGAGAAGGGTCGGTAGGTGCTTCGGCAGGAATAGCATTATCGAATGTGTCCTGTAAACTCTCATCACGAGAGCCGTCCTTTGAATGTCGAGCAGGAGATAGTATGACGGAAAGCCTCGAACTGTTGCTCGCTTGTCGCTTAAGGCCCTTCTCGTTAACTTCTGTCAGATTTGGGATGAAGAGGCCTGAAATTCGGCGAGAATGGAAGACGCTGTCTTTGCGCTGCGTCAGAGCAAGAGCTAAGTTGTGCGCCATCCGGGTTAAGTGTGTTGGGTTGATACTGTTGTCAAGTGGTGGTAATGAGCTGTTGGGGAGAAATAAAGTGTAGTTTAGCAGGGCTTGCCGCGCATTCGAGGTGAAGTTGTGATTGCTTGCGCCTTCCGTTCAGTGATGAGGAAGCTGCCTTGGACTAGGAAGCTCAACTTTCTCTTCACCTACCTCTACACTGCAAATATTGCTGATTGGAAATGCCAATCTATGCCAAATATCGAGATTTTCTACGTAGACTACCCCTGAAAGAGGCTGATGGGACCGTAGACGCGTCCTACAGATGCGATCTTGCCATCATACTGGCCGCTCGTAGCAATTCAACGAGCTGCTTGCGATCGCCATTATACTTGGTCGGATACGTGTGATCAAACGCAGTGGCAGGACAAACGCTGCCGACCATAGCGGATCGTCGACGATGGTCATGTTCGATGCGAATACATGGAGAGTGCTGCTCCAAATGTGGGGTGAAAGAGTGATGGTCGATGCGCGGGGGCCGATGTGACGCCATTGGCTGACACTAGCTCAGCCCTACAGCTTACGCCGGAAACTGTCCTCAACTCTCGCGTGTCGTGCTTCCACATTCCACTCCACCAAACTATCATGATTCAGGCAGTTCTTCAGGTACGTTGCTCTAACAATGCCGCACACATCACCTTGCTAACAACCCCAAGCGCCTAGCGCGCTGGCTAGACCGGCCACTGTTCCCATGGAAGCGCCTCGTCGTCGGCTTCTCGCTCGCTGAATTCACTCTCGAAAACTGGCTCCTCTTCAGGCAATACCGCGTCCTCCAGCGCACCTCGGTCCCCAAAGCTCTTAACAAGGAAATTGACACGGAAACGTTCGACAAGTCTCAGGTGCGCATGGCAATGGCATACCCCACACTCAAGCTTACAGGCAACAGGCATACGGTCGCGCAAAGGCCAAGTTCAGCTTTGTCTCGCAAATCTTCAACCAGATCAAGTCTCTCGCCGTCCTCTACTTCAATGTTTATCCCATCGTCTGGGGCATCGCCGGTACCGTCGTAGCTCGCTACGCGCCTATCCGGTTCTCCGGCGAGATTACCCAGTCTCTGCTGTTCATGTACATGCTCGGATGGATCGACCTCATCTATGGCCTGCCGTTCTCATACTACCACTCCTTCGTCCTTGAAGAGAAGTTTGGCTTCAACAAGATGACCATCAAGCTCTGGCTCACGGACATGATCAAGGGCCAGGGTCTGGCTATCGCATTCGGTATTCCTATTGGCAGCGCGTTCCTCTCCATCATCAACAAGACTGGACAGGGCTTCTTCTACTACCTCTGGATGTTCATGCTGGTTGTACAGATCTCGGCTATGACCATCTACCCGATCCTGATTGTGCCCATGTTCAACAAGCTCGAGCCGCTCAAGCCCGGAAAGTTGAAGGAGAGCGTTGAGGCGCTCGCTACCAAGCTTGAGTTCCCCCTGTCCGAGCTACAGGTCATCGACGGTAGCAAGCGCAGCGCTCACAGCAACGCATACTTCACGGGACTCCCTTGGATCGGCAAGAAGAAGATTGTCATCTACGACACGCTTCTGGAGAAGAGCACCGAGAAGGAAGTGGAAGCGGTTTTGGCACACGAACTTGGACACTGGCAGATGAACCACACTTCGCGACTCCTCTTCATTAGCCAGGCGCATCTATTCTACATTTTCGCCTTGTTCTCCGTCTTCATCAATAACCGTTCGCTGTATGCCGACTTTGGGTTCCACCGCGAGCGCCCAAACATTGTTGGCTTCATCCTGTTCAACGAGATCCTGTCGCCCCACCGACTCCCATCATCAAGCTCCTCTTGAACATCTGGACGCGCAGCATGGAGTATGAAGCCTGGTATGTTCGCCCCATAAAGAACTGATGTAACCAAGACTAACATTTATAGATGCCTTCGCAGTCAAGCTTGGATACGCAAAGGAGCTCGGTGCTTCGCTCATCAAGCTTCAGATCCAGAACTTGTCGAGCATGGATGCCGACTGGTTCTACTCCAGCTTCCACCACTCGCATCCGATTCTGACGGAGCGCCTCAAGGCGATGAACTGGACCGGCGACAAGAAGATTTCCGAGGAGAAGGCAAAGGACGACGAGAAGCCTGTGAAGGCTGGGGACCGCGAGCTGTAAAGGTCTAGCGGAACGGAGGATATCATCTACAAAGTCGAATATTGCAGACCGTGAAGGTCGGATCTGCTTGAATCTGAAAAGTCGCAAGAGACGAATATTCGGTCGTCGGATCAATATTGCCTTTAGACAGCAGATAGCCTAGAGAGCCGCACTCATATCCAAAGGCCATCTTAAGCACTTTTGCAATCGTGATCGTCGTTCGTGAAGCACCTTAAGCCTTCTCCGCCTGTCTCTTCTTCTCCTTCTCCCTCCTCTCTTGCTTCGCCCTCTCCTTCTTCGCCAGTTTTCTTGCTTCTTTATCCATCTTGCCCCCCTCCTCAATCTTCCTCTTCTTCGCGCCCTCCTCCGCACCACCCGTAACCTGCACCTCCGGCTCCTCGCCTCCCTCCTGCACAACATTCGTCCGGTGGCCAATCTCGCCGACTTCAATCGCGCCCTGCTCCGCCTCGTACTCGGCTTTGTCCTGCCAGTCATCGTCCGTAACCGTGGAGAAGTCCTTGCGCTTCTTCCCGCTGAACTTCTTCGCGCTGACCTCGTCTTCTTCGGGCTCGGGCGTCTTCTCAGGCTCCAGGAACTCGCCGCGCATACCCGCGGCTACGCGGCGCAGGTTGTGCATGACTACGCTGCCCATTGGGCCGCCGTGCGAGGAGAAGGTGACGCCAGTCGGTGTGATGAGCGCATCGGGGTGCAGGTGCGGATGCCGTTCGGAATTCGCGAGGTAGGTTTCCAGCATGCGCGAAGCATCTGTGAGGGAAATCGGCGTCGACGAGACATGGCGAGCTGGCGGGGGTGCTTCGAGAGACATTTTGCGCGTGTGGGTGTGAAGGAAATGTGTTTGCGACAGCGACGTTGGGGAAGTTGGTGCTGGGTTCGGGGGAGCTCGAACTTTTTGCGGGCACGGGCCAGATGGGGCTTGTCGGACTTCCGTCGACGACGCAACCAAAGTCCACGACACCATACCAACGTGCGAACAGTAGGAGAAGTGCCAATTGGGACGCCATCGGTCAATATGAATGCTTTTCGGTGTCTGAGGGTCGTCGCGCGCCCTGCAACTACTGCCATCAGACCTTCCCTCACACACGTCGCCGCACCACAACGGTACCTCCACCCCATATCCCTCCTCATACTCCCCCTCTAACACCCCCCTAGGATACTGCAACCCTCCGCCCCCCGCGCCTTCTCCATGCTCACGCCGCGCCGCCCCATGCTCTCCGCGCCCAGCACGCTCGCCGCACCTGGCACACCCTCGCAGCCAGTCTGTTCATCAGAAACACTCGACCTGGTGGGCAAAATCTCCGCACACCCGGGACTGGGCAGCATGCAGATCCGCTGCGGGCCGCGAGATACGTACAACCCGAGCCATCTGGTGAGGAAGCGGAGACATGGGTTTTTGAGCAGGATACGGACGAAGAAGGGGAGGAAGACGTTGATGCGGAGGGTTAAGAAGGGGAGGTGGAATTTGAGTCATTAGGGGAGGTTTGGGTATGGGATTGCGGCATAGTGGGGATGGGGAGATGGCTATGGGATTGCACGATCGTCGGTATGGCTAGATGCGATGGCACTCTTCCGGCGATATTGCTCAGTCAAGGATGTGTATCAGAAGCAGGGGATAGAGAGCAAGAATGGACGGCTGTGGCATATTGTACATTTGCATGCATTAGTTGCGCTTCGGAAATGTAACACCATCATAGAAGGTCATCAACGATGTCTTCAATTTCATGCGAACGATAACTACGTCCGCTTTGGCTATGTCCTCTGATCTGTTGCAGCCACTAATTGGTCTTGCACTCTGCCACACACGTGGAGCCAGCCAGGAGAGCGTCATATTTCAAGCCTTGAGGCTGAGTCTCGCATGTACTCTTACAATATCCTTGGTTCCTGGAAGCCTGTGTAGGAGACAAAGGAGAGTAAAGAGGAAGTCCAAGTTGGTCAGAGAGTGACCGAGACGTGAAAATGTCCCCCTTGCCATCATATGCATGCCCTTTGCGGGACGCCTCCCCCCACGAAGATGCCTTGTCTTTGAAGTATAGGGCTGATCAGCACCACACGATCTTGTCATCGGTAATTTCGAGTACATCACTTCGGCGTCGACGGCTCTGCAGGCTCCTTGCCCTTCCCTTGAATCTGCAGCTCCTTCACATCTTCCCCCTCCCCCGGCGTCCCCTCCTCCAGCGCCTCCACTAGCCTCAACTCCTCCTCCACCTTATCAATCTGCTTGAGCACAAACGCAATCGTCGCATCTCTCGCCTTATCCACCCTACCCAACGCCTCCAAGCTCATCTTCTCATAAACCTGCGGCTTCTGCGGCGTCGGCGGCGCCACATCCTGCTCCTCCAACTTCGCCTTCTTCTCCGCCAACAGCTTCCTCAGCGTGAAGATGTTGAAATCACGCTCTTGCAGGTTCTTGATGAGTTCTTTCCGCCTCGCCTCGTCGTCTGTTCTTTGCTTCTTGCTCGCGCTCTCTTTCTCCAGGGCTGTGGCCGCGACTTTCCATTTCCAGATGGCTTCCTTGGCGCAGTTTTCTATGTGCGTGAAGCGGATGGGGCCGATGTTCTGGCCGCCGTACCAGCGTGCTACCACGACGACGCCTTCTGCTTGCGTGTCGTTGAGCACGTTTTGGAGGCGTCCGCCAGCCCATTTCTCGCCGTCGTCATCGTGGCCGAGATCATACAGGATTTTTGAATTCGGCATGAGTGATTTTTGCCGGGAGCGTTTTCGCCATGCTGCGATTCTGTGTGAGGCGGATCGGAATTCTGGGAGTTGTTGGAGGTCTTTGGCGGAGAGGCTGGGGGAAAAGGCGCCGATGAAGGATGATGTTTGTTCGTCTATTTTGCTGGATTTGAATATTGTGGGGAGCGGGCTTGGGGACAATGAACGCTCTCTTTTTAATGCCATCTCTTTTGTCCTGGTTTGCTATGGGAGTTGTCTTGGGTTGGTGGTCAGCTGGGTGGTTGGGTTGAAAGCGGGCAAGTCGAAGCGAGATGTTCCAAGGTTGCGGTTTCCGAAAGGAATTGGTGCCGGGAGTGTCTCCAACTTCTACACCAACGCCATCCTCTTACATCGACCTCCTCCATCATGGCCCTTTGTGCCATCTCTTGATGTATCAAAAAAAGAATGTTGTGTAGATGTTATCAGGGCGGGCTTTGACCAACCAAGAGTCTGTCTCCACCACGGATTTTGTTCATTCTCCAAGAAACTTCATCACGGCCTCCAGAATGACTCTACATATGCCCTTCTTAGAGACAAGACAACCATTAAGGGTTAGATATATTTATCTGCGCATCCAAAGGTGAATTGTGTACTCGCGAGGATCAAGAGAGAGCTTGGATCTAGGTCTCTCTTCTCTCACTTCACACTGCCTCCTCAACCTCAAACTTTTCATGTTTAGGCATCCTTTTGCTCAAAATACAGTCTTCGCTGCCTCAGATTTCTTCTCTCACATCTGATTCTCACTCCAAGGTGTCTCTCCAGTTTTCGTCATTCAAGCAGCGGCGCCAGTGTCCCAGTCGCAACTAGTCCTCTCGAAAATTTCACTGCTTTACTGCAGCAGATTGTCACAGAACGCACAGAGCACCAAGCACGAAATCTTTCACTTGACATCAAAGCACAATCAGCTGCCGTAGGCACCCCACCGTGTCGCAAGCTGGTCTCTTAGCGCGGCTGAGCATATAAGAGGCCGCATAGCTTACCCACCTCCACCTCCACCACCCAACGCATAAATCATCAAAGCAATTCGACAAGCGCGTCTACCAAACAAGAGTCTATTTCCATCCTAAAGGTACGTACTACAGTTTCTTCGCCGAGAGCAAGAAGGCTTTGAACCGTGAAGCGCAAGCCGCATTTTGTGCGGGACTCATTTTTCTCTCCCCGACACTATGGCACTCGAGTTCCTTGCTTGAAATCTTTTGAACCGCATTTTATTTGCCTGCGAAAGAGTTGCGTACCATTTAGCTAACCGTAGATTCCTTGATAGACCACTCACCATGGGCCGCTTCGATACTCTCAACGCTGACACCCAGGATCTGGTCAACTGCCTTCTTCCGGCACTGGCATCTTCCTTCCACATCTCCGATGCTGTCGACATCATTCCAGAGGATATCCGCATGCGCGCTTGGGACTGTGAGCGGCGTGATCACATCAAGGATGAGACTGAGAACGACCCGCGCAACTGGGGCGTCCAGTTCCTCAAGGACCTAATGGCCATCTCCCGCATCAAGAAGGGCGATCTCAACCTCTTCCAACAAGACCTACGAGCGAAGGTGGCCAAGCATGAGGAGAAGCATCCGTGGTGCCGTCTGAGCGACATCAAGGAGCTGAAGGATGAGTATGAGCACCCGAACCGCAAGAAGCCGGTTCCCCAGGAGGAGTCTGGTTCGTCATCTACCGATTCGTACCTGGAGGAGCTCCACGAGCCTGAGCTCCCTTCAGGTATGAAGCGTGGTCGGCACGAGATCTACGAGGCTCGCGTGCAGCCAAAGCGCCGCAAGGGTATGCTTGATTCACATTTCTTGTGACATACCACGTCTAATGCGAGTAGTAAACCGCCTCCGCCGCTCCGACGATGGAGGCTTCGAGCGCAAGGACAAGGCCAAGGCACGCAAGTCTGGCTTCTCCATGGAGCGCGACAGCCCTGTCGATAGCCCAGCCCGCAGCCGCCCTGCCCTTCGTCGTCCCAGCAGAATCATCGATTCTGACGGCGAGGAGGATGCCCGCGACTCGCCCTATGGCAAGCCCTCCCGCACAAAGGCGCAGACGCCTTCGGCCTACTCCATGTCTCCCGCTCCTGCTCGACTCTCTTCCGTCATCGCCGAGCCCATCGACACTTCTGATCAGCCCCTTGCTGTCCAGAAGATGGAGGCTGAGCTGGAGGTTGCTGAGGCCGAGCTCAAGGCTGCTCGTCTCAAGTTCGCGTACTGCAAGGCCAAGGAGGAGGCGGAGGAAGAGGCCAGAAAGCGCCAGTCTGCCTTGAAATAGGTTGTGCTCGAGCCGGTCGACCGTGAAGTGTAGAGCATATGTATCAAATCGCGCAACAACTGTATGGGAGAGTTTGGTCTTTGAACGCATTGGGCTTTCAAGTCTTGTCCAGCGTCGGCGTTTTACTTCTTTGGTTTCTGCATGCGTCAGCACACATACGAGACTGCGTCCCTGATTTGTACCGACAGCGCGATGATTCGGCTTCACTCTTGCTCGTTTCTACCTCTCCTTCCATCAAGTAGTTCGGCCATATGATCTCAGTGCTCTAGATTTCCCTCAATTCAATATCATCGGCAATTCCACTCCTTTTATGCACCTTCCATATCCACGTGAAAGCCATCCGCATTGTGTATTATTAAACAATAATACGCTTTTGATCATACAAGATGCGTCTAGAGGGTATTATCCATCCTTAACATGCAATGTCCCACACAGTCATTCATCAACCTCACCGCGCTGAATCCGCACTCATCTCCACCGGCATTTCGTTCGCCGGCATTTCCGGCACATAACCAGTGCTTGCATACTTCTCCGTGGGTGGTACACTCGTACTATGCATCTCCGCAACATCTGGTCGATACCCCGTACCCTCGGGCCGCTCATGCATAGGTGACGAACGATACTCCTTCACGGCCTTTGATTTGTTCCTGCGCCGCCACAAGAAAAAGACAACTGCCCCGATCACGGCAATTCCTCCAACTACTCCACCAACAATGCCGCCTATAGCTCCTCCCGACAGACTGCCGGCGATAGGATCTCTCGCTGGGGATGTCGGAGACGGTAGGATTTCTGACGCTGGCGTGCGTCTTGCAGATGGCGTTGCAGTGGTTGAAGTCATCGTTTGAAGCGCCAACAGAGCAATGCTATACGAAGCCGCAGATGGCCTTGCAGCTCGAAGCGATTTGTATGTTGCGTTCAATAACGTGTCGTTGAGGAGGGCGACGGGGTTCTTTTCGGTGGCCCAGCAGACGTTTACTTGATCTGGACACACCCATTAGCAGTTTTCCTCGCAGACAACTTGAACGAAATTGAGACATACTGAAGCTTTGTGTACATCTCTGCCTGCGGGTTGTTAGTTCTAATACCTAGGTACACGTTTTTTTGGGATTTAAGAAGCACTTACGAATCCCTAAAACAGCAAAACGCATTCGAGCCACTGGAGCACGATATCTGCGCACCAGACGGTTTGCCACTCCCGCCGCCATCACAGGCTGGAGACGATGTGTGGCAGACTTCATCTTTGTTTCCTGGCACGCAGCAGTAGTAGACTTTCATCGGTTCGCTGAGAGCGCATATAGCGGGCGCGACGCATGGGTATTTCATGCCGGGACATGTTTGCGTTGTGGCGTTTGGCCAGAACAAATTTGTGTATTCTGAAGAAACGGATGGTAAGATGAGGAGTACGATTGATACAATGCGTCCGAATCCGCGAGCCATGTCGATTCAATCAGCTTCGTGAAGCGTTTTGTGGATAGTCGAAGTAGTCGGGAAGGAGGATTGGGGACGGAATGTTTCATCTTGCAGTTTAATTGGTGGTGGCCTTGAAGGTTCCTAATCATCGTGGCGGTGGTCTGAGAAAGGACGCCTGAAGCCTTCGGGCGCTATGCCCACCAACTGGCGATGTGATTGTACTAGATCAATATGGCGCATCTTGACCTCGCGGGATGATCCCGGTTTTAGTATAATTCGGGGTCAGGCTAACGATGTCAGTCACACCATTGAGTCGACACTTATGGTACTCAGCCATGCGCACGTGAGCTATAATATATCGACTATCTTATGAGATTTCAAGGCAGAAGCGCGAACCTTCAAGATTTGATCAGTGTATGGAAAGATGGGAGTTGGAGACACTCGCTGCGAGCCAGTTGGTGGCAGGGACGTTCCAAATAAATGCTCACTCCCACTGTGAATCAATCTTACTGTAAGTGTTTCTGGTGCTCATCTATCCAAATTGTCTACGATGCTCGAGGCGTCAGTATTGTGATGCTCGTCTGACCGTAGCCTAGGTCGTGCGCACGCATTCCCTTCACGATCAATAGAAAAAAGAAAACGATGGTTTGGAAGCGTGACTACACGTTCCAGCTGTCTTCCGGATGTTGTGAGTTACGTCAGGGGCTGGTTTGGTGATCCGTGGGCCAAAAAAGGTACAGCTCCACCACAACAACAACAACACCACCACTTCACATGGTCCAAAAGAGCGCAAAAAGAATGTTTCCGACACCGGGAATCGAACCCGGGCCTTGCCGGCGCTGAGAGCGGACTACTCTGATGAGAGCGGCAAATCCTAGCCACTAGACCATATCGGATGATTGATGGATGTCGAAAGAATAAAAAAATAAATATAGCATTACGCTCTGTCCTCTTCGACCGAAGCACGCACTTGATCACAAACGAAGTCCGTTAGCAGGGAGAGGCTGAATTGTTCTGGTTGAGAGGCAGTGCGACCTTGGCCGATTTTGCGAATTTTCTGCACGCCCCGCACTTCCCACCTCGACCTCCGTCCTGGACGATGATAAAGATCAGGGATATACCAAAAAAGCCTACCCCTAGCTAATTCTTATTGCATTGAAATAGCTTTACAAGTAGGTTAATGACTTTCGACCAAGGGGCAATTTTCAACTTGTTACTTCCCATGTCACCTGCGCGATAGCGTCTTTGGAGCAGCATCTTCGAAACCGGCATACTCCGGCTGAACTGCTTCAACGTGTTGCCTGTACAATTTCTAGAAATCGGCCTTGCAGGCTACCTATGTAAAGTTTAACCAAGGCCTTTCGTGCCTGTTCTTGGAAACCAAGCACTGATAGAATTGTCGCTAAGGCTGCATAGCTTTGAAGCCTGTTTAGGGCCTTCTGATGAGCCTTTGAACCATTTCATCATGCTTGATAATACGATGGTGTTCTCTGGTATGGCTACGGCTTTGGACAGAGCGTGCAAAAACTACCACGGTATCTGGTGCGGTTCCTTCATCCAGTGGTAGTGAAGGGCTTCAGCGGGGTCCTTATGGTATTTCGAGATTTCAGTCAAATGAAAGATAAAGAGGCGATGTTCGGCGCTTGCTGGATGCCGCGAAGCTCAAGTCAAGCCACTGAGATGGTGATGGGACTGCACGACGCAGTGTTCAGGATCTACGGGGTTCATACGTTCCGAACCTCAGGCAAGGATGTCCGACACTCGCTCGGTATGGACCGCATTATGCCGCACGCAGCAAAGCTAGAAATGGCCTGTTGGATCTACGGCATGCTCACTGTGACGCCGAAGAAACTCCCATTGCCTGATCGTACCTAAAACTAAACGTGGCTGGTGTAGTGACCCGGCAATCGTTGGCTCGGTTGATGTTGATCGCCCCACTCCTGCCGTCTCCACCACTTTGGAACAATCACCTGCACGCCTGAAAATAGCTGTACCGCAACACAAACGCATAATGTTCATTGCGGCAGCCATCCCCTTAGTATCTCGTTTACAAACTGCGCCACATGAGCGGTTGATCATTCTGCTTCATTCGTAGAACAAATCGGCTCCGAAACATGATGATCAGCGCTACGCTGCCCATAACTCTAGATCTGGATGCTACCTCCGTTCATTGCCACGCGGTTATGCCTTTCCGCTGAGGCAGTGACGATGCCTTAGTGACTTCTTCCGTTTCGAGGCGGGCGCCTATCCTAATCATGCCATGTGGAGAGTATCAGACTGAATCCTCTTGAAGCTGGCGCTACTAGTTGCTGCTCAGTGCTACCAGGTTCTGCGAGGCACGAATGTATATAAAAGTCGTCCTAGGGAAGATCAGGCTTTCATTCAAACCATTTCAAGCACAGCTTTCGTATCTACATATCAATCAATCTAAATTTTCTGCAATTACACAAGTCATCAGCACAAGTCACTCACCTACGCAACCATGGCTCCCATCTTCAAGATCGTCACTCTTCTCAGCTGTAAGTAAGAGTGAAGTCTTGAGGAAATCTCCCCACTGACGAAATCAAAGTCTTTCTCTACGCTGCTGCTCAGGGAACTCAATTCATCACGGGTACTTGCGCTTCTGATGCAGAATGTGCTTCCGCCTGCTGTGGCTTCACGTCCGGCAAATGTGCAGCTCCTTTCGTTGCAAATGAGCGAGGAGAGGGATGTGGTTTTGGAGATGCTCAACCAAACAACAATGCTCTCGCTGGGACTCAAGGCGGACAAGGCCAGCCAGGTCAAGCAAATGCAAGTGCACCTGCCGCACCTGCTCCTGCCACCCCACCTCCTGCTGCGGTAGAGGCAGAAGCAAAGGCTCCTGGAACGCAATTCATCACAGGTCCTTGTACTTCAGATGCAGACTGCGCATCTGCATGCTGTGGATTTCAGTCTGGAAAGGTTAGTCCAGTGGATTGTACTCATAAATGTAACATTCCTGACGTTTCAACTAGTGTGCCGGCCCAGCAGTAGCTCAAGAACGGGACGGTGGGTGTGGGTTTGGAGATGCGCAGCCAAACGACGATGCGGCGAAGGCTCTTGCAGGAAGGAGTCTGGGACGGCGAGGACCGAGCCTTATGTAAGATGTGTGTCATAACTGCGTGAGTGATGCGTAAGGAAAGTCGAGATAATGTTTACGAAATCTTTACCAAAGCACGAATCCACTGGTTGATTATTGTTCTTTGAGATAGCAGTTCTCTGTTGTCCTTTCCAACGGCTTTCCCATTGGACTCCCCTTCGCTGTCGAACGCCCTTCGTGCCATCACTTTCGTGCCAATTGCGCTGCATTCAAATGTTGCTTCCCCAGGTGAGATGTGGGTGATAGAGTCCTTTTCCTGCTCCTCTACTTTCTCATGATTGACTCGCTGTAGAGATGTCGTAGCATTTGAAGCCGTGCATGTCTCGCCTTGATCTACTCGGCATCCCGTTAAAGGATGAGTCATCGTGGCATTTACCCACTGCTCCAGTACTGTGTGCACAGGTTTTGGGTATGTGATGCACGCTTTTGTTTCGCACAAGTAGCCTTCAGTGAACGCGTCTCTTTTCAAGCACACTAGTAGGTTGTCTGACAAGGGGGAACATGTCGTCAACATAGCCTTGTTGTGATACATGCAATTAAGCTACACCTTGCCTCGTCCTCTGGGATAAGAAGGGTTGTCGACGTGGTGGCAACTGAAGATGAATGGCCGTGCCTGTGAGCATCGTGTATAGGCTGAAGTTGGTTTTCCATATACACACTTCGGACGTTCCTGAACACGAAAACTAAGTGGATGTGTGACTTACTAGAGAAATGCAAGGTGGTGAATTGTCGAGCACACATTACATCGAGAAAACAACCTGCACAAATTCAAAATAGGACAACAAAGACAGTATATCAATAGCGGGGAAAGAGGCTGGTTCAATGATACAGCAATCAAACGTCAGTTAATCCTGTAGAACCGCCCAGTTTTGAACATTTGAAGAAGATGAACGCATAATCATGCATTGTCATACCCGTCCGGTCTACACAGGCGATCCGTGTACCTTCACGGACTGAAGAGCATGCATGAACAATCGAAAATTGCTCGGAAAGGTGTCTACGCTTATTATGAAATTGTACATACTTATTCCTGGGTGGTCGAGCATCGTGGTGGCCAATTGTGCCGACTCAAGCGGTGGTATTGCGCCACGCGTACTGCGAAGGGTGATGTCGCACTGGCAGAAGCAAAGTACTGGTCATAGTCTGTAAAGTCACCTACTCGCCGTCCGTGATGGCATTTGCGGTGAAAAAGACAGTGTTTCGCGCCCAATGATGGCTGGCCAGATGCCGGAAGACGCTCGCGCCGTCCCCTGCCAGGCCGCAGCTTCTGCCTACGACCGATAACTCCTTCTCTTCCACTCACAACATAACACGGAGTCATTGCCAGTCCCCCAAAATCTCACGGTGGCGCAAATAAAATTGACCGTTCCTTCAGGTTCCAACTAACGTGTCTAGCGCGCTTTGAAATCCCGTATCCGCTCATAAATCTCTCCTCCTACTGGCCAAGACATCACGCGAGCCTCGCCTGCATCGCGATAATCAATACGCGGCCCTGTGTATGTCTCTTTTTAGAACCCCTAGACTAGCTGTGTGCGGCTGAGGAAATATGTCGGGCGACTACAAGTGCTATGGCTTGGCTCCTGTTTTCCATTTCATCATTTCCTGCTGCTAGCAACTGCGAGTTCAACAAATCCATTCTTTTTCTATTGCACGAATTGTATCACTGCATCCATCATGCGTTCCTCGACCTACATCGCGCTATTTGCTGGCTCAGCTGCAGCACAGTCTTCAGTCTCTTTGTTTAATCTATATCCATACCAAACGACACTTACGCAGATTGGTTCCGACGCGACTGCCACAACTTACCAGAACGTTTGTCCCTCAGACAAAGCTGGAATATCCGTCCTCCCTTCCTCGCTGCGTAAGTTGAGCGTATATCACACCGTTCGTCAAGACTGACTTGCCCAGGTCCCACCCCTGATAGCCCTGGCGTTACCATCACGCCCGCACCCACACCACGAGTCCGTTATGCTCGTCAGGCCACCCCAACTGCCTCTGCCGGTGACGATGACGACGGCTTCGAACTGTGCGAGCCCTATACACTGAAGCAAGGCGGATCGACATGGGAGATTCACATGACAGATCCATCGCCGGGCGCATGGTATGATCACCTTTATACGGATTACATGTGAGACATGCACTGACTGGACAGGACTATGGATGTAAACTGCAAATGGCAAGGCGCGATAGCGGATGCAGATTTGACCTGCGTAGCTACCGCGGACGGATACGTCGTAGACCAATCAGATCGGGGCACTACCACGACTGTGATATCCAAAGACGAGGTGTCCACTATGAGTTTTATCTCGGCTTATGCGGTTGTCACTTCATCGGGATCAGCTTCGCAGACACCATCTGGTTCAGGTGCTAAATCCGGAGCACCGACCGCAAGTGGCTCGACTTCGGGTTCTAGCGCTGCTGGAGCCGCGCCCAGTACTGGACTTGCGCCTGCGGGACCTATGCCTACAGGTGCTGTGGCTTTCATCGGTGGTGCTGCGGGTGTCTTTGCTGCTGCACTTGCCTTGTAGGAAGCATAACGAGGACGTTGTAGACTAATTGTACTATTCGCCGCATGCAAGGTTAATCCTAATAATCTATTGCAATCCTTGTTGAAGGATCACTCCATCTCTGTTTTGGCTGCCGTGTTATGCGAATTTGAGTGGGTTCCAAGTCCTGCAGAGGCAAGTCGTCATTCTGCAGCCACTTCGCCACCACCACTCCCTAATCAGCCAAGTGAGCTAGAAGAGATGTAGCCAGACCGCAAACATCTTCGACAAAACAGCCATTGACTGCTTCACTCACAATGGCTAACACAGCAACTGGCCATCGTGCTTTAGACTTCCCTGAGTTATTTGAGCAGTTATCGAATTTCAACCCTGTCCTCGCCATTCCAGTCGTTTTTCTTTTCAAAACCACCTCAACATTTCGTGAAGACGTCTTGCAACGTTTACTTCTTGGCAAAGGCGAGCCACTCCCTGAGCATGTGGAAAGACGAAATTTGGGGGCAGTACCCTGGTATCGCACCTCCAAGCCATCTCGAGGAGTTGTTCCTCGGGCGGAAGGAGACGTGCCAAAAGTGACTGGGCAATGTATCCTCATTGACCAAGACCTGCTGGAAGAAGAGAAATGCATTATTTCACAGGAGTTCGAGAAATCTGAAGTCCAGCAAACTCACGAATGTGCGATTGTACCCATCGCTGATGCCTATCATTTCCTGTGCACTGAGCCCTACTACCAGTCATGGTTCGACTCCGGCTCATTGGATGCGGCATGTCGACTTGAACCAGAACCGGCGGTCGAAGCTGAAGAAGTAATAACAGACACTGAACTTCCTGTTCTCTTACCGGAGAACTGTACGCCAGAGAAAGAGGAGCATTTGATTGGGCTGTTCGAAGTTGACTGGTTCGAGGCGTCCGAGCCCGACTTCATCCGCATCCCCATCTCATACGTGGACGGAGAATCTACTGATGCAGCAACTAAGCAAGACGAAAACATCTCCAACCTCATGCAGCACTTCCTCGATCGGGGCTGGTTTCCTCACGACTTCATCATCATCGACGACATGGCTGTCTCTTCGCTACCGTTTGATGAGGAACACTTTCCAACGTTCTTATACGGCACGAAATTGTCGATGTGGCACGAAGCAGCTGAGCGCCAGACGATTGCGATCGACAGCCTTGGCTATGCTATTGGTCGTTTGAAGATGAAGAATATGGACGACTACATGATGATGCTTGGAGCTAGCGTTAAAGGCATGGGCTTGGGCCATTTTGTGGGTGACCGAGAGGACTACAAACACTACTACTGGGGCTGTTGGAAAGATGAGAGTGGTGCAGTAGATGAGGATATTAAGCCGCACTTCATGTATGATTGAGGGTATTGTTCCAAATCCTACAGTTACGCTTGTAGGCTTCGAATGGTTGGGGACGGGCCGCTGTGTTGTATGGCATGCATGTATACTCCCGACAGTGCCGATTGTACCTTTGGAAGTAAGGCAGCGCTACTTTCCTTCTGGACCAGCATTGTTCAATACAGAGTTGCAAGTTGTGAATTTCAGTCACATGATCACGTGAGCGCGCGCGTCACCGCGTTTCCTCCTTCACCCACTGCTCTGGACGTTGAGCTTATAGCTACCCCGCACCTCGTCACAACTTTGAACAATGCGCGGCGCGACACGCCGTTCCAAGCCCTCTCACTTGGTCAACAAAGGACCTCTTTACCTCACCTTCTTTGTCTAGAACACCAAACTTTCAGTCTCCTTGCCTTCCATCTCACATAATCCGCCGCCCTAATTTCTGAGGGACACAAATAACAGACACATCATGGCTGTCACAATCGATAGCACACCAGCAACACTGCTCCCTATACCCAAGACTCATCTCCTGAAAGGTCTCAAGCGCCATGCCTCTGCGCCAGCACGCCCACCAATGACGGTCGATTTGTCCAAGATCAGTGAGGAACACCAAAAAATGAGCAAGCAACGCTCAGCTCCACATACGCGTAGCTCAACGAGTCCTCTACGGCCAAAAACAAACCTCTTGAACGAACTCGCTATCGCCCAGTCTGTAGCCTCTCAGCTTCGTGTCGACCGAGACGAATGGCGTACTACAGCGCAACTCCAGGAGCAGCAAATTGCATATCATGAGCAAGAACTCGAACACCAGCGGCATGCCTTTGCTTTACTCGAGGAGCAGCACGCGGCAGTCGGTGCTGAGCGCAAAGAGATCATTCTGGCCAACGACAACCTCTTCACTCTCTTCCGAGAGGCGGTGAACAAGCACGACAAGCTTGCTGATGACCTGAACGAATCAAAACGTGCCACCGCCCGCCTGAAGAAGAGCGATCGTGCCAAGGGCAAGGTGTTGCAGCGTAATTTGAGGCTGAAGAGCACACTGCAGCGGATCGGAATGCAAGCAAGTTGCAGTCCAGCTGCGCCCAATGCGAACACCGAGGCGTCGCTCCTGGAAGCTCTTGCGGCAGCAGCAGAGCGGATCGACGAGCTGGAGAGCAAAGGGGAGGCGCTGCTGGAAGCACTTGAGACGAGAGATGATAGCAGCGAGAATGAGGAGGAAGACGATGGAAATGCCAAGTTGTTGGAGGCTGCGGTGGCGATTCGAGGAGTGCTTGACGAGGAGTCGTTCGCAGAGCAGAAACAGCATTGGGAGATCTTGTTGGCCGAGTGAAACAAGAAAGCTGACGTGATACATGCATTTTCCCTGCATCAGATGCGAAGGACGACGTATCTCGCACCGGTCGAATCGATATCGCGATCCGGCACCGGCACCTCTTCAGGCGTCACGACGCCTTTACTGCCACCGGTCATCACGCGCAACGCCCTTGCATCGAAGGATAGCTTTCTTGCAGAAGTCCTGGTACATGGACCACCTTCTGAGGTGCCTGGAACATTCAGCACGATGGCCATCCGATCGCAAGTTGCGACTGCAGGTTGAGGACTTTCAGCTTCCTTCATATCGCGCCGTTTTACAGGTGTAGAGTTCGAGCGCCATGAGTTCATATCCTTCCAATATCAATCCAGCACCGAGCTCTTCAATATTCGTTCAGTCGTGTTTTATCGTCGTGAAATCGTCAAAATCAAGTCCCTTCGTCAAGCGAGCCATCGCTCTGTCGGCGCTCATTTTCAGCGTCCGAGAGCCTTATATTTGGGCGCGCGCCAAGCCCAGAGCCATGGTTCGCAAACATGCAACTCGACATCATAGCGTTCCTGGCGGGGTCGTCTCCGGAAAGTGGGAGCTCCAACGCCCAATTCACGGACCTAGCATTTCCCTCTACAATCTTTAGGCTGCAAACTTCTGTGTTTTCGTCCGCCCAAGCCGTGAGCCAACTTCCGCCTTCCTAAATTGGGACTACCTTCGAAATTGACTGGGCGCATCCTGCGATAAGCCGTCTACACGCGCATTGCTTTTCTCCATCACCACCATTTCGACTTCGGATCCGCACGTCGCCCAAGACTCGTGCTTCATCAGAGAACGCAAAATGGGAGGCAACAACTTTGCGCAATTCATGGTGGTAGGACGTATGTTTGGCCCCCACCAGGCCCACCAACTTTGTGCATAGCTAACACATCTACCTTCATAGCCACATGTTTCTTCCTAGGCATACTCTTCGCCTCGCTGCCCTATGACTACAATGTCCTCTGGACCGCCCCGCCCGAGGGACGCGACCACTACTTTAACCTGCTCGAGTCGCACATCAAGTTCCTCTACGCCTCGCCCGCCATCATCAGCCGCATCCTCAACCTCGTCATCGGCACCGGCCTCCTCGGCTTCCTGATCAAGCTGTTCAAGGCGTCCGAGTCCAACATGCTGTTCGACGGCGCGTCGCTGGTGCTCTACATGGCGGGAATAACCGTGTACCTGACCAACATCGTCAAGGGCTTCCGGGTTGTGACGGCGGGCATCTACGGGGACATCAGCCGCGCGTCGGAGATTGGCGAGAAGGTGGATTTGCAGGAGGGCGAGGACTTTATCAGCAGGGAGGATACGTTGAGGGTTTATGCGGCGAGTAACACGATTCTTGCGCTGGTACTTGTGGGTGTGCTTGTGTTGCAGGCGGGGCAGTGGTATGCGAAGCGCGCGGAGGAGAAGGAGATTCAAGAGATTGAGAAGAAGGAGGGTGAGGTGAAGAAGGCGGGGAAGAAGAAGCAATGAGCTGGATGAACGGTATGTGGGGTGCGCGGGTAGGGCTTCGGCGAAAGCAAGGGTGGGTATGCTTTTTAATTTCTGGTCCCTTTGAGTCTCATTTCATGGGTATCTCGGAAGAGATGGACATATTGGGTTCATGTGAGCGGAGCGGGACACGGTCTCGCAATGTATGTGTTCCATGTATACAATGACGGCTGTTTATAGCAGCTGGCTATCTTCATCATTTCTGCATTCTTCACATTTCCTGTCAAAGTTCCCATCCACGGTGGCCGACGTCGGTAGTCCCGTGACCGCGCGGCGTTTGTTTGTCGTCCCGCCGTTACCATCGCGACTGCCTCTTTTGGAAGCCTTCAGACCGCCGAATACAAACATGATCCGCGTCCACCGCCCTTCGGCTAATCTTTGACACGGACACGACTGACTACATCTTGCACTGCATCTTGCACGGCCTTCCAGTGGCTTGAGACTTCGACGCAATCAGCAGAGCTGTTCCACGGTAAGCTCGTTCAAATCAGCATTGAACAACCTCCCCAGGACTAAGCATGGCACGGAAGACGACCAGCATTGAGCGCCTCGAGCAGCGCAATAGAGTAGCGAGGGCAGAGGCGGCGAGAAGTGCTCCTAAAAAAATTGCCCCAACAAGTGACGACAGAGCGAGGGCCCGCTCCACCGCCATGTCAGGGCTACTTGGAAAACAGCTGGCCAACATCTCGGATACTTTGGCCAAAGCCTCCCAGCGTCGCAATGCGGAGGTGCAGAGAAGAAGTCCGCAGCCACCGGCCGCTCCTACCGCTTCGGCACCGGTACCCACTGAGTTCTACCTAACGTCAGACATAGTGGCAGGAAGCAGCGCAATCGGCAGTCCAAGTGTTCCGTCTCACAAACCCCAGACCAAGCCTACCCTGCAGAGCCCTGGGCAATACGATCTCGACCTGTCGAAAGCGAATACTATCATGGGTTGATTGACACCATGCTGAAGTCGCATGGAGCGTTGACTAATGAGGTCCTAGGTGAGGAAACTGCTCAAGCCTCTCTGCGCGGAGGGTACGTATCGGACGAAGACGATTCGGCAAAAGTACTCGCGAGCTTTGAGACGAAGGGCGCTGCCGCGAATGCCCATCGCGAGGAGATGTCTGCACAGGCTAGCAAGAGCGAGTTTTCCACTACGACTATGCAGGGAGATCTGAAGGCTGAGATGCTACAAATGTGGCATACCGCACCTCCATCCGGCACCGAAGGCGAACCTGAAGATGACATTGACCCGGTCCGACTACTAGCGACTTTCGACAACACGCCTTCTGCAAGGCAAACCACTATTCGCGTAAAGAGCGAAGATGTTGACTCGGAGCAAACGCTTGCGTCTCCTGCATGCAGCTGGTCGTTCAGCCCAGGAGCTCCAGTTGAGGCGCCCATGAGCATCACAGCAGGTCTACGTCAGTCTATTGATGCTCACCCGCTGGCCACTGACCCCGATTGGGAGGCTCGTTTCGAGAAGCTGTTGGAAGGACTACACACTCCAACGGCACAGAGCCCACAGGCTATCTTGGGCGGTGACGACGACAAAGACCCCCGAAGCATGCTGGCTGCCATTGAACAAGAGAGCGCTCTCGCCCATAACAATGACCCCAAGTGGATGCTTGCAGAGCTGGAGCGAGGACTGCTGCAGGGAAATATTGATGAAGACAACGACGAAAGTCTTGACGCATTTCGAGCTAGACTCATAAACACTCTCTCGTCTTCAGCTGGTCATGCATATGGCGCACAAAATTTTACGGATGCGAACACCACAAGCTCCGCCGTCTGTAGTGAGGTTGACAGCTTGGTCACGCTCGACAAAACTCTCCTACCCTACACCATTGCACTTCAGTTGGAGATCGCCGGTATTTCCTGGGAGGAAATTCAAGGCTGGACGACCTACCTCTTCAGCGAGGGACTCGACGGCTACAAGGCATGTCAAGACAAGGACGCCATTGTCAAGCGAGCCAACGAAGAACTGGAAAAGACCATTTCTCAAGTGACCGAAGAGACCAAGCACTACTGGAGCATCCAAGATGAAGTTAGGCTTCCGTGTCGGGTCATCATCTCCAACATCGCGGCAGGTGCAGACGTGGGAGATCTCCAAGAGTTTTTCCGCTCATTCAGATTCGTCGTGTAAGTCAACACGTCTCACTCCATGGTTCTTACTAACGGGCTGCAATAGCGAGGAGATCAGAATGCTACCTGGAAGAGATCCGGTCAAGCGGACCAAGGTCGCCCACATGGACATGGTGTCAAGGCATTATGCTATTCAAGCTTCATTCATGACCGGTAGCATCTTCGGGCTGATGCTCAAGATCAAGTTGGCGGTTGAGAAGAAGGATTGAGAGAGGGTGCCGAACGATCATAGGAGGGACAAATCTTGATAGAGGGATTGTCCCAGTAACTAGGACTTTGTTTTGTGTAGTGCTGGAAATAATTCAGATCGCTTCTGACAGGTGCCAACACGTGCTTCGAAGCAACCTGTACGTATCCAGAGCAATACCAAATCTCCCGTGACGGCCGTGAGTACGGTGAAGCTATTCGGCCTATGCGAACACATAGTTGCGAATATAATGTCGCGAGGCAAGCCGACATTGCGAACGTCGGCTTTCGCCCCTTTGTGACCGTGCGCGGCGGATGTCTCCGATAGCCGTATCGAGCTGTTACTCCACCGTTCGCCATCCCCCACTCTCGCAAACATCACGCTTGCGACCAAATGGGTTCCTCTCAAAGGTCTCTGCGCTCCTATTCCTCCTTCAAAGATAACGGATGAGTGTACTTGGTTGTCTTGCGACCAACCAAAATGGACGAAGCAGCCCGTATCAGCTACGATCATGGCGTAGAAGAGTTGCGCGCAAAGGAGTACCCCATGTTGCAAGGTCAGCTTCATTTGCAAATGAGCAAGGCGACGGATGCTCACCTAGAATAGGGACCACATATCTGGACCATGCTGGCACGACTCTCTACGCGAAATCGCTAATCGAGCGCTTCTCAACTGATATGATCACCAACTTATACGGCAACCCGCACTCCGCCTCCAACGCCTCCCAGCTTACAACCCGCCGCATTGAAGACGTCCGGCTGAGACTGTTGGAATTGTTCAGTGCCGACCCGCAGGACTTCGACGTTGTATTCGTGGCGGAATGCCACCGGCGGGCATCAAGCTGGTTCATGGACGCATTCCCGAGATCAAGACGGAACGGGTTTTGGTATGGATACCACCCGGGATGCTCATACCAGTCTGATCGGTGTACGCGAGGCTGCCACTGAGCACCAATGCTTTACATCAGGACGTGGAGGTTCAACAATTGCGATTGACCTGCAAGACAACGAGGGGCGGGGCAAGGCTCTTTGCCATATCCAGCTCAGTCCAACATGAATGGGCGTCGCCTGCCGTTGGAATGGGTCCACCGCATACGCACGAACAAGAGCGAACGCACGTACACATTGCTGGACGCAGCTGCTTTGGTATCGACCTCGCCGCTTGACTTCGGAAGCGCCGAAGAGGCACCGGACTTCACGGTGCTGAGTTTGTACAAGATATTTGGGTTCCCTGATCTCGGCGCTCTGATCGTCAGGAGAGCATCAGCCTCGATATTCGACCAACGACGCTATTTCGGTGGTGGCACTGTTGAAATGGTTGTATGTCTCAAGGAGCAATGGCACGCGAGGAAGGCAGATTCGCTGCATGAAAGATTGGAGGATGGCACCCTGCCGATCCACAGCATCATGGCGCTCGATACTGCAATGGCTGTACATCGAGAGCTGTACAACATCATTGGAGCAGACATCAATGCATACAACATACTTAGCTAGGCAGCTCTACGACGGCCTTTTATCGTTACAACACGGTAATGGCGAGAAGGTGTGCCATATCTACAAGGATCCTGCATCTACATATGGCGATGCCGGATCACAAGGCCCGGTCATTGCTTTTAACCTTCGGAATGAGTCTGGTGGCTGGGTTAGCAACGCAGAGGTCGAGAAGCTCGCGGCCATTCGGGAGATCCAGCTACGTACTGGTGGGCTTTGCAATCCCGGCGGTGTTGCATCTTCGCTTCGGTTGGCGCCTTGGGAAATGCGGGAAAATTTCTCTGCTGGCCAAAGATGTGGTAACGATAACGACATCATCCGTGCGAAGCCAACTGGTATGATACGTGTGAGCCTCGGAGCGATGAGTACACTGAAGGATGTGAAGTCATTTGTTGCTTTCGTGCGCGAGTTCTTCGTTCAGGACCCCCGCCCCACCGCTACATCACCAATGATGACTGCTCGAGATGAGCCCCCAACACATGGTCGCCTACACGTGGAGCGCCTGTCTGTGTACCCTCTTAAAAGCTGTGCAGGATACAGCGTGCCGCCCGGTGCGGGCTGGGAAGTGCGACCAGAAGGCCTTGCGTGGGATCGCGAATGGTGCCTCGTACATCAGGGCACGGGAGCAGCTTTGAGTCAAAAGCGCTACCCAAAAATGGCTCTGATTCGCCCCAGCATAGATTTGGATGAAGGCGTACTGCGTATCAACTTAGCTGGTGCATTGCGCGGTTCGACGAGTCTTGACGAGATCACCGTGCCGCTTTCAGCAGATCCACGATTGTTCTCGAATACAGACACGTACAAGGAGGCCGCCGCCAAAGTATGCGGTGACACTGTCAGTGCCAAGACCTATAGGTCGAGTAAGATATCAGCCTTCTTCTCACAAGCACTTGGTGTGGCTTGTCACCTTGCACGATTCCCTGCCGTTAGCAACGGCAGTGGCTCGTCGAGACATTCAAAGGCGCATCTCCAGAAATACCAGAAAAGTGGTGGCCTGCAGATACCCGGCGCTTTTCCAATTACGGCACCCACAACGCCCGGCGCGTGCGTTTCAAAACCGATATTGCTGTCAAATGAGAGTCCCATCCTCACAATTTCACGGTCGAGCCTCAACCGCCTCAATGAGTTGATCAAAGCTGAGGGCGGCAAGGCGGCGCAAGCAGAAGTATTTAGAGCCAACATAGTGGTTGCGGAGAACCCTGACTACCCGCCTGGGCTGGAGGATCCATATGCAGAAGACGACTGGCGCTACCTTCGGATTGGCCAGCAGTATTTCGAGATGCTGGGAGCGTGCAGACGATGCCAGATGGTCTGCATTGACCAGCAAACCGCCGAAAAGAACCAGGAGCCATTTGTGACACTGTCCAAAACACGTCGTTTTGATGGCCGTGTTTACTTTGGAGAGCACACGTGCCATCTGCCTCTGGAGGACGCATCGTCTGCATTGGTTCAAAATCCAACCATTGCGGTTGGAGATGCAGTGCGCCCATATCGGGAGGATGATGTCCACACTGACTGTCGGCTGCATGCTCTCGTAGGCTGAGGCCTGCTTTACGCCAACTCGGTGTCGGGCTGTAGTCATGCGGCGCAGATATGCTTATTTGCTCCTTTGCACCGCGACGGACCTGTTTACCGAATATCAGGCCCCTCGCCATGGTTCTGGAGACACAACGTGGGGCTTCAGCTGGCTAGTCATAGCAAGCGACGATTGGATGGCCTCGGCAGCAGTGCGACCAACTCAAAACGGTTCATCGAAGTTCGCGAAGCAAAGTAGCGCCCGTATCTAGCCAAGACACAGTACACGACAGTAATGAACGGGCGTCATGTGTAAGCGCTGGTCACTAGGTTTCATGGAAGTGTCTTCTGGCGTGCCTTGACCTGTGAGGATCACTTGAGCAGCCACCTTCCGCACGGTCTCTGTCTTGACAGGGGCGTTGGTGTTGTGAGGCGCGCGGCCAGAGACAATTCAGAAATGGGACGGCAACGGGTGGCCAGGCGGCGGAGGCAATGTATCGACGGAAGCGCGCGACACGACTTGAGCAGCGTAGAAATATACCACAGCGGCTGCAAACGAGACATAAAGTGATCTAAAGCTCCACGAGGTCAGATGCACACACTACTTGCATCTACTTCGCCTCTATCTATTTCCAGCTCCTGATCGCCTTCTGCTACCACGCATCCTACGCAAGCGTCTCAGCAGCTCGTCTCAGGTTCTCTTACTCGGCACCAGATAGACAGCTGGACCAGGTTGCCACGTTTGCCCGCCAGGTCCTTGTTCTGCTAGTTCTGTTAGGCTCGTGTTTGCACCTCGCAGCCTCCCGCACGTCTACGCCCGCAGCGCACATCCGAAAGACGTCGACCGAATCAGCGTCGCGAACAGCGGTCTGAAGCCTCGTAGCCTGCAGGGGCCGCAGTCAGGTCACATTGTGGTTTCGCCGCCTTTGGACCAATTGCCGTGCGAGACGAGTAGGCAGCCCGTAAGCGCTGACGCACAGACGAAATCTGCTACGCGCCTTCCAGAGCACCCGCATATTTTTAGCAGGAACGACCCATACGCCGGCCAACAACAACTCCGCGTCTGGCTAGCCGTCCAGTACGTACAATAAACACATACACGTCCCCGGCGCCAAAGGACACCTGATTTACTGCCGGCCTGCCTCGCTCTCTCAACCTTCCACCTTCACCCCGTGGAAGCAGGCACTGCGCAGCTCCAGCTTCGACAAGGAACCCAGTCACTCGTTCAGAGCACGGCATCCCTCGACATCATGGCCACCACCGATGCCAAACCCGTCTTGTCCACCCTCAAGACTCCTCTGTCTGCCACCTACCCCTCGGAACTCCGCTCGCCCATGGTTCACTCGGCCACGACTCCCATCTTTGCCAACATCAAACGGGAGGACTCGGATCTCAAGACGCCCATTACCCCACCAACAGCTTACCTGGAATTCCTCAAGAACCTGTCCCCCGTTCTAACGAGCCCCATGTCCACTGGCACCAGTTCGCGATTTGTTTTCGAGGGGAGCCGGCCAGTCTCAGTGACATCAGCAGCATCCAGCGCGTCCTTTACATCAACTTCTGCTCCCGCCGACAAGGATTCACCAGCGACATCGAGGTCGAGCAGCTGCAGCCGATGCGACCCTGCCAAGGATGAGCCGCCTATGTCTGCACCTCCTACCAAGCTCCAGATGGTCTCCATTCCCCCACCATCGCCATTTAAGCGGCCACAGTCTGCGCGGACTCCCCGCCTGTACATTCCTCAGTCACCCTACTCACCAGCTGGCGTCCGATCACCCGCCAGCGCCAAATCAGTCCACTCACCATTCTCAGCTGCTTCACCGAAGACCTGGGACCTGGACAAGAAGACTGGCCGATCAAGGCGCGTGAGCGTGCGCGAGGTTGTAACTCGAACAGTGACTTACCACACCACACCGGTCGATGCGAAAGCACCAAGCTTTCCTCAAATCGACCCCGCACCGCGCGGCAAGCGAAGAAAGATTGAAGAGTGACGATTGTTACGTAGCCCGCCTATCTTGGGCGATGCGGTTGCGCAGCCGCCATGTGCTACCCACGAGTAGCGCCAATCTTCATTGCCTCGTCACTCAATCGCCTATCATCTGCGCCCGTACCCGTACATGATCCGGCTCTCACGACATATCACTAAACACCCGGCCAATCAACTAATTCTCGGGTCCTGGCGACTCGATCGCATCTTTTTCATTCGACTAGTCTTCGTCTCTATTGCACAACTCTACACTGGCCGGGGCACACTCCTCCCACAACTACATCATCACCTCTTTTTCCTTTGTTAATCTCCCTACATATTAGAGGAACGACTTATGGCTACGTTGTTCTCTCATGACCCCCCAAATCGGGCTTGGATACCAACATTCATGTAACGGCGCGAAAATCTGGATTTACAAGCTCCTTTGCGAAATACCTCTTGTGGCGGCGCTTGTGGTGTTTTTTTATTTTATTGGTGGAAAGGATATCCTATCACCATTGGTGCCACTCTCTCACGATTGGAGAGAAAGATGGGGATTTGGGCCATGCACTGCTGCGCTGGCACGATTCTTTTCTTCTGCGGTTATGGCGAGTAGGTTTGCAGATGTGTTAAGCGGGCGGTAAAACAGCCCTGCACACGGCAAGAGAGAGACTAGTATCTACTTTGCTATACGCCGCATCTTGACGAAATCAAATCTTCAAAGCAAATGAAACAAATTATTCCATCTATTTTACTACGTCCTGTGAGAGATTTGACCGTGGAACATGCACCTTATCCCTCCCCTGTGATGCTGCATGCATCGATCAGATGTCTCCGAACGCAAGTCCAGCAAAAAAATCATCCATCTCATCCCTGCGACCATTGGCGCCCTGCAACCCACCATGTGACCACCCACCACCGCACCGCACCCGTCCTCTGCATGCCTTGTCCCGCTCACACATACACCATCCTTCCCCTACCACGCCGCACCAACCCCACCACCCCTGCCAAAATTTCGATACTGCACCTATTCATCGCCCACTCCGATAGTACCTCTCTCACATGTCCGTAGTGCACCTTCTGGTGAGGACTAAAGCAAGGATTCCCAGCGTGAAGGCTGGCCGCTGGGGTAGATGGGTGGTGGCCAATGGGAGGCGAGACGCAGGGATGGAGGCTGTTAAGTGGGCGCTTACGGGTTGCTGGGATATCTTGTGTGTAAGGGAGGAAAGTGGGGAATTGGGAAGCTCGTGCGTGGCCGGGCGTGCAGGCGGGCGGGAAATTTCTCGACGTTTGGGAAGTTGGAAGGGGTTTGAAACAGTGCGGTGGGGGAATTGGGTAGGGGAGGGTGAAACGAAACGAACACGGATGTTTTGGTAGGAGGTACATGGAACAATGTTGTGGGGTAAAGATTCAAAGTTGGATATTTGTGGTGTTGATTTACTCTAACTTACTTGCATGTTTTTTCTTGTGCAAATACTTTCTCTGGCAAAAAAACACCATCGCACGACGTCAACGGAGCAGAACGACGCACCTTGCGCATTACCAATAGACCTTTTGCTTTCGATCCCCAGCCCAGCAAATCACGCGCAACGTCGCCGTAGCGCCAATCAGCTTACGCCCATCCGGATCTCGGGAGAGCTAACCCGAGCTGGAGTGTGGATCCCTAAATGATCAATTAACCACGCCGCGGTTGTGCAGAGAACTGGGAGCGATGGGCATGCGCGCTGCGTTGTTGAAGTCGCGGTGTGAGAACCGTTGAGATATGTGGCGGTGGGATGGGGTTAGTGGGGTGAAGATCTCTCCTGTTGAATACCGGTATGATGGGCATGTGCATGAGGGATTTTGGAGAAGAGAGTGTATTTTTTTGGTCAAAGGAAAGGTTTTATCAAACGACGAAGGCGTTCCAAAGTGGGATGCGTTGTATCTTCGCGAAATGATCAACTGCGTCTATTCGGTCTACTTAGCGATTGCACGTACCATGTCTCCCGTGGGTACGACGCTGGCAGCATCATCTACCCACACATGATCCCCAACATCAGACTTCTCCGGCACAGTAGCCGAGGCCGTATGCCACGCCGCCTGCAAGTCGAGTGACGCATATGACTCTTGAGCAAGGACTGCCTTGGTAGCTTCCTGTAGACGGCACTGCAGCTTGGATTTCTTTCCCAATAGTGCACGTGCTAGCGAACAGGCGGCATAGCATCTAAGCGAGATGGTATGCTTCCTCGTGACGACGATCGACCGGCGACGGTATCCCTTGCGGCGGCGAGCAAGAGTGAGATGAGGGGCGGCAGAGGTGCGCTTGATTGTAACGAGGCGCTTTCGCAAGGCATTCCGACAGTAGACGAGGCGGTGGAATATGCCCTGGGGCTTGCTGTTATGTTTTGCCTTGTTCATTTTGAAGGCTTTGAGGAGCTCCTCGAAAGTGGCAGCAGAGACTGGGACCCACTCTTCACGGACATGACTGCCATCTCCATGATGGTGGTGAACAGGCAGCCCCAATCTGCGGCACATATCCTCAGAATCTTGAGGTGTTTCCGAATCATCCTCGGTGATATCGATCGTGATATCAGATGGCTTCTGCTCGTCAATCGATGCTCCTGTAACAGTTTGCTCAGCCACGTCCTGAGTTGGACAAAGCACACGCTCCGCAGAAACTCCAGAGACTGCTTCCTCAGCGGGGTCAGTGTGATCGTCAACCTTGCTCGCTGGTAAGCACTTACTACCGCTGTCTCGAAGAAACACACGTTCTGGATCTTGAATATCCGTGTCTGCTTCATCGACCCCGTGAGCTTGGTGTAGCTTCTCTTTGGGACCCCCAGTCTCCATACGTGCGTTGGAGGGTTCTCGGTGGGCATCCAGAATGTCATGATCATCGCGTTTCGTATCGGTTTTCGAAGTGTCGCCAGTGGAGTTCACCTCGGGATCTGAGTCACTAGCAGTGCAATTATCACAGCCTGGGCACTCGCCAGAGACACTAGAGTTCTCAGCCGTCGATTCTTCGGACTCTTCGGTGTCTTCGTCTGCGATATTTGATGACACCTTTGTGTCACAATCGTCCTGCTCTTCTTTCAGGTCGGTTGGCCAGTGGCCTGGAGGGAGACATGGAGGTTGCTCGACATCGTCGGCTGACTCCTTGACATCGTCGACCTCTGTCTTCTCTTCCTCTGTCAGCGCTATATTCTCTTCTGGTTCAGCAGGAGGCTGCGGCCCATCTTCTGGCTGAGGTATATGGTTGTCTCCCTTGGCATCATCTGCAGCATAGGCGGCTTTCAGTCCGTCCCAATCTCGACCCCGGCGCATCTTCGCACGGCGGAGCTCTTCGCTGCCCTCTTCGTTGATGACCTCCTTCATGATTCTAGCGATGCGCTTGAGCTGTTCCAATGGTACTACATCGGTAGAGAGCTCATCGCCAGTCGGTTCGATCTTTTTGTCCTTTGACTTGATCTTGAGCGCGCGGAACAGGTCGATCAGTAGCTCCGAGTTGGACGGAACGTGCTCTTTGCGAATGTCGCCTCGTCGAGCGAGCTGCAATGCCTCATCGTATAGCACCTCTTTACGGATCCTCAGCACAAGAGCGTGAGCGCGCCGATAGAGAGCCAGGTAGTCGAAATTGCTGTGGATTTCATTGGCTTGAAGACAGATGTTCATCGTACGAAGAAGTTCAGGATATGTGGTGTCGATTTCAGTCACCTTTGGAGGACGTACTCTAGTGTTCTTCTTGCGGCGATTCTTTGATTTTCCTGGCGCCATCTTGCTGATCATAGATTCGAAGTTGTCTCGTAGCTCAGAGAGCTCATCAGTTTTGAGCTGGATGTGCTCATCGATGAACTCATCATCAAGCTCAGCTACGACATTGTGTAGGTGGTTGAAGATCGCGTGGCGCTTTAGCCATCTGTCGTTTTTCCTATCCGGGCCATAATACTTTCCAATGGTCTCCTCCAGAGGAAAATGCGCCATCAATCCGCGCTTCTTCCTAACCTCTGGTGGAGCCGATGGAAAGTTGTTACCAGTCGATCGAAAGTCTTTTGCAAAACTGCGACTGGAAACGCAGGCACTAAGGTAGTAGCGCTCGAGAAAGTCGTTCGGATCCGTTGGGGGTTCGCCCACGAAGATGCGCTCCGTTTCATGCAGCTCCATGACATAATCAAGGTCAGGCCATATCACATCGAGGCCTCCAACCTGCATAGCCGCGTTGTAGAGATGGCAGATGGCTGTGACGAACCAATTTACTTTGGTGATAGAGAATCCGGCGTAGGTCTTGTTGAAATTCCAAATCGACAGGCCAGCCATCGTAGGGTGCATGGAAACGAAAGCGTCGGTTGCCACGTATGTGCTCGCCGTCCCACAGCGCTCACTCTCCTTGGTCTTTAGAACTTCTTGGATCCAATTGAGCAGGCAATCCAAGGATGACAGATACACGTTGGAGAACTTCATGTTGCCCTTGCTCATGTAATCCGGCTTGGTGCCAGACTCCCACATACGATCCTCGTAGTCGGTATGTGTACGGATGAGGCGGGCAATGTCGAAGCCCTGTTGAACAACGTCCTTATTGATCTTTCGATACTCGGCTCCCATGGTTTCGTTGGCGTCGAGTACGATCTGGAATCCAAAAGGTAGGTACATGTCCGGTATGCCATTGTATCGAACCATACTCTCAGTGAACTTGTCCCAAATAGGCAACGCTACTTGTTTCTTCCGGATAGCATCGAAATGTCGTAGAAATGGCAGGAAGGGCAGTTTTGGATCCGGGGCATCGCGAGCAGCGCCTTTCTTCAGAGCCTTGGGTTTTGCGTATGCGTCAAGGTGATCAAGTGCCTTGATACACAAGAGATGCCGTAAAGCTGTGTCTGACAATCCAGACGGCGGAGTAACAGTCTTCGGTGCTGTGTCACCTCCAGATAGCCTCGCAAATAGTTGGCGTACGATTGTGGACAGCGGCAGCTGCAGCACGGAGTCATAAGAAGCCAAGTCTTCGACTAATGCAGCGACGGTTTGCTGGATGTAACTTTGGGCAAGGTCTGTGACAAGTGCCGCCGTGATTGATGTGGCTTCATCTTCACGGTATGCCATCCAAGCTTCTCGGACAATCTCCCGTACACGGTTGAGCTCGTATAGGAAGCAAAGAACCAGGAAGTCGCGGCGAAGTTCGGCATCTTTCTCAGACATGGGATCTCCCTTCTCCTTGCTCTTTGAAGGCAGCGGGATATCCTCCTGATGTTGCTCTGGCCGGGAAGTCTGATCGGAACGCGTCGGCTCTACATCATCGTCATCATCGTCGCTCTCAATATCGCGCTGGAAACGATAGGCGATGAAAGTCGAAGCCTCGTCCTCGAGATCCTGTGACTTGAGCATGACAGGAATGAGGCTTATGAAGGTCGTGAGCTTCGTATGTGCGCTTTCCAATACAACGTTGAAGAAAGCATGGCCGGTGTCCCATGTGCTGGAGTGTTTGTGGTATTGCGTGACCTCTTTTCGCGATCGAATGGCGTCTTGTAAGTCTCGTAGTCCGGAAGTGTCGCTGAGTGGCTCTTTTGAGCTAGCGATACCATCTACCAGAATCTGCTGTTGCGCCGCCGACATTTTGTACGTTTTCTTGCCCTTCTTCTTTGTCTTGGCTTGCTCAGCTATCTGTGCGGCGCTCTCTACGCCACGCTGAACGGCAGTTTTCATTAGCCATTCTTGGAATGCGTCGGTGTATTGCTTGTAGCGTTTGACTGTCTCCGGTAGCTCGTGCTGTCGATAGGCATCCATGACTCGGGGTCAAGTTGAGGAGCCTGAGATTGCAGGCTGCGGGTTGTGCTGTGGCAGTAGAGGGTGGAGTGGTAGAGAATATAAGTATAGAAGAGCTTCGAGCGTATTATTAATACTCGAGGTGCGACGCATCATTGTGCAAGCTCAGTTTCACAGTCAACAACTTGTTGTTGCCTTGGAGACCTATAAGTGAAAGGTCTATGAGCACCGCAAAGTGCAATGTTCGAGGATAGGCTGGTAATAGTAAGCGCAAACGCACATGATCTTGTCACACATGCCTTTGGTGTGTAAATCCGGACGGAAATACTTTTGCGTGCTCCAAGGTGACCCAGAATAGCAGAGAGGACGGAACGAACATTGTCGACAAACGGAAATGTGCTGTGCCACTGGGTCACGTCACACCTACCTCCTAGGATTTACCGACTCTCATTCATTGTTGCTACCTGAATTCATAAGAGACATGCCTTTTCATGCAAGCATGTCTTCGCTTTAGCGGCACAACGTGGTAAAGACAGAGCAGACCTTGGGAGTATAAGAGGCTCCAAGACCATCTTGGGATACGTATTACTGCTACACCATATTGTTTGGAACGGACAGAGGATGGTATATTGCTAATCATGATGGCGGAGATGGGTGGTAAGGAGTAAGTCAAAGTGAAAGGAGTGAAGTTGAAGGAGAAGGGTTGGACTAACCCAATGCGGAAATATGGAGAGATCCCAATTTCACCTCACGACCTCTGCACTCCGCAACTCTACCATATATTGCCGACTACGACGGGAAGCGACAAAGATTTAACAACTAAGACCTCTTCTTATATCCTGAAGCTATACAGTATCGATAGGCTTCTACTGCGACGGCAAGACCCTGTGTATAGCCCCAGGCACTTGGTAGCCCATATTTGCTTTCCGTTGTCATTGATGGCCTGCATTCCAGATTGGAACAGGAGATTCGCGTGGCTGCGGCTAATATCGCATCTTGGCTAACCAAGTACAAGCAGTCGATCGTGGTGGACTGTATGTGGTTCCATCATGCCCAGAAAACCAAGGAGCTCAGCCCGATCCCGCAAGATGATGTTAGGGAGATTTCAATGACACAGGACACCTAGAAAAAGTTGAATAGCTTCTAATTGGTTGATGATTATCACGGAAGCCGGGTACTTGCGCTGAGTAGGAGCCATGATGGTGGTAGACACGAGGTTGTGGGGAGATGATACCGACCGTATACACCGTATTACCCGAATGGCCGGCATGTTCCGGACACATCCAGACCACGTTCCCCCTGTACGACTGGCCAAACAGCTTGCGCGTCTTTTCTTAAACCTAGTAGTAAAGCATCTTAGAGGTATAGTCCCTCGAATCACTTCTGTTGGAGCGCGGTTCCCGCTCCCTGCGAGCATCCATGCAAGAAAATACGGTATACGGTCTCCTACCATCCCCACCGGATACTCGGTAGCTGTGAAGCCGCGCCAGCTGGCATATATAAATACTATCTCTAGATAACATTGTATAATGCCTTCACCCCAACAGACAACATCTCGAATACCCAAATCACACAGCATCCGCACACAATGGCGGACTCAATCCCACAGCATGCCGCATACACATTTCAAGACGGAACCAATGCCGTCAAGAACGGCTCTTCCCTTTTGGACACTACACAGAGACTTCTAAATTCTCTCACGAAAGCAGAACGACTTTCGCTGCTCGACGGTGATGAGCGACTCTGGGCTGGCCTCACGGAATTAGTGGCGGGTCGCTATAATAGCGTACCTTATTCAATGGGCGCGATCGAGCGTCTAGGGATACCTGGTGTGAAGTTTTCAGACGGTCCCCGTGGTATCGTCGTGGGCAATTCTACCGCCTTCCCAGTCTCCATGGCAAGAGGTGCAACATGGGACGTCGACCTGGAACGACGAATCGGCCGTGCCATCGGTAAAGAAGGCAGGGCCCAGGGCGCAAATTTCTACGCTGGTGTTTGCGTCAACCTCCCTAGACACCCGGCTTGGGGACGTATCCAGGAAACATACAGCGACGACCTTCTGCTACTCGGGGAGTTTGGACACGCGTTCGCGCAAGGCGTGCAAGAGCAGATCATGGCGTGTGTCAAGCACTTTGCATTGAATTCCATGGAAAACGCCCGCTTCCATGTCGACGTCGAGGTTGCTGAGGATGTCCTCCATGAAGTGTATTTGCCACATTTCCGGAGGATCGTGGAGGGCGGAGTTGCTTCAGTGATGTCTGCATACAATGCTGTCAACGGCGAATGGTGCGGTCAAAGCCGAAAACTGCTTACTGAGATTCTCCGTGAGACTTGGAAATTTGATGGCTTCACGATGTCGGACTTTGTGTTCGGTTTTCGGGATGCGCCACTGTCGGTCAAGAACGGTCTTGATATCGAAGCACCCTTTTCGCAGCAGCGCGCTATGCATCTTGAGAAAGCTTTGCAGACTGGCGAGCTTGACTGGGAGGATGTAGAAAAGGCTTGTACCAGAATACTCTCGAAGCAGCTTGACTTCGTAGCAGGGTTGAAGACACCAAAACCGGACAAGTCAGTGGTCTTTTGCGACGAGCATCGAGCACTTGCTCGTGAAGCCGCTCAGCGCTCCATGGTCCTTCTCAAGAACGAGTATGTTGGCAATTCAGCAATTCTACCGCTACAGGGCCCAAATATCGGTTCCATCGCGCTGGTCGGCCGTCTTGCCAACGTCGCAAACATAGGCGACCATGGATCTTCAAAAGTCGAACCGCCGCATGTTGCAACTCCGTACGAAGGATTAAAGACAGCCTTGCCCAGTGCCAGCATTGTACTCGAAGGTACGGATTCCCCGGAGAAGGCAAAAGACGCAGCGTCCAAAGCCGATGTTGCAATCTGTATCGTTGGCTACGACCACCATGACGAAGGAGAACATATGCTTCCGAACCACGACGCCGGCGTAGCATCCCTATTTCCCCCACCGACGCCAGAAGACGGCGATGTTTCGCAGATTATCGGCGTATTGAACGGGGAAGCGAAACCTTCCGCTGCTCTGACCCAAGAGGGAAGCATTATAGAGGCCGGCTCAGGTGGAGATCGCAAATCTCTCCGTCTGCGACCAAATGATGTTTCACTGATCGAGGCTGTCACGGCTGCCAATCCACGCACAATCGTCGTCATAGTCGCCGCAGGCGCCGTCATCATCGAGGAGTGGAAAGACAAGGTGCCAGCAATACTTATGGGCTGGTATGCTGGATCGGAAGGCGGTCACGCTTTGGCTGACGTGCTACTTGGCCGAACGAATCCAAGTGGTCGGTTGCCGTTCAGCGTTCCGAAGTCTGAAGAGCATCTGCCGTACTTTGACATGAATGCGAAGAAGATCACGTACGACCGATGGCATGGGCAGCACCTGTTGGATAAGCTGGGTGTTGAGGCTGCGTTTCCGTCTGGATTCGGGTTGTCCTATACCACGTTCGCGATATCTGATTTGCGCGTAGGCACTCCAGATCTGGGGAATGAGTCTATTGATGTCAAGGTCAGCGTCAAGAATACTGGTGGTCGGGCAGGCAGATTCATAGCGCAGGTGTATGGATTGTCTGAGCAACCTGACTTTCCAAAGAGGGTTCTCCTAGGGTTTGCGCCTGTTGATCTGGAGGCTGGTGAGTCGAAGACGGCGTCCATTAGCGCGTCTCTTCGACCGCTGCAAAGATGGAAGGAAGGCAAATTTTCACTGGAGACCGGTGAAGTGACGGTTGAGGTAGCCGCTTTCGCAGGAGATCCTAAAGCACTTCAGTCCTTGACGCAGCTGAAGAAGTAATAATACTATAGACAAGTAGTACAGAATACAAATCTGAACAAATAGCACGTGTCAATTTCTCTCAGCCTGTAGCTTACAACAAAGCTTTCCATCCCTTCCCACTCGGCCTCTCCAACCCCAAATGATCACACATCTGCCCCATATGATCGACACCCCAAAACCCCTCTGTCTCACCCTTCGCATTCGTCGCCTCAAACCACGGCAATCCGAACGCCCCCCCTTTCAACGCCTTATCCGTGTTCTCACTCAACCTCTTCTTCACCTCCTCGCCCTTCGTGCTCTCAAGCACTTTCTTCGCCCCCTCCTCACTTCCAACAATAGTCCTCACAATCGCACTCAGATTCTCGGGCTTCATGGGGTCATTATACTGGACCCAGAAGTTCTCCCAGAACAGGCCGATTGCCTGGGGCATAGACTGGGGGTGAGAGATTTCCAGGGAGGCTAGGGCGCGTTGGATGGCAATTGTGTTGATGGGAAAGCCGGGAGGGGTGTTTTGAGACATGGGGACGTTGAAGTATTTGCACAAGCGGAGACGCTCGGCGTCGATCCATTTATCTTTGTCTTGGGGATGTGAGATCAAGTGACAAGATTGAAGGGAGGGATTGGGTCTTACTTTTGATGTGGAGTGGTGGTGTGTTACCACATGCTTTCATTAGTCCTCCGAGGAAGATTGGGACATATGTGATTTCGCATTGTTTGAACACTGGGGAGTTCTTGTTTTATTGTCAGTCACGTTGCCTGTGTAAGAAGTGGGTTGTGTACTTTGAGGATGTAGAAAGCGATGTAAGCGAAGGGAGAGACAATGTCAACATAGAGGGTGATCTTTGGCTGTGCCATTTTGGTTAAAGGATTGCGATTTATGGGATTATTATTCATGCAGACCGAGAGTGACAATAGATGCAGGTGAGCTGAAATGGTTAATGATCTCACACCTGTAGCACTAGCCGACGAGCCGAGGCATCGCCGGGTGGGGAAGATGCAAGGGTCAATCGTCCATCATGAAATTTATCGGCTACTGGCCGCAATCAACAACGAGGTAAGTATATTTGCAAAGTGAGACATTAGATTTTAGACTTTTTGGGAAGTTTGCTTTAGATTTGAGCAAACCAAGGTTCGACCTGCTGCCCAAATAAAAGATTCGTGGGTTTTCACGTGAAAGATTTCTGAGCTGAGATAGGTGGAAACGCGGGAACATTTTCGATATGAGAAGTGATGGACGACTGCTGCTCAGGTCCACTGATCGTTATTGTCTGTCTCTCGACTTTGACCGCCGTCGTTTAGGTGATCTTGATCTGCTTCGCAATGTGCTCCTGGACTGCGAATTATCTCTACTTCGATGCTCCAGCTCTTTGCGCTTGTCTGCCATATGCGATGATGCACCATTGGCCTGATCTTGGTCCGCACCTGCTATCTTTCCAGCGGTGCTTTGACGTGGGACTTTCGCAGATGGGGTACCTGCTCCACTTGATGTCGCGGACTTGGTCGCAGACACAAAGTCGACAGCCTCGCGCGGCGCTTTGGACTTTTGCTGCTCTTTTGCCTTCAGAATCTGTTTCTGAGAAGCCTTCAACTCTTCTGCATATGCCCAATCTGGAAATACGACTGGGAGCGCAACATCCTCGGAAAGCGCCGAGGCGTATTGCTCTTCCTCTTTGATGCCTGCAAAGTCTAACAGTCTGCGCAAATGTCCTGGGTCGCGTAGGACTGACGAGCCTTCCAGTCGCTGATTGAAGTGCTGACTCTTGCTCTTGAGATCTAAGAATTGCGCAAACTTCTTTGTTGCTCTCTGTGGTGGCGATCCAGGTGGTGAGGGTGGTATATCGAAATTGGGTACAGTAGGTAGGGTGAGATTTTGTATTATGGCGCGATTGGAGGTGTATGGAGAACCCGGGGGCGCTTCGTTCGTGGCATCATCTTGAGGAGGTGGAGACACGGTCGGTCCTTGCGAAGGACCGCTGACTGGACCTGTGGCAGCTGCAGGTCGCTTGAGAGGCGTCGGTTCGGAGAGAGGTGCAGGCGCATTTTCTGGAAGAGCATTCGTCAACTCAATATTAGTAGCTATCGACGTCCTTCATAGGCATCTCCAGGACATACATCTGTCTTCGTCGCAGGAATGGCGTCTTCTTCGTCACTGCTCTCGTAGTTTATTCCGAGCATTTTATGAACTTGCGAGAGATTTGCCAGGGCATGTCCATGTTGATGTCAATCACCTGGAGCTTGGACCCCGGATGTCTTGGCAAGAGCTTCGCAACCACCAGCTGCCTACCATCGCCTTGAACACCAACTTCACCCGCCAACGCCACTTTCGATCTCGACATCAAGCGGAGCCACAAAACAATCCATACAATCCACTAGACATCCTCACAGCCGCCATCATGAACCACCTTCCGCAAGCTTGGGGCCGTGTATGTCACCACGAATAAGCCAAACGAGCAATGCTAACACGTACCAGCCCAGAGATGATGTCTACGGCGCGTACGACCCCTCACACTTCCAGACCGCTGGCCCCAACCAGCACACCCAGAGCCCCATTGTCACCGGTACCTCGGTGCTTGCGGCGAAGTTCAAGGACGGCGTGGTCATCGCAGCGGATAACCTGGGTATGAGCGACCATGGGATTTCCCAATTATGAGAACGACTTCACTGACTGGATTGTGTAGCATCATACGGCTCGCTTGCCCGCTTCACCGACGTCAAGCGTCTACGGAAATTCAACGATGAGGTAGTGGTCGGCTTCGGCGGCGATGTGTCGGACATGCAGTACCTCGATCGCCTCCTCAACTCTCTCGACATCCGCGAAACCTACTCGTCGAACGAGACGGCTCTGAACGCAAAGAACCTTCACACATACCTCGCCAAAGTCATGTACAACCGCCGATCCAAGTTCGACCCGCTCTGGAACCACCTGCTCATCGCTGGTATGGACGGCGAGTCGAAGCCCTTCCTTGCGAGCGCAGATTTGCTAGGCACTACTTTCTCATCACCGTCGTTAGCCACTGGCTTCGGAGCACATCTCGCCCAGCCAATTCTGAGGACGATACTACCGGATGAGGCGTCAGTCGAGAAGGTCACAAAGGAGCAAGCCGTAGAGAAGATTAAGGAGTGTATGAAGGTTCTCTTCTATAGAGATGCAAGGAGTATGGACAAGTACTCCATTGCGGTCATCACAAAGGAGGGTGTCACTCTGGATGAGAACGTTCAGTTGGAAAACCAGAGCTGGGCCTTCGCAGACAGGATCAGAGGATACGGAACGCAGACGGCATGAGCATGTCGGCCTTCTGAACCGGGTGGAATGAATTGGCAGATTGGCGGCAGTAAGCGTCCATGCCAGCTACTACATGATAGACATGAATGAATGTACCGATCACGGTTGACAGATCCAACGCCAGGTGCATGAGGTGTGAGTGTGCATCGCTGTGACCTGTGTAAGTAAGTCTGGTTCGTGAGCGATGACCATAGGCTGGTAACATAGCACCGAACCAGTCTCCGAAGAGCGGGGTAGCTCCACATAGACACAGGTGTAACAGAGCTTAAGAACGTTAGGATATGTTCAGATGCTTGAGTTATCAATCTCTCGCTACAACTCTGAGCTTTTCCATCATTGATATAGTCTAAACACAGCCAAATCCGCAAACATGTCAACAACAAAGTCAGGCAAAAGAATAGTCTTCACGGGTGGTTCTGGAGTAGCAGGACGTCATGTCATTGAGAAGCTGCTTTCATACGGCCATGAGATACTCAACGTTGATACAGCACCACTAGACAACTCAAACGTCCATACCCTGAAAGCCGACCTCACAGACGGCGCCCAAGCCTTCAACAGCCTATCATGCCACTTCCGCATCGGCGAGCCATTCATGGACGAAATCCGCACCCCAGACGCAGTCGTGCACTTTGCCGGTACATCCATCCCCATTCTCCAGCTTCCATACCCATCTAATCCTCCCAAGGCATACCCCCAACCCATGCGCCTCCCCGACAACGAAACCTTCCGCATCAACACCATGGGCTCCTACAACATCATCGAATCCGCCTGCAAACTCGGCATCAAGAAAATCATCCTCGCCTCCAGCATCACCACCTACGGCGTCACATATGCTGAAGGCGACGTCGACTACCCGCACTTCCCACTGACTGAAACTTCGCCGACAGAGCCCATGGATGTGTACGCCACGAGCAAAGTCTGCATGGAGCGCATAGCGGCGAGTTTCGCGAAGCGCTTCAAGGACGTGGATATTTATTGTCTGAGGATCGGCGCGGTGATTGAGCCTGAAAATCATACGCGCAAGTTTGATGCGTATTTGAGTAGGCCGGGGGATTTCAAGGTGCATGCGTGGAGTTATACGGACGCGAGGGATTTGGGGAATATGGTGGATTGTTGTATAAGGAAGAGTGGATTGGGGTTTCAAGTGTTTAATGCGGTGAACGATGAGAGTGTGTTTGATGGGGATGAGAGTACCATGGAAAGGCTGAGGGGGATGTGTCCGAGGACGGAATTTGTGGACGAGATGGGGAGGAGAGAGGCGCCGGTTAGGAATAGGAAGATTCGGGAGATGTTGGGGTTCAAGGAGGAGTTTCCGTGGAGGAAGGTCTTGGGGAGGAATTGAGCATCCATGAGTACAGATGTAGAATGAGAAACATAAGAATTACCGCCGAGCTAAATATTGATGAGCTTTAGTGATCTGGAATGAAGGTGAGTTGCCGTCTTGATCACCACGAAGTCATGGAGCTCGGGCCATTGCTTGGCATTGGTAGGCTTCAGAGCTCCGCGTCAACGTGAGCTCCATCAACACCGCGAACAAGCACCCCCGCCACTCTACCTTCCAATCTCACTCGAATACGCCATCCAGTTCCTCTATTCAAGTCGGTAATCAGCCAAGAGCTCCACGTTATCCAACAATGTCCGCGATCTTCTCCGGAGCACCTCCGCAAGGCGGCCCTGGCTACTCGTTCAAGCAAACCCCCACAGCTGCACCATCAGGCGAGCGACAACACGGCTTCTACCCGTATGAAAGCCTCACAATCATTCAAATTACTCTCACTAATTCAATCTAGCTACACCGACAACGGTGGTTCAACACTGGGCATCTCGGGTGCTGACTTCGCCATCCTCGCCGGCGACACACGTTCCACCTCCGGCTACAACATCAACACACGATATGCACCAAAGCTCTTCAAGATCGGCGGCGAGGGACCAGAGAACAAGGGCGCTAGGATAGTTCTGTCAGTAGTCGGCTTCGCAGCAGACGGCGATGCGTTGAAGGAGCGTCTCGACACCATTGTCAAGATGTACAAGTACCAGCACGGCAAGCCCATGTCTGTCGCCGCATGCGCACAACGACTCAGCCACATCCTCTACAACAAGCGATTCTTCCCATACTACGTCCACGCCATCCTGGGTGGTCTCGACGAGAACGGCACCGGTGCGCTATACTCCTACGACCCGGTCGGCAGCTACGAGCGAGAGCAGTGCAGGGCGGCTGGTGCAGCGGCATCGCTCATCATGCCCTTTTTGGACAACCAAGTCAACTTCAAGAACATGTACGAGCCGGGTAGCGGAACTGGACACGACCTGAAGCAGAAGAAGATCGAGCCGCTGTCGCAGGACCACGTCGAGGACTTGGTGCGGGATGCGTTCACGAGCGCAGTCGAGAGGCATATCGAGGTTGGTGACGGTCTGCAGATGATGATCATCACGAAGGAGGGCATAGCGGAGACATTCACGCCGCTGAAGAAGGATTAAGCGGGCAGACCAAGTGATGTTGGACATGGCTACACGAGCATAACGAATCAAGATTACGGATCGGCATGAACATTGCCACGGTCCAATAAGAGACATAGAACAGAGTCCATGCAAATCATGATATGAGTACATGCTAGGAAAGCTTATGCCGTGCTTCCCATGCTGATTTCCTTACCCATCTTTCTTAATCGTTACTCCGAATATTTGGCCCCTCTCTCACGTCATACAGCAATACACCCTCACCAGGTGCCGCAATAATGCGTGCGCGCTCAGTCTGAAATCTCTTGGTTTCATCCAAGGAAATTGACCACCTTCTTACGTGCTAACAATCCATCGAGTCTATTCAGAGTTATATATAGGATAAAAGCCGCTCTCTAACAGTGGATTGAATGTGAACGGAGCGCGCACGAAATATTGCTGCACCTGGTGCCCTTCACTCATGAGCGAGCAACATGCAGACGCTTCGCCCAGCGAACTGACGACCATGATGTTCGCTTTCCATCTAGAGTGTCAAATACACCTGCCCTTGACAGCGCGGGCTTGTATGCCACGTGCCAATGTTTGCTCTTGGCGCAGCGATTAGAGGAAGGCACGATGGCTGTCACTGTCTCTCCCCTCGCATAGTTTCGAACGAAGCCTCTTCAAATGTTCCATCATACTCCCCACGCCACGCATTCACCCACCAAGCCCCAATGCCACGAAGAAAACGGGATGAATGTCATCTAATGGGCGACTCTGACTTCCCGTCTGACCAAACGATCCCTCCCAATCCTTTCCTAATTTCCAAGTCTATCAAGGCGCCTGGTTGTCGACGAAAACGAGCTAGCGATCTTCTCATTCCTACGCAACGAGATAAAAAGCCGGCGCGAAATATGAAGACTGAACCCATTGCAAATCAACCGCACCCGCTCGAACATCCAGGGTGCGCCTACACTAATAGTGTGCCTCCTGCGTGAGTGACGTCGCCTCAGCGAGCTCATATTCACCACGATACTAACAAGCACAGTGGCTCCTTTGACGAACTTGTCACTGTCCGCGTCGGCCGTGCTCCTCATATAAAGGAGTACCAAATACACCAAGGCCTCCTCGCTCACCACTCAACCATCTTCGCCTCAATGTTTCTTGGCACCGCAAGGACTCGATCGAAAACCCTAGCTCTGCTCGACGTGGACCCCGAAGTCTTCGAGACGGTGAAGTACTGGTTGTACACCACCAAATTCTGGGCACCCGGCACCAACACCACCGGTAAGATTCCCTTCGATGACAGTAAGATCCTGCAGCTCTACTTCTTCGCAAACGACAACGGCATGCAGGAGCTGCAGAACGTGGTTATGACGCTCTTCTACCAAAAGAACGTGCAGGATTGGGCCATAGCTATTCCGCAGACTAGGGTCGTGTATGTCCGCACGAGGCCGGAGTCGCCGCTGAGACGGTTCTTGGTTGATATGGTGGCGGAGACATGGGGGTTCAGGACAATCAAGGAGGACCAGTCGAAGCTGCCCAAGGACTTTTTGGTGGATGTGTTGGTCAAGTTGAGGGATGCGAAGATGGCGCCGGGCACGGCGAGTCATAAGCAGACGTGGATTGAGGGGATGAATAGGGACTTTTGTGAGAAGTATCGTGTTCATACGGAGGAGAAGTGAGGGCGCGGGAGACGGTGCTGGATGGGATCTGAGCAGAGTATACGATAGATTGTCGGAGTATGTCGTTATGTGAACTCGGGGAAAGGGATGAATGGGATTGTAGGATACACATCCAACAGCTTATCGAATGTACTCATCAACCACGGTGACCTAACAACTTGTGTCCCGAGCATTGGCATTCAGTCGAGCCTGCGATAATCTTGCATAATACATAAGTACATATAACGTAGGATACCACCAGGTGCAACAATAACTCGTGCGCGTTCTGTTTGAACTCAACCTACTATTAGAGAGCAACTGTTGTCTTATATATAAGTCTGAATAGACTCGATAGTATAGGTAGCTGATTCTTACGTTGCAAAGAACTAGAAAAAACCTCAAAGGTAGAAGGCTTAGCAGAATAGCCCTTGGATGGTGCTCAGGATCGTGAGGCACAGCGCGCACGAATCATTGCTGCACCTGGTGATGCCCAAAGGCCGTGTCTACTTCATTTCAACGTGACATTGCCACATACGATACATCTCAAATCTTCACGTATCTTCACGCTCAAGCCTCGCCCTCACCCTGCGTCTTTTTCTTCCCACCCGCCATACCCTTCGCCTTATCCACAACTTTACCCATCGCTCCGAACAACCTCCCAAAGCCAAAGCTCCACCCCTTGATCCTCACGCTCCAGATAAAGAAGTACACTAGCGCCCAGTTACTGCAGCAAAACGCGAGGAAGATGCCGAAATCGCGCCACTTGTCGCTGGCCTTGATGTTGATGGTTGCCAGGTAGTCGTTTCCGACCGAGTAAGGGCAGTACTGGCAAGCATTTGTAGCGTCGGGGTTGAGCAAGTAGCCTGGCGACTGCGCGACGAAAGCCTGTGCGTATTGGCCGCATGTTTGGCCGGGCGGGGCGTTGAAGATTGCGGTCTCGGTCTGTTGGCATTGCACGGGTATGCCGTCGAGGGTGGCGCTGAGGACGCCGCCAATCCAGTAGGTCGATGGGTTGACGTAGTACATCCAGTACCGCCAGAACACGGGCATTTCGGCATACGGCCGCACAACGCCGTTGAACAGACCGAACATGACGAAGAAGAAGGGTAGGACGTTGCTAATGACGGTGAAGGAGGGGGCGAAGGCGCAGATCCATTGGCCCCAGGAGGAGACGAAGAGGTAGAAGAGCATTGTCATTAGGAAGACATAGCCGGCTGTGGAGGAGTCGGTGGGAAGGCCGGCGGGGAAGTACCACAGGACCCAGTAGAGGACGGAGGAGAGGATTGCGATAGGAATTTCCGCGACGACTTGGGCCTAGGGGATGTAAGTAGATTTTCTGAAGGAGATAGATTTGGGATACATACCGTGCAGAACGGGATCCACCCATAAATCCTCGATGGCAATTCTCGCGCTTGCCACAACGCCATATTCTGATAAAACTTTGGAACAACCGCACTTTAGGGTTGTTAGTATTGGTATTTGGAGCGGGGGAGGGATTTGGGAAAACATACTTGACAATCGTGGGCGGGATGAGCAGAATCAAGAACGATGTGAACATCCGATTCTGCAAATCTCCAATCGTGTTACCAAGCTGGTAGAATGTGAAGCCGTTGAAGATGCCAATGACGACTGCGACAAAGAGCTTGCCGTATAGATACGATGGGTCGCGCCAGTACTGGGTGAATGTGCGTTTCGTCTAAGCTGTGTCAGTATCTGTGAACGGTGACATTTGTAAATGGAATTCAACGTACCAGCATAGTAGTCTGAAGCCATATAGGCGCCGCGAACTCTGTCTGTTCTACTTCATCCTGCTCAGCAACTTTCTTGCTGCGATCTGACTTGATGCGATCTATTTCCTTGAGCATTTCCTGATTGTTAGGGGATTTCTGCCACTCGTCGTTCCAGTTGATGCGGCTGCCATCTTTGCGTTTGACAGGCTTAGCGGCGGTCTCGAGGATAAACTCGGCGACGTTCTTGTTGGGTGGGCACTGGACGCCGCGGTCACCGAAGTATTTGATCACATCGCTGCCGTTTTCGCCGACAGGGCCGAAGTAAAATGTGTTGCCTCCGGGGTTCAGAGCGAGGATCATATCGAATTGTTGGATTAGGACACTGGAAGGCTGGTGAATGGTGCAGACGATGGCCTGTCCAGCTGATGCGAGCTTCTTCAAGAAGCGAACGATAGAGTAGGCACTGTTGCTGTCCAATCCTGATGTTGGCTCGTCAAGGAACAGAAGCAGAGATGGCTTGGCCGCCAGCTCTACACCAATAGTGAGGCGCTTCTTCTGCTCGACACCCAAGCTCGAAACGAGCGCGTCCTGCATGTCGTGAAGTTCGAGGAGGTCAATAATCTTGTCGACATAGTCGATTTTCTCCTGTCTCGGCGTCTCCTTGTCCTGACGTAGGATGGCCGAGAACTCGAGAGCTTCGCGGATGGTAGCTGTGCCGTCATGGAGATCCATCTGTTCACAGAAGCCTGTACCTCTTTGGAAGGCCTAATGCTAAGTTAGTATATGCGTCTTTCAGGAGAAGACTCAAGCGACTTCTCTTCGCGTTCCATAGTCCTTTCTCTTTGAAATGACGTACCTTTCCGAGATCTTTCCCATCCACAAGCATCTCACCCGATACGACACCAGTACTCTGGCGCTGCGAGAGTGTGTTGAGCAGCGTTGTTTTACCAGCTCCAGAAGCACCAACAAGTGCAACCATGACGCCTGGCTTAGCATATCCGTGTACTTTGTTCAGAAGCTTCCGTTCACCACCCTGGTATGGGACAGTGTACTCCACATCTTTCCAAGTGAAAACGCTCTCACTGCTCGAGATAGACTCAAGCGCCTCTTCCTCGTTAGCATTTGCAGTCGCAGTCTCTGAGGAGCTGCCGCTCAAGTCTCCGGCTACGACCTTTTCCTCATCGGCCGTACCCTCCTTGACAGCTTTCTTCGCGCGCTTTGACTTCTTGAAAATGAGCGCTCCTCCACCGGATTTGGCGAATGAAAGGCACTCGGTACCGATGACGGTGACGACGAGATAGAGGACTGCAAATGCGATGACGACTCCGAAGTTTCGCCACAGGTTTGATCGTGAGTAGTTGAAACTGGTGGAGAGGTAGTCGGCTCCGGGCACTCTGTTCGAGTTTGGAGGCGCACCAGTCAGAGCGCACCCCTGATATGCAGGATCGATGCCGGGACCCTGGGGAACGAGCTGCTCGGGAGCACATTCCATGATTCGATTGGAAAACTCATTGGCTTCAACTGCCTCGAAGGAGTAGGCGACGGGGTTTACATAGTACTGCGGTTTTGTCAGACATCGCCCATCTTCTCTGCCTTCAAGATTTGAAACTTACCAGCCAGCCGAACCAAATGTACTGTCCCAAAAGCTGCGGCTTCGGAATCACGTAACCAGTGTAGATAATCAACAAGTTCAACGCAATGCCCGAAAACCTCACCGCGTCATCGATTGTCGGCGACAGCGCCGCAAACATACGATACAGTGCCGTGATGCAGAATGTAGTCGTGTAGATGAATAGAAAGTAAATGAAGAATTTGCTCGCATCGACGTCAAGGCCCTGCAGAAAGTACATGATGAGCGCTGCAGGTTGTTAGCTTGCCATGTCGACTGGATAGCTTCAGTGTATCATGCTTACCGAACGGAATGACCTGAACAAGCAGGAGTGGGAAGTCCTGAAGCACACGAGCGATACTGACAGCACTGGGGTGGTAAAAGGCAAAGTCTTCGTGGCGTTTGACGACGTCGCGGCCAGAAACAGCTTTCATGAGTTCAGAGAGTTGCAGCCAGCCGAGAAACAGAATCGAGAAGAAGAGCGAGCCACCACGACTGAAAGCGCCCGAAGTGTTGAGGGACTGGCCGTAGAAGAGCGATCCGACGATGAGACCGTTGGAGATGATGATGAAGAACTTCGTGTATAGAGTCGTCTTATCACCCCAAGTGAGCCAGAACTCGCGTTGGGTACATGCTAATACCTGTCTAATGAAGGAGACGGTAAAAGGCGATTTCTTGCGTACAGTCTTGCTCTTGCCTTCACGTACTGCGCCTTCAAACTCTTTGGCATCCTTGTACTCGCTGTTCTTCAGGTCTGCTTCGTACTGCTCAATCTCAGCGAGTCCCCTTTTGTGCATATCAGACTGTCTGAATGCCCTTTCGAGGTCTTCTGGGGTCTTCGGTGCGCTTGCTTCGTAGCCTTCACGGAACTGGCGTTCGGTCGGATCAGTTACCGCAGTGAGAAAGTCCGCGGTAGTCTGTCGTTCGGGGCAGTGGAAACCGAGATCGATGAAGTACTGGCGTGCTTCGCGTGCAGGACCTTGGTAGATGCAGTGGCCCTGGTCAATGACGATGACCTTATCCATCACCTCGTAAATACCCTCTCCTGCTTGATAAAGCGTGACGAATGTGGTTCGATTCGAGATGTCGGTCATGATGCGCAGCGATTTGGCATAATCCAGGGCGGTTGCAGGCGTCCAGCCCCCGTGTTGAATTGTCCCAACAGACAACGGTACTCTTGGTCGCCAGAGTCTCAGCAATAGAGACACGCTTGCGCTCCCCACCACTCACGCCGCGGACGTACTCGTCACCCACCAGGGTATATTTGGTATGGGAAATTCCGAATATCCTCAGGAGTGCGTCAAGGATGATAGGAATGTCACCCTTCTCGTTCTTCCTCGTCTTGTTCTTGAGCGCGAAAGACAATGTCTGCCAGACATTGAGATTGGCCATATGCGAGTCACTCCTCGGGGTTGTAATTGACTTCTCCGCGAAACTGCTTCTTCTGCTTCTCCGCTGAGATACCTCCATATGACACGTCTCCCTCGACGGAGGCGTAACTCTCGCGATTGTTCGCGATTGCTTTCAAGAAGGTAGAGCACCCAGATCCAGGTCTTCCGAGCACAAGACACATTTCTCCATCCTTGACGACACCAGAGAAGTCATGAATCAACGTCCTCGTCTGCTTATGCTGCCCAAGCCTAATCGCCGGAACCCACCCCGACACAATGCGATAAAGATCCGGTCCAAAAGTGCCGAGCACAGCATCAGGCAGGGTCCTCACAAACGACGCTGTGGACCCCACACCCTTCACTGTGAGATTCTTATACACGACTCCGACCTTCTTCGCCGATTCTCCATCTTTCCGCTTCTCGAAATGGCCCTCTTTCATGAACTCGCCAAGCTCGAAGTCATCCTCTTTCTCCGCAGCCACGGCGCAGATATCTCCTGGCTCCTGGTCTGCTTTATCGCCTGAGTCATCTTCTGTTCGAGGAATTGAATTCTCGGTGGAGGGCTGGTGTGCAGCACTAGGGCGCGTGCTTTTCCTGCTGGTTGTCTTTGCAAGCTCATCCTGCTGGTGTCCGCTCTGACGCGTGCTCTTCCTGCTCAGCGTCCTGAAGAGGCCGTCATTGCGATCGGGCTGCTGTTGGCCATGTGAGCGTGTCCGGGATAATGACGCCAACTCCTCCCTAAGGACATTGAGGTCTTCCGCGGCGGTACGCGTATCAAGTCGCCCAGCGTCGCGCTCGCCCCAGGTGCCTGCGTTGCGGTCGATTCCCGTTGGGCTGCTGTCGTCGCTTTCGCCAGGCGTTGTCACTACTTCTTCTCTTCCATCACGAAGATATTCGTCCTCGTGCCATGGGTTTCGGCGGCCATCTCTTGAGGGTTGGTTCTGGAGATTTGATCCCCAGAGCATGTTGGCGGTTTGATTATTTGATCGTGTGCGTCACTGCTTTGGCTGCAGCACGAGGTAGTTGAGAGAGGGAGAAAAATCGCAACAAGAGAGAGAGAGGATTGATAATAGACGTCAAAGGAAAGGCGCGACAAGGGACCCGAACGTCACAGGGAGATCTCATCGGGGATACAAGGCCAATCCCAATGTTGACAAACGCAAGGCTGGAGATTCCGGAGATAACATTTACTCATTTCGTCATAACACTTTTGATGAACTCGACCTAGCAGAGCTAATTGATACCATCGTGCGGGCCGCAGGCGGAACAACTCCGGGTATACATAACATTCTCCGCTTAATGGACCCTCAACCAGCGAACAGAGTCATCAAATGCTAGGCTGCTCCTGAGCCGGTGGAAACATGAGTCGTGGTGGAGCTGCCGATTGCGATGAATTGGTGAAACAATTTTTTTGATGCCCAGAGGGGAGGCGGCGTCTGATCGGCAAAGACTGGCCGACTCGAGGTGCTTTGAAATACTTCGGAAAGCCGTCCGCGGACTTGAAATTAGCGAAAGTTACACCTGACGTCAGATGTTGATTTGTCGCACAGGTCCCAGAATGCTGGGCTTGGTTGAGGCACGTTGTGCTCTCGGCTAGCCATTCACGGTCGCTGATCTCATGCAGGTGGCTGACAAAAGACTGTGGTTTATCAAACACGACGAATAATAGACAGGGGCATCTAATTGGCTGAAGGTATACACAGCATCGTTATGCTTCAATTGCGACGGCAAGACCCCGTGTATAGCTTCGAGCTATGGGATGAGCTGCTATCCTTTAGATCCTGGTCACTTCTTTCGTATTTGACATCACGCAGAAGAAGACACGCGAGACTTCTAATTGATATTGGATTGTTACAAGCCTTCTGAATGTTCTAATTTCTTCCTGGGTATCGATTTTGGTCTCGTTACAGTGTACGTCCCATCCATCGCGCATGTGCTCCATCTGTCCATTCACAGATTGCCACGCTGCGGTATGCTCAGTCAGAACTTTGGCTTGACGACCTTTGGCTCGATGAGCCTCGGGATATCCTCCGGCTTGTTGTTGCCCTCCAAAATATTGTACACGGCTGTGAAGAGGGGGTATTCCTCTTCTACACCCTCGCTCTTCAAGAACTCGTTCACCTCGTATGCGGTGCTGGTACCTTGCAGTTTCTGGCCGTTCAGCTCCGACTGCTCAATCTCGTAGATCGTCTTGCCGCGCTCGATAGCCATCTTCGCGCAGCGGAAGTTGCGACCACCGGAGCACGATGTAATCACATCTGCAACACCACAGCTCTCCTCGGTGAATGTGCTTGTGCGCGAGCTCTCGCCGAAGAACGCTTTGCCAAACTTGACCATCTCCAATATGCCGACGCGCATCACGGCGGCTTTGGCGTTGTCACCCCAGCCAAGACCATCAACAAACCCGGCTGCTAGGGCGATGATGTTCTTCAAGGCTCCTCCCAGAGATACACCGGCGACATCGTTGACAATGCGCACATGGAAGTATGGTCGGTGAAAGAGGGTCCGGACGTTCTCGTGCGACAGGGGAGGGTACTCTACGGGGAGAGGCGTAAGATGCGCTGAGCGTGGACCAGGAACTGCTTTGCTCGGGTTGATGAGATCGACCTGGGAAGCATTTGGCGAGCCGCTTGGTGTGGGGTTGCGCGAATCCATGGGCGGCGGGTCATACGCGACCGTGGTCTCGGAGTACTTCTCCTGCGCAATCTCAGAGGCAATGTTGGCTCCTGAAAGAGCACCGCAATAGATGTTCAAGGTCATGCCGATCGTCTCAGACATAAGGCGGATGCCCTTCTCGCTGACATCAACGCCTTTTGTGCAACATATGGCTCGCGCATATGGGAGGATCTTTCCTTCGAGTTGTTTGCATGTCCTGGCGATGAACTGATGTGGCAGGACGAAGATGAGGAACGTAGAATCCTTGCAAGACTCGGGGAGGTCGGTGACAGCAACGACGTTGGACGGCAGCGTAATGTTCGGGAGGTACTTGACGTTCTCGTGTTTGGTGTTGATGATTTCAGAGAGCTTCTCCGGCTTATCTGTGCCTTTGTAGTGTCTTGAATCCTTGGGTATGGCGACCTCTTCCTCGTATACCCACATGCGTATCGTCTCGTCAAAGAGAGACGGGTTCTCCTTGACCGTCTCCGCGACAAGCTTGGCCATGGTGGTTCCCCTAGTCTTGTCAGTTTCTGTATGTGCCGCTTTTACATTTTGCTTGCTGGGAACTTCACGAAGTGTACTGATTTGAGCAAAGCGAATGTGTGACATACCAGTTGCCGGAGCCCACAACTGTCACCTTGTGCTTGCGCTGAGCACTGAGAGACGCCATGGTTCTGTATGTGGTATTTGCTGTTCTGAAGAAATTGGTGTACGGAAGGAATGTTGGTGGTATTCGAGGGCGCGGTGGGTAGCAGCGATGGGCTCTGACGTAGCCTGCGGGGTGTGTAGTGGGTTTTGCAGCGAACAATGATCTCAGCAAGCTGGTGGAAGCCAGTTTATATACTTTCGGGAAACGGCTGCGTAGGTCAGAAAACTTTGTTCAAGCTACACCGCCCGCCGAAGCTGGCACTTTCATGCGACGCACCTGTATTGTCGGTAAACGGCAGGACCTCTGGCCTCGGCTGCCTGTGATGCGGCAACGCCGAAAAGCTTCAATTGGCAAGTCGGAGGGTCGGCGCGGAGATGAGAGTCTTGGATGCCTTGGAGAGGATTGCAAGCATTAAAGATAAACAAATTGTTGAAACGAAGCTGCTCAACGCAGTTCTAAAAGTTGCGTTCAAGCGGCAAGGGTCAGGTGAGCTAATGCACTCGAAGCCTGGGTCGGCTGATCGCCGCCAGCACGGATTGGCCAATTAAGTGGCCGTCCGCGTCGAGGCGCATGCAGCTGTGGACGACAGTCTGGTTGACGCATCTGGCAGCTGTACCAAGGTTTGTATAGTCTACAATAAACGGTATATAACGACTGATATCCAAGGTGACGCATTTAAGGCCTCGAGTTGGTGAGCGATCGGATCATGATTACACAAGCAAGGGAGAGGGTGACGCGGCGATTGGCGAGTTGGTACAGTGCGGCAAGCAGCATCAGAGGTCGCGTCACAAGGGCACAGGCAGGAGAGGGTGGTTGAACAATTAATGGTTGATTGGGTATTGCAAGTCGTGTTTCCTTCATATAATCGCATTACTATCCTTCGCCTCGACCTCCATGAATATCATGCAACGCAACGCCAATGAGAACGAGGAAGTGTCCAATGCCCGAGAACGCTGAAGACAATGAATCGCCCTCACCATGCGCCGTGTGCTCATGCTAGAGAGAATGTGGTTCTTATCCACTCATGTCACCGTCCGACAGGGACCGGCCCGCTGCGCACTAGAGATGGCTGTTGTCTACAACGCAAGGCCGAAAAGAGCCAGGAAACCACCAGCGACGACGGGTGCGCCGTACTGAGCAAAGGTGGCAGCGGCACCGGTGCTGGCAGCAGGGGCGGCGGAACCAGAGCCACTGGGAGAAGAACCGGCAGTGCGCGAAGCCTGGGCGCCGGAGGAAGAAGCGGAGGCGGTGGTAACGGCGCCGCTCTCATCGATCTTGAGCTGACCGCAGGTAGCGTTCTTGGCCTTCTCGCACTCGAACTGCTGGGCAAGGTTCTGGTTGGTAGCGTTGACGCATTGGCCGTACCAGTAGTAGCACATCTGAGCGGGGACGGACTGCTCGTAGGCGGCAATGGCGGTCTGGGCGTCGGTACCGTTGCTGCACTTGCAGGTGAAGCTGAGGGAGCTCTGTGACAGTATTAGTCGAGGTCAATTCTCAATCATCGAGACAACTTACGTCGTCGCAAGAGTTGCCGTTGCTGGCAATGTTGGCCTGGCCGCCGCAGATGTCGACGCAGGTGTTGACATTGGCCTCGCACCAAGCGGACTTCTCGGATGAGGGCACGCTGCCGGTGGGCACAGTGCAGCAAGGAATGGGAGTGTTGAAGCTCGAGTTGCCCTGAGCAGACGCGAGGCCGGCAAAGGCCGACGCGGCAACGACGAGAGATGAGTAGAGCATGGTTGTTGGTGGAGAGATTATCGATGCCTGTGGAGCAGCTGTGTGAGCGGGAGATCGGCGGAAGTTGAGGTGAGCGACGGGAGGGCAATGAAGAGCAATTGGAGGGCAGCGCGGGGCGCAGTGGGCTGATATATATGTGCGGGCGGGAGAACTTACAAATGCAGAGGCAATGTTTGAGAGTGAAATCGCTGGGGGATAATGCTGGCGAAGAAAGGCGGGTGGTGGACCGGCGACGGGACTAAATACACTCGAGCCACAAGCACTGGCCGCTGCGGAAACTGCATACAATACACGCTAGGGCTAGGTCAGGCAAGCGCGAACCCCAGTGATGATACGCTCAGACCAAAAGGCACGAACGCTCAAGGTGAGGAAATTGCCCAATTTATCCTGCCAGCGATTGCAACTTGCTGCTCGACGACCTCACGCCCTCGTCTTTCACCGAAGATGCCTTGCGTCTGACGTGCCGCCAGCATGTTTTACGCCGCCTGCGCCGAATAGTTTCAGAAGCAGTCTCAGAAACGCGTCGCATTTGGGTGTAAGCCGCTACCATGCTATACCCCACACCATGCAGCAGCCTCAATCGACCTCTCACCAGCAGGGCTAAGGGCGCAATGCCTGTGCCGCCTGCCGGATACGCGTCGATTCAAACGCCTGTGGTTGGTGCTGCATTCCTCCGCGCCGTGGCCAAGGCACGCAGCTAGGCTGTTCAGAGCGCGCAGAGCAATCATTTCGCGACGGCGGGAACAAGTATGCTTGGCCCGGAGGCAATGGCAAAATCCACGGTCCACGGATGCTCCTCATCAGCATCGAACAGACATGGCCTTGATGTGGCCGTGCACTCGCCATTTCCCATGGAAACCCCGGCGCCTGACACATGCGCCCGTGGAGACGCTTCCAAAAGCTGCCCAGTGCCAACGGGCCGAGCTCCACAGCCTTTCGAACCCACCTCGGCTACATCATCCAACTTCACCGCAGCCTTGCGTCGCGGTGCCGCCGTCATCGAGGCGCTGCTGTCGCGCTGTCGCACTGTTTCAGGCTCGGTTTTGCAGTCCAGGGCGGCAGTTGCTGCGAGGTTGACTGTGCCAAACACCAACAAAAACGCCTCAAACACTGATGCTAATGTCATCACTAGAGCAACAAGCGTCAACGACTTCCGGTTTTTCCTAGCCTACTGTCTGGACAGCGTGCATAAGCGCCGCCGGGCCGCACGGACAAATGCTGCACAAGCTCGACTCAACACCGTCTTTCGCATTTGACAAATCCCGATGAGGAGGCAGATTTATGGATCGCTTCCAAAATCTGTGTTTGCCAATGCCATTGCCATTGCCACTTGTGCGCCTCTCGCATCCGAAGATGGCCGGTGTACAACACCCTTGCGACGCACAATTGCCAGGCATCAGTCTTCGTGTATCTGACCTGACTTTCGGGACACCACTGTAACCGATGAAACAGCTCACGATCATACATGTGCCCCAACCATGATTTTCGCACCCATGCTATAGGAAGACCGCCATCGCATCACGCTCACCCGCCCGAGCGTCGCGTTCCACGCACTTTTTACGACGCCTGTGCGACTCGGTCGTTGACCATTCCATAGTCTCCACGTTCCAACCTTCAGACTTTTCAATTCTGACTAGTCTATTCGTTGTGGCGATCTACCAAAAAAGCACGGCATTGGTTTGATTCGCTGCTATTGATTCGACAATTGTGGCGATGCATTACCCTTCCTGGAATGCCAACAAAGCCGGAAATGGTAGTCCGCGATGTTCGAAGCCATGGTGAGGGGTTTGTCGCTACCAGCGTCGTCACTTGCTGACGTGGACATCAAAACCACCACCACACGTCTCAAGCCTTCGCAAGCCATTTCTCGCGTGACAACAGCTGCGCCGCATCATGGACACTAGAGCCGTTCCTGCCCGCCATGGTTTGAGCGTGTGGTCACCTGCTAACTCTATCACGAACTTACTTTACTTGCTTGAACTTTGCAAAGGTCGCCAGCATTATCTATGCGGCTGATTTGATCCTGGCAGTCATAGTACCAAGACTGGTAACAAACCTGGATTCTTTGATATAGAAAGCCGAGTGCTTAATGTCTGTTTCATCCGGTCTTGACCTTGTGCTCATGACTTCACTCATTATACGTCTTCATGCTATCCCATCGAGCCCATATTGCATACGAAGCCGGTGTAGAGCGCGTTCGAAAGGCGACGTTACTCAGTCCGATGATAGCGGTTGCAGGCGACAAGGACCTTAGTGGCGGCTGAAAACTCGCGAATCTCATGATATCGACCGAGAAACATGTGGCCTGTGCCCATTGCGCCTTCCCTGGGTAGATCTGCAGCCTTATCCATCAATTCTAGTTCTACTACACGTTGACGATTACGACAGAAAGCGGCCAGCGCATATTGGCCATCTTGAAGCTCATGATATAGCCTGAAGTCACACGGGGCCTTGTCGTCGCAATCGAAGCGAGGCGATAGTTGGGCCTTTGAATGCCCCCTTTTCTTCCCACTGTAGTTGTAGACTGCAGTACTGTGTTCTTCTGCAACAACTAGAACTTTGTAAGAATACCAATAATTTTGGTCGCAACCTCTAAATTTCTGGTTCTGGCTTGACGTTTGCAGTGTTCCCACGTGCAGGGACCGGCAGTCCAGATGATGTCACGACTTGAGCTATGCACTGCAGCGTCTGCGCGTCCACACGCGGGCGAGTTTCTGCCGTTCTGGTGTCGACAAATCAGTACGCCGCGCCATCTTTCGCAACACATCTCCATCCGTCGCCCGTGTGACCCAGCGAGATGCAGACCAATTATTTCGCCTGCACCTTGGGTCAAGCTTCTGCCCTCTCATGCAAACCCAAGGCATATCGAACCGTCCCTGAATTCGTCGATTTGCAAGCACAACTACACGCTTTCCTTCCTGCGGTTGGCTTTTCTATCCCACAGCGAGATGGAGTCGCGTGGACGTATAACGTCCTCACCTTTGGCGATGTCCAACAGGGAACCGAAGTCTTTGCATCACGACTCAAAAGCGGGTTGAGCAGCTCCGAAAATACTGTTGCTCTCTTATGCCACAGCTCTCCTGAATTCCTGTTTACATGGCTGGGGTTGATGAAGCTTGGCCGGTCCGTCCTGTTGATCGCGCCTCAGTGTCAACCAGCAGCCATATTGCACCTCTGCAAGTCGTGCGAGGTTTCCACACTACTGTATGATAGCGGGCACACAGAAAGAGCGAGACAAACTGAAACCCTGGCAAAGGGCGAGAAAGTAGCCGGGTTCAAGTCACAACTACTTCCCTTGCAGGAGGATGAGGATGTGTTCGACGTAATCAAGGAGGATGCCGACCTGAGCATCGACATGATTGTGGTTGATGACACAGCCACTGCGTACTTACATCACACTTCTGGAACTTCCTCTGGTCTTCCTAAGCCTATACCACAATCGCATCGAGGAGCAATAGGAGTCTTACCACATTTGCCGAAAATACCGGGTATTGCATCTTTCACAACTACGCCATTATATCACGGAGGAATCGCAGACCTATTCCGGTGCTGGACCAGTAACTCCATGATTTGGCTATTTCCGGCCAAAGATGTTCCGATCACAGCACGGAATATTTGCCAATGTCTCGATGTCGCCAAGTCGTACTCGTCAGAAGAGATGATCCCGAAAGTAAAATATTTTTCATCCGTGCCCTACGTACTTCAGATGATGGAGTCAGACAAGCAGGGGTTGGGCTGGCTGCAGTGCATGGACATTGTTGGCGTCGGCGGTGCCGCTCTGCCCGCAGAGGTTGGCGATCGAATGGTCAAAGCTGGCGTCAATCTCATCTCGAGATTCGGCAGTGCTGAGTGTGGCTTTTTGTTGTCATCTTTCCGCGACTTCCAGTTGGACCAGGATTGGCAGTACCTGCGAAACTACAATCCTCCTAGTCTGGTCGATTTCGAGCCACGGGATGGTGATCTTGCGGAACTGATCGTGAAACCTGGTTGGCCCCATATGGTATGAAGTGATCCATGAAGACTGAGGCTGTTGCTGATGGATCTCAGGCTAAGAAGAATCGTGAAGATGGATCATTTGCAACTGCTGACCTCTTTGCACGTCATCCTAGCATACCGGATGCCTGGTTATATCATTCGCGCGCCGATTCGCAGTTAACCCTCATCACTGGCAAGAAGTTCGATCCGGCGCCTCTCGAAGCAGCAATAGCAACCTCGCCACATCTGGATGATGTAGTGATATTCGGGGATGGTCGACCATTTCCTGGTGCACTCCTGCTACGCTCAGAGCAGTCGAGTCAACTATCTCACCAAGAGCTTCTCGAAGCAATCAAACCAACGGTAGAAAAGCTGAATCGCGAAAGTCAAGATCATGCTCGTATACCATTTCATATGCTGGTACCCCTGCCTCATCAAAGCCAACCATTGGAGAAGAGCAGCAAAGGAACGCTTATCAGAAGGGCAGCCAATGCTCGATTTGAGAAGGTTGTCAATGCGGCCTACGACTCCCAAGAAGTGGATGGAACTACAGAGGTAGCAGATGAAGATGTACCGAAGCACCTCATTGGCCTCATCCAGGATATGACTTCCCAGTCCGATGAGCTCTCAGACGACATGGACTTGTTTTCTTACGGTGTTGACTCTATCGCCTGTATGCAGCTGCGGACTCGTCTGAGAGGACTTATACCCAACTGTCCCAAAGAGCTACCGATGAGTGTTATCGAGGACTGCGGAACGATTCGACGGCTCACTGATTACGTGCTACGGAAGCGACACGGCGAGTCAGACGCGAGCGAGGAGGATGAGGAGAAACTAATGATGGACCTCGTGAAGCAACATGGCTCGTTCGGCAAGCACGCTGCTTCAAGTCAGACAAATGGCCAAATGAATAAGACTGGAGAAGTTGTTGTACTCACCGGAGCCACTGGTGCGTTAGGCGCCCACATTCTAGACCTGCTCCAAAAGAAACCCGACATCGAAACAATCTACTGCCTGGTCCGTGGCGCAGACCAGCACGCCGCACAAGAACGCGTCAGCAAATCTCTCCAACAACGGGGTCTATCTAATATCAACCTCCAAAAAGTTAAAATCTTCCCATCCCAACTCAGCGACCCTCATCTCGGCCTCAGCAGTGACCTCTACACCCAGCTCGCCACCTCCACAACCTCCATCATTCACATCGCATGGACCGTAAACTTCCGCCTCAAACTACGCAGCTTCGTCAAAGACAACATCGCCAGCGTGCGCAACCTTCTCGACTTATGTCTCGCCGTCCCACGCTCTGACCCGCCGAGATTCACTTATTGTTCCTCCACCGCATCTATCATCAACAGCGCGCCTGATGCCTCAGGCCAACTGCCAGAGTTGATCCAGCCGAACCCGTCATCCGCCTCACCACTAGGCTACTCCCGCTCCAAATGGGTCGCAGAACACATTTGCCTGTCCGCGCACGAGCAGACGCGTCTGCACGGCCGGATTTCCGTCGTCAGGGTCGGACAACTTGCCGGCGCGTCGGACACGGGGATATGGAATACGAAAGAGGCATGGCCGATGATGTTGAGTACTGCGAGGCTGATCAAGTGTCTCCCGGACCTTGGTGACGAGCCGCTAGATTGGCTGCCTGTCGATGTTGCTGCGCGGGCGTTTTTGGAAATCACTAGCCCGGCACAGGGCTCTGGGGATATGCCGGTTTATCATGTTTTGAATCCGCATGTGGAACCGACGTGGAGACAGTTGCTGCAGTGGCTTAAGAAGGAAGAAGACTTCGACATCGTGACGCCTGGAGAGTGGGTGAAGAGGCTGGAGCAAGCTGAGGGGATTGAGCATTCTGCGATGAAGTTGCTGGGGCTGTGGAAAGAGGCGTATGGGGGTGAGTGGGTGGAGGAGAGGGGGAAGGAGAGGCCGGTGTTTGGGATGCAGGAGACGAAGAAGGGGGTTGAGGTGTTGAGAGATGTGAGGCCGTTGGATGAGGGGTATGTGGAGAGGATGTGGGAGTGGATCATTGAGAATGTGAAGTAGATGGGAGGGTAGATGTTGACGTAGGTACATAACGTATAACATTCATATTTGGAAGTACTTTGTCCACCAACCCTAGAACTCGAGTAACATGTATACTTCTTGGTTATACTATCCTTGTATGCCGAATGTCTGTAAATCACGCAAATTGTATTCCTCCGGGGTTGGTCTCGCCTGGTGACCCATCCATCAACTCCAAATATAAACCCCACCCACTGCCCTATCTTCCACATACGACCATAGGACGATGACAATTGGGCTTCCCGTCCGCTCAGCCATACACAAGCATCGTACCGGAGGGTTAGTAGTTAAGTGGGTGACCATTAGCGAATCTCCTCTGTTGTATGTTTTTGGATTTTTTTGGTGAGTGGGGTTGGTGGAGACTTAAGAATGGTGGATGACTCGCGTTGATGATCTGGAAGTTATTTTTGAGCCGAGGTGGAGTCATAGTAAGTGTGCGCGAGCAATGATACTGAACGGCAGGAATGTTATATCCAAGTCCGAATAGATTTGACAGCTAATCAGCACCATTAAAAAGGTGCTTATCGTGTCTCGAAGTCGTACACGCAGCCTTACTCAACTTCCACATTCTGATCGTTATTGTCCAAACACAGCATACAATCCCTCCCCTCCACATCATCTCCCACCTTACTCCCACTCGGGCGTGTCCACCCACATCTTCGCACTCCCAAACCTTACCGTCTTCCCATAATACTCCAACATAGCATCAACCTCCATCCTCTCCTTCTCCCACCACTTCCTCAACTCCGCCCTCCCTTCCCCTCCAATCCACTCCTCCTGCCCACCCCGTCCCCACCTCTTCCGCACATTCCTGGAAAACTCAATCGCGTGGCGCACGTCTTTTTTCTCTGCGCTTTTCGTCTTCAGCGCAATGTACGGGTGTATGTTGAGTAGGACCGCGAGGTCGAGGAATGTGGATAGGGGCGTGGAGGGGAAGGAGGGGAGTTTGGAGTGCTGTGTGAGGGCGGTGGAGGCTACGGCGTCGAGGTATGTGAGGGGGAAGGTGTTTGTGGAAGACTGCGAGAAGAGCAGCAGGGAGGCGTTTATGCAGGATGCCAGCGGGGGCCAGATTTTTGAAGGGGCGGGGAGGGTTTTAAGCGTCCACAGGTGGGCGAGGGACCATTGCAGGGTGGGGTTGAAGGTTGTGTCGGTGGGGGCGGGGAGGGTGGAGAGTAGGGGCCGGATTGTGCGGTGCGTGTATGTGAGTTTTAAAGAGCGGGGTTTGCCTCTTGTCGAGGGGTCTTCGAGGGATGAGGTGTCGACGATGGCGAGGAGGGATTTGCAGGGCTTTTGTATGGTGCGCATCTCGTCGACGCGTTTTGTTGACTCGGCGGTTTTGAGCGGCCGGGTGTCTGCGGCGATGGTGGCTTTCAGGTCGGATGTGAGGGCAAAGGAGAGGGGGAGGAGACCTGGACAGGCGGTTGTGTGGCTTTCGAGGAGAGTGACGACTTTCCAGAGTTGCTCGGACTCTTCGGGAGTCATGCTTGCGACAATGACTGGAACTAGGAGATCGAGTGTGTCCGGTAGTTCTCCTGCGCGAAACCTCATGGCTGTGAAAGTGTCGTCTTCTTTTGTCCCTTGGATCATAAAGTCGGTGGCTAGTTTTGCCCAGAGAAAGACTCCATTCGCCTTTTCCGCTAAGGTGTTGATGACGTTCATTTCCTCCACGTTGTCGGATCTCCGCCGCATGGTAACCAGCGTCTCGGTCTTGTCGAAAGTGTTCATAATGTAGGATGCCGCGTCCTTCTTCGTCCACTCATCCAGCACCAGATTCGGCCTTCCTTCAAATGCTGTTTCCAGTTCCGGGCTGTCACAACTCGACACGATGATCTTGACGTTATCCTTCTTCGCCGCGCTGATGATCGCTTCAACAAGCTCGCTCGGATACTCGTCTATTTCATCCAGCCCATCCACCATGAACATAAACTTCTTGCTCACATCCGAGACCATAAGTCCAAACGCCTTAGTCAGCTCCTTGAACGTAAAGTCATGCAGCCCTCCCCCATAGCTCGTAAACTGCTGCCACCTATCCGCAAACAGCCACTGAATAATCCCCTGATCCTGCTCCAAAGGGCCATAGATCATATCCTGCAGACTCTCATAGAGTATACTCCGTAGCAACCCCACGCCACTCTTCTGCAACTCCGTCCCCGCGTTCCACAAGAAAAACGCCGCTGTGATGCCCGGCGCCGTGCCCGACCACGCTTCCAGATAATCAAAGATTTGCGCGTTCCGGAAAAGATGCCGCGTCAGCGTCGTCTTGCCACACCCTGGCTTCCCACGTATCCAGAAGAGATTCTCGCCGCGCACATTGCCAAACCACTCCAACAACCCGCCCTCATCGCCCATCCGCTCATCCTCAAAAACCCACCTCATGCTCCCCTCCGCCGGCCCCTCAACCGCACACATCCTCTCCTCCGCCTCGCCAAACCGCAGTTTCCCAAACACCCCCTCGCAGAAATAATCCTCCTTTTCCACCGTCACCAGCAGATCCACAATCTTGGCGAACTCGTCGACATTCTTCTTCTTGCTCGGTTTCCAATCATTCGCATGGATTGCGTCGAGCGCGTCGTTCTGCCATTTCTCCCAGTGCGTGAGCGGCACGTCCGAGCCGTCTTTTGCAAACACGGGCAGGCCCGTTTCCATGGATTGGTCCAGGTACTGGCGCAGCGCGAGGAGCAGCGAGGTGTCGATTTCGCGGCGCAGGGCGCGCAGTTTCTTCTTGGTGCTGGTGACGTCTTTTTTCTTCCACGGGCCGGCCATTAGGGCGTCTCGTGCGGTCTGCCATGTTGGATCTTCGGGTGTGCCCCGGGCTTGCGCAGATATCAACGCATCTCTTAGCCCTTCGACGAGGAGTTTGACGTCTTCACTGTGTTTGAGGAGCTGTTGGGCTGCATCGCTGAGTTTGGTGGATTTGCGCTTTTCCGCCTTGTCAGCCTGGAGTTTTTTCAATTCGCTTTGGTCGACGGCGTCGGTTAGTCTGTAGAGATTGTTGATGATATTTTGCAGGATGAGTGCGTTTTCAACGGGTGTTGTGGATGCGTCTTCGGGTTGGTAGATGTTGTGGTCTTTTCGCAACGTGTTGATGCTGAAGTCGATGATCTGGACCAACGCGGAGGAGAGCCCGACTGCAGGTATTGGTTTCATCTTTCCCGTGTATCAATCGCTTCTTTCGCGGGCGCCTAGGGTATATGGGAATGTTTAAACATTAGGAGCAAAAACTTTGTTTTGTTGTTTGCTTTGTCACTATTCTTGGGGACGCACGTACTTCTTGGAAAGCCGTCGGTGTCCGTCTCATCTTGAGGCTAGTGCGCCTTGACGGCCGGACAGGGGTGGCAAGGGACGCAAGGCAAGCGAGGCGACTCATCTGAGACTATTGATGTTGATCTTTTTGGCCTGCGAGCACTTGGCAACAAGTCACGAAAGTCTTGTGAGAGTGCATACGATGATCCATAAATAGACAGCGTAATCTTGCTGTGATTAGACTACTACAACTATACAATAAAGACACAATGGGCTTCGTAAGATACGCAGAGCCAAATGGTAGACGACTGTGCACGAGCGACTCAAGGGAAATAAAATCCAGTACATGGCGGGTATCTCGAAAGAGAGTGTCCGGTGTATGTCCTCCCATAACTGCAAATGCAAACATGACGCATATAGAGCGTGAACGACCAACGGTTTTCAGAACAAAAAGAAAGAAAGAAAGCTGACAGCAATCAAGAACAAATTTGACGCTGTTTAGACTTGCCCTATCATCATGCTGGGGCCTGGGATGGTGTAGCCTCACTTTGGCCGGCCTCTTGCCGCAATTTCGCGACTTCGGCGTCATCTGCTCGTGCGGGATGCTTGTTGCCCCGCCACCCCTCACTGTTGTTCTTCGGCGTCGAATATTTCATGTGGTACTTGGCTTGGTCCATCTTGTGGTTGGCTTCGCGTTGCACCTGGTGTCGAAAATGGCTAGCAGGTAGCGAGCCCTCTTGCTCCAGTGTATCCAAGTCCTCCTCGTCGCTACTGCTCATACTGCTGCTCCTGCTTATCTGCGTGTAGACAATGTGTTGGCCCTCCTTCTTCTTCCTCTCTCTCTGCTCGTTCTTCATTGCTTCCATCTTCTCCGCGTCGCCTTGGCAGTCGAGCGTCTTGACGTGGAGGCCTGGGAAATTCGACTGCATGAACGCCTTCAGTTGTGGGAGGAGTTTGGCGTTCGGTCTGTAGGTTCCAGAGTCGTTGTCGATCACAAGCTCGTAGTGGCTGGGATCCTTGATATGTGGTTCTTCCTTGGGCGGGCCATCGTCAATATCATCAGGTGGGTGGCTCTGGTTGTGGCCGCCATCCTCGGGCGGCGCATTCTTAGGATGCTTAAGCCGGCGGATGAAGAACTCGCCCGAGAAGGCAATATATGCTGCGACATCGCTGTGCATAGTGTGCTTGGACAACATGTCAATGCCGAACTCCTTGCCGGTTTCTGTGAAGCGGAAGAGGCCATCGAGCGTAAGGACGTATGTGAAGATGCGGCCGCCCTGGTCAAAGTGTACCAGTTCGAGGAACTTTTGCGCAAATTCCTTGCAAGGCTCCTGGAAAAGCTTGAACTCGGTCGCATGGTCAAAGTTGTACACTCGCGCATGCTGGTGGTGTAACGCCTTGGAAAGTATAAAGCCCCTGACGCCCTTGGCCGTGAACATGGACTTGACGAAGGGCTTGAACTCGACGTAGCGGTGGTACATGGCTTCCGGGACTGGTCCTCGCAGCTGCATCTGGTTCGACTGGAAGTTGTACTTCTCGGGCTTCGGCTTGCCCGTCCTCTTGGAGACCTCGCCAGGCTCATTCGGCTCCTTCTGGCCCAGCAGGCGTCCCAGCAGCGGCGAGTAATGCCGTATCCAGAACTGCGGACCTATCGTGTATGTGCGACCGCCGTTGTCATCCTGCGTCCTGCCCAAGACCTCGACGCTCACATTCAGCGTGCCGTGCATGTGCTCGACCTTTCTGAAGCACACGGCGATGGCGCGCAGAAGCCAGGCCCTCTTGCTGACCATGCGCTTCTTGATGGGGTACGTCTGGTCCTTGATGCCGCCCCCATTGCTCGTTGACGGCGCTGGATATGACGTGCACGTTGCCAAGGCGGTCGTCGTGGTCTGCGGGGTCCTCGTCGTAGATGCGGCACTTGAGCTTGAAACCCGAGGCGGGGACGTTTGCGACTATCCACTCCGCAATTCCACACGGGATTCGTGTTCTGGCGCACGGTCGGGGTGCGCAAGACCAGCGGTGGGTCTTCCTGGTGTCGCTTCGGCAGGTTCGTGGTGAGCTCGGCCATGATGAACGGGTCGGCCGACAGCGTGTTGATGTCGGCGAGCGGCAGGTTGTTCGCGCGGTGGAAGGTGAACTTGACCGTGTAGCCAGGCGGCGCGCGCGGGATCGGGGTGTCGTCGAAGCCTCCCTCGGGGCCCTTCTTCTTGCTGCCGCCCGTGTTGGTCTTTTGCGGCTTCGGCGGCTCCTGGTTTGCGCCGACGGGGCTGTCATGTTTCTCGTCCTGCGCCGCCGTCGCATGGCCGTTCTGCATCCTCGAGTCCTTCTCCGCGGCCATGTTTGCGACAGACTCACCGGGTGCGCTCAGTTGGTTGCGCAAGACACTCCCGCCCGTAAGCGCGAGGCAGCTACGAGACAAAGTATCGCAGGCGCAAGGATCCAAGACTAAGACGCCAGAATCGCAGAGTCATAAAAAGCAGAAAGTGTCAGATCTCAGCGACAGAAAGGGAGTTGGTGGTGCAGAGGGTTGGTCGCTGTGGCTGGCAGCAGAGGCGCAATCAGAGCCGGAGCTGAACGGAATTCACTAGCTCTGACCTGCCGTAAACAAGCTTTCCAAGAATGCTAAGCCTTCACCATCGACTCCGCGCGAAGCGGTTTCAAGCGGTAGATTGCACCGCCTCACGTCTAATTGGCTGCCAAACGGTCCGATCTGTCGTCAGCCTGTCAAAGATGCACATGTCCAACGCCCCTTTCGGATGCAGAACACTGAGAATCTGCAGCTGACGTCACCTAAACTGCAAAAGCCTTGCACATGGCTGGTGGAGCCGCGTGAAGACTCGTGGCTTCTCGGATACTCGGCATTCTTTTGATTGTGACAGCACGGGAACAAGTTTTGCACAGCCACGCTAACCTGCCAACCTAACCTGAGGCGCATGGCGTCTGCGTATTTGATTCGGCACTCCGGATCTTACCCTCTCTTGGTGTCATGACTCACGCTGAGGGAGTTCCGCAAGTACATACACATGCAAAATCATTGGCAGGTTGTACGCGCTCCAAACGGCCTCGGCTGTATCCGCTGCATATTGCATCATCATGCATCGTAAGGCTAGTGGGTAAAAGACATGGCATCGTTGGAATCAAACTTCGATATTACTTATGCATTACGTTCTATACAACTTTTGGGAGCGAAGAGTGGTCCACCAGCACAGCTGACACCCCATATCTGTGACACGCCCTCCCTACAAAGGCCGTCAATCTATTACAATCATACTAAGATGCAAAACTCTAAACCGCACCAACACGCTATGCTGACGTACGGAACGGGTATAACGCAATCAAATGCCGGGTATCTATGAAGTCGAATTATGGTTCTGACACGCGTTGCGTCATCGGGTGTGGCTTCGATCGTCTATGCGGCGTGCATGACGACTTGCTTGCCCTTCATGCTCTTCCACTCCACGAATGCTGCGCCAAGGATGGACATTGACGCAGTAGCGACAGAGACGTAGAAGGTTTGCGTAAGAGCGAGATTGTAGGCTGTAAGGACACCGGGTAGGAATTTCTCCTCGATGGCGTTCTTGAGCTCAGTAGCGCCAACAGCAAGGACGATCTTAGTGTCGAGCTCAGGGACGAGGGTGCCGAGGTTCTTGATGAGCTGGTTCGTGAAGACGTTCTGGCCGACGCTGATGAAGAGGGCACCACCGAGTGTTTGCGTGAACATCATGATGGCGGTACCGATGGGGACGTCGCCTGCGGGAAGTGCAGTCTGGACGGCGACAAGTGTCTGCTGCATGCCGAATCCAACCCCGGCACCGAAGAGGAATTGGTATCCGATCCATCTGGGAGAGTTCGAGTCGGTCTCAAAGGTGGACAGTAAACCAGCACCAATGGCCATCAAGACGCTGGAAATGAGCATGAAGGGGGTGTAGTAGCCGATAACCGTCACAAGGATGCCCGAGCTCATAGACACGATGACTAGGCCCAAAATGCAAGGGAGGTTCATGATGCCGGACTTCGTAGCAGAAACGCCCTTGATCGCCTGGAACCAGATGGGAAGATAGTAGACCATGACGAAGAAAGCAGCGCCAAGCATAGCTCCAAACCATGCCGATCCCCAAACGTTGCGGTTGAGGAAGATGCGGGGAGGAACGGTGGCGTTCTCCTGTTTGTACCATTGGATGGCGATGAAGCCGATGATGAGGAGAGAGAATATGACGAAGAGTGCGATAATGCGGCCGTTACCCCAATCATACTTGGATCCTCCCCACTGAAGCGCAAGGAGCAGGCAGATGATGGCTGGGAGGAAGAGTACAGTGCCCTCGAGATCGAACTTCTTAAGCTGCTGCTTCCATGTCGCGTCGACCTTCTTTCCACGTCGCTGAACGCTCAAGAACGGGATAATAAATGCAGCTGTAAGGGCACCGAATGGCAAATTAATATAGAAGCACCAGCGCCAGGTTAGGTGATCGGTGAAGGCTCCGCCCATACTAAGCTTTGTTAGCACGTGTTGATCAGTCTTGGTGTTGTAGGCGAAACTTACAGAGGACCCGCAACAGACGCAATGCCGTACATACCACCAATCAAACCCATGTAGGTAGGACGCTTGCGAAGCGGAACCGTGCTGGCAATAATGAGTATCGCACCGCTGAAGATGCCAGCTGCACCGACTCCAGCAACCGCACGACCAATGATCAGCGCAGTAGAGTTGGGCGCAACACCACAGATCAAAGAGCCGAGTTCGAAGATGGCGAGCGCGATGAGGTAGACCCATTTGATGGAGTAGAAGGTGTAAAATTTTCCGTAGATGAGTTGGGTGGCGCATGTTGTGAGGAGGTATGAGCTGCCATACCAACCGACATCGTTCAGTGCTTTGAACTGGTCGGTGATGCGAGGAACTAACATCAGGTCAGTTTGTGTCTTACATGCAGTCGTAAATTGATTGACGTACTCGCCGTTGCTATAATGGTATTGTCCTACTCTAATGTTAATACCGCGAAGACATCCAGGACATGAAATGACTTACCAATGCCATGCAAAAGACGCTCAAGCAGAGAGCTATTGTGATGGCCGCTAGTTTCCAAGACTTGGGGTATTCGAAACCGTCCTCTTCGTCGTCTGCGCTGATTTGCGAATTGCGCTTTGTGTCGACTACTCCAGCATTCTTCTCGTCTGCGATGATTGGCTCGACGGATGCAGGATTGGCTGCAGGTGCTACAGCTTCGACAGCACCCTTGCCCTCCAAAAGCGAGGGCTCATGACTTTGCACCGCAGTCCTGTCTGATTCGGCCATGCTTGCCTGCGTCGTAGGCCGGAGGTGATTGTTTGCGTCGCTCATGATTGCGTCGTGCGTGGCGCTATATAGACTGGTCGAGGTATGCGCCAAGGCGAGGGCGTCGACTAGTCCTGAATGACGAGTGTATGTCTGAAGACGGAAGCTGCGTGATCAAAGGGCCGCTGCCTGAGGGGCCAGGGCACTATTTGTAGTATCCAGAAAAGGAGGGCATACAAGGGCGGATGTAGGGCTGAAATGGAGACACAAGCAATGACACTGCAAACATTGGTCTTCTCGTCCCCGTTTGGGTGGGTACAACTTCATCAGACTAGCGGAGATCGGTACACACGCTTTCCCGCTTTCACCCATATGTCCGGCTGCATTTCGTCCGCGACTCCTAAGCGACGCCTCGAAATCATAAAATTGTTGCCTGGCAAGCCACACGGATTCCTCGCGCTCCCTGCGGCACTCGATGGTTCTCATTAAGACGTGCGGCGCGCATCGCAAGGGGCTGCAAGTTCGGCAAGGACATGCCAGAATCGCAAACTAGCACACTGTGTAGAAGCGAATAGAAGCAACCGCCAGCTGAGATCGTCATCGATCAAGCCTGCATAAGAGTTTTGGTGTTCTCGGCGTCCGCGCGCCCCGGCAGCATTTGCGATGAGTCTAGTCAGACCCTCGCGATCGGGACAAAGTCTTGGGAATTCGATCCTCTGGGATTGTAGTGGAGTCATTCTCCTGGAGACACAGCAACTGCAGAAGCTTCCAGTCATCACCATCAATTGCATGCGCACACGAGGCCCCCCATCGCATAGCCTCGCTCATTCAACTGTGGGTTCCTCAAGATGAATTTCGTCCGTCAATGTTCGCATTCGTTTGCGACTTTCCCCTAGGGCTGGGCCTGATCTAAGCTTTTTGTGGGTAAATGGCCAGACCTCGGGATCTCTCTGGGCGTTTTAGTGTTTGAGGTCGGTATGTCGGTGATACGGCATGTTCGCTACACCCGCTCCGACGTGGATCACTTACTTCCGCTACCATCGATCCGACCCATCGCGAGCTTGAAATGACTCCCGGTATGGCGCAATCGTCTGATGTCTGGATGTTAGGTTTGAGACTGGAGACGCCCAGGGTTTCCATTAATTCGGCGACTCGTGCTCGGGAAATCCATTGGCCTCTGTGTCGTCCTCACGTCATGTCGCTGAAAGCCACAATTTGCTCGGACGATTCTTGTCCTAACGCAGAGGTTCATGCTATGAAACAGGCCACCGCTCTCGATGATCCCATCCCACTTGAGAGTCTCTCTAGGTACCGCAACTATTCGTGTTCGCTCTGTTTAAACTTTCTCCCTTGTTGAAACCTATGCACCAAATTATACGCCAGCGTACATGGCTTCAAAGGCGTGTTAGACTATGATATGTTCCTAAAAGCGGCCTTGAAAATTTGTAGCCTTAGCTATCGCTACACCGCTACTGTTCACTGCATTGAGCCAGACCAGGCACGAATCACTGCACGAACTAGTGCTGCTACCAATCCCAAAGACACCATCCCGCTTGGAAGTCTCACCCAACGCTGTACAAACGCAGCAAAGCATGGTATGATCGTGATTGGATTGAGAATATGTTTTTACATGTCTTTCGACTTATTCACGTATCTGGCTTTTCTGATGGTAAACGTCGTCAATGCGTCTCCACCAAGCCATGGTATCTTTATATGCAAAACCCAACTCCATCTAATGCCGCTAAACCTCAGATTCAAAACTGCACCTGGAACTTCTTACTCGTCCGAATCCTCTCTCCATAAAACCTGAAGAAAATCGGCACGGGAATGAACGCCAGACTAATAAATCCCAGCAGACTGTTCCCCCACCCAAGGCCTAGTGCGTCGTACATGGACAAGCCAGATAGCGGGAGCACTGCGCCGAAAACCGACCGAAGGACGGTGTTTGCTGCGATTGCCGATGCGGCGTGGATTGTGAAGGCGTCGACGAGGTATGTTTGAATGGTCATCATGGCGGTAAGATTGCCAAGTCCGATGAATGCGGTCGCTATGATGGGGACGATCCAGTGGACGCCGTAGTATGTCTATAAAATCGTCAGTGTCGAGTTCTCGCGCGAGCTTTTACTACTTGTTATCAACGTACCGTCCAGCCGTACACGAAGACGCCAATGGGTAGGGCGACTGCTCCCGGAACCGTCAACATCAGCGGGAGTCGATGCTCCGGCTTGACGTTTCCTTTGGCTTGTTGCTTTTTGATGACCTTGTCGGACATGACCCCTAGAACTCCCATGCCCACCAGCATACCCACGCCTGAGCCGATGTACGACAGACCCACAGCGCCAGAGCTAAAGTGATATTTCTGCTCAAACACAAACGTAATCGTCGTGAAGAAAAGATACAAAATCCCATAATTAATCGCAATATACAAGCTCATCAGGCCCACAATCGGCGACATGAAAAGCATCTTCATCGGCCTCGAAATCGCGCGTACAAACACCTCTCTCGGGGGGATGTTCTTCGCGAGCTTCGAGCGAATATCCGGGTTTCCAGTGGATTTGCGTAATGCAGCGGCTTTGCGCTCGAGCAGCGTGGGCCCGTAGGATTCAGAGCCGACGAGGAGGAGTATGAGGCCGAACACGCCGCCGAAGATGGCGAGGATCCAGAATACCCAGCGCCAGGACATGTTTTCGACGAGGAAGCCGCCGCAGACGGGGCCGATGACGGGGCCCAGGAGCGGGCCTAGAGACCAGATTGCCATTGCGCCGGCGCGTTGTTCGGGGGGAAACACTGTCGAAGGGGAAGACATGGTTAGCAGGTGTCTCAGGCGAAACCGTTCAGAGGAAGTTGAACTAGCTGTGGTTTTTTTCCAACCACCTTTCTGTCTGTCCAAAATGATATCAGGAAGAGTTTCGACTTACTGTCGGCAATGGTTCCTCCTCCGATAGTCAAAGGCGCTGAGCCAGCGCATCCCGCAAGGAGGCGGAAAGCAATCAGCATGCCCATAGACTTGGACAGGGCACACGCAACATTGAAAATAACAAACAGCAGATTGCACACATTGTACAAGTATATGCGACCGTACAGCTCAGACAGTGGCGCAATGAACAGGGGCCCAATAGCGAAGCCAAGGATATACACAGACACAACAAAGGCAGCTATAACGTTCGAGGTTTCGTGGAACTCCCTAAGTACTTGTGGAACGCCAGGCGCGAAGAAAGATGATGCCAGTGGCGTGATGAGCGTACATGCGCCCAAGGATGCGATGATGCCCCATTTCTTCGACATGGGCCAGTTTTGGGGATTCGTCGGGTCGGAAGGGCCGTCCCAGTCGACGATGTTGGGATCTTCGGGTGCTTCTGGGTCTGCCGTTACGTCGCCGGAGAGTGTTTGTTCGTCAGTGTAGGTTGATTGGGCTTGACTTTGGAGGCCTTTTTCCATGTCTGTTGTATAGGACTCTTCTGGTGTCCGGTCGGCATCGTGGCCTTGTTGGTATGCTTCCCGGACCTTTTCGTCCTGTATGTCTTGGGTTTCCCGGACGGGATTTGAGAATGCTGCGGGAGTTGCCATTGTGGATGAAGTGTGGGATCTGGGTCGAGCTGTTAGCACACTCAACATGCATGCTTTTCGTGCCTTTGGCTGAAGGATTTTTCAACACAAGTTTGACATATCGACGGTATGTAGAAGGAGTTGCAAATCTTACCAAAGCAGGCGCGAAACCAAGACGGAAGCAACCGTGAAGTGTAATTGTCGTTTGCAGATCTCGGTAATCAGGTACTCTGAAGCCAGAGAACTAGTGAACAAGAATGCACAACTCTGAACACAGTCAAATGAGAAGGAGAATGGGGATCAATGTGAGAAGGAAATCATATCAGTATATGGCAGAAGGCAGCAACAGGCATACTGGTATACATGATTCCCTCGGTACTTAGCCAGACGCCCGCCCTTTTGAGACGGACGGTGACAACCGTATCTGCGTATCCCCTCCTATGCCCGCGAGACTAATTCCGCTCGCGACCAAGCAGCCGTGGCATGGCAGTCGCAACGCCTGAACCCGAGCCAATCAGACCCTACAAAATCGCAAGAGAAAGCTTGTTAGCTGCTTGGGGCGAGCTTGAATGGGTGCGCAAGGCCAGCCACATTCTAGAAGGGTGGGTCAAGCTGCGGAGGGTCGGAGGGTGCCTCAAACACCATCCGCTGCGGACAAATGATAGATCTGGTAGGCATAACAACGAAATCTGGGGAGATGATGCATTGCGTTCGGTTATCTTAATTTATGGCTTTAGGGGACCTGGTGCCCGGTGAGGTTATGCAGTGTAGGGGCACAGCTGACAGTACTCGATACTGAGGATGGGGGACGTTCTCCTAAGCGAGACCCGAGCGGGCAAATAAGCTCAACATGTTTGTTGGCACAGGGCTATGAAGGCCTGAGTGTCAAATGTTTCGTTATCGATGTCCATATATAGTGCTGACTTTGGGTCGGAACGGAGCGTGCCTGTGAGCAAGGGCCGATAAGAAAAAAATTCGTAGGCTCGAGTTGCACTCCCATATCAAATCAACAGAGTACCGCAAGACGTTGTGGCAGAAGGTGCTGAGTACGGATGGTCAGACTCATATGCATTTCACAGACTGCCCATCACGGCACATGCAGGCATGCTTGTAGTTGGGGTGAGAGTGCAAGACGGTTTCGTAGAACAGAATTTGTTTATTCTTGAAGCGATTTCCAGTCCATCGCCCTCTAATCATGCAGTCATGCTAGATGGTATCCCCAAACCTGAACGCCATTGAAATGCACACAATCGCTTTTGACCGTCATCTAAAACCTCTCCTTCATGCGTCCAGCAACGGTTCGCAGGTTGCCATAGACCTTGCTGGGGTTCTGTCCCAAGATCAAGCTGACGATAGCCTCCCGGGCGACGTGGATGTTCTTGAACCCACCCAGGATGTGGATCTTCGAGTCTGCCAATACCACCCGTGTCCGGCTTGCATTTTCAATGGCGAACTTGGTCTTTCCGTCCTTGCCTGCTATACGTCCAATAGCGCGGCCCATGTGCTCGCCCTGCAGGGTCTTGACATCCTTGATCTCGAATGTCTCGATGTAGAGGTCGTCGAGACGGAGCAGGGCAATGGCGTCGTCAACGTCAAAGCCGAGCGTGAAAGCCTTGACAAAGTCCTCGCCCTTTTGCAGAGCGCCAGTGTCGGTTGTGCTCTTGGATGTGCGCAGCTCGACGGACTTGGTCTTGATGTTCATGCGCACCTGCAGCTTGAGGTGCTCGACCAGCGGGGGGTATATCTTAGGCCATGCCGTCTTCAGCGGCGTCATGCGGTGTGGGGGGATGGGCACTTTGCGCTGCTCGTGGCGGAAGGCGAGCGGTATCGACTTTGCGGGCGCGAACTTGGGGCGGCCGCTCTCGTCGGTCATGGGCATGTCGTCGGCAAGCGCGTCTGGCGCGGCTTCTATGGCTGTGCCGGGCTCGATGCTCATGTCAATCAGGTCTGCGTCGTCTTCGGGCAGCGGGACGGCGCTGGCCTCCATGGAGACGTCCTCGCTGACATTTTCCGCAAATTCCTCGGGGCGGCGCTGGAGGGCTGTGGGTGCAGGCATTTTGTGTCTTCCTTTTGCTGGACTTGTTGCAGTCTTCTGGTGGTGGAGCCGTGGGCGGCAGAATCGTGAATTTCGGCGGGGCTATCGATAAGAAAGTTTCGCGGTCGCGAATTTTGGTGAGGCGAGATGGCGGTGGCAGCCGGCTACGTACTAGCGCTTTCACCGCAAAGTCCAGTCTGTGCCAGCACCATAATGACGTGAACTTGGTCCTTCCCACTCTGCTTCACCAAACCCACGCCCCTCTTTCCCCTCCCGATCGACCAGTCCGCAGCCTCCACGGACCCGCGGACTCGACAATGTGGCTGCGGTGAATATAATGAGCAGGAATGTAGGCTGGACGGCTGGCGCTTTTCTGCGGCGCTCCGTCGTCGACCAGCCGCTGACCCAGACTGGAGTGCTGCCGCGCTTCAGCGTTGGGAGCCATTTGCGGACACCCTGGAGCGACTTCGCTCAGAGACGACGCATCACATTGAGTACCCAAGTGCTGGGCCTCTCCTCCACACATTCGCCCTTGACGCGCTCGTCACATGTCACATCGGGTACCGCACCACTGCTACAAGGACCGCTGTTCCGACACAGCCATGGCCAGCAAAGCGTGACAGTCACTGTGCTGTCCGCCTTCTGCAGACATGCATCTTCGAGATCGAAGAAAGCAGCCAGAAAGAGTGCTGCCAGCGACCGACGCAACAAGAGCTCAGTGACGGATGGCTCCTCCAAGAACAAGCGGACCCCACCACAGGCTCCGCAAGCAACCCTCTCTCCACAGCCCCAACCCCCTCCCAAAGGCTCGAAACAGCCATCGGCCCCCAAGTCCGACGCCCAGGACGCTTCCAGCAAGCACCTCCTCGACCGTCTACCCCACACCCTACCACATCTCAAACGTCCGACAAAAGCAGAACTGCTCGAGGCAGCCTCGGGGTTCTGGTCGCGGATAAAGATCCACTTCAAATGGCTCACTATTCGAAGTGCGCGTCCCTTCAACGCCGACGAGATCTATGCACTCTTCTCGTGGATCCTGGCTGCGCACGTGCTGTGGATTGTGCTGGGAACAACGACCTTCTTCATGTTGACCGTCTTCCTCATCAACACTGCCTTTTCTGCAAGAGACGCTCGCCAAGTGGATTGGAAACTACCTGACAAAGTCGTCGGGCATCAAGGTTGTTTTCGAGACGGCTGTAGTACCCAAGTGGAAGGACGGTGTCATCTCGTTCAGGAAGGTCTACGTCTCGAGGAGACCGGGCCAAAAAGGTGGCAAGGTCAGCAAGGGCTCGCAGACTGAGATGGCTGCGGCCGCGGCCGCTGTTGCGCAGCAAGAGAAGGACGAGAAGGAGCACCAGGAGGGTGTCGAGCAGGGAGCAGAGCCCGAAGAAGACACAAACTACACCCAGTTCGACATCTCCATTGACACGGTGAATGTTACGCTATCCTTCTCGAAATGGTTCAACGGAAAGGGGATGCTGGAGGACGTGGAGATCAAGGGCATTCGCGGTGTCATCGATCGAACGCACGTTCGCACAATCGAGGGCGTAGATCCCCGGTCATACAAGCACGAGCACAACCCAGGTGACTTCGAGCTCAACTCGTTCAAGATGGAGGATTTACTAGTGACCATCTACCAACCAGGTGGTTTCCGCCCCTTCGCCGCAAGCGTCTATTCGTGCGACTTGCCACAGCTGCGAAAGCAATGGCTGTTCTACGATTTTCTCTCAGCGAACATGATGTCCGGCTCATTCGATAACTCCCTGTTCACCATTCACCCCAGACAAACTCACAACTACACTGGTACACAACTTAACAGCGCGTCTGAAGACGGCAGCACATGGAAGAAGCACAGCAGGATACGCATCGATGGTCTTAACATCGACCATCTCAACCGAGGCTACGATGGCCCCTTCTCATGGATTCACGAAGGCAACGTCGACATCATAGCAGACATCATGCTTCCCAACGACGACGATGAGTCTCTCGCAAAGGTCATGTCTGACATGTACGACCGTGTCGAAGCCACTGTCACACAAAACGGCCGCAAACACCACTTCTCAGACCACGCTACGCCTGGCTTTGATGACCACCACCACGATGAAACCGCCGAGCACAAGGAAAGTGAAGGAGAGGATAAGCGCTTCATCATCATGGATATGCGCGTCCATCTCAATGACGTCCGCGCCGCCGTACCCATCTTCACACGAGACATATCTTACGTCAACAACGCGCTCGTCCGACCCATTGTCGCCTACATTAATTCGAAGCGCACTTTCATTCCCGTAAATTGCCGTGTCGTCAAAAAAGTCAGCGAGTTCGACGGAAGCTGGACACTCTACGACAGCGGCTTGATGGAGGAAGTATCTCGAGAGGTCAGTTTTCTTTCTCTCATACATCACAACATGCTAACACCAGAAACAGATGTACGATGCTTTCGCCCGCGACGTCCTCGACGACCGTACAGTGCGCAAACGCCGGATAAAAAAAGTCGGCATCTGGACGCTGCAACTCGCCGCCCAGGCGCTCTTCTTGGGGCTGGCGGGTAATATTGCTTGATACCCATATATAACTCTACTCTTTTGATGAAATATGAATGTGACAAGAATGCGTGGCGTTTTAGGGCGGTTGGGTATACTGGCCTACGGGTCTGGGAAAGATGGAGTCATGATGTTCATGTTGATGTATAGCTTAGTATTCAACGATGAAATGCAATGTATAGATCACATTTTTTATACTGAGGATGCGTGGTCTACTCGCCCAATGATCACGCCGCGCACTTCTCTCCCATTACTGCCCCAGACTCGATGACATGGGATCCACTGCACACCCTTCATATCCCCTTCCCACTCAAACCTCCGTCCAGCATACAGCGTCGCATTCGCCCACTGTTTCTCTCTCACCCTCTCACAATCCTCCTCCCCTGTGATCTCAAACGCGTAAAATCGCGTCGATGACCCCGCCGGCGCGACTTCATTCCCGTCAGTGTGTATGCTCTTAGCCGTCAAGCCCGTCGCGCTCCACTCGATATCCACGCCGCGAGGCAGCGCCTCAACTTGCACGACGAAACACGGCGGCGTGCGGTGTCCAGATATGGCATCGTGATCTGGAATCGGCGCGCGATACGTCTTGTCGTTGAACGCCACTTGGTGGCCATTCAGTCGATCCCACGGATCCACACTCTCCTCATCCCCTTCCTCTTCCTCCACCGCAGCCTTCTCATGTATTTTTCTCCACGCCTCCCTCACCACCCCAACACAACCATCCACATCATGGACTTGAGCTGGAACAAACCCCACGCCCGCAATCCACCCCCTTACCCCCTTCGCCCTGCCCACCCGCCACAAATGCTGCAGCGCAAGCACCACCTGCCCCGCAAACCCGCGCTCAGCATAAATCTCCATACTCGCCGGCACGAGCGGGATTTGTCCAGCTACATACACCACCTCCCCGCCGTCAGCGTCTGGGAGAGCAGCGGATATCGCCTGGCTGTACGGCCCGATGTTCGCGGGGGCCCAGTAACTCCTGCTCTGGACGTGTAGGCCCTGGCGAGAGGGTGTTTTGTCCAGGACTACGCTGAGCATGACGTCTACGCCACGGGGCATGGCCGGGCCGCAGGCGATTGTGACGCGCGAGGGGGGGTTGAGGGTGGAGAAGAAGGTGGCGTAGATGGGGTTGAGGGTGGTGAAGGTGGACATGTGGCGGAGGAGGAGGGTGGTGTGGGAGATGCGGGATTTGGGGAGGGAGGATTGTGTGAGTATGTGAGAGAGGCGGAGGAGGATGGAGGTTAGTTGGTGGGACGGGGAGCAGGATGGGGTGGGGGAGGAGAGGTTGGAGGATGTGAAGACGATGGGGGAATGGGCGTGTGTGTTTGTTGGGAGAGTGAGAGAGGTTGGGGGGTGTTGCTTCGTCGGACTTGAGCCTGCAGATGCAGAGGTCGTGTTGTTCTCTGCATCGTCGAGTATGTCCTTGAACTCCTGATCAAAGAGCTCCGGAATCCTCCAAACGCCCCTTTCCCACCCCATCACCCCTCTCTTTCTCCTCAAGCCCACACTCTTTAATCTTCAGCACCGTTTGTCCCCCCTCCAAAACCACACGTTCCGTCTCTCCAATCCGAATCTTCTTCTTCCACAACCCACTTGGCCCATCAATCGCCAGCGTCTCGAACTCACCTCCCTCGCCTACAATCGCGCCATCCCCGGCCTCCCCAAACCTCCCCATCGCCTTCTTCAGCTTCGCAACTGTGGTATGCCGCACAACATCCAGGCCCAGGAAACTCTCATCCAGACCGCCAGACGCAGTCTTAATGATAAGCGCCTCCTGCCCCACGGCCGCCATATCACTCAGCAGTGAAGACTGCATATACGGCGGTAGTAGCGGATACTGCCAAAGATACGAAAGCGGCGTGAGCCCCAGTCTCAACGCTACAGATTCCACTCTCGTGCGCTGATACGTGCTCAGAATCGCGCCGGTCGAGAGTGCATTCGCTTCGGGATGCTTTTCCATCACCCTGCTCAACAACGGCACAAGATCCTCCGTCTCATCCCGCTCCGCGCACTCATAATCGCGCCGACTATTCTGCGGGGACCCAGCTATCGGCTGGCGGTAGAGAGGAATGCCTAGAGCGTCTGCATACAGCGGAATCACAGCGTGGCCCACGGTCTGGTACATGTAACTGTCGATATCTTCATGTTCGGGCACTAGAGGGTGGAGGTTGGCTAGGGCGACGATGGTGTGGCCTTGCGCGCGACAGTGCAGGATGGAGAACAATGAATCCTTGCCCCCGGATATCAGTGCGATGACGTGGAGTCCCGCGGACATGGTGTGTGTATACAAAGTTTCCTTACTCTAAAGCGGCGCGAGTCTTTGGTTTCGCTTGTGGTGAGCAAATCGGCATCGATTAGAGTATGTTCTGGCCTGCAGTTAGAAAGTGAATCGGCATCGACGAGAATTCTTATGGCTTGCAAATAGAACGCAAATCGAAATGGTCGGGAAACGTTGTTTGCGGTCGCGATCGCGAAATCGGTCGTGGCGTCCGATTGTGGTGTGATAGAGCATCTAGGTATACTTTGAGACCTTTGTTTTCGCTAAACTTTGAAGCACTAGCGGGGTCGTGCCTTTCTCGATTCAGGCCCAGATGGATCGACAGGGTCCCTGGGCGGGATGGAGGCGCACGCCGCAAGCCGCAAAGCGAAAAGGCCACTCGACGCCACTGAAATTTCGCATGGTCAAGGCCAGGCGTCGAAATAACGCGACAAGGTAGACAATAAGCTCCGAATGGTCAAGGCGAGCCGTCACAATGACGCGGGAAGGTAGCCAGTAAGGTTCAAAAAGTGTGTAAACTATTTTTGGTAAATGTGTATTCGACGTGCCAGCACTCTACTACGATTTGTAACGCAAGGAAAACGCTGTGCTTAGAAGCAGTATAGGGCAATCCAAATATTACAGATGGAGTTTGTGTGCGTGTTGTGGGTTGAAAGAATCGAAATTCCCAGAATGTTTGGCAGTGCGCAGAACGCAGCCGATTACAACGAGGGTATGAACGCAGAATGAAAATGCGAACGGGTGAGAGAGAAACGCGGCGACGATGGCCGGTTGAGTTTGTGGCCATGCCGTCGTAAAGGGTTGTGTGAAATCAAGCCCGCAAATGAACACCAACCAATTCTAATCCGTCCCTCCAAACCATGATCCCCCAGAGCCTGCAATGTGCAATGCATATGAAAAACGCGCAACCAGAGATGAAGGAAAAAGCCAATCTTGTACGGTATGTGTAGCCAAATTGGTGGTCAAGAATACAGTTGAAGAAGAGAAGTAGGCAACTTTTGCTGCTACCGCAGACCGAAGAGCGCGCCGACCGCCGAAGATGGAGCTTGTCTAACCCAGCCGATCCGGCGTTACGACGTGATAGTAGACGTGTAGTCGCCTGGTGTCATGATGGTTCGTTAAAGACTTGAAGGAGAACAGGAGACGACATCTACTCGTCACGCTTCCTCTTGCGCATCTTGTTGATGGCAGAGGCCTCGAGGTCGGAGTAGGAGTCAGAGCTTGAACTTGAGATGCTCTCGGCAGCATTGTAGAGGAGCTGACCCATCGACGCAGGGTTTTGCGGGTTGAACATGCCAGATTGTGCCATGTCGTGAGGCATCTCCGAACCGTCGAGGACGCCCATGACGACGGCGCCGGTGCCGTGTGTGCGCTGGTGCTGAGACAGGTTGTCGCTGCGGGAGAACTTCTTACCCACAGTCGGTGCACTCGAAAGGCTTGTCGTGGGTGTGCAGGGAGCGGTAGTGGCGCTTTAGGTGCTCCTGGCGGCGGAAGCGGCGCGAGCAGAGAGTGCAGACGAAGGTCTTTGAGGGATCCTCAGTAAGCGACTGCTTGCGACCACGGCGGCTAGTGGGTGCAACAGGTGTGGAGCCATTCTCATCAGAGCTGGAGTTGTTGGCGTTGTCGGCATTGGACGCTTGACCTGATTCATGTTGGCTTGATGCTCCAGACGCGGTGTTTTCATCACCTGATGTCTGTGTCTTACCCTGGTAGTCCGACTCGGCGTCACTGTACTCAGAGCGAGCCTTCTTAGCTGAACGCCTCTTAGATGCAGAGGCAGCGTGCATGTCGTCGCAGCAGTCGCTCTCAGGAGTCAGGGGAAGGCCGTGAACAAGCTCTTCCTCAAAGTCAGTGAAGCTGGCGTCGCTGACAAACTCCTCCTCAGAGGTAAAGGCAACGAGGTCGGTGCGCTGGCGCTTGCTGCCGAGGAACTGGGTGTTCTCGGCTGGCTGGTATGATGCAAGGCCAGTAAAGTCGTCCTCGCAGTCGAGCTCAAAGAGGGGCTCAAAGGTTGGCCAGGCCCGTTGAAGTGGAAGCTCTCAGTTGATTCGGGAAAGTCAATCTTGGCCGACTCTCCTTTGAACACTCCCTTGTGCTCCTCGTCTCCAGGGCAGAGAGTCAGGGAAGTGGACAGACTCTGACGCGGAAACGGTCAAGTCTCGGGGGTTGCAGAAGTTGTTCTCGGCCTCAACAAATGGAGAGCGGGGAATGGGTGAAGGTGATGGGGACAGCGAGGGGCAGGATGTTGCGGAAAGGAGGTAGGAGCCCTGGCTAGCCGAACGGGGCTGGATGAACACTATTCACGCAGAGTTAGCAACCACGCTCGATCTTTCACCTGTGCGCTTGCTGCATTCTAACATTTCGCGCAACTTGAACGATCATGTCATGCATAAAGGAATTACTTACCAGGTGTCATAGGTGGGGAAGCGGACCTCCATTCAATACCAGCTGAAAGGAGCTCAGAGAAGACCTCACCCTCACAGCCCTGCTTGACGCCCTCAATGCCCTCCCCAGGGAAGCATCCGTTGATGGGAGTTGGCATAAAGTCGCAGACTGATGGGGGGCTGCTCATGTTGCTTCCGGTGGAGGACAGAGGAGGAGTGGCAGGCGCATATGAGTAGTCGGTATCAATTGGGCGCAGGAAAGGCGAGTCCTGGGGCTGGATAAGGATGGTTGGCTTCTGGTACATTGGCTGGGGAGATGCAACTGGAGTCAACATCTGGCTTGCGTATGCGGTCTGAGGGTACTGGATGTGCTGAGTTGGCCGATGATGGGCGCTGGAAGTACACAGTGGCTTGCGGCTGGAAGGTTGACTGGCCTGATGGGTGGGGTGTGAAGTGTCCGTGTTGGCGAGCGTTCTCTCCCTGGGGATCCGGGTTGTAGTAGAAGAATGGGGACTGCATCGCTTGGGATGGGTGCATGGGATATGAACCTTCCATTGTGAATGTGTTGTGATGTGGTTGTTCTTTACTTGGTCAAGTCAGACGCGTATCTTGCTGTGGGTTCCAGCTGATACTCACCAGAGGGTATGCTACAGTTGTATAGTAGTATGTATGCACGGTGATGGTTCTACAGTCGAGGTGTAGAAGCGGTGAATTAATTGTAAAGGTTGGTGAAGCAAGGACTGGATAGCAATGAAATGTCGAAGGAATGACTGGACAACAGCTCGTAATAACGAAGCTGTCTAATAATGGGCGAGTTAGTGAGTCGATGGAGATGTCATGGGTTCGTGCGCGGGTGGGTGAATTTAATCCAAAGGAAGGAACGGCTACGATGCACAAACAACGTGTACAAGGTGAACCAAAAGCGGAAAACGTAGAAAAAAGAGGTTGATAAACCTTGGAGACAGGGAAAGCACAGAGGATGGAAGGGCACGCCTGGATAAGTAGGCTAGTGGATCCGCGAGCGACGAGACGCCAAAAAGGCAGCGATGCGCAGGCACGGCGGAGGGCCGCGCGGGATTCGTTGCTCAAGCCGGGGGCGCAGGCTCAGCGTCTCCACCGTGGCCCAACCACGACGCCGGCGTCCATGCAGGTCGCGACCCCTGCCAGACGCATGCACACCCAGCGACTCAGTGATAAAGCGGCGGCTTTGCATAAGTCAATGCGCTAAATTTGTTCGCCAACAGCTGGGCCCTGTCCGTGGCTGCATGGCCTGCACAAACGAGATGAAGAGCGGCATAACTGTGGTTGGCTACGACGTCTATCGATAATAGCCCATCCGCCCTCCCCGAGACGGCCACCGCGACTCCAGCTGAGCAGCCTCGGGAGGGCCGTGATGCAGTGACGCAGTGGTGCAGTCGACAGTGGACAGAGAGGCTGAGGTGGGCGAAAAAAACAGCTGCCGTGTCTCGTTCGACAAAAGCACCAACAAGGCGACGACACCGCACAGGGCCGTTTGCCGCAGCGACACCCTTCCCTCTGCCCTTCAGCCTGAGCGCCGTCGCCGCAGATCTGCCAGCCTATCCAACCCAATCGATAATCGTGATAACTGCCCGTAATAGCGAGACCCTGTCCAACGCCCGCTGCTGACGTTGAGTGGATGTTTCGAAATATTTTACACTCCATACAAACCATGTCGCTTTGCAAAGTGTGATATGACGCGCTTCCCAGGCTCTGTCGCACGACACCGGCGCTGACGATTTGGTGCCACACTCGACTCCCATCACAGAGGCAACACCATTGCGGCCACACCACGCACATCAGACGACTGCCTCGACGCGCCGTAGCCCGGCGGTTGAGCGCCCAGTGCAGAGTCTGGAGTGAAGGTCTGGCGACACCTACCACACCTCCACCATGCGAGATGGCTGCATTGGGCTTTCTCTACCTCGATCAGAATGCAGCGACGTGAATCGTGTTGGTGTTTGTTGCTTGCAGCTTGGCTGCCCATTGCCACTCGCACTCGCGTGGTGCAGCCGGCTAGCTGCAAAATAGAACTCGAGAAAATGCCGGCTCGACGCAGGAACACAGCTAGGTACGGTATGATGCGGCGTGATCATGTCCGTTGATCGTGATTTGCCCGGTCAGCACGATGGATTCTTCACCGGCACTTCTGAGTGGTGAGTCTGACGGGTGTCACTCCATGGTGCGACACACTGATGGGCGATTGACCTGCACATCGCTTTTGTTGCCATCCTATATGTGGAGGGTTCAGCAGTACCATGGTTGGAAGGCATGCAGGCCACCATAGCTTCCCAGGCCGTTTTTTGCTCTGATGGAGCGTGTTTCATGTGCGCTTCGGCTGGCGAACCGCGTAGGATTCTGCCTGCAGCGAAACCGCAGCTCACAGGCATCAGGCTGTTTGCTCCACGATCGTGATGGTGTGATGCAAATATCGCCGGTATCGATAACAGACGCCTGTTAGTGTACGAACATAGTTCATTTGGGTGTTTCTATCTTCTGACGGACGTAAGAATTATGCATGTCGCTGCCTCGTATAGCTGACAGCAATCAATAACACAAATCCCGCATCCAGCATCGTCTTTGCGTCTAGTTCTATTTCGGGGCTTAGCGCAGGTGTAATGCTGGGCTGCACAACTCTATCCTCTGCATGTCGCCCGCCGGTGCCTCCCAACACGGCTAGCCGCCACGCTGCTTTACCTGCCTGAATAACTCGTGCAGGGCTCGTCTCTACGCGTGTCGACGGCGTGGTAGACTCGAACAGGCCCAATCGTCACCGCCTGGCATGCGACTGCAACCCCACAATGTCGGTATTTTCTCCGACCTGATTGACCGACAAAAATCCACCTATGCAGGTACGCTGCAGGAACAAACGGCTGAGGACATGACCACCACTCCGGCTTATCGTGACCCAAAAACAACTCTCGTGGGACGACAGCTGCACTTCCTACTTTCAATTCTCGTCTGCATACATGTAACATTGTGTCTGAGGGATCTTTCTAGAAACCTGGCTTTAGTGGGTCTCTTTTACGATGCAGCAGGGTTTGGGACGTAGCGACACGATTCAGGAAAGCAGGTCCGTCGTCTTTGCCCTTCCGTGGAGTCGCGCACCTCGGGACCTTGTCTTTCATGAGGTGGTGTGGCGTCCCTGCACCACTGAGACGGGCCTCGGGGAAGATGCATGGCTTCCATTAGCCTGCTTTCTTTGTCAACTATTCCCCACCCGATCGGCCTTATCATCTGTCAAGACGCGTGCGATACCCTGATCTTCGCTCAAATTTCGAGGAAGATTTCCAGCCTGGCGGGGTCGTGGCTTGTGATGCCGCCGACACAGAGTTTGGCTACCGAATGTCCGCTTATCTTGACTCGCCGGCCTCGCTTTTCAGATGCTTGCCATGTGAGTGTGAGCCGAACTCGGTCGACCATGATTCTTTGCACTTCGTGTTCCTGCGTCTGCTGCGCGGACCTTCGGCTCTCTGCCGCCTCCGCGTTGGCATAGGTGCTGGTCTGGACACAGTGGCGCTCTGATGCTGAACGTCTTACGATCTGAGGCTCTTGCACCTGATGGAGAACGTGCTTGACACCTTTGACGTACCGGCATGACAGTCGTCTGGTACAGTATCACCCACCGCCATCGCGCTGGATCTTGAAACATCTTCAGATGCTCGCCTTGACCTTCGAACAGGTAATCAGAGCCGCGTCTCATCCCAAACAGGCAGCTGGGTTCCGCTGCCGGAATCTCAGCACGGTTGCTGGAAGCTTTCATAGGAATTCGAGAATCATGCTCGTGCAAGGGCACCATGGTTGGCAATTTCCCAGACGCCGCAACGCACCCAAACGACTGGTCCCTCAGGCCTCACGTTGAGCGGAATTTCCCCACACTGATGCTGGTGCTCGGTGCCGGGGACACACTCACCGTCATGCAGTGTAATTGCTGGGCAAGGAAAACCCTTCATCTGCCATCAGCTCGGACTGTCCAGAGGCCATCGTCCATCGCGAGAAACGTCGGTAAGATGTGTCTCGTCTGGTCTGAGACGGCAAGTGGACTGGCGGATGGCCCGGCCTGGAGCGGTGGCAATTGCTCAGATGTCTGTCCTCAACCGGTCCGCAACGCGGCAGCACGGTCATGGCAAATTCACATGAGGATTCCAGTGCCAGTAGAATGGTCTCGTTTGCATAGAAATGCACAGTACGAGTGTGGTGTGATTTGTCCCATGCGGCTACTACCTCGCCCACTATTAGTTTCATAACAAGCATTGGAAATGTTTCTCCAAAAGTTGAGACACGAATCACAGCCACACATTTGCCAAGATACGGACTGACCCCATCGTCATTGATTGCTGGATCATTTCCATGATGGTAATGTTAATGTGGGCAGTCGGCGAAGCCAGCTCGTGGTGACGGTAGCATCCCGCGCACTACTCGCGGGTAAGGGCCGCCTTTAGCAAGTTATCGACCTTCGTTCCTGCGTCGTCGACGCATGGTGCCACTCCGGGAGAAGATCTTTGGGCAGTAAAGTGGTGATTCTGAAGATCGCAATTGCATTAGCGGGTGGTCTTGGGCGGAAAGATTGCTTTTGTCTATCGTTTCTCAGGGTCTTCTCGTAATGGTGCACTCGTCACCAATTGTTGAACGGAAAACGCCATGCCGTGGCTAGAATGCGTATTGGGCATTGACGGAAAGAGAAATTTGAATTGTCAAATTAGAGTTGTCGGTGCTCAATAGTGTACTGTGTAGGACTGCAACGCATGGTAGGCGTTCTGGCACGGAAGGTATCATACGTGCTTCCGGTGCTCAGGCTTCCGGCCCAGAACGCCATCTGTGAGCTCACAGAGTTCGAAGCTATCGTGACTCGCAATGCTGTAGCGCGCGACCGGACTCGATGGACACGACTTGAGCAGAAGACATTCGCGGCGCTTCCAAATGTCGCTTGCCTCGGAGGTCGGCTTACTCTTCCTTCAGAGATACCTCAGTGCCTGACAAAGGCGACAAATCAAACCCGACTTGCGTGGAATGGCGTGTGTGCACCTCATGCGCCTACAGAACACCGACATGTGTGCCACGCTACCTCGAAGAACAATCCACTCCGACAATGACATTCCCGAAGACAGCTGAAACCAGAGAGCGCTGCGGAAGAGTAACAGACGCGATATAAAAAGATGCGACAAAAGACACGTGCCGCCCTAGGATCGCAGTCTCTTCAATGCCGCAGGTCGCGTCGCAAATGTCTGCGAACGACTGCCAGTCAACGGTCGCTTACGTAGCAAGGGATATCGTGGTGACAGGCCTCAGAAAATTGTAATGTGAGATCAGTCGCCGCTAATAGCAGCGTCATTCTCTTCCTATCAATATTTGGATATCATCAATGGCCATATCAAAGAGAGGTCTTGCGTATGCGATGAAGATTTTGTTCGCGGGTGCCAAGTGCCAAGCCGCGAGAGAGAAGGCAGCCTAGCGCGCATGCCCGCAGCTGGTATAAATTTTCTCACACGCGCGATCCATCTTTTGCTCTTCGTGCGGCAGAGGTTGGTTTACAGTTTCCCCTGTTGCTTGAGTGCCACCATTCCATGGCTCTTATAAGTGTCACCGACCTCCCAGAGAAAACATATTGCATCACCTGACATATACACTTTGCGGAGTCGCCTGTTATTAGTGGCGCCTTCGCTGGAAAAAGTCCGGACATACCCTCGCATGTGCACTTTGCTTTGATTTCTACCGTATCATATGACGTTGAAGATTTGTAGGCTGAGGCCATAGGTAGTCAGCTGTCAGGATTCGTACCAAAAGTGCAACCTGAAACGCTGCCGGGGATGCCTTCAAGGTCTGAAAGAGCCGATGTGATGGAATCGCTCATGGGAGTCTATAAGTCTTCAACGTCAGACACTACGGTATATTCTGTCATTCTGTGACATCGTGCCATGATCCACGGCTCCATGTAAATCATGGGCCTGTCAACATCGTTGTTTGAACTTCATCGCTTATATTAATTGTTAAGTGCGGACATGTTGCATGAAACATCACCGTTATTGCGGTGGGCCTCGGATTTCAGGCGCATAGATTGCAAACCAGCTCACAGTGGTATCATTATGCTCAAACTACTATTCTCGTCTCTGCGGAGCCTTCCGTACCCTCAATCATCGGCTCCAATCTTCTCCAGCTTACCCATCTCCCGCTTCTCGCCAGTTTCACCAATGAAGCGAATGCGGTCGATGCGTGTTCTCTCGCTGTCGCCGTCTCCATCTGCCACGAATAGCACCAGCGAGTAGATGTTCTGGAACTTGACGAAGCGTAGCTCCAGCTTGGCTGTAGCCGTCTGTGCATCCCAATCTGACTCCTTCAACTCAATTGTCTGCGTGGAGGGAATGTCTTCAGCTTCCTCAAAGCCTAGGTTGTGCTGACGGTTGGCCCATATGTGGATGGTCTTTGGTCGGACTGGTGCCTCGTCGTCATCGTCATCGCCAGAGACACAAGACGTGATGTGGATGGTGTGAACCTTCAGGTTCGAGGTGAAGGGTACGTAGAGCATGAGCTGGTTGTCGACATCGCTTTCTACCCAATCTTTGCTGGCCTCAGACTCGGTTGCTGCGCCTTTGCCTTTGTTCAAGCTCTTCGGCTGTGATGATTCGAAAAGTGTCCGTACGCCACCAAAATCGCTGTCGGCGTTCAGCAAGTCCAGGCCGCGAACATCTACCTGATCTGTGACATCGGTGTATCCGCGGGGAAGTCCAGCGCCCCGCCAGCTACCACCCCCACTGGAGCCGGCTTCACCAAAGCCTCCGGAGCCGCTCTCATTCTCCGCCTCTGCGGCGAGGCTCTTGATGGCTTCGGAAAGCTGGGTGGGATTCGAGCCGCCGTACTTGCGGATTTGCTGGCCGTTCTTGAAGATGACGAAGGTGGGGGTACTGTAGTAATGTTTTCAGCTTGACGCCATGAAGAGACCGAGATGGTTGGCCACGAACTTGGTGATGCTATAGCTTTGAGCAATTGTTGCTTGCGTGACCACGCTGATCTTGGCGAACGTGACTCTGTTTGGCCTTGAAAGCTGTCCTGATAGCTGGTCGTAGACTGGCGCAATGGCTTTGCTGGACGTGTTGTTCTCGTTGTAGACTAATCAACAAACATTAGCACTTTGAGTGCGGAGTGGCGCACCCACGCGTCTGCTTACAGAAGGCGACTACAACGCGTGAGGCAGAGAGCAGCGTGCTCAGCTGCGCAGGCTGTGAGATTTCTACAGTGCCAGACATGTTTATAGACGAAGGGCGTTGATGTGGGCGTGTAGCAAGCAAGTCAATCGCGGAAGGTAGCTAGAACATTTGGTGGGGCACGGCGGGGGTCTCGTTGATCCGATTGACGTACCGGACCCCAGGGTGACAGGCAGCTACGAAGCTTCGAGAATATAACCAGGCTGCACCTGTCAGCGCGTGTACCGGTACAACGCGACAGTTCAGATACTGAACAGCCAGTTCACGTAGTTCGCCGAGGCATCAACCAATTATTCTGCCTGTTGGGCCAAGTCACCATTCCATCGCGCGCGTGTGCTGTCAACCTCCACTTCTACTCATAGAGGCGCGCCACATCGACCGCATCTTCGCCTGAACATATCCCGCGCTGGGCTCTCACTCAAACAATTAAGGATTTGTAAGCGTCGCCCTTGACGTTCACTGTCCTCGGTCCTGACGACAACTTCATGGCAGGCCCAAACAATCTTTTCCTGAGCTTACCCGAAAGTAAGGTCCTCCACCTGGTCAACCTGTTGCTAGTTATCGAGGGCTGCGACGCAGCAAGAAGAGAGCATCGCTGGGACTGCTGGTATTCGAGGGCCATTCTGCTGGTGAACGCCCCCATTGCGCTCTACGCCGCGTATAACCTCGTTCGAATCTTTCGCGCATAATGTCGCACGTCTTAGTGTTCAACTCGCATGCGAAGACAGTCAAGATACCAACCACGCCTATCAAATACCTAACCGAGGTTCGGGACGAGGCATGTCAGAAGTTTGGGGTCAGCAAGGACCAGTTCACGTTGAAGTAAGTGGAATCTCGAGGAATGCTGCTACATAGAGCCGCATAGCTAATGAGGACGCAGATTCAATAACAAGCCAATCTCCCTTTCTCAACAGATACGCTTCGCGAACCTCGTACCAGGCGCGCGATTAGAGCTCGTTCAAGCCTCGCGATCGCCCACGGTCATTTCCGTAGCCCTTCAGCTACCGGCGTCAGAGAAGAATGCTCGCCTCACACAAAAGTTCGCCAGCAACACCTCGTTATGGGAGATACTGCGGCAGTTTGAGAGTGGACAGGATGCCAACTACAACTTCACGCAACGTGGGGTGCCCCAGATGAGCGGGGCGTCAGGTGCAGGCAGGCTACACTACGAGCAACCTGTCATTACGGTCATGCCGGGACATCGCGAGCAGGCAAATTTCACTGGCCTGCAACAGACACTGGCCCAGTTGGGATTTGATAGCGGGTCAGCTCTCTTAAAGTTGTCATACAAGAACAGTGGCCTTCCGCTAGAAGAGGCCATGGCCCAGATATCGCAGTACTTCAAAAGCGACCAGCCTGCAGACACCAGTGCTGAAGGTGCCCATGCGGCCACCTCGACACAGGCCGTTTCCCAACCCATTCTTGAGCAAGCTGCCCCCGAAGCCACAACAACGGTCGCAGGCGAGACGATCCGGAGCGAAGAACCAGATCCACAGCCCATGGATGTCGAGGAAGAAGCGACAGATCTTCCGTCAACTGAGCCAGACGTCCCTATGGAAGGCGCTACGGTAGATAACGTAGGGGACATGTCGCCAGCAGCAACACAAGCTGCGGCTACCTCAAGCGCATCAGACGCACCATCTAGCACTTCCGTTGCAGCTCCAGAGACGACTGATCAGCCTAGAAACGTCCAAATCTTCTCCGCGCCCACATCATCAACACCACAAGCAGCACGTAAAGCCTTCAACGAGAGCGACTACCTCCCCACCATCGAGCACGCAAAAGTCCACCAAGCCCAGCTGCTAAATAAGACCAGGAATACGCGCCTCCTTTCTGACAAAGAGCTCGAGGAGCAGGAGAAAGCTAGACAAGAAAAGCTAGCAGCCGCCGCTGCAAAAGGTGGTGCGCTCCGCATACGCTTCCCTGACGGCACACTCGTCCAAATGAACTTCACCAAAGACGACACAGCCACGGCCCTCTACGACTTTGTCCAAGGCTTCCTCGACCGCAAGAACGAGCCCTTCGAACTCAAAAATACTGGTCCAACCGGCCGTCTCGTTCTTATCCAGAAGGACGGCAAGCGCTTGAGTCACGACTTGCGCTTCTCGACGAACGAGCTCATCACGTTTCAGTGGGCTGAGTCTGCGAGTGCAGAGGCGAGGGCGTCGAGGAAGACGTTGGCGCAGGAGTGGCAGGCGAAGGCGACGGAGCTCAAGGTTGAGGAGCCGCAGGCTGAGAAATCACAGCCGCCGAGTCAAGGCCAGACGGTTGCTGAGGGGAAGAGGAAGGCGGCCATGAGCTCGGAGGATAAGGAGAGCAAGCTGAAGAGTATGCTGGGCAAGACGCTGTTTAAGCGCAAGTAGATAGAGGATCAGACAGAGCAGGTATATATGTGATGTAGTCGCCTAGCATTGCTGTGGTGTTTGGAAATTTGATTGTATTGATCAGGTTCACTCAGATAAATAGAGTTGGTACTCAACAAAGTCGTGAGAATACATTTTCTCTGCATAAGCATGTCCGCGCCTCCACTCCAGCCTCATACACATTGAAGGTGAAATGATTGAAGAGCGGCCTCGTCACCAAGCAAGGCGCGTTTTGATATAAGCATTTCTCGGCCCAACTGCTGCCATGGAAAAAGGCTGAATTGGAATTTGACATCCATGCTAGGAATTCACGACATCACATTGCACAATGCAAGCCAAGGGCACGATTGGCGTGAACCGATCGTCACATTTCATGATTTTGTGTGACACTTGCTAGGTGTATGAACTTCTTGTTGTCCATGTGCCGTAGCCTGACTCCGATATCGTTGCCCTCCATTTTGTGGTATGCTGAGACGCTTCGAAAGTCGTGTCGAGCCGTTGATATGAAAGACCTAACACCCATGAAGAATCGGACACCGGTCGCCGTGTTGCATCGTTGTCCCGTTCGTAAACCGTTTAGTGACCCGCACGCCTCGACTCGGCGATGACGTTGGTCATCTCCTCAACCTTCCTCTTAGCACGACCGAAGGTACCGAGCTGTATGCAGTTAGTGAGGGTTCATGATGTACCGCAATGATGACGGCAGCGACCGGTTGCGTGTCGGATGTGTGTGGAGACATACCCTCTTCTTCGCAAGACGACGGGCACGCTTGTCCTTGGAGTTACGGAGCAATTCGATGACACGCTTCTCGTATGGGGCAAGTCTGCAAGCGGGAATGTTAGCGGCTGTTCATTGATGCAGTGGCATTGAGGTGGTGCTGCTGGACACCTGTTGTGCACAAATGCCGCTCCAGCTCACAGGAATAGATGTACGTACCCAGCGACCTCACGGGTGATCTCGCGGACGAAAGCGGTGCGCTTGGATAGGAAACCCTTCCTCCTGGAGATCCTGGGGGCGGGGGTCCTCGGGGTGACCTCTGTTCATCTTGTTAGCAAGCGTTCGTTGTTTCTTGAAATTTGCGGCGGGCGGTCGGTCTCGTGGGACAATCGGGTGCGGCTCGAGCGATGGAAGGGAGCGAACGTACTGTGGCCAGCGTTGAGGCCGACGATGAGGCCGGACTTCTGCTTGACTTCCTTCGGCATGTTGGCGGTCGTGGTTTTCGATGGAGAGAGTTGGAGTGGCTCGCGAGAATATTGAGTTGTGCGCCAAAACGACGCTAACGACCCGACGGCACGTGAGCGGCGCCAAGATTTTCACCCTGCAGGCGCTGCCCAGCGAGAACTCCACTCTCAGAACATTGAACATTAGCGAGTGTCCTGAGATCGCAGAAAAACATGCTTTACACTCAGTCTTTAGAGAATTTCGAAGATTTGTAAAGGTCCGCGCCCACAACGATTCGTCCGCAACCAGTCGGAATCTCTTCGTGTCAAAATCTTCAACACACCCGTTCAAGTGACTTCATACTGCAGACTGTCAATTACGAGAGAAGATGAGCGAGATTTTATTGCCAATCTAGTAGCTTGAGGCTATACAGAGTATTTCTAGGCTTCGAGTGCGACGAGAAAACCATGTAGATAGCTTCCAGTCATCAGATGGGCCTCTTGCCAACGCATCCTGCCCAATCGCTTGCCGTCCTATTTGCAGCGCACTTTTCAGTGTGCGCAGTGTGCAACATGACATGTTCAGTTCGAGCAATGAGTTCATTACATCCCGATGTTTGTAAATTCCACTCAGAATCTTGGGTAGTGCCTTTCTGAATTCGTGAAGTATACAGTCATTAAACCTTCTAAATTACAGGATGTACGGCAGATTGTCACCTACGACGGAAAGCGACTAGGGTGCCTGAAGTTATACACGGGACCTTGCCGTCACATTTGAACCGTAGAAGTACTGTATGTAGCTTCACCCTACTCAATACCAATTGTTCATTCTCCGTAGTGATTCGTGAACTGTAGGATCAATTCAACTAAATCTTACTGTCCGACTTCGTCCTTGCTGCAGTGTTCCGCGACGCATCCAATACGAAACCCACGTGATGGCTCAATGCTACAAGATCACCCTCGGCGTCATGGACAAACACCTCCAGGTCCATCCGTCCATTCTTTATCTTCTTCATCTCAACACGGATCTGCAGCCATTTCACGCCTGCCTTCGGCAACGCCTTCTTAATATCCAGATTTAGGAGCAGCGTAGGGTACCAGAACGGTCCTTGCTTCTGGTCCCGATGCCGCTCGATGATTTGTGGAAACATGTCGGCAACAAAGCCAATTGATGTGTCAGTGAAATTGCTACCATCCGAGAAGCATAGCCACTCATCGGCGCCGCTCTTCAGCGTATGTCCTTTACGAGGGAAGTAGAACTGGACTCGACTGCTAGCCTTTCGGAACTTGGCGAAAGGCATTTCTTTCTGGCGTGCCCAATTCGGATCTGCGTCTTGCTCCAACTTGGCTATGTCCACAGATATAACAGGCGGAGAGAGCTTGTACTCGGTGTCGAAAGAGAAGCCTTCTTCTTTGGCAATATTGGAGTTGGTTACGTATGCGACGATCTCCTGGCGTCCGTCTTGCTCCATGGATACATGAACAATGGATGCTTGGCGACCGAGCTTGACATCGTCGACCTTGAAGGTAGCTATGCCGGCCTGGGTTCGTCTTAGGAACTCGACATGTAGAGCTATTGTGTGTGGTTGATCTTGCTTTGCTAATGATGTGGCGAAGTGGGTTTTGACGACTTGCAATATCAATCCAGTCACGTAGCCGCCATTTGGAACTAAGTCTGGTCAGTATCTTCCGTGTCAAAATATCATATTGTATGATGGAAAGGAGCTATACGCAGGGCCTCGCCGTCGCAATCGAGACCTAGGGACACTGTGTATAACATCAAGCGACCAGAGCAGCAAGGCCCTGTTCACTTCCTTCGTTGAGAAACTGCAGGAACTGTCCATAGGTGGGACAAGCCTTGATGGCTACGATTGCTGGAGAACTTACCACTGCCTATACACCAGTCATCATGTAAAGTAGCTGAGTACGTGTTCGACGACACCTTCTGCACAGCCGTAGCTTCCTCCCAACCCGGCATAATGAAGCTGTGGTGTATGTAAATTCGCTAGATCCAATTATTTTAAGATTATCTGCGTGCTATCATCGATTACATCGCAATGTTGACAATTGCTGCAACCTTCAGCGTGGCTTGTCCATGACCTCGGGCCTGTTTGCGCGCCATTCCGGACTCGGAAAGTGCCTCGGCCGCTGCCCCAAAAGTGTGGGAAGAGCCCCGGCCTGACCATCGTCACTCCGCAGCCATCGCCCTTCTGACCCATGGCTAGCCGTGTCACGGAGCTTGCTCGGTTCGGAATGCTTTGTCGCGTTAGAATGTCTTGGGCGCTTCATCTTTGCTCCGCTGCACATCCTCCATAGACACATTGACTCGCTTTCACGAGCTCGACCTCTCACAACATCATGCCGACCGAATCAACGTACCCGAGCATAGATATCCCAGATGTAGATCTCTGGGCGTTCCTCTTTGAGAGAAAGGATAGGGCTTTTGGTGATGACAAAGGTATGTTATCATCGACGTAGATCGATCCTCAAACCTAACAACATCAACAAGTGATCTACTTCGACCCATATACAAAGCGCTCATACACGTATGGGCAGGTCAAAGATGCTGCGGCCAATTTTGGCAAAGGATTAAAGCACCTCTGGGACTGGCAAAAGGGCGAGGTGCTCTGTCTTTACACACCTAACTGCATCGATACACCTGCCATCACGTGGGGATGCCACTGGGCCGGTGGAATCCTGTCTCCTGCCAATCCCAACTACACCGTTGAAGAACTCGTCTTTCAGCTGAAGGACTCCGGTGCCAGGGCCATTGTCACACAGCTACCTTTCATCAAGAATGCACAAGAGGCTGCAAAGCAAGTTGGGATTCCGCTTGATAAGGTCATTGTCATGGGCGACCAAAGGGATCCATTCCCATAAAGTCAAACATTTCACAAGCATCGTCAACACTGCTGGTTCTGCAAAATATAGGAGAACCAAGGCGAAGAACCCAGCGGAAGACCTTGCTTTCTTGGTGTATTCCTCAGGGACAACAGGTATATATGTTTTCTAGAGTGAAGACGAAGACACATAGCTGACATTATTTAGGCCATCCAAAGGGCGTGATGCTCACCCACAGAAACATCGTTGCAAACACGTTGATGCTGAAGGCAGGAGAAGCTGGCCTGCTCCAGCCAACAGGTGGCCCTACCAACGAGGGTGATAAGCTTCTTGCCTTTCTACCCTTCTTCCATATTTATGGTAAGGTTTCCGCATGGGTACGAAAGACTTTGCACTGACGAAAGACAGGTTTGACATGCCTAATACATCAGAGCTTGTACTCTGGTTTACAGCTCGTTGTCATGCCAAAATTTGATCTCGAAGACTTTTGCAAATTCATTCAGGAATTGAAGGTCACATTCGCCTACGTGGTTCCTCCCGTTGTACTGCTCCTAGGGAAGAGCCCGGTTGTTTCCAAATACGATTTCAGCACGATCCGCATGATGAATTCTGGCGCTGCTCCTTTGACTCGCGAGCTTGTCGAGACTGTCCATAAGCGCCTCGGCATCCCCGTCAAGCAAGGTTACGGTCTATCGGAAACTAGCCCTACAACCCACACTCAGTCGTGGGGTGACTGGAACAAGACCATTGGCTCGGTGGGCACTCTTCTACCAAACCAGACTGCCAAATACATGTCAGCCGACGAGAAAGAGATGCCAGTTGGTGAGGTTGGAGAGCTTTGGATCAAGGGCCCAAATGTGTTCAAAGGCTACTTAAACAATCCAGAGGGCACTGCACATGCACTGACATCGGATGGCTACTTCAAGACTGGCGATGTCGGATATCAAGATAAAGAAGGGAACTTCTACATCACAGATCGTGTCAAGGAACTCATCAAGTACAAGGGCTTCCAAGTCCCGCCTGCAGAACTCGAGGGACTCTTGGTCTCTCATCCGAATGTGCTGGACTGCGCAGTGATTGGCTTGTACGACAAGGATCAAGCCACTGAGATCCCAAGGGCGTATGTTGTGCCCAAGGATGGACTGGGTAAGACTGAGGCGGAAGCGAAGGAGATTGCGGATTGGTTGAGCGCGAAGGTCGCACATCATAAGAAGCTGAGAGGTGGAGTCAGATTTGTGGATGAGATCCCGAAGAGCATCTCTGGTAAGATTTTGAGGAGGGTGCTTAAGGTGAAGGCACAGGAGGAGATGGACGCTGGGGTAAAGGCGAAGCTATAGATAGCGGCAGCGTGGTAATTGAACCTCAATTCTACAAGCTCTCGTTTGTTCCTACATCATCCACTTTTGTCCCATCGCTCCATCCTTCAGCTAGCTCAAGCTTGCTTGAACCAAAAGCACTTCAGCTGTCCGCCAAAACCGCGAGGCCGAGGGCTTCTGCTACACACACGGCAACAAGAAGTACCCTCCATCACGAAGCACTGAGCTGCAACGCAACATGACGACTCTTGGGTCTAAGAGGCGCGCACCCGACACGTTCGGCCAAAATCCAAAGCGCCCAAAGCCTGCGGATCCTGATGTCGAGGAATTGGAAATCGAGGAAACATATCACATCTCTGTCACTCTCCACAGCAAGTTCAACGTCTTTCCGATAAACCTCCGATCACCCTTACAGAAAGCTTACGCAAATTCAATGCGCACTCAGATGAAAATCTTCCTCGAAATGACCCTACCCAAAGGCAGTCAGATGTACTCGGTCATCTCCGAGCTGCGTACCCGCAAGTCCAGCCCCCTTGTCGAAAAGAAAATGGTCGCGCAAAAAGACAACATACCCTCGGAGGACTTGGCTAATACCGCGTTGATGGAGATGTTTTGGGATGCGAAGAAAGCCTATCTCACCAAGGATAAGAAGCCCGTATTCGTGGAACTCAAGCCAGAGGGCAAGGTCGCCAACCCGGAATTTACGAGGTTTCACTGTGTTCGACGGAATGAGATTGGGTGGGGGTTCGATAGTCTGGGGTGCCTGAGCATCCATCTAGTCTTTATGGAGAATGCGACCAAGCTGTGCGAATATGATATCTATGTGCAGAGGATGGGGGTGGGGGTTAAGGAGGAGGGTTGAATTTGGATCGGGCGCTGGGCTGGGGATACTTTACTGCTCATGGAAATGGTTCCTGTATCATATCTGCGAATACATTCAGACTATCAGATCAATCAATGCTGCATGCTGAGAATTATGGACATGTGCACTGTGTGTTATCCACCTACGATGGGAAGCGAACAGGGTTCCTGAAGATATACACATGGGCTTACTGTCGCAATCAAGATCTAGCTATACTGTGTATAGCTTCAGGCTATGTGATGCCACCGCAAAGTTTCCCTCATAGGTTGGACATCTACAGGACATGGAGTGACTTTCTTGGAGCTGTCTACATCATCATGAACTTGTGAAAATTGGAAGCGGAATCAATCTGAACCGGAGAATCCATACCTAGGCTTACTAGTCGATATAGCAAGCTTTTCGTTGCAGCTCGAGGCAGCAGTATGTGCCGCTAGTGTTGTGGTAAATAGTGCAAGGCGGTGAGCGACAAAGGAACCTCGAATGCGGAACCCGACCATACTTCCGCGATCTTCTTTCAGCGTGCATCAACCATTCACGCCGTTAGCTCCACCTACCTCTTGTCGCAGCACCCTCACTTCGCTCTATTTCTATCTCCCTAATATAATAACGACGCGCGCCCAACCTACATACATTCTTAACTTTTGCGCGCGCACTCGAGGCAGGAGCGCCCTCGAACTTGGGAAAGAGCAGGGCATAGAAAAGGCAGGAACATAGGACAGACAATATGAACGCGCCTGACAGGTATGTGAACCTCTTTCTTTTCTTCCTCTCCACCGTTCCCGACCACACAAACGCACACGCCGAGTCTATACGATCATGGGTTTAAAGACGTCCGTCCAAGACGGCGTGGAAGGGTATGTTGATGAGCGCCCTCACTTCACCGTGAGAGTGTCCCACCACCATGCTCTTCACTTCATCACGCAATCTCGGCACACGACAGCGCAAAGCGCGCGCGACCGCGAATTATGACCCTCCACGAATATAACCCCCGCCATCGCGACGTCCCAGTACGCACCGCAACGAAGATATCACCGAACGATCAACCGCAAAGACAATATGAGCGTACCAGATGGCGCAACTGCGCCCTGCTGGAGCCCCAAGATCGGTGCACTCATCGAGCACGACCCGAACTGTGGACTCCGCGACGCGACCAAGGACAACCGTTTTGTGTCGCATAAAGCTGACCATGACGCCGAATGTAGATTCGAGCTCTTCCTCCTCGACGACGGCCAGCAGAAGATCGAGTACAAAGAGGAGACGCGTAAGTCCACCTACCACCCCGCCCTCCCCTCGGATACTCAAGCTAATCCCACAACCCTAGGCGTACCCAACACCGGCATTTTCACCTTCAACAAAGAGGACCACACGCTCGGCAACCTCATCTCCCAGCGCCTCCTCAAGTACCCATACATCACCTTCTCCGCCTACAAGGTCCCCCATCCATTGTTCGCGACCTTTGAGCTCCGTGTCTCGACCGACGGCAGCATCACACCCAAGGACGCCATCATTGCGTGCTGCAGGCAAGTCGTCCAGGACCTCGAAGACCTGAAGCGCAGCTTCCAGACGGAGTGGCTCGGCAAGAAGATTGTCAGCGAGGGCGAGCAGGAGCGCGTGGCCAGGGAGCAGAACAACTTCTAGGCCTGGCCCTGGAGTGCGAGCACGATGGATGTGCACGGAGTTTGATGGGCATTTCCCGGCGTTGAAAAGGTTGGCCTGAAGGCTTTGGCGTTACGATATGGTGTAGGACTATGACAGCACCGCATATGCTTGGGTTAATGCCTGGGCATTGGGCTACGTCACTGGGTGCTAGCTACCTTACCCACTAGAGAATCGAAAGATGAGACCAAAACCTAGCCGCGTCTCATGCTCGTGACTATGTCAATTCGTTCGCGTACGTGCGTTGTCAATAGCGTGTAAAGTGAACTTTGATATCTCTTTTTATTTGCCTCTATGCTGTTGATATATTAAAGCAAAGAGCTTTTTCATGTGGTATACAACATGCTTTCATGTCCTTCCAAGCCGCACCAACGCCCTTTGCGTGTTCCCACCATCGTACCATTTTCGTCATGTCTGTGCCATACCAGTTCCCATCCTTTGTTCTCGATCACTAGGCCGCGAGCGATCCGTCTATTTGCCCTTGGGATTATTGTACTGAATCTCATTGAACTTTGCCGGCCAAACAGGCTGTATCCACAGATTAGCACAACCGCTCCTCCTACCACCACACTACCCTCCAAACCACTCACCTCGCTCTGCTGACTCGAGATATTCTCCTTGAAGTGCTCCGAATCCGGGCCCTTGTGGCCATCCTGCGTCCTGGACTCGTTGTCCGTCGACGAGCCTGCGTACAGTCAGCAGGGAGTATCTGCGCGAGGTTCCCGCTTGGAAGTATTACTCGTACCACGCTTTGTGGCGTAACCGGGCGTGTGTGTGGGGTGGCCGCCGCCGGCGGAGAAGCGGTCTTCAATGTTCTGCACGCCTTGGGTTTTGTAGGGGTTGGGGAACCAGTATTGGCGCATGTAGAGGTAGTAGGCGAAGCCAACCTAAATGTCGACGTATGAAGTCAGTGTATGTCTCGCATGTAATTTGTACAGGTGGTGCCTCGTACCCCACCCCCAGCCATGAAGATCTTAGGTACTGATAGAGGGGACATTGTTGCGGTAGGATGAATGTGAAGGTCGAGGTGCAAGTCGCGACGTCAATTGCTGGTGTAGTGTGGAGAGGGAAGCGTGGAGATGATCTAGACGTCTAGGCAAAAGAAGCACTAGGTAGTGGAATGCATCCGTTTCGTACTACCACCCAATTACACACGGCGGAGCGGGCGTCACTCTGTCGTCTCGATGATGGTGTCATGGTTGCTTCGCTTTGGGGAAGGCCTCGGTACTAGGCGCATGCGGTTAGGATGCGGCTGAAAACGAAGGCTGACGTAAGTTGCAGGGATGTTGGTAGATCACGATTTTGGTGTGTCGAAACCTCCTGGGGAAGGGGACACGCTACTGTTTTTGGACCCCTTGCGCAATAAGACGTACAGGACACATTCGCTGAACACGGAGGGATTCGTTTTAAAGAGAAGGACAAGACAGGCTGGATGATTTTGCGGGAAGGATACAGCTGGCACGCGGCGTTTGCAATATTGGGATTGAGCATACGACTTCGAGATGGATGGTGATCCGGCGGTCGAGCCTGAGCTGGATGGCTTCAGTCGCGTTCTACCGCTGCCATACCGCGTGGCTCTCATTATCGTCTTAGGTATGGAGAACATCTTCGGCACAGCTTCGCCTTCCTCAAAGCAATGCTAACACGACGCAGGCATATGGGCATGGGGCCTCAACCTCCACTATCTCTCCCTGATCAAAATCGACGTACCGTCCCTGATCCGCTACCCGTCTCGCTCCTCACCACACCACCCCTCGCACCACCTGTCCTGCTACCGCATCGCTACCTTCCTCTCCATACCCCTCGCCCTCTCGCTGCTCCTCTTCTGGATTGTCACAGCCGGCAGCTCCTCTATCGACATCGCCAGCTGGCAAATCCTACCAAACCTCTACCTCCTCGTCCTCGTAATAGGCTTTGTCGCACCCATCCCCTTCGTCTCCCGCAACGGCCGCAGCCGAACTCTCGCAACCCTCAAACGCATAAGCATCGGCGGCATCGCCGAAGCCGCAGATGGGAAATTCGGCGACATACTCCTTGCCGATGCGCTCACCAGCTATGCAAAAGTGCTCGGCGACCTATTCGTCAGCCTCTGCATGTTCTTCGACAGCTCACACAGCTCCACCGGCCCGCCCAACCGCAACTGCGGCGGCGCCTTCATGGTCCCCTTCATCATCGCCATACCCTACCTGATCCGCCTACGACAATGCATAACAGAATACATGCGCGTGCAAAAAGCCAACAAGCGCACCGGCCAAATAAACCCCGCAACAGGCTGGGGCGGCGTGCATCTCGCCAACGCACTGAAGTACTCCACCGCCTTCCCCGTTATTATCCTCAGCGCCCTTCAACGCTCCCACGACCCTTCCACCTTCGGCGTTTCGGAAGCCACGCTTTTTCGAATGTGGATGGCCGCCGTCGTCGTCAACTCCGGCTACAGCTTCTACTGGGACGTCGCGCGCGACTGGGACCTCAGTCTCTTCTCCACCCCGCAAGAGCGCAACAACCCGGAATACCCCTGGGGTCTGCGGCGCCACCGGTGGTTCCACGCCAAGGAATTCTACTACGGCGCGGTTGTCATGGACGCCATGTTGCGGTGCACATGGAGCCTGAAACTCAGTCCGCATTTGGACCATTTCAACGATCTCGAAGGTGGGATCTTCACTATGGAGGTGTTGGAGGTGTTTAGGCGGTGGGTGTGGATTTTCTTTAGGGTCGAGACGGAGTGGGTGCGGAACCATCGGGGGCCGGCGCCAGATGATATTTTGCTGGGGGACGTGGGCGGGAGTAAATATGATGATAGCGATTAGATGATTATGTTGAGATACCAATTCAGATTTTTACGCGTTTTCGGAAGATATAGCACATGTTGTACATCTCCATGAGTTGGGAAATCTGCAAAGATTGAACTGAACGCCGTGAGATGGTGAAAAGGTGTTGGTTAGTATCCAGCGTTCGTTCTCGGTGCTATGCCAGCCCAACTCGAACTCAGTCTTCTGAATGCACATTACATGATCAAATCATCTATGAGCGCAGACTCCCGTTGAGTCATCGCCAAAAGCCCAGCTCTAGAACTCTGGAACCCGGCCATCAAAGTCGGAATGACCCGAGACAAATGCCCGTAAGTTGCCGGAAGGAGCGCCGTGCAGCTCAGGACAAGACAAGACAATCAAGTCGAACAGTAACAGTCGACGCAAGTACGAATGCCCCAGGTGTCCATGGCACATTTACCTGTTAACCTGAGCTGAATGTGCATCCTCCCGAGGCGAGCAAAAATTTAGCATTTCCCATGCTTACTCTATTATTCCTTCGGCTTCGCAGACTTGGGTACACGCTCTTACACATGTCTCAAAGCTTCATCCCGATGAAGCTCCAGCTCTGCGTGAAGGAGCGAAACCATAGCCAGGCACAGATGGATTAGTAGGGGAGAGAATAGTTTGAGGGACGGAACGAACGTGAGTGTTGAAATAATATGCGAGTCTGAATAATTTCGTGGTTATTGAGGGTCAAAAGATTCGTGAAGATGATCAGCCTCATGTACAAACGATTAGTGTTCAGTTTCCCAGGACATGTATAGAATCTGAGGGACTTCGTCGCGACTTGCTCCCTATTCGAGTATGAAAGCGCAGTGCACGACTTCACGACATCACATAAAAACACCGTTTGAAGGTTTATGTTGTTATTCATTTCGCAACAGCTCCTCGAGCTGCCATGTTATTCAGAAAAATGCTGCTGGTAGGCTTCATGCCCAACACTGGCGTTCTAACCTCCCATCCCACACGAAAACCAACCCACAAGGACATCTTGCCTCCCAAACCCCCCTGACCAACGACATAAAACGCCGTTTTAGCGCCAAAGACACCTTGGGTTTTTTCCTCGCGGACAGCTGTCTCCACGCGACTGACAAACTAACAGAAACAAAACGCTAAAAATTGATGGAAGAACATTAAAGTTTATATACAGGTGCAGGAACAAGACAGAGGTTTGGAATGTAGAGGAGGCCGCCTCACAGAGGCAACCCGAGGGTCCGATTACGAGGATCGATTGACCTGCGCCTGCTGCATGCCGGGACTTTGCAGCATCTGCGGGTTCTGAGGTGTAGCGCTCCTGCTCGCCGGACGAGCAGCGTTCATTCCTGGACTACCAGCCTGTTGTCGCGACTGTTGCATCATTCGTTGCTGTTGGACAAGTTGTTGCTGATAGTTCGCTACCGCAGGATTATTGCCAGGCTGGGGACTATTGGCCATGCTGCCGTTCTGCGGGAGGTATTGGTTGTTTCCGATCTGTGGAGATGGGGACATGCCAGAGGAGCCCGCGGCCGCGTTCATCGCCTGTGTTCGTTGAGTTTTAGCCATGGATTTCTGAAGATGCTCTGAAGCCGCCTTTTGGCATTGCTCGTTGGTCCATTCCGGATGCTGTACCTTGTATACGTTCTGCAGGTGCAATATGTTTGGCATATGACCGCTGGAGAGAGGGCGAGAAGGAGTTTGCATGTTGCCATTGCCTTGGTTGGGCCGAGGAGATCCTACGTTGTTGGGTAGTCCGTTCATCGTGGCATTGATGTTCCCGTTTATATTCCCGTTCATGTTCTGGTTGGACATTGAGGCCATCATGTTCGCGTTAGGGATGTTGCTGTTCAAGCCCATTCCTGGCGTCAAGTTGTTGCCCATGCCTAGCTGATGTTGCTGTTGCTGTAGCTGGAACTGTTGTTGCGCACTGTTCGGAAATTGTCCTCGCTGCATAGCCATTTGCATTTGGTTTGGAGGTGCCATACGTTGGCCATTCTGCATGTTGCCCTGCATCTGCGCCTGGGGAACACCGGAAGTACCCATCGGCATGCCGGCCATGTTACCGTTACCGAAGTTGGCCTGCATACCTTGCTGGCCTTGGTGGGCTCGTGCTGCCATTGCTGCTGCGTTCTGTCCCTGCTGTGAGGCTGAATTAGCCATATGAGCTGAACCTGTCGGATTGCCCATGGAGGTTCCATTGCGCAGCATTTGATTGGCACCGTTGGGCATGCCCCCTTGTGCCGCCATCTGAGCCTGCTGTCGTTGTTGCACCATTTGTTGTCGGACTGCCATTTCCTGTTGCTGTTGCCTCAGTTTTAGCTTCTCTTCGCGTTCCCACTTCAGACGACTGAATTCCTGTGGAGTATGAACGGTATTTTTGGGAGGCGCTGGCTCGTGGGCCTTTCGCAATGCAGCAGCCTTCTGAGACTCGGCTTGCTTGTGCGCAGCAGACTCACGCTTTCGCGCAAGCTTACGCATTCCGTCGATGATAGCAAGATAGCGGTTCTCTCGCCGACGCTCCACCCGTATCGGCGTAGTGGTGGGCCTTCTCCGCGGCTGAGCAGGAGCAGCTCCCTGCTGCTGTTGTTGCTGCTGCTGAGCCTGGTATTGCGCGAAAACGGTCTTGTTGGCTTGTTCTAGTCGTCCTTGATAGGTGCGGAAGTACTGCGTCTTAGACATCTCCGCAGGCAGGCCTTCTAGTTGCACCCATCGCTCAAAACATTCCCAAGGCGTCCGCCGACCAGATCCAGACACGAACATGCTAGGTAGCGAGAGCTGCTGCGAAACGAGTGACCAGTTGAATGTGAACTCTTTCACCAGGGATCGGAGCTTCTGGTCTTCTTCCCACAGCCACTGCGACGGAATCCGATGCTCGAAGAAGGCGACCGACGGCATATTAAACTCGGTCGGCGGGCGGAATTGATGAGCGGCCTGAAGACGGTCACGAACGTGCTTGTTCTCTGCATTGAACAGGGCAACGTCAGTCATCTCAGGCGGCAAATCATTTCGGCAGAACAACCTCCGACCAGGTGTGGATGGCATCGAATGTTCCGCCGATGTACCGGACCTGCTTGGGGGCGTCGAAGGCTCGTCCTCTGAATCGTAGTCGTAGCGGCTCCGCTTCCTGGGGGGGCCTCGAATTTGAGAAACCAGCTTTCCAGTCACATACTTTGAGACAGGGAGGATGGGCGGTTCGGCAACAGAGAAGGGATTACCATCACTGGAGCCCTCGAGCATCGGCTCATAGAAAGGAAGTTCGCGGAACATGGTGTCGCTGGCCGGCGTGCGGTGTATCTTCATAACGACGTCGTTGAAGCCCAAAGAGAACAGACCAGTTGGGGGGTTAGCACTGAGTGGGGTGCGAAGTTCGTCCTCGTCTGCAAAAGACTCGGATTCCGTTTCGTGTGCATGGGACTGCACGAGATCGGGCGTGGGCGCGTCGTCCATGTCTTCGTCGTGGTGCTCAACTTGTTTGGCCGCGATTGGTTTGCGCACATTCACGCGCAATGTTGCTCGTTCCTCCGGGCTACTGTTCACATACTTGGCGCACCACTCGGCAAATGAAGCAGCCAAGGCCTCCTTCCACCTCCTTTCCTCTTGGAAGTCGGTTGAAATATTCTTCATTTCTAGCAGGAGTTGGTCATGGTGCGTGAATGGACGCTCTGGTTCGACCGATTTCTGGAGTTGACGCAAAGACCATCGGTTCGCATTTTGCAGCTGGTAAACCCTCTTAAGAATCTTATAGTCTTGGTGTTCCCGGTGCATGGCAAGTGTTCCAGCGGTCGTGACTGTTTTGCGCGCCGATGCTACAAGCTCTTGTAAAGGTATGGATCGTGGTGGATGATGAGCCTGATATTTGAAAAGTCCTTCCAGATAGTCACGACTAGAGTCTTCAGACGCTCCATGAAGCGAAGCGTAGTCCTCATCGTAGGCTTGCAAAGCTTTTGAACCCCGACGGGGTGTTTTCTTTGCGAAGACGACTACTTCTTTCGATCTCGGATCACGAGTCTTTGGACGTGGAGGACTAGCCGATGTCGATAAATTGCTCGAGCGAGGAGTCAGAACAGTCTTAGGCGCTGCCTTCTCTGCTAGTATCTCCGACACAGACTTTTGGCGCATAGCACCAGATGAGACGCGTGTGGTCATACGATCGGGTCGCGAAGGATGCACAGGAGGGCTCCTGGGGTTTGTCGATGTCGGTGCGTCGCCCATCTCAACGTCAAGTTCTGCCGGAGGTGTAGGGTGTGAATCTGCCTCTGCCACTTTGTTCGTTTCTCGGTCAGTAGCTTCTGGATCTACCGTAGATGGTTCCGGCGCCGTCGTCGTTGGTGTGGGTAGCGAGTCTGCCGCAGGGTCCTGAGAGGCGCGAACTTCAACAAACCGCTCGCCAGCAGGTGCAGCATCGCGCGCAATATCTTTGGCGTGAGACATCAAACCAGTTCCTTGTTCCGTGGTAGATCCAGCAAGCCGGCTCTTTCCGTCCCGAGCAAGCCGTATCGCTTGCTCATCCTCTATTTGCTTCTCAATGTCCGGTGTAGGAGACTCTGTACCCCGTGCGCGTTCCCGTGCTTCCGTCATTTCTTTTTGCAATGCGCGCTCGTGGTCTTCCTTGACCTGTTGCGCAGCAGGGTCCAATGATTCGGTAGTTTGGAGAGTGGCTCGAGGGCGTTCCTGGAACGACTCTGTATCGGGACTCGTATCTGGAGAATGATGCGGCGCATGAGGAGTCGCTTGCGAGTACGGGCCTACAGTGGATGATGGCGAGGAGATCAAGTCTGTAGGACCATTTGCGTGGAAGTCGTCCTTCCGTTCCTTTTCGGCAATCTTCTCCAGTTTTCGTTCCGTCTCATGCAGTCTTGCTTCTTGGACATCTTTCGGTGGCAAGTGAACAACCTGTGGTGCCTTCGGCTTGCTCTCAGCAGTGGCAGCTTCGTCCTTGAGGTCGACGTCTGGTGTGTTGACAGCACTGGGAGCAATGGACGGTCCATCAGAGACAGAAGCATCTACGCCTACTGCATGCTGCACAGCTGGTGCGGGTGAAGTTCCGTTTGAAGATGCGGCACGGGCGTCATCAGCGATGTTGTTTGCTACTTGGTTGCCTGTATCTGCAGCAGTAGCTGGCGATGATGGACCAGTACGTGAAGCCGGCGACAACGATTTGACGGCGTGGGTGGGATCCTTTTGCGTCGTAGGTTTGGTCGGAGGGAGCGGTTGTGTTGCAACAGACGGTGAGGCAGACGCGGCACGCAGCTGGTCCTCCAGGCTAGGTGCACCAACGATGGAAGACTGCGAAGACTTGGGTAATACAGGAAATGGAGGTTTCAAAGGAGCTTGAAAAGGCAGAGTAGATGGTAGCGGTGGATGCTGTTCGGAATTGTCGTTAGGCCATGGCAGAGTCGCGTCGTCGAAGCGTCGTCCTCTGCAGACACAAGGCAGGTCAGTGGAATGGAACGACGACAAAACACCGTATATTGGTGGCAGCAACATCAAAACTGAATGATGGATGTCGCGGATAGTCTTCTTACATTGAAAGGTTGTTCTCTTCGAGGAAGCTTGCCTCGTTTTGGCCGGGAGGGTTATTATACGGCCAGTCATTCTCTTGGGGCGGACGGTTGTCCGCGACGATCTGAGTGTACTTGAAGAGGGCCCTCAGTCCCCCGAGGCGCCGCGCCTCACATGCCCTAACCATCAAGTCAGCCAACATGCAACGCGATAAGTCCACAACAACGCGATATCAAAACAATCGAAGCGATTTTTCTGGCGTCGCATGCTGCAAAGAATCGTTTTGCATGCAAGGCGACAGTATTAGACCGTGACGCGCGACTTACAGGATATCACTTTGGTGTTCTCGTTGCAATGCGAGGCGCGCACTGTCGATGGACATATGGTTGCCGTAGTCCGGTGGCCGACATCCGTTATTCACGAGTGTCGCCAATGTGATGATTTGTGGAGGTCGTGGAGCGCGTTGGTTGATGGATATGTTGTTGGCAATGCCTGGACTTGATGGGGTTGACCTGCGCGCCAGGAGAGGAGGGAACCGCTTCGCTGAGCCCCGGTCGCAAGGTTGCTGCACTTGGAACGGGAGTGATAAGCTTCGCGCTAGCCGAGTACGTCAATGCGCTTTTCAAAATTTCCTTGCAGCTTGCACTTTCCCGTCCATCAACTTGATGCATTCAACAATGGCGAAGAGAAAGAGGGAAAATGCCGGCCAGGTCAGTGCGGCGAAGGCGCTGAAGACGAGGAAAGCGGTCGACGAAGATCCCGCCGCGCCCAAAAAAGCTGCAGTCGTCAAAGCTAAGGAAAGCGCGACTAATGGCACGGTAATAGCGAACAAGAGCAAGGCAGCTACAAGCTCTGCGCCGGCAGAAACAGGCTCGGAAACAGAGACGACGACTGTGCAAATTATCACTGGCTCATATGAACGCGTCTTGCATGGATTCGCTGCGACAATACCGCGCAGCCTCACCACCGGCCAGCAGGATGCCTCGAAAGAAGACGCCGAGAAGCCCAAGGTCGATTTCACAGACACATTCTTGTTTAACGCGCATGCTTCCGCCATCCGATGCTTAGCTCTCTCTCCGTTGTCTGAAGAGACCTCGAAGGTTATGCTGGCTACTGGCAGCACAGACGAGCGCATCAACCTGTACTCGCTGTCCACTGCACCACCAGTCATTTCAAAGTCGCAACCCAAGCTACCTTCACTTAATGGCGCCTCCATTACGGAAAATCCCAAAAACAAGGAACTTGGCACTCTTCTCCATCATGCATCCAACATCACAGCCCTCCACTTCCCGTCACGAAGTAAGTTGTTGAGTGCAGCAGAAGACAGCACCGTAGCAATTACAAGGACACGAGACTGGACAGTACTCTCAACCATCAAGGCCCCCATACCCAAGCCACAAGGAAGACCCAGTGGAGATACAGCCGGACCAGGAGAAGTACCTTCAGGAGTCAATGACTTTGCCGTGCACCCTACCGGCAAACTCATGCTTTCGGTAGGAAAGGGCGAGAAATGCATGCGTCTCTGGAACATGATGACGGCGAAAAAGGCAGGCGTTCTCAACTTCGACAGGGAAATCCTCACTGCGGTTGGCGAAGGACGCTTCGGATCTGGAGAGGGTCGAAGAGTTGTTTGGGGCAAGGCAGGCGAAGCGTTCGCAGTGGCATTCGAGCGCGGTATTGTCGTGTTCAACATCGACTCAAAACCTACGGCAAAAATTGCTCCAACCCCGAGGACAAAGATCCACCAGATGCACTATTTGCCGTCCGAATCGCACCAGTCAATCTTGTTAGTGTCGACAGAAGATGGCCGTGTGCTGCTCTACGACACCACCGATACATCAACAGCGACGAATGAAGGCACCACCGAGAAAGTGACCAAGGACGACATTCCTCTCAGCAGACTAGTGGCACAAATTGGAGGTCCCGGTGCTGGTATCAGTGGCCGTGTCAAGGATTTCGAGATCCTCCCAATCTCGGCGTCCACCTTTATTGTGATCACAGGTAGCAGCGATGGTACGATACGCACATGGTCCCTGGACATCAAGGACCTGGAAGTCGACGACAAGGCCGGAGAAGGTACGGGTTTCACTGCAAAGCAAGTTGGCAAGCTGCTCGGAACCTACACAACTGGCACCCGAGTTACGTGTTTGAAAGCTTTCATTATGACCGGAACACCAGACGCAGAAGAAGATGAAGAGATGCTGGACAAGGAGGAAGCGTCCAGCAGCGATGACAGCGAATGACGTACTTGTAAATGATACCACATCGGAAAATTTGTAGTAAAAGCATACGGAAAAGGGCGCAAGTAATCTCAGGCCTCGGCCATTTTAACCCATCCTCTTCCTGACCAATCCTGAGATCCGATCAAACGCTTCCCCTCTCAGTCTAACAATCTCCAAGAACTGCTCCTTTGTTGATCCTCCAACTGTTCCAGGAAAGATATCGTTCTCGTTAGCCTCCAGACCAGCCCATGTCTCCTCCACGAACTCATCTAGGGACATCCCGAAAGATCGGCCCGCTGACTTTCCCATCCCCACGTCATGCAGCTCCGACTGTACAGGTCCTGGACTGACGTGCTGAACATGAATGTTGGTGTCGCGAAGCTGTTCACGCAGACACATGATGAACGCGTCCAAGGCGGCTTTGGACGCCGAGTAAGCCGGCAGAGCAAAGACAGGAATTAGGCTGACTGGTGTGCCAGTAAATATGAACGAGCTTGGTGTGGATCGAGAAAGAAGGTGGGGAAGGGCGGCGTGGACAATGGACACGAAAGAAGTGAAGTTGATGGTCATCTCGCGCTGGAAGACGGAGAGGTTGACAGTGTCGGGACGGGTGAAGTTGGCGCCGGTCTGTGTTCCAGCGTTGAGGAAGACGCTATCTATTGTTGGGTATGTTTTGAAAGCCCTCGAGGGTGTTAGATTGAGGTCAGGTACATGCGAACGATGCTTACTCATTGATAAAGGTTGGAATTTCATCGAGCTTCGCGATGTCAAAGGCGATGCCAGATGCCGTCTCCTGGTCGTGCTTCGCGACAAAGTCTTCGAGACGCTCTTGTCTTCTGCCGACAGCGGTGACCTTGACGCCGTTCGCGATGAAGTGGTCTGCCATAGCTCGGCCGATGCCACTGGTCGCACCGACAAGGAGTACGTGTTTGTATGGGAAAGACATGGTGCTCGATGTTCTGGTTCAGTGTTTGGTGATAATCTTGAAGCTACCAGGCTCATTATTTATATATGTATCTCTTGCTCTTTCCCTTTTGCACTAGCGTTGAAAGCCGTAGCATGCACGACCTGTGTGCTCAAAACGGTTAGCACATCAAACGAAATCATCTCACCGGCACCCAGTAATGTTCGAAGCGGTGTCCACACATCACTCGCCAGACACATCAAACCCAGCGTAGCGTCATGGTTTTCTGACCCGTGCACAACCCTCGCATAAAGGTTGGAGCCGATAAGCTCACGCTCAATGGAATCGGTATTGAGAATGCTGCGCTAACCTCGCAAGTGGGCTGGAATCAACGCCGCTGAGGTTGCGTCGACATGCATGCTACCTTAGGTTTAGCTGCAGTCAGCTTAATTCCGTCGTTTATCTCCATGCTGCACCATCGACGTGAATGCCATACTGTTACGTCGACGAGTTCCTCGACCCGGATAACACTTCGATTTGCTTGCCAGTGCCACGTGTGTCCAATGACGTTTCGGGGAAAGCTATCGAAAGCTTGTCAACGATGTAGAGATAGGAGACTGAAGGTGAGCACCACTGTGGCTGTGCTGCATTTTGTCTGCTGCATTTTGTCAGCTACGAGAAGACTACATCGAGCTCTTGCTATCGCACTCAAAGTCTAGCAATACCGTGTATAGCTTTAGGTCAATGGATTGGTTATCTGCGGTTACATCCTGGTCATTTCCTGTCGTAGTTGACACCAGGCATTATAATTCAGTTACTGACCAAATCAGTGCGATCTCAAGAAGCCATTCTGCAGCTCATGCATCCGTGTTGGGGAGCGATGCTCAGGATACCGCGATACGAATGCGATTCGTATCGATGACCAAACTGACTTCATCCGGGCCAAGGCACTTGCCCGAGCGACTATTTCGCAGAACAAGAAGCCCAAGGCCCCTTTGAAACTGCGGCACTTACCCCAGGATCTTCAGGTTCTCGGACGAGAGATTTTCTTCGCCAACTATGTCTCGGACTTCAGCCATACATGGGACTTTCTCTTCTCATACCTGGATCCTACATCCACACCTGAACATCTGTCGTTGGGTATTGATGCAGTTAGCCTCGCATTTCTCTCCCATCAAGTTGGCTCGCCTACTGCAAAAGAAATGGGAACCCGGAAATATATCGAAGCACTGAGAAAGATTAATAAGGTAGTGCAAGATCCAGAAATGGCAGCCAAGATGTCTACTCTCGAGTCCGCGCTCCTACTGGACCTATTCGAGAAGATGATGGTATCAAATGCACAGATCAATGCATCACGACATGCTCATGTTGAGGGAGCCTTGGCTCTTGTGAAGCTGCGAGGTGTCGAACACTTTCGACAGGGTCCTGAATTACGCGCTCTCCTTGGACTTTCCCTCAACGCAACGATATGCTCGCTAAGCACAGGTCGTGCAATACCAGACGAGGTCCGCCAGATCCGAAGGCATGCTGCGCAATTTATCGACACATCACACCCTAAGTGGAGACTTAGCGACTGCATACTCGAAGTCACCAACCTACCTGAAGAACTACGAGACATGTCACCGCGCAATAGAGTAGCCCGCAACGCTTCATTGGACCGTAGGCTCGAGACTGTGGCGCTTGAAGCTGGCGACGCGTGGTCATACGAACGTAAGTTTGTCTCCGGCCATGATCAGCGAGCATTTGTTCCCGACGGCTTCTTCCCTTTGTACGATGTATATCCCAATCGGACGATCACACAGATGTGGAACACGCTTCGAGTGACACGTATACAGCTCTGCGAGGACATTATCGAAGACTGCGCATTTCTCGACGATGCTGAGGAGCTCCAGCGAGCCAAACAAGTCATCCTCGAGATGACACGCGAAATTTGTGCTGCCTGTCCACAAATGACGAACTGCTCTTTCGCTGCACGACATAAGCTTCCGGATGGAGCAATTCCAAATGCGCACCATACGCATACCATGTCGCATATCCTTGATGTCTACATCGTTATTTTTAGCCTCTATTTAGTTGCCTGGGCACAACATTGCCCTGCAATGGCGAAGAAATGGGCCATCGGACAACTTGAGCATATCGCAGACCACTTCGGTATCAAGGAAGCCGCAAACATCCTTGGAATTTTGCGTAAGCAACAGGGTGGTGGAACTGGAGATCCGTGGTACGCATATATCTTTCTTGGGTGATTTGTATTTGGCTGTCAACTTACAAGGTTGACCGTAACAGCACATACTAACCTTCTTCCTTAGGGATACCGGTCCATGGTACGTGTACAAAATCCTCGGGAGTCACGCCTTCGCAGCGAGCTAGATGAGCGTTTCGGAGTAGGACCCTGGATGATCGCCGTTCACATGTTAAGCTTCTGTTGTGCGATGTCGATCAGCCGCACAACTTTCGGGCACACCCAATACGTCCGACTCCACCATCGGTACCCAAAGTTATCCAGGACATCAGATCATCCATTCGGAACTTTAATCAGCATGTGCCACATGTCGCGGCTCGGATGCATCGAGTGTCTCATACATGTGGAACCGGCGGTACCTCCCGGTGGTCTGGACAAATCACCGTGAAACAGCCACGCAAACACGACACCACAGACGCCACAAAAGCTAAGGTTACACCACATCCGCGAAACACAGTGTGAGATCTCACCTAAGATTCGGAAAGTTAAATGCCAAATAAGCTTCTCTGTTCAAGGCTTCACTGGCGTGCAACGCACGATGGCTGTGCAAAAAGCTTGTGGGTCAGACACATGAGGTATTGGAAGAGGAATATCATGGCGATCCGAATCTCAACAATGCGAAATAAGGATGCCTTTTCACAAGTACTTCAGGCCGTCCTGACCATATTGAGGTCCTCCACGCTGAGCGTCGAACCGTCATCATTTCCAAGAGCTTTATACAGCCCCTTCACCATTAATCGCTAATCCTAATACTCCCTTCAAAATGAACGCCTCAGCAACAATCCGTGCCTCATACATCCGGCAAACACGCATGTCCTTTGCGCCACCACCACGCCCCCTCAGCATTCCCTCCACAATCAACGATCTCGCGCCCCGCCCCGCTCAGAGCGATAAACTAGCAAGCGTACAAGTCATAAATCACATTGAATACCGCGAACAATGCTTCTCTGAGCGTACCACTTCACACATCCACTTTGACCTCGAAAAGAACGCCGACACAGACCAAGCCTATATCGACGACCGCTACCTCGAATTCGAACCGCCGTTCAAGATCAAACTCAAGAAACTCTTCACCACCTTTCCGTATCGCGATCCCATCTACCTCGTCGCCCTGATCTTCCTGCTCGGCTCCGTGGACCTGGTGATGAACGCTTTCTTCGACCTGTTACCGCGCGCCATCCCATCTACCGCTTTCGAGACTGAGGAAACAGTCGCGGTACCGACGACGGTGCTTGTTGGCTCGATCTTCTTCTTCGCAGCGGGTATTTTGGATACATTTGGTGCGCTCAATGCGGATGCTGGGACGCTTGTGACGTCGAAGACGGACCCTAATAGAGTCGTGTTTAAACCTGCGCTACTGGGGTCTGCAGAGTTTCAATGGTTGCCGTCGAAGAAGAAAGTGCTGGACTTGACGCTGAATAATCTCGCGTTTCAGGCGGGGTTGATTGTGCTGTTTGGGGGTGTGGTTTTCATGTTTGCGGGCATTGTCGATTTCCCTGGTGTTGTGCGAGAGGAAGGGAACCCGTCTTTCGGGTTGATTGTATTTGGGCCGCAGGTCATTCATGGGGCGTTGTTCTTCGTGGCGAATGTTATGTTGGCCGTGTCGGAGCAGGATAGCTGGTTTCGTCCGAAATTTTGGGATGTGGATTGGCAAGGCGCGTTTCTGAATGCAGTTGGGGGGTTTGGATTCATGGTCGCGGGACTCTTCTTGTTCCAGCGAGACGAGAAGAACGCGGGCGTTGCAGCACTTATTGGAAGCTGGGCTTTCCTAATGGGCAGCGCGAGTCGCTTGTGGGTGGTGATGGAAGTGTGGTAGAAAAGTCATTAGATGTATTCATAACTCATGCTTCTGAGAACCCAGACCCAAACTCCAAACTCCAAACTCTATAAAGACGATTCGCTCAAGCACAACTCACACACCCCTCAGGACACTCCACCTCCACGCCCTCCAGCACAATCGGCTTACTCTCCTTACTCGGCACATCCTCCTCATCCTCACTCCCCAGCGCCGAATCACTCCTCCGCGCCTCCGTCTCCTCTTCAATATACGCATACTCACTGCGCCACTCACACAGCATCTTACTCGTAACATTACTGCCCCCACACAGCACAACAACAACCTTATCCTCCGGCCTCACCGGCCTGCCCAGCGCCTTCTCCAACCGTCCATCATAGCACAGCGCAACATTAATTCCGCACGCCAACTCCACCATAATCCTCTCGTCGTCGGCGAGCCGCCAACACCCCATTGCCGCCTCCGCATCAGGCAAAACAACACTGCGCACATTCTTGCGCTGCGCAAACGCAAACGTCTCAGGCGTCACGCGCGCGCACCCCAGACTCGTCGCCTGCGACGTAATCTTGTCGAGCGTAACAAGCTCGCGCGCGTGCAGCGACGTAGCGAGGCTATCCGCGCCCGCCGTCTCCATGGCAAGCACCGTCGTTTCCATGTGCAGATCGTCCATGGCCTGGCAGATGCCGTTGATCAGACCGCCGCCACCGACGGAGCAGATCAGGACGTCTGGGTCGGGCAATTGCGCGGCAATCTCGTGCATGACGGTGGAGTTGCCGGCCCAGATGTCTGGGTGGTCGAAGGGCGGGCAGTAGATTGTTGATGTTTGGGCCTGCGGAAGTTAGTGGTGATGGAGGAAGGGGGGGGGGGGGGGGTGGAGACGCACGTATGGCATAACGTGTTCGCGCAGATAGGCGTCTGCGTCGCGCCAGGCGGCGCCGTGTTGAATCACGTCGTAGGCGCCGGCGGCGGCGCAGCTTGGTGACCATTAGGGATGCTGTGGCTGTGGGGACGACGACGGTGCAGAGCAGGCCGAGGGCGCGAGCGGAATGGACAGCAGCGAGGCCGGCATTGCCGCCGCTTGAGGCGAAGATGTGAGGCTTGGAGCCTGGTGGGAGTTCTCCGAGGCGCTTGAGGATGTAGTTGCCGATACCTCTTGATGGATGTTAGATTTTGGCTTGGTCTGTATGGTGAATGGGATGCTTACCGTGACTTGAATGATCCAGAGGGTTGGAGGTTCTCCAGCTTGAGGAATACTCTGCTTCTACGATTTAGAATTCCCTTATCTTAGATTGGGTGGTGGTGTGGATGGGCAGTGTAGAGGGGGCTGAGATGTGTAGGGGAAGTGTGACCGTACCATCCCGCTGCTTCAGACAAAGCATACGACTCCCGCAAAGGAGTCTCAACCCACGGGCATTGTTGGCCCTCTTGCTCAGTGTGGTACTCTTTGACCGCCATGTTGATGTGTCGTGAAATGCTAGAATGAACAAGTATGATATCGAAGGAAGACGAACACTAAAGAGCAGAAAACCGATATGAATTGTGGCAAAGTCGTCGATACTACTTTTCAATCCACGAGCAGCCAACCTTTATCACAATACTAAACTTTCCACCAAACTCTTATCAGCTCCGCACAAGCCCGCAACCCCAGAAGTCATTGCCCGTTGCACACTCATCTTCCGTCGGGGAACTCGTACCCACCAGACCGACTCGACGGTCTATTACCCTATAGTTGGCTCGAATTACCCTATAGATACTCGATAACGACATAATCCTGGATACTGCGACAGCAGAATGACACAAGCATGAGACGCGACTAGCATCCTCGTACCCATGGTTACGATTACCTGTTGCGGTTATCTGCGGCGATGGGTTCTGCCGCACCTCACCGCCCTGGGGTATCGCGCTGGCTTGGCGCGTTTTTGCCTATCAAGGGCGGCATGGACAGGGTCGCGCTTGAGTGGATGCAGAAGGTTGATCCAGCTGTTACAGTTTCGAGAATGACTCGGGATAACGGGGATGATGGGATTCTTTCGGGTGTTTGGTGGAGAAGTATCGTCGATGCTTTGCGGGGTTGACGCTACGAGAAAAGTCCAGACAGTGACTGAGGCTGCATCATGTGGGTAAGTTGTAGGCCCCATAGGCCTCTAGACTGGCTTGCTGTACTGAGCGCATTTGAGGCTGTTACAAAAACTCGCTCCACGTGCTCAAGGCATGCATACAGCTCGTCTCACAGCGCTATTATTTCCGAATGCAAGCTTTCCAAGACACCGAAAAACTCCAAGACACCGAAGAATGCCAGCGGGGTATCAAGGTGCTCCGAGTTAATCCTATCGTAACTCCGACGTAATGCCTAAGCTGCAGCCTTAGGCTGTTCCAAGAGGCCTTTTCTGAAATTCCAATAATTTGCCCGGATGGGGTCATACTTGGTCGCCAATAGGGTGAGCGCTTTCTCGGCTTCGTCCTTGTTATTCTCTTCTTCGGCATAGATGTCAGCTAGCAGGTCGAGAGCGTGGCTCGAGTAGACCTCGTCCGGGCTGTCCAGATCAGCGAACTCGAGCGCAAAGTCCTTGATAGTTGATTTGGGGAGCTGGGCAACTCGAAGAATGCCGGAGAGATAGTTCCACGGACTCTGGTTCTGTGGTGCTTTGCGGATAGCTGCTTTGGTGTACCTGGCGCATGGTTAGTTGACTGGTACCATGTCCGAACCTAACATTGACATACTCGATCTCACGCTTTGCAAGGTCCTCACTCGGCTTGCCATCACGACCACCAGCTACAAGGTAGTACCGATGATTCCAAGCCGAATTGTTCCTGACATCTGCCTCGATCATCTCCGCCGTCCACTCCAGCTCTTCAGGCTTGTCGAACAAGTCGAACCTCTTCACCAGCCACTGCCTGTAGCTCCAGACATGATAGTTCTTCGAGTCCTGCTCCAACATAGTACTTATAAACTCTGGTTCGCCCTCGACCGAGCCCAGCGCGTCAATGATGGTGTGTCGGTGGTGCCAGATTTGGTAATTCTTGAGGTGCTTGAGGGCAGTCGGGTTGAGCCATGCGATCTCGTCCTGGAGCGAGATGCCGAGTTCGGATATCGTTTTCGCGCGGTACAGCCTGATATAGTCAGTACATATGTTGTAGTTCTGTGCGCGCGTCGCTGGACTCCTCCGCGTTCGCCGCAACCTCCGATCGCGTGCAACTCACCAAACAGTGTAATGTGCGGGATTCATGCTAATGATGTGCTCTGTGAGAGCCAGAACCCTGTCGCTGAACTCGTTCTTCGCCATGACTGCGCGCAGATATCCCATGGCCTGGCTGTATTCCTCCGTGTATGCAATCGCCGCGAGTGGGTGCAAGCCGCCGTCATCTTGCGGGAGTGGCTCAATGTCCGCCCATGCCTCGTCATCGTCGTAGTATTTCGGCATTCTCTCTTTCTTCTTAGGCAACCGTGGAATTCGCTTGTTCCCGGTGAAGAATGCGCGCAAAATGTGGTATGGCGAGAGGAATAAGACCAAGAGGCAGTCGCGTATGAAGTTGAAGGCGAACATGGTGGGGTGCGACATTCAAGAGCATCACGCTTGGCGGAAACGATGCTTCTTTGAGTAATATTGCTGAACAATACTAACGGATGCAGCAAACGCTGCTCGCCGGACATGTGAATGGTCTCTTTCGTTCATATTGTTCAAGAATATTGGCTGTTCTAATATCTTGACCGAGGTCCTGACGAAAGGCGAAGGGACTTATACTTCAGCGCGTCATTTGACTCCATAGCAATCATGTCATCTAATTAGGCCTACAGTATATTCTAAACTCTCACAAATTCATAGTGACCGTCATGCTATTCGAGTGCACTAACAAGACTGGCGGCAGACCCTGGCACAGCACCTCCAAATCACTGATATACTTTACACTCTCGCTCTCGCTGTCGCAGGTACCCTCTACTGGACTAGGTAGCGTGGTGAACACTACCGCTGTGTCCTCTGAATGCTGTCGAATCAGCTCATTCAGAATCAAATGTTGGGCACGGCACGGTAAGTCATTGAAGGACAGCGGGATGGCTTGTTGCGCAGGGAAGCCAGATGCGGGTGAGCTGGTGTAGGTAGGGAGAGGTGTCGCGGAGGACAAGGGGCTATTTGGCGTAGACGTTGCAGGCTGTGAAGCGCTGGCTGCGAGCTGCGCTGGACCCATCGGGGCGTCGGCGATTGGGTCTTTCTTCTTTGTTGCTGGGGAAGGGGTGTCTACAAACATGATGGAGGGGCCGGGAGCCTCTTGTGCTGCAACTGCTGTTCGTGGAGTCGGATTGGAGGTGAATTTTGGCGAAGCGTTCTCGCTCTTTGGAGGTGGCTGGATAAGCCTGCCATGCGACGATGAAGACAGCTGCGATGTTGAACTGGCTACGCTGCGTGTCTTCTTTGTTCTCCTTCCAGACTTTGAAACAACTGTATCAGACGCCATCACACCTGGATGTGGCCTGAGGGGTGTCACGGACTCGACCGTTGGTCTTTCTGGGTCTATCGAACCGCTTTTCGGCGAGCCTTGTGCGCTTTTCCACATAGCTTTTCTGAGATCCAGTTTCCGAGAGAAGAACGGCGATCCAGATCCAGCTATGGTTGTTTGCGCTCTCTTCATGAGTGACCCAGGCCGCTTGCGTCTAGGTCCATCACTCTCGTCTGAAGATGCATCTAGGTCGTACTCGTCAAAGTTACTGCCGCTGATTGCCGCCTCACTTTCCGAAGCTACAGCTTCATCATCAGCATCATCTTCTTCAGATTCCGAGGACACGTGGGAATCGCTGTCGCTCCCAAGCATGAGGTCTGCTGACAGCCTTTGACTGCGAAGTCCGAGTGTTGCACCAGCCTCACTGAGATCACCCACTGAAGCTCGACCTTTCGCCCTTCGAAGCATCTTCTGTAGTGCAGAGAAGCGCTTCGGCCTCGATTCTCGTCTCCCGTGCTGAAAGGTGGCAGTTGGCCACTGCGTGATGGCTTCAAGAATGTCTGTAGCCTGTGCGAATTCTTGACTTGAGCTCAGAGTTGTTGGTTGCCGAAGACGTTTGATGTCTTGCCACCAACGTTCGTCTTCGAGGGAGTAGTCAATGTCTCGGGCTGCTTGGTCCAGGTCGCCATCATCCCTGCCATTGACAATGACCTCGTACATCTTCAAATCGCCATTGGCGAGCCAGAATACGAGAACCGTAGCCTCGATTCGTAGGTTCTTCAGTAAGGATATCACACGTTCGCGTTCCTCATCAACATCCGTCTCGTACTCTACAAATACGCAGACTCTCAGCTTATACATGCGCTTCCAAGATGGCACAGTATGCAGTATGCACCCAAGCTGTAGGATCAAAGTGTATGTATCAAAGTTAGTTGTCAATACATTCTTCCGACTCGGCTCATCTCCGGCGGTGCCAATCTCTGATGACATCTGTATAGGCCATAGGTCGATAAAGCTCTTCGATGAATCCTCGGTTTCTGTACTAGGCAAACCAAGCAAATTAAGCGTTCTCTGTCTTACGTTGGGCCTCGCTGTGGGAACTTCAAGCTCATGGAAGCCCTTCGCCACAGCAACGTTCGCTTGCAGCCGTAGAACTAAATCTTCGACGACTGTGACATAGCTCTTGATTCCGATAGCGTCCTCTGGTTTCATTGCATCGGTAGGTAGCGTGCCTTGGCTATGACCTTTCTGTCTCTGCCTGGCTGCTGCTTGGATCGCTTTGCGAGATGTTGAATGGTTGGTGGCCTTGCTGGACGGTCTCGATGGCTGAGGAGAAGGAATATGATTATATGGCTGATTTTGCCTTAGTTCAGGCAGGTTGTAAAATCCCATGACAACAATATTTGGTCGCATGCCACCGAGTCCAGCGCCTAAGACAAGATTGCGAGCACCCCACTCTACCGCAGGGGAAATCGCAATGTTGACAAAAGCTTTGATCCGGGAGAAGTCAATGTATTTGGTCCAAGATTGTTGTTGTCTTCTAGCCTCTGGTACAGCCTCGGCGAAGTTGTTCGTTACGATAACGTGCCCAAGGACAAAGAGACCGCCCTTCTTTAAAGAATTACAGAACTGAATCAGCTTGTATTGCCGTCTCGGATCGTTGACAAGAAGCAGGATCTGCGGCCTCCAGAACTTGACATGCTCTTGGCGTAGCCGTAGTAGGTACTTGCGAACTTGGTGGTATATGAGGCCTTGGCTGACATCGCCCCATGGTTTGGGCGGACTTGTGTAGTGAATTAGCATAAACACTGCCATCAGCAAGACCACACAGCCAGAAGCATAAACACCATCAACAAAGAACATGGTTGCACCACAAACTACTGTTCCAAGAGCAGCCGTCTGTACGCTGAAGAAATGGAACGAAGGCCGAAAGTTCGGTGCCGACCCAAGCTTCAACAGGAAGCAAGCGAGGTTGGTGACGAGGAAGGTCATTAGGTACTACATGCCTAGTAAGTCTACAGAGAAGAAAATAGGGGGTTTCCTCCAGTTGTTGGGTAGAGATAGATGGCAGAGAGAAATACTTACAGTCATCGTAATAAACGAGGCGATCTGATTAATGTCGGCAAACATGGTAACCTGCGCAATCATGTACGTGATACACACAGCGAATATAGGTTCATCCGCCTTCTTCGTCCCCTGTCCAAATATGGACAGTCCAGGAATGAGATGATCACGAGCGAGTGCTTGTAATAGCTTCGCAGATCCGATTACGCCCATGAGCACCGAGAAGAGTGACGTTGCGAGTTCTCCGAGCAGAATGATGATGCCAGATATGTTTGTCTGTGGAAGATTAGTCGGAATGCTTGATGTGTGGCATATAATCACGCTGAACGTGCTCATTCATAGTTCTTCAGATCATCACTTACAAGCTGGATCACATTTGTGTTCTTGTAGAAGGTTTCGCGACTTATGGATGCTGCGAGGGCAAATATAACCATGGTATAAAGCAAGAAAGTCAGTCCTAGCCCGTACAAAGTTCCCTTGGGGATGGCTTTGCTAGGGTGCTTCAAATCGCCTGACATACTAGCACCACTTGGAAGACGTTAGTTGCTGCTTTCGTTTGCAGTGTGCCACTTACGCAAGAATTCCTCCCGTTGCAGGAAACAGAATGCCAAAGAGATCTTGAAAGCTCTCATGTCCCTTGACAGCGCTGCCAGCAGCGCCTTTGGTAAAGTGAGGAAGTAAATTGTTACGGAAGGTGTCCAGACTGAAACCCGTGAAAATGATGGTCTCTTTGACATCCACAAATGGTTTTCGTATTGCGGCAGATAGCGGTATACTGGCAATGGCAACGAGCAAGGCGATAAGTAAGCCATTACTGGCACGCGCAAAGAGGCCACTCCCTGCCAGGCAGACGAGCGTGCAGATAGCAAGGACGATGGTAGCCCAGAGGAATTGGAACCAGTAGCTCTGTGGTACCCATTGGCCCATTGCACCCTCGCGTTCACCAAAGTTGACCATGAGGCAATCGACCAATCCGACAGCGTTCAGACTAGTACTGAACACCGTTCCGAGATAGAAGACTATACCAATGGCTCCACCGAATTCTGGACCCAGGGATCGCGAAATTAGGTAATATGCTCCACCGCCACGGACTGTACCATTCGTTGCAATTGCAGAGATAGACATGGTTGTCAGAAGGTTGATGGCGTAGCAAGCCATCAACATACCCATCATGCCTATCAGCCCGGCTTGTCCCAGGATGAAGCCGAAGCGCAAGAACATGAGAATGCTCAAGACGTTGAGGGTCACAGGCACAAAGACACCTGCAAAGGTACCCAGCTTGCCATGACCACCGACTGGCCTTGGAAAAGCTCCTGGCCGTGGTTTTGAAGCTTCACTGGCCGAGTGCTGCTTGTCATGTTGACTCGATGATGTGCCACCGAGCGTGGGCAGCGAACGACTCAATCTCCTGAACCAAGATTTGAATGATTCTTGCTGGGAGACCGTCTCTTGCGTATCAGCGATGGCTCCATGGTAGGAAAGGCCATCTGGCGGTGGCTGCTGAGCATCTCCATGGAGAAGCGGAGTGTCCTCGTCAGCAGGGGGTGAGTGCTGTGCAAAAGAACGTCGGTGCAGGCGTTCGTTGTCGTCCCGTGCTGTGCGGGCTGCGAAGTTGGAATGGGTTCTGGTCGGCAGGCGCCTTATCGTCTGCGCGCCATCACCTGCATCTGTCATGTTCCGGGCAGATATGCGGCTGTTCTCCGGTACGAGGCGATGCTGCGCTTATCCGAGGGTCCAGGGTGTTGAAGGTGTTTGGCTGGTGCTGTGGCTGAAATAGCGTCCTGTCAGGCGACTGCCCTGCGTGAGGTGAGACATGAAGACAGCAACGGAGAGAAGTCACAATTATGATTCAAGCGCTCTAAGCGATGACGAAGCCCGGCCATCATGGCGCTGTGGAGGGCTTCTGCTCACTTGGCGGTCTCAACTGGGCACCCTGCAAGCATCGTGACCAGGACTCCCGCGCACATGCCCCACGCCGCCAAAGGCTCCAGCGAATGACCTCAGAGCCGATGCACAGTCCTCCTCGAAACGGCTTTTGCGCTGCCCAAGGTTCCGTTGTTTCTATCTCCATTTCTCCTGCTCTGGAAACTTTGCGGTTTTTTTGCCAGAAGGCTCTTCGTCCCCATCTTTGTTTCGTTGCTGTATGAACTCCTTCTGTTGAGTTCGATATAGTTTGTGCCATCTCGGACGCTCTTCCGCCGACGTTAGACATCGATAGCCGAGCCTTGATAGCTCGCGGTAGACGCGCCTTCGACGTACAGAATGGCAGGCAAGCAGCCAGAACCGTCCCAGCCGCAAGCGGTGCCTTCGTCGTCGCGAGATTCTGGTCGCAGTTCGCCCGCAGAATCTCAACGCGAACGTGCAGACAGCATTGCACGACTGGGCTCTCCCGTGCCTTCCACCCAGATTGGCTCACCAGCTGTCCGCCAAATACCAACACCAGCCCAGCTCGACGACTCTCCCGCAATAGAGTCGCCCCTGCCCGGCCGCTCCGTCCCACAGTCGCTGCCCGGGCCAGCCGAATCGGCCCTCTCGTCAGCGCTCAAGGAGTCATTCGGCAGGAGCCCCCCACGCTTCGGTCCAGCACCAGCGCGGCCGCTGTCTCCCTCGACGAAAGAGCCCTCGATACGCGCACCCCCAAGCCACTTTGGTTCCTACGATGGCCGTGGCCGCTCTCCCGTGCCCTACGAAGACCCCGAAATCGTGCGCAGACATTTGGTCGGACAATACGCGTCTCCCAGCCGGTCGAACCGTGGGTTTGCAGGCGAGGATGATACTCAGTCGAACGGCAGGCGTGAGGAGGAAGAGGAAGACGAGGAGTTCTCGAGCCTGCAACTCCAGGGCGGTGACATCACGCGCCAGATCTACAGGTGGAGCGAGCAACAACAACGCGAGGAAGAGGCAGGCAGGATGCAGCGGAGCAAGAGTTTCCACGAATCCCGGCCACGCCCAGACGAGCATGTCCTGAACATCGAGTCCATCAGGCAGCCCGGAGGCTTTCGACGCAATTACCTGCGGAGAGCTGCTGGTAGTCCCTCTCCAGCACCAGGTCCCTCCGGCTACGGATCCATCCACCAGCCTCGACAACAGCCCCAGGTCTTCACAAGCAACTTCTTGGAGTTCCTCACTTTGTATGGCCACTTTGCAGGTGAATCTCTTGAAGAAGACGATGAAGTGCTGGGTCCAGACGAGTACTTCTCTTCGGACGCACTAGACTCTGGAGAGCACTCAGAAGACGAGGCGCGAGAGTATGGAGAATCAAGCGGCCTCCTTGCTCCAGGCAAACGTAGAAAGCGTAAGCCGAAGAAGACTGGCAATGGTAGCCCAACGGGTGCAGCCATGCTTCTCTTGAAGTCATTTGTGGGAACGGGCGTGCTGTTCCTGCCTCGTGCCTTCCTCAATGGCGGCATGGTCTTTTCCAATATCGTGCTTCTAGCCGTGGCAGGTCTCTCGTATACTTGCTTCGTCCTACTGGTTTCCACACGACTCGTCGTTGAACATTCCTTTGGTGACATGGGTCTGCACCTGTACGGCAAGTGGATGCGTAACATGATCAACTTCTCGCTCGTCATCTCGCAAATCGGCTTCTCCTCTGCCTATATCGTCTTTGTGTCTGAGAACCTTCAAGCCTTTGTCTTGGCAGTCACCAACTGCAGGACATACATTGGCATTGGTTACATGATATTGATGCAGATGGTCATCTTCCTTCCACTTTCGCTTTACCGGAACATCAACAACATCCAGAAGCTTGCCCTTGTGGCGGATCTGTTCATTCTTCTAGGTCTTGTCTACCTGTATTACTATGATCTTTTCACCATCGTCAGCCAGGGCGGTGTCTCGGACATCATCAACTTCAACCCCAGTAGCTGGACGCTCTTCATCGGCACGGCCATCTTTACTTTCGAAGGTATTGGTCTTATCATTCCCATCCAGACTGGCATGAAAGATCCCAAGAAGTTCCCCAAAGTCCTTGGAGGTGTCATGGTGATCATCACCGTCATTTTCATTAGCGCAGGAGCTCTGTCCTATGCAGCTTTCGGGTCCAAGACCAAGACTGTCGTCCTTCTCAACATGCCCCAGGACAACAAGTTCGTCAATGCCGTACAGTTTATTTACTCACTCGCTATTCTACTGTCTACACCACTACAGATCTATCCCGCTATTGAGATCACTAGCCAGCAGCTCTTCAGCAGGACAGGCAAATACAACCCCTACGTCAAGTGGAAGAAGAACTTCTTCCGCTTCTTCATGGTCGCGGTCTGTGCCTGCATTGCCTGGGCAGGCGCGGGCGATCTCGATAAGTTCGTCAGTCTTGTAGGAAGTTTTGCCTGTATTCCGCTGGTCTTCATCTATCCTGTAAGTACCACTCATAACTTTGTTCATCTCATCATCCGCTAATGTCACTCCAGCCTATGCTCCATTACAGGGCTGTCGCGCGGACATCTTCCGCACGTCTCATGGACATACTCCTTGGCATCATCGGTATCGTCGGCATGGTCTATACTACTTCCCTGACGATCAATTCTTGGGTTCATGGCGGCGCACCCAAAGCTCCTGGCTACTGTGACAGTCGCTGAGCTTCGCGTGACGTCGTGTTGTCCTCGAACGTAATGTAGCATTTCAGCGGTGTCCTTTTCTGCGTGTTGGTTGTTTGAATAGCATGGAAGGTGGGGCGTCGAGTGCTTGTTGTACGATGTCGAATTAGAACTGTAGATACGCGCGCACAGGTCTGGTAGACCTTTCAATCTATACATAAGCACAATCATGCCATTCCCCGGAGCCTAGTCTTAGTCAGTCTACACGGCTGGTCATCAAAGCAATATGTGCAGGTGAATTACCTATATTTCAATATAGACAGCTCACTTCCGCTCACTATCGGCTACAAATCTGCTAAAACGGCCACTCCATATGCACCAGCAACTAAACACGAACATGACCATGATCGCAGATGCCAGAACACCCGTACACAAATCCTACCACGAGTCAAAAGCTCGTACAAAGTCACATGAAGGGCGTGATATGCCCAAAACAGTCGACATCAAGTCGCCCAACCGCATTGCGTAAGGCTGAAAGTGCGGCTGAGCGCCACCTGGGCATGGCGGGGTCATATTGCATGCACACAACATTTAAAACGCCCTCCTGGCGGTCAAGGACAAGAGCAGCATCATGAGATCTAGCAACTAGGCGTTATGTCGGCAAGCCTTGCGTAGAACGCAAGGCTAGGTGTCGCTACACAGCACTAAGAATGCAGTAGCCTATGTTCTCTCACCGCAGAGCACGGCGTTGCTACTGAGACCACCATATCGACTGCGGCGGTGTACCAATCAAGACAATAGGTGCTCGAGCATGTAGGCTAGACTTTGCTTTCCCCACGGGTGAGCTGCAGGGCGGATGGAGTGGCTCACCGTCTGATAACGACAAACGTTCGCCGCGGTCCATGTCCGCCGGAAGAACCTCAGGTGTCTCTCCACAGCTTCAGTGCACCAGGGCATGGGAAGTCTAGCGCAGCCATCGCTCCGAATACGCGGAACAGCTGTGAAACCGACGCCGAGTGTGATAGGCGAGTAGACCCCTGCTATTGCGGCCAAGCATGTCGCTGCTGACGTAGCCTGTGGTGTTGAGCACTGGCTTGTGCAGAATCAGAATTAGAATCACTTTGGTAAGCGATGGCCTTGAGGATTGAAAAACAATATCTCGGCTTCCACGATGTGTCGCCGCCGTTTGTACACGAGTAGCTAGTCGGCCGCAGAGTAGCCTCATGAACCAAAAAATCAATGCTGCTTCACGAGAACAATGGGGAAAACGGCATAGCGTTGCTATTAATATGGGCTGCGCCTCTGACCCTGAACAAACAATAGCGGGCGATCAGGGCGAGCGGGCCCGCGATTGGCCAGGCCAGCTCGTGGAGTCCGATCGTAGATGGGTGCCCTGGCCAATGACGAAATAAGGGTGAAGGCACGGGCAGAGACTGGAATGGAAGCTCTTGCACGGAGCAACGTCGTGTCACAATGTAGCATGACGAGAATGATGAAGTGTTGGGGTGGTTAGTTAGGTGGTTTCAGTGCGGCAGCCACGACCCATGCGACAGCCTGCATGAGCGGCGGGCTAGCTGGATTAAGGTGGGGTGGACAAGACATAAAAGCTCCATGCCCGCTACCGCCATTTGCTCCTCTCCCATCATCACCTGCTCCTCACCACCCATATACTTCTCCCAAGCGTCAATTGAGCTCGAACACCCCACAGTCGCTTTTCTGAACTTCCCACTCACACCACTCGTTCCCTCGCCATGTGGTAAGTCGAGCTGCCCCGCAACACCCCACACCGGTGCTCTTGAATGAAAACATACAGCTAACAGACGCACCCAGCGGTATCTTTGGTTACATCAACTACCTGGTGGAGAAGGACAGGAAGTACATTCTCAACACACTTATCAATGGTGAGTAGACTCCGATTGAGTATTTCCGCAAGCTGTAGCCCCTGGTGGGGCACCACAAACAACAGCTAACAAGACCTTTGCACGCAGGCCTCGCACGTCTAGAGTACCGTGGTTACGACTCAGCTGGTCTGGCAATCGACGGTGACAAGAAGAACGAGGTCTTCGCCGTCAAGGAGGTTGGCAAGGTCGCTTCCCTTAAGAAGCTCGTCGACGAGCAGAACTTCGACCTCGAGAAGGTCTTCGACTCACATGCCGGTATCGCACACACCCGATGGGCCACCCACGGCCCCCCATCGCGCGTGAACTGCCATCCTCACAGGTACGCACCAACAATGCCGCATAACAACGTGCTGGGTCAACAGGTTGAGGCCTGGACATCCGGCACGTCGGTCTATGCTGTCATTTCAACCAAATTTCATCAACTTAAAGAGCGGGGCTGACGCGTCTACTATAGGTCCGACCCTAACTGGGAGTTCTCCGTCGTGCACAACGGCATCATCACAAACTACAAGGAATTGAAGACCCTGCTCGAGAGCAAGGGCTACAAGTTCGAGACTGAGACCGACACCGAGGCCATTGCCAAGCTCGCAAAGTACATCTACTCTGAGCACCCCGACCTGAGCTTCCCATCTCTGGTCAAGGCTGTCATCAAGGAGCTTCAGGGAGCTTTCGGTCTGCTCATCAAGTCCATCCACTACCCACATGAGGTCGTCGCAGCCCGCAAGGGTTCGCCCCTTGTCATTGGTGTGCGGACACAGAAGAAGATGAAGGTCGACTTCGTCGATGTCGAGTACAACGACGAGGGTGCTGCTCTCCCCGCCGAGAGCGCGTCCCACAACGTTGCCCTGAAGAAGGGTAACACCTTGCTCGCACCCCCCGATAAGTCCCTCCTCCACCGCTCGCAATCCCGCGCTTTCCTCTCCGACGATGGCGTCCCGATGCCCACCGAGTTCTTCCTGTCCTCCGACCCATCTTCCATCGTCGAGCACACCAAGAAGGTCCTCTACCTCGAGGACGACGACGTTGCACACATCCACGAGGGTTCGCTGAACATCCACCGTCTCACCAAGGACGATGGCTCCGTCAGCAACGTCCGTACGATCCAGACTCTGGAGATTCAGCTCCAGGAGATCATGAAGGGCCGTTTCGACCACTTCATGCAGAAGGAGATTTTCGAGCAGCCCGACTCCGTCGTCAACGCTATGCGTGGTCGTCTCGACCCTGTCAACAAGACTGTCACTCTCGGTGGTCTGAGGCAATACCTTGCCACCATCAGGCGATGCCGCAGGATCATTTTCATCGCTTGCGGTACCTCTTACCACTCCTGCATGGCCGTCCGTGGTATCTTCGAGGAGCTGACCGAGATCCCGATCGCGGTTGAGCTCGCCTCTGACTTTTTGGACCGTCAGGCACCCGTCTTCCGTGACGACACCTGCGTCTTCGTCTCCCAGTCCGGTGAGACCGCTGACTCGCTCATGGCTCTCCGCTACTGCTTGGAGCGCGGTGCCCTGACTGTTGGTATCGTCAACTCCGTCGGTTCCTCCATCTCTCTCCTCACCCACTGCGGTGTGCACATCAACGCCGGTCCCGAAATCGGTGTTGCCTCCACCAAGGCCTACACCTCTCAGTTCGTCTGCATGGTCATGTTCGCGCTGTCGCTCAGTGAGGACCGTGCATCCAAGACCAAGAGGCGCGCGGAGATCATGGACGGTCTTACCAAGATTTCAGAGCAGTTCAAGGAGGCGCTCAAGCTCGACCAGCCCATCAAGAAGCTCTGCGAGAGGTTCAAGGACCAGAAGTCTCTGCTCCTCCTCGGCCGTGGCTCCCAGCACGCCACTGCTCTCGAGGGTGCTCTCAAGATCAAGGAGATCTCATACCTCCACTGCGAAGCCGTCATGTCTGGTGAGCTTAAGCACGGTGTGCTCGCTCTTGTTGACGAGAACCTCCCAATTGTCATGATCTTGACCCGCGACGACATCTTCGCCAAGTCACTCAACGCATACCAGCAGGTCATTGCCCGTAGCGGACGTCCCATCATCATTTGCAACAAGGACGACCCCGAATTCCCGGCGGACAAGACCGACAAGATCGAGGTCCCCAGCAACGTTGACTGCTTGCAGGGTCTCATCAACGTCATTCCTCTGCAGCTCATGTCCTACTGGATGGCGGTTGCTGAGGGTGTCAACGTCGACATGCCCCGTAACTTGGCCAAGTCGGTCACCGTCGAGTAAGCATTGGGCAAGATTTGTTTGACATTGGCGTCATAGAAAGGGCTGGATATGAAATGTGTATGGGTATCTACGGATCGTGTTATGACTAAAGTTGTCTGGACGGCGGCTTATGGACTTTGAATGTAGAAGACGAAGTCATGTATTGGCGGGAATGTAGAGCTTTGAGATTAGCCACGAATGAGCATCTTCTCGTATTAAAATCTCGTATATGCAGCTGATCCTCCTTTGTGAGAAAGTGAACGCGTTGCTGGCGTTTCAGATGCTCGTGTTCCATGCCCGATGACGCTATTCGTAACCCTGGACCGCATTGCGGGGCAGCTTCACAGCTCCTTCCGCTTGAGTCTCGTTCCTGCATTCTTACCCCGCCTAGCAACCACACCACCCCATCAAGCTACACAAACCTCACCCTTAGACGCGCATCAGCTATACCCTGAAAGCTCACAAGTATGGCGACCCTCAAAGGCCCTGGTGCACCCAAAACCTATGACGGTCCGTCTCACCCCGCGCCACTCCGTTTAAGAGCTTCATGTTGACATTGACTCAGGTTCCGCCCTACGAATCGGCATCGTCCACGCACGCTGGAACACCAAGATAATTGACGCGCTCCTCACCGGCACAAAGAAAGCCCTCAAAGCCTCCGGCGTCAAGGACGAGAACATAGTCGTCCAAAGCGTGCCAGGCAGCTATGAGCTACCTTACGCCGTCAAGCAGTACGCCTCTAACCCCAATCCCCCAAGACCCGATACTAAATACAACAGACTCTACTCCGCCTCACAAGTCCAATCCTCCTCCACCGGCATCGTCGGTGCCGCCGCCGACCTCCTCGGTTCCACTTCCGACCTAACCTCCCTGACCCCCTCCGCGCCCAAAACCTCCACCGCGCCTTTCGACGCCATCGTGGCCATCGGCGTGCTGATAAAAGGCGAGACCATGCACTTTGAATACATAGCGGATGCGGTGAGCCACGGGCTCATGCGGTTGCAGCTCGAAGGCAATATTCCGGTTATTTTTGGGTTGTTGACGCTGCTGAGTGATGAGCAGGGGTTGATGAGGGCGGGGATTGGCGGGAGTGGGAATGAGGGACATAATCATGGGGAGGATTGGGGGAGTGCGGCTGTGGAGTTGGGGGTTAAGAGGAAGGGGTGGAATGAGGGGACGTTTTTGGATTAGGTGGGAGAGGAGGCGGAACATGAAGGTGAGGGCTGATATCGGATTATCATGGAAGGATAATCATGGAATCGAGTTACTGAGTAGGCTACGGCAGGCTCAACATTGCATGAGCTAGTCCATGCCCTCAAAGTTGGCAATGGACGTCCTCTTCAGCAAGCACATCTGCCTCTCGAGAACAACTGCTTTTCGAGGCCATGCAACTCGTAGTACGCGAAAGCTAGGTGACCTTCAGAGTGACCCATCTTATCACGATGACCAGTGGTATGCCCCAGAATTCATATCATGCAAGTCTAGTGATTATGCACATATTCAGTTGCGAGGTATGCGACGCGACTCTTCGGTGTGTGATCTGGGATCGCGATGGCGCTTGGGGCCCCGGATGCTTTCAACGGCACCGTCCAGCATAAGCACAGTGCCTTCAACACGGGTCCGTCGCCGTGCCCAAAAATCGCGCGCTTTTACAGCAGGATGTGCTCCAACCGGCGTAATAGTTGCATGATGTTCGACTTTTGATACGACGTGTAGCCTGTGAGACATTGGAAATTGCGTCGGTCATGCTTCGAGGCGCGGTCAGCCTGACAATGAATTTGGATGCGCGAAAGTGACACGGTTGCCACGAAGCTGACGAAGACGCGATATGCGTCCCATAACATCGCGTGATTGCACTGTCTGATAAAAATCGTCTGTCATGTCGTCTAGTGGTTGTGGTTGAAAGATGACGATTGCGCACCTCCCCTTTTCCTCAAACTGCCGCTAGCGGACGCTTGGCAGTCAGTGATCCGCACCTCACCTTGAACCTTGCATTCCACCACGCCTAACGGCAGCCATCTCCTGCCACCAAGGCTCTTTGCGCGTGTAGACACCATTTGTGTGCTCACGACACCCATCCTTTCCTTCGTCATCTCTCCGCACTGCGCGCTCGTCGCACGTGGTGCACCTCCGACACGCTCACACCGCGTTTGTCGCGTTGTCGCCAACCCGTTTCTGGCCTGCAGCAACATCGAGTCCTGCACACACACACATCCCGGCAGGCGCCAATTGTCCATCAAGGCCCAATAATACAATAATATCGAGATGGGAGGATTCTGCTGAAGGCGCAAACACAAGGTATATAGGAGCGCTCTGACAGCGGGTTTCCCACCCCAAACCAGCACCACTGGAGACGTGTCCCGGGACAGACGCGGTAAAGGCACCTTAGGTCGCAGCCACGACAGGTTCGCAGCGCGCGAGCTTGGCCGTTACAGCTTCCTCACAAACGGCGCCACACCGCCGGCACCAGCAACTGAACGCGCCGACCAGGACGAGCGTATCTTATATTCACCTCTTTACCATGCGCGGCGCTCGGACACCACAATAAAACTGCGTCATTTCGGGCAGTTCTACGACCTCTCACCACCTCAATTCTTCCCACACCTTCTCCACAATGTCGCGGTCTGGTCAGGCGATATCGCTTTCCGCATTGACACCTCTGACGACCAGCTCGCCCAGTCCGCGCTCCGCCAAAACTTCGTATGACACGATGAACGGGACATCCTCCTCACGCGCGGCGCCATCGAGTGCGCCAGAAAATGTCGCCAACACCATCACACCCGTGAACACACCGCCTGAGACAAGGAAATCCGTATTTCCAGCAGACGGCGTAATGGCGAAGCGCATACTATACGATCCCTACTCCGACGCAAAACTCGAGAAAAAGGTCAGGCACAGCAAGCCGGCACAATACAAAACGGTCTTGGATAAGGTATGTGAAGGTTATACTTGAATACATAGATGTGGTCGCCCTGTGATGCAAAGGCTAACTTGACTTGTTCACAGGGCGACCCATCTCCTCCACCAGACCCACGGCTGGCTCTTGCTGGATATACCAGCGGAAGCTACATTTTGAAACCTACCGCCAAGTCGAAGCTACGAATAGCGCCTTATATCGCTAAGCCATATGCATTCGATAACCGCATTTCCTGCGGTCCCGGACCTGCCACTCAGGTGGTAGTAACTGGATTCGACCCTCTGACACCAGACTCGCAACTGCGAGGATTTTTCTCCACTTACGGCGACGTCGAGAGCCTACGTGCGGAGGTCCATCCTGATAACGGTAGCCCTCTTGGAATCTGTTTGATTAAGTTTCGCGACACTCCGCAGGCTCGGGGTAGCGTTGCGATCAAAGCATCTACGTCGGCGAAGCGGGCAGAAAGAGAAGGTTCGAACCAGCGCTTGGGACAACAGGTCATCAAGGTTCACACCGATCGCGAGGGCCGAAGATGCGCTAAGCTCGTAGAATTGGTAGTGCAAAAGAGTCGCAAACAGGAAGAAAATATACGGGCAAAAGCCGCTGCAAAAGCGGCGAAGGCTTCAGCTCTTGCAACACCAGCGACGTTTGATTTGCCGGCAAATGTGCCCAAGGGACCTTCGGGGCGGGGCGCACGGCCACCTATACCTGTTCCACGAGAACCGCTGAACAAGAAGGCTGCGCTATCACACCTCATCGAAAAGGATCCGATCAAACCTAAGCTCAAGCGCGCACCTTACCTGTTCATTGCACACCAATACGTACCCGTCCTCTCCACAACAATCGACCATCTCAAGAGGCGTCTAAAGAACTTTCGGTGGGATGCTCTACGTTGCGACCAGACCGGCTACTATGTGGTTTTTGCCTCTACCAAGCATGGCGAAGACGAGGCTGTCAGGTGTTTCCGCGAATGCCATATGAAGCCACTGTTTACCTATGTAATGAACATGGAATGCCAGCAGTATGGTGACCCGGATTACGAGCGTAGCCCCAGTCCGGAGCGTGTTATGGCGGACAAGAAACGGAAAGCCATTGAAGACCGCATGGACCAGGAAGAGAGTGCTGATCTGGAACTCGAGAAGACGCAGAGAGCAGAAGCTATGGATCCAGTGGTGGCAGCCCTAGAGCAGCTGAAGCAGGAGCTGCAAGAAAAGATTCTTGGGGATATCAAAACTCGCATCGCTGCTCCGACTTTGCTAGAGTTGATGCAACCGGAGCGACATGTTGAGAAGCGCCGAAGGTTGAATATCGCGGAGCCCCGAAAGAAGGAGGAGGACATTCGACCGCCATCGCTTCTTGTTCCAGGATTGGATCCCTTCGGTGCCGGGACGCCCAAATCTCGTGCTGCAGGCTTCTCTGGGCGTGGTCGAAAGGCTCTTGGTCCATACGACCGGAACCGCCCTGGCAAGAAACCTCCACGGATTGTCAATGCTTTTGCCGATGAGCGACGAAAGGCATCTGCGCCTAAGCCCCGTGTGGCTCGTGGCCTGCATCGACAGATGATTGAGATGTTTGAGGGCCCTGAAGAGTCAGATGACGAAAGCCGGAGCAACCTCACGCGTGGCACAGAGGAGCAGGAGAGCCGTCCGATCAGTCGTGCACCGTCAACAGACGTCGAAGAGGAGGAGGAGGAATCGTCTCGAGCACACCGTGCTAAGCGGCGCCGCATTGAAGCTGGATGGGGTGAAGACAGCGACGACGAGATGATGGACGACTCCCACGCGAGGAGCCTGCTTGCTCACTGCATCCACAAGGATCCAGAGAACATGGCTGAGAAAGAGCTGGAACAGGTGCTTGCTATTTTGCCACGTTCTTCGCCAATTTGGAAGAAGGCAGACAAAGCTCTCAAAGGCTTCAGGCGGCTGCGCAAGATTGAACAAGAGGCGGACGCAATCTTTGGTGTGGAAACAAGCCCGGTTGACAAACTTGATCCAGAAGTCATTGTCACCCAGGACGATGAACCATCCAAACCAATTGAGACCACCGAGCTTCCAGAGACACTCAAGTCGCTCAAGAAGAAGCAGGCTGCTGCGAAGCCGAAGAAGAAGACGAAGAAGCAGCTGGAGGAAGAGGCCAAGAGCGCCAAGGCTGAGGTCACAGAAATCTCTCTTCCAGAGGAGGATATTGCTGAAGTCAAGGAACACGCGCTGGTACCTGAGGTGTCTGTCACGGAAGATACTCCTGAAGAGGACGATACTGGTTCTGTAATGTGGGGCGTATCATCGACCGAGCCGCGCAAGACTGTGGAAGACGACTTCAGTGTTGTAATGGACATTGATGGTTGGCAACACATGCTGAAGGATGAAGAGGATTTGCTACACCTCAAAGCAGCACTACAGTCAATCGAGGCAGCCAAGATCGGAGATGCGCAATCCTGGGCTTGGAAGCAGAAGTCTATCAAGCACCTCAACCGCCCAGGCGGCGAGGAGGGCGTCTCCCGCACGGAAACCAAGATCGAAGGATACTATGTTCCAAATCCCACAGGCTCGGCTCGAACAGAGGGTGTCAAGAAGATCCGCGAGTCGGAGAAGTCCAAATACCTGCCCCATCGTATCCGTGTGCAGAGGGAGCGCGAAGAGCGTCAACGCCAGGCCAAGAAGGCGGAGCATGCTGTTATCTCCGTTGAAGGCTTCAAGTTCACGACCAGCTCACAGAAGGCGTCGACTGCCAACTCTCGTGCAAATCGTGCTAACAATCGCCGCATGGTGAACGACATCAACATTTCCAAGAATATGACCGGCGCAGAAGGTGATGCCTTGCGCTTCAACCAGTTGAAGAAGCGAAAGAAGCTGGTCAAGTTCGATCGCTCCGCCATCCACAACTGGGGTTTGTACGCACAGGAGAATATTGTGGCCAACGATATGATCATTGAGTATGTCGGTGAGAAGGTTCGACAACGTGTGGCCGATTTGCGAGAAGTTCGATATGATCAACAGGGTGTGGGATCGAGTTACCTATTCCGCATTGATGAGGATACTGTCATCGACGCAACCAAGATGGGTGGCATTGCTCGCTTCATCAATCACAGCTGTACGCCAAACTGCACAGCCAAGATCATCCGTGTCGACAACACAAAGCGTATCGTCATCTACGCTTTGCGTGACATTGGGCAAGGTAAAACCAACCACTCTCCACTTCATCTGACGACCAATGCTAACTGTTATGACAGATGAGGAACTCACCTACGACTACAAATTCGAGCGTGAAATGGACGCCACAGACCGCATTCCTTGTCTCTGCGGATCCGTCGGCTGCAAGGGCTTCCTCAACTAAGCCCTACACATCATCTCCAGCATCTCAACATCATCATCTCGCTTCAGCGTTTCAACACTTATGTAACTTTCAGGACTGGGGAAGAGATCGAGCCCCACGTCGGGGCAGGCTGCATCAACATCGGCGTTTTTTTCTCACCACATTCTTCCATCTATGTACTTTTCTCTCTCGTCACACATCAAAAGAACGGGTGGTCGTCTCTTGGTCGTTGCATTTTGTGGCGTGTTTGTCATTTGTTGAGCATCTCAGCCGCCGGCTCCGTTATAGATGGGGTGGGGGTGGGCTGCTGGAAGGAACCCGAGCTGTGTGCAGCTAAGTCTAGGCTGTGTGGACACGCGGAAGAGCGTGGTTGGTAGCGATAATTGAAGAATTGTGAGAGTGTAGCTTTGAGTGCTTTGGTATATGGATGTTGATGATGTGATGCTCGGAGCTCGTACAAAGTTTCTTTGGACTGGGGTCGTGGTGAACCTCGAGTGGGTCAGTGACACAGCACGGTCTGGGGAGAATACAATGTAGAGGCTAGGAGGTTACTCGGGAGGCTGAAGTGGATGAAGAAATTTGTCCTGTGAACTGCCGCGCAGGTCCACTTCTTCGCTGTTGCACAGAGTCGGGAGCCTAAGTAGCAGAAGTCTTCGAGGTATCATATTCCCAGTGAGGCATTGGGATATGTACAATTAAACATTACTTTGCGAGTATCGGCACTACGCCCCCGTAGCTCATACGACAGCCTGACTGATACATTACAACAGTGCTCTCTCAACTCGCAGTGCCATTCGTAGCTTTCGTCGCCTTGTCATCTCTCTTCACCACATTTCCATTAGTCTGCGGTGCCGCATCGCCTTCTCCGCTGGATTTCGACGAGTCCACATCGTCAGAATCACTGCCCTTTGCTGGTGCTTCAGAGGGTGGCGGTGTCTTTGACTTTGGCGGCGCAGAAGCAGGAGCAGCATCCGGATCATCAGGCGTTGCAACAGGAGGGACCACGACACCAGTCGGCGCCGAAGGATCCGGAGCGACATTAGTAGCAGGAGCCACAGACGGTGTTTCCACCACAGCAGTCGTCGGCGTCTGTCCAGGACGAGCCCGCAATATCGCAGCTGCGCCATCCGTAACCGCATTCATATACATATCCGCTTTCTCAACGTCAGCAAAATACCCCTTATCAAGACTGACACCACTTACGATCATTCATAGTATTATTCTTCACCACCTTGTCATAAAGCCTTGTCAATCGCGCAACCTCACTCCTCACACTAATCCCATCGTCAATCGCAATCTCATCGTACCCGTGCACCCCGCTCTGAATCCCCAACCACATCACCTCTGAATTCTCAATCTCATCGACGACTCGGTCTAAATCGTCCCGGAACATGCGCGCTCGCATCGGCTGCCCGCGCGACTTCAGGTACGCAACTACGCCTGCGATGATGGTGTTCAGCGCCCCGAACACGGTGATCAGGATGTGCGAGGAGCCTGATGCGCCGAGCCCCGTGAGCGCGGCGCCGAGCACGACTTGCGAGAGGAGGAGCGTGTTGGAGAGCGACGCTGTGAGTAAATACGTCCGGTTCTGGGCATTGCGTCTGCGAGTTGCGCGGCCGTAGAGGGAGCGTCGGGCGACATTTGGGCGTTGCGCATTTGGTGGCAGATTGGATGGCGGGACGCCGGCGAGGGTGCAGAATTGGATGTGGATGTCGTTGGCGTCGGGGCGGAGAATGCCTGCTGCGGCGTACCGGGAGAGGATTGATGAGCTTAGGAGGGGTGTTTCTTCATCGTGGGTTGGCATCGTGCTGGGTATGGGAAAAGGTACATCGTGGATGTAGCGGGATGTTGGGGGATTAGCACCGCGCGCCGTTGAGCGGGCTGAACGGGATTTTCCGTGGGAGGATGTTCATGATGCCTTGCTCTTGCTAAGTTCTCGACAGTTCCGTGTTTTTTTGCTGCTTCGAAAAATGTTGATGCGAGGATTTGGTTGCGAAGAAATGTTCACGATGGCCAGGGTTGTGGTTGCACGACCAAACCCACAGTTTTCATGCGGAGCGGAGAAGGGCCCTCGTGATCAATTGAACGTTCCTCCCTACATCTTGCAATACCATTCACGTCTGCGCTTGAACTCTTGATTCATTCGCTACATGTGTAGTTATGATCAGTTAGAGTCGATGTTCTTATGAACGCTGATGCGGTCAGGGCTGCGCGATAGTTCAGAACAGAACAGTTAGGACGTATGATTTAGAGCAATATCTAATTCTGAGCCTCGTCATTCCATTGAACGTGCTCTACGCGACGCCATCCCGGCTGCAAACTCTCGTTGAGCTGCACAGAAAGCCTCAGCGGACTTGCCCAGTTCTCCTTCCAAGAATACTTCAACGCCCACCAACATACTGCCGTCTGGAAAAGAAGTACCCTGGGCAACCTTGAAGAAAAGGTCATGCTTATCCGGGTCAAAGCTCAAATCTCTGTTCTCAGGCTCCGGGACAGTTATAGGAAGTAGTGGAACCCGGAGCAGGAACTTTCGATTGTTGATGATCTTGTCTTTGTGCTGGCTGAGGCATTCGTGCGCTGCAATCATGAATTGCTTGACCGTGATCGGACTACCATCAGCATGTTCAATGAGCACGGGCCTGGGTTGGTCCTCCTTCGGGACCCTCTCGTGAATCATGGCCGAAGAAATATCTTTACTGTAAACCACCATGCGGCTTGCGGATGGCACAGCGACATCCTCTAGCGCTAGTGCATGCGAAAGAAAGGGACGGAGTTGTTCTGTCCCGTCTTCCTTGAGTCCAGCCTCAACCAAGATGTCTTCCACACTGCCTAGAATGCTCCAACGAAGTCTCGTGAGAGGTTGCTATATATTATCCGCTGTGATGTAAACAGCAAGTCGGGACTTTAGGCGCAAAACGCGGTTCTCCCTACACAAACTGGGAAACGCTAATCTGGTTACGTGATTGTTGCCGGACGTACGTCCTCTCATTCTGGATATATCATATTCAGAATGGTCAGATGATGACAAGCTTCCAGATGTCGCTTCTATGTGGAAGAATGCAAAGACGACACGGAACATATCAGACGAGCATTGGCCAAAGTCTCAAAGCATCAACAGGACCTGTTCCGCCAGCTCATGGCGAGCAGTGGATGCTGGCGAAGAGGCCGTCTGGACATCAGCCGTTTCGAAATTTATGTACGGATGCTTTCAAGAGCATCAAAGGATTACGAAAGCTTAACGTGCTTTGTAGTATTCTATACCGTTAGCTATATCAACCATTCACGCCGTCCGAATGCATTCTTCGGTCGGAATGGCGAGCGTGCCATGGTGCAAGCAACCAATACGATTGCTGCAGGTGAAGAGATTAAACTCGGCCGATTACCTAAGACCTTATAATGCGTAAAAGCTGGGTGAAGAAAGTCGTAATTACAGCATAAATACTCCTTTGATTGCCACTGTCGCGACTGCCATCGTGACACTTACAGAAAAGGTGACGAGACCCGCTGGCGTCTTCAGTGTCTCTATGTAAAGATGACTGGAATTTCTAGCAGTCAAATAATACCCACAGGTTTGAAGGCACGAATTCAATATACTTCGCATCACTTGTCTGGCGCACGTGGATACTACATTCTGATTCGACAGCTCACATGGCAGGACATGCGGTTAGCAGTAGCTCATATCTGCATAGCAAAAACTCTGCATAGCTCCAGCCTTCTCAGCTGTGCTTAGGATCACGCTACACAGAACATGGTGGTATCTATAAGTATTAACGGGTACTTCTGGAATAGTGTGATCGAGGCGATAGGGATCTTGCAGCAGTGTCTTAGTTCAGAGTGAAATTTCGGTTTGGTGGGCCAATTGCAGGGTTAGCATATGCTTTGAATTGACTCAGGCTGAGCTACCAGTAGATTGTAGGATTTTTAGGCAAGGAGCTTGAGACATCTAGGTGATTGCTCACCAGTCATGCTTGGGCGGATCACCAATCTGTCGTGGATGGTCGACCATGAGAGTACATAAAGTTCTTCAAACACTGAAAGCACTAAAATTATGCCAACTTATTCATTTTCAAGTTTCATCAAGCTGCCACAGCAACTCGATGGCGGCCCCAGTCAACATCAACAACCATGTAGAAATTTATATGCATGCCACCAATGGATGAGCGGTTCGAGCGATACAAGTGGCTGAACGCGGGACATGTCTTCTCCAAAATGTGTTGCCACTGTTCATCAACACGGGAGTGGCATGGGACAGTTTGGTGGAGGATCTAAGAGGCACACAAACTAACTGAATCAGCACGGAAAGACTGTAAGCGGGCACTGCTGCCGGAGGACGTCTCCACATAGAAGTCAATCGTATAACTGGCGAGCGGCGGGCGCTTTTTAGACGACTACATCAGTCCAGCGCATCTACAGCATGCCTCAACTAGCTGAGGTGCAATAGGCAGCTAGAAACCTGGAGGCTTCGGTCCACACGACAGATGAAGCATGGAGGGAGTACCAGATTATCTATACTCAACATGGCATTCGAATACCTGAATTAGACAGCTTATTGCATCTGCGGAGGAGGCTTCTGGGATAATCGCTTAGGCTTACATCAGTGAGATTTTGCTTATCGGTGTGTGGCACAAGGGTTGTACTAGAGCAATTTATTAATTTAGCTGGAGTCAATGAAACAAATTTGGGTAACATCATGTCTCTAAAAGCGGAAGAATTAGACATGAGGAAATATACAAAGATAAAATCACATATGACCCTGGTATCGATCGAACTCAGGACCCGTTCCGACCCAACCCCCCCCTCCAGTAACGGATGACAAGAGAACCCCCTCGAAATTCTTGACCGAAGCCATAGCACCTTCCCACCTTCCCACTGGAACAAAATCATTTACAAAGTGAAACATAACTATAGGACCTTAGTCCTGTGAGTTAGTAACAAGATGTTGTTCTATTAAATGCGACATATCTTTCACTATTACCTCCGCCTTTCCCCGTCACCTCTTCCACCTCACACTTCCATCTAAACTTGGATGATTCGGTTTATACCTATTTCTGTGTTTTTAAAAGGCTTTCTGTATACCTCTACTTTACTCGTTATTTTAATCTCAAGTATGTTCGAGGCATCCTGCCACCTACATCTCCCTTTCAGAGCCATTCATGCTGTCTCTCTATCCCCGGAGCATATCAGCCAACACCGTCTTGTACTACTCATACGTCCTTTCCTTGTTAATTATCACTACGATAGACTCTCTAACTGTCATTTTACCGCAGAGTGAGGAAGACAGCGAGTTGAGTGAAGAAGAAGACGGGATTGACCCTGAAGATTGGGAGGACTCTGGATTTGGCGACGGTCGGGACGATGAAGATGAGGACGAAGACGGAGATAGCTCAAGGGTCAGAGGTAGGAATAGAGTTACATGCACTCCGGTGCGTCCTACCAAAGTCTCCAGGATGTCAGAAGGAGCTACGAGCACTACTACCCTTGACCTGCTTCCCTCCAGTGGCTCATCAGCTACTGCGGACACGACATCAAGTCTGGCTACAACTGCCGCTGCGACCAGCAGAGTTAAACACTAAGCGACATCAGAAACGCCGTTTGAGACGTATAATGAATGAAGGATACCTAACAGCTGACAACGATCGTTTTTCCTATTTCCAAGTCTGTTAAATCGCCCAAGTTCGAGCCGCGATCAGCACTGTTACAACCTTGTGCCGTTCATGTGCTACACCTCTAACCTCAAAAGCAGTGAGAGTTGTTCCGTGGCGTGAGAATCTGGCCGAGCAAGCGCGTCAGCTAAAGTGAGGCGCCGCTTACCTGTAAGCATACATGATGGGATTGTTTCAAAGAGCCCAACTGCCCGAGCTCTGCCCGACGCCCTCCCTTCCTGAACTCATTCAGAGCGTTGTAACCGCGAAATTTTCAAGTCGCGAAGAAGAAGGGCCGTTCATAACACGCAAAGCATCATGCACAGGAAGGATATCCGAAAGGTCTTCCGTCAGTATGTCAATGCGTGGTAGGAGCTCAAGTGATGCATGCCCAAGCACATCCATCACAGGCTATAACGGTCCTACATGCCCGAGCTCAAGCAACGGGAAGTATGACGACGCCAATGCCGCAGCCCACGCAGAACCGCCGCATGAATGCCGAGCAAACCACTAGATCGACACGGAAGATCGAAATAACGTGGCATGTTGGTGTACAGGGAGGTCGGTGTCGAACTTTAACGTTCTTGCAAAGCTAGACCAAGCCTAGTATAGTTATTGATGCCCAATACTAAATGCACGTACCTTCGAGCGGACTTATGACCTCGCGACGAGTTTGAAGGCGTGGTTACGTTACTGAGATCATGCCGACATGATGCTCCGTGGAATGGGTGTTGTCGCATAACGCGCTACAAGTTTCGTCCTTGGCGGAGTGCATGTTTCTCTGACGTTACCATACCCACAACGCAACGATTGTAGACCTTGCCATGTTGTATGGTTACTGCACGAGTCATATCTTCGAAACGACGGTAGCGACTCGTTCTTCGCGCCAGGATTCCGGACACCACCTCTGGGCGATCTGAAACATCGGCACGTCCGCCGGCTGCGGCCCGTCGGGCGGAACTCCACAAGCGGGAGGCATCAACATGGCGGATGCCTGGCTTCAACAACGAACCTCACGCCATCCTTAGCCTCGAGGAAAACGTTGAGAGCATGTCTGTAATGGGGGTGGGGTAGTTTCTTGAAATAGACTCGAACTTTGCCTTCGACCTTGACGTGCATTAAGCATAACATTGAGGAAGAGTGGTGTCTTGAAACTATTGGTGTGATGGAGACGCATAGCCGTGGACCCGTGGCAGAGATGTTGATAACATAAAATCGACCAGCCATCGGAAATTACTCCCGGAGCCTACCGTTGCTGTCCATTGGATTGTTGTCGGACGACTGCATGTCAACAGTCAGCACAGCGTATTGTGCGGAGGAACCCTGGCGAGCAACAAAGTCCCGATGCCAGAATAGACAGGCGGCATGATCTGGGAAGGACTGGTCAACCATCCGAGAAATTCTCCTTGCTTTCGTCATCAAGACTGTGGGTGCTGTGACTGCCGCAGGTGAGTGTAGAGACTAATCGCGCGAATGCCGCAACCCTGCATGTGACATTGGTACTTTAGTCCATGTGCAGATATCTGAACATGGTGAGACCTTTGGCACATGCCTGACTATAACCAGAGCATTGTATTGAATGGCATCTGTGGAGATGGGCCAATCCTGGCATGCGTGGAACTGCAGGGAAGTGGATCAGAGGGGCGCGGTTGGTCACCGTAGGTCAACAGGTGGATTGCGACAGTTGGAATTTTCCTATCCTAGAAACTTGAGCCTACCCGTCTGATGTTGTGCAGATGCAGAGTGAAGGCTTAAGCGATGCAACTACGCTGTTGAGGTCCATGCTCACCACAGGCTGCGTATGTGAGCACATCAAGGCTGCAACAGTGATCTTCCGCAATGTTGTTAATTCATCTCCGGCTAATGCATGTCGTGCAGAAGCGAGGCGGGGAGACGCATCCGATCCTAGCGAAGCATAAGGGCGCAGTGAGTGGCAATTGCACAAAGCTGATGTTGACCTGCTGTGCCCAACGAGAATGTCTTAGTGACGTGAGCGTGCTTCTGTCACCGATCTCTGAGAGCTTGGACCGTAGAACGCCGTGAGACACAAGTTGACCCGACCTTAAGCGGAGGTGCCACAATCGGTCGACATTGTTGGGCGAGCATTTTGCGAGCTGGAGAACGAACGCATCAAAATGAAACTGTGACACGACGGGAAGAGACCCGACCGTTACGCAAGTGAGAAATCTGTCAGTACATCCTGGCCGACAGCTCATATGCACTACGATAAAGGACCAACAAGGGATTGCCTATAGGAGACAAAGGTACTTTAGACTTCCCGCACGTCTACACGACAGCGGCTTGCAGTATCGTATGCGACGAGAACGTAGTGAGGTGGAGACAACGGCGTGGCAGATTGGAACCTGAGTGAACGGCCACGTTGCCGTGGTAGGTCGAGCCCGGCAGCAGCTCCACGGACTCGTAGTCTGTTTTCCCAAAGTTGCAACGACTTGGGAACTTGAAGAGGATAAATGGAGTCGCATGCATATCCGCTCCGAACCTCACCCCTGACCATCGATAGGCAGCACCGGCTAAGCGAGGGAGGCCAAAGTTGACGCAGCAGGTAGTTGCATGCTGTAATGCAGATGGCCCGAAGGAGTAATCAAGACATGCAGGCTGTGGTCAGCACAGCCAACGCATGGTGATGCACACCCGAGTTGTGCCTTGCTGAAATGTGCTGTGATCCATGGGCATCGGTCTCGGTTGTTGCGCAATCTCATTCCACGATGGTCGCACACCGTTCAGTGACGCGATGGAGCGTGTTCCCAATGCAGACGGGGCGGTCTAGACGAGGTCCTCCAGGCATGTGGTCATCGGTGTAGGAAGCGACAAGGGAGCCAATGAAATGTGCTCGGCAAACCGAAACACAACGGTGGTAAGGCGGCACACGGTACTGGATCCTATTCGGTCCGAGCCTCTGTAGGCTGCGATGATGAGGCCCATGGTAGGCGTAGGAGTAGTGGTGAATGCCACAGACGATCATCCTGCGCCACATGTGCAGCAGGCGCGACTGAACATGTTGGCCTTGGGCGTGATCTGTGATCTGCGCAGCAACGTCGGCGACGGAAGGAGCAGTCAGTCAGCGACAAGATTAGTCGTGGACTCCCGAAGTCCCGTGGGGGCCATGAGTCGAAGTCCCTTTCTTCGTGTGCGATGGTCCTCTCTGCAATGGCGCGCACAGTGAGCCGGGACTCAGGAGTGCATGGCCGAAGCGGCAAGTGGAGTTCGGAGCGTTTCAGAGGCGAGCAGGGCTGGCAGGGCCATGCTCGTTGCGGACGTTGCTGGTGTTTGCTATGCGCGAGCGAGAAGGAAATGGATCATTGATGGCCTGGGGTGGTGAAGTGGGCGAGGTTGGCGGAGTGGGCCGCGCTTGCCTGAACCGGGGCGCGACTGCCGCCGCGGCGCAGAGTAGGCCTGGGGCCATGACCTTCTCGGTTCTCGACCGAGGCAGTGACAGATTCATCTCCATCTCAACGGCCTCCCACCTGCCAGGGCTGTCCCGTCTCGTCTCAGCTGTGCTCAACAGCGCCAGTGGCCGCGGGCGGCGACATGTTAGCAGCGCACGTGACGGGCCAGTGCGAGGATGACGGGGTGGGGGCTGGTGTTGCGCAAGCTCCGGGCGGCAGACGGCTGCGTACCGACGAGTGATGGCGGCACCGATGAGATGAGCAGCAAACAATCTCTTGTCGCCGTCGCCGTCGCCATGCTCTCCACGGGCCGGGGCAGCAAGACAGGATCCTCCTTGCGGCGTCTCCAGGCGAGCAAGAGGCAACCAGGCACACCGCAGCCTCAGCGACGCTGTCATCGAGTCTACTGCTCCCACTGCCGTCTGACGCCGCCCGCAATATTGGCACATGGGTGCGCTGGGCCGGGGTGCCACAAGGGGAAACGAGCTGGGACACTTCCCGCCAGCCCCGACGATGGCTCTAGCGACCCGCAGCGCACAGCCAACACAACTAGCACACCAATTCGGGGCCCACCCTTCGACCTTCACATCGCCCCCCTGCTAGCCCGCTTGGGGGACGACCGGCTGTCATCCGCCCATGCATGCCATTTCGCGCCTGCAGCGTCTTTCCCCTAGCACTGCAAGTCCACTTCGCCCCGCCGAATGAGCTCCAGCGGTTTGCGCCTCCATCGACCAGGTGGTTCCTCCTTGCCCGC